TTTATATTACTATAATTCCACCTTTTCATTCACAATATTTTGGTATATTAAAACACGATCTTTTAATTCAACATCCACTTACCATCAGCCATCTGCCGAAAACTAGCAACTAGTAGCATGTACCCTCAACCATACCCTGTTTACTTTCTTGCCAGCGAGAGCGCGCTGAATGACGCATTCTGTACACCCTGTGGATCGTCTGAACATCATGGATCTTTTTGTCAGATATCGTGATAAACCGTGTTATTATATTGTCATTCAGAGTCACCTTAGTGTATAAAACAATTCCATCTTGGGCTTCCCCTCTTTTTTTGTAAATACTACAAATGCCGTTTAATAGCGCAAATAAAATGAGCAATGCCAATATTAAACAAGGCAACGCTCTGATTTCTCATTGCTGCAATTCCCTATTGAATTTTTTTTAGCTGCTTTTTATTTTCATTTTCATTTTATTTCTTTATTCAATTTTCTAGAATAGAGAGTGAGAAATGGAAAATAATGAGAACTAATTCAAGGTCGCGTGCCGTTTTGATTCAGCGCCTGGCCAGCTCGCTTGCAGTGGCAGCACAAAGTGTGGCACCACAGTAAATCCAAAGGCTCCCTTGCCTCGCACATTTGCGACCAACAACCAGGCCTCCACCAGTTGACGCAGCTACCTGTACATACGCCTTAACAAACCAATCATTCAACTGAAACGGCAACCAAATGAAGACAAAACAAGTATTCTGGGCAAACGCCGGCTGCTGCGAAAAGGCAGCAAGCAATGGGCATATCTGGTCTAGAGTGATTATTTTGGTGTTGTCTAAAACAATATAGCTAATTTCAATACTGCACTTAGTGATTCTGACAAAGCAAATGCGCGCATGGTGCTATTGGTTGCATAACATGTAGTAAGTGCTGATGATTTAGCCAGGGTTTGTAATCAAAATTTGTCGTCCACTTTGAGTGCAACCAATAGGTTGGTCGTCAAGATCTTGAGCTCAGTAATCTTGGATGCTGTGTTGGGCAAAGTAATTAAGCAGCTGTGGCATGAGGTCGAGGTAAAAGATAACTCGCTCAAGTTGCTGTGCATCTTGTGCAATGTCATCCGCTTGTCAACCAAAGCCAAAGTCATGAGCACCCAGGCAAGGTGCACCCACGAGCAAGTTGGGCTAATCAATTGGCAGAAGGAGATAATATAGGACCCTGGGTTGCTGGCTTTGCACAAGGCTGATCTGGATCAGAAGCAGGAGCAAGGGCAATTGATGCATATGGAGATAAACATGGGTATACACATAACGCAGATGAAGGAACAGTTTGCCGGTCTCACCACCAGGCTTGCTGATGTGGCCACCAAGCACAGGGTTGCATAGTGCCGTATGCACTCACTTGGGGATGCCACCAAGGTCTTGGCTGCCAAACATCAGGCTAAAGCTGTCCACCCAACACACACAGTAAAAAGGTGCAATAAATGCATTGCTTATTTCAAGGTACATGCATAAGAGACTCCCCACACATGCCCCAAGCCACGGCCAAAGTAAACAGTCACTGTGGTTGAGGCCATGCTAACTGCCACCGAACATATTACTATGTATTGACACCATGCATAGGAACAAAGCCAGCCATCATCAGGATATTCTTGTCATAGAGCTTGAGCAAAAGCAAAACCCTGAGGGCTGCCTTCAGTGCTGCCATGTCACCGAGTTACAGGCCAGGTTCAACAAGGTGCAGGCTGTACTGGACGAATGTGCTTATCTCATGGCCATGACAGAGGCTGTGTTGTCCTTGTCAGCATTACACAATGGTGGCTCAGTCACCACCACAGTCGAACAGCTCAAATTCTGCACTATCTTGCTCAAGGCCACACTTAGCACCTGCTACCAATGAATGCCAGCATTGGTATTCAAGCTGGCCACTGCACGTAAAGCTTCCAGTGAGCACCTAATGCATCTGCGACATGCACAGTGTGATACAAGGAATTGCGGCTTGTCTCCAACGATTGATTCATTAATCAATCACTAGTTAATTCCTTACTTGGATATGCGGGAATCCATACACACATAAATACTAATGAATATTAACAATGGAGGCTGTTCATCCCTTGGCTTTCTTTTAGTTCATTTTGTTCAATATATTTTTTTAGCGTAACAGCCAGCATCTGCCACTTTTGCTGATGAGATCATACAGGCCAGCAGTGTGGCAGCCAAACGGCATAAAAGCATGGGATGGCCAACACAGTATAGACAGCGACAGTAATATCCATCTACTCTGATAGGAATTCCGAATCTGCAGCCAGAGACAGCAGTGCCAAGGCTGTAAATCACGTATTGCATGACAAAAATTAATGGTGCCAATTATGCCAAACTCATTTTTTTGCTGCTGCAAAAGTTGCCACATGAGTTCAAGGCTGTGCTGCTTGAATACCCAAAAACACGACAGCGCTGGATGTCGTCAAGTTCTATTGACTGCTTTTAGTGCATGTATCTGCCACTCCTTTTGAATGCTGCCTCCTGCTGCCCAGTAAACCACATGCATACTGCTACTGTGCTTCATGAACGCTCAGGGTAGTTTTTTTGTCTCGCCGATGCATCATATGGCACAGAACATTGTGGCACCAGTGTCCTTTCCAGATGCAAAGTCCAGTGCTCATTTTATAATGTGCGATCTTTCAATAGACACTGTTGATAGCCCATATATGCTGCCGATGTTGGCAAAAACGCTAGCTGTGTTAACTATGCCATTGGAGACCGAGTGCATGACCTGGCTGGTAATGCGCGTCATGCAGCCAACTGCCGCCGGAATCCACGATCTTTATGTGGAGGAATACAGCAGGAAGGAGGCCAATGCGTTGTATGCTGTGGTTGTCGATAAGTGTGCGTGGCGCTTGCCAACAGAGGCTGGGCTTGCCGGCTGCATCCTGGTCAAGGTGTCCAATGAGCTGCGCTGTTTGCATTGCGAAGACAGCATGTATGCCGTGGTTATGTGCGCCTACAACTTGCTTGCTCTATAGATTGTTATGAAAAGGGGTGGTGTAAGGAGCACTATGATTGTAGTGTTAGAAAATTGGGGGTGATTTTATAAAAGGATTTATTACTGATATTTCTAAAATGCTACTAGGGCCGGCCTCATCTTATATATGTGTCTCGTTGTCTTTGTTGTGCACCTTTTCAATTTTGCACTCCATTGGCGGAAACTGTTTCTTCTGCGAGCAGACTGGTAGCTTGGCAAGTCAATGTTGTGGTTTTTGCATATGTGCGCCTATACGTGTAAACTGCAAAATAGGGAGCATATCTGGGCATCATTATTATGACTCACTAATTTACTCCTGCATAGTCCAATTAGTCCCCTATCAATCGGCATGCAGATGGAAACTTGTTTCACAACTTTCAACCTCAGCATCTAATTACATCTCCTCGGGCTGCATAACAACATAATATCTGAGACAATAGCCGCGCCATTTAATTTACAAATGAAAAGTAGCATTCATTATATTGGAAGAATAAAATTCAATAAATATTATTAAATCATTAGCAATGAAAAGAGATCCTTTGGCTTTGAATCGATTGACAACCAAAATGATAGCAAACCAACATAACTAAACATTAGCCTCAGCTAGAATATTAGAGCCATACTAACTATTGACCATTTGGTTGCCCTCCATATAACGTATCCCATGCTGGCATAGATTGAAAAGACATACCGTTATGTGTGGGTATGCTGAGTGCTTTTAATTTTGTTTTATTTATTTTTTGCTCGCGTTTATTTTCATTCAAGCAGTATTCTTTTTTCAATTGGTTAGAGTTTTTCAATTTGAAAGTAAGAAAAATGAAGATGAAAAAGATGAAGTCGTGTGGTTCGCAAAGGTGAGGGTTGATTTGACCTTGGCATAGGATCCAGTACGGCTCCCATGCCCAGGTGCTTGCCCCGCCATCAATAAAGCCTGGTAAGTGCCTTGCCCATTATTGCTGACGGCTAGCAGTGGCCTTTGTGCTTTGTGCACTTGTGCCGGGTATCCAAAAACAACCCTGCTGACAGCAGCCTTTGTGTTATGTACACTTGTGTCGCCGCTTGTTGGATATTTTAATGGCAGTGCTGGCGGCATTGGTGCTTTGTGGACTGTTGCCAATTGACCTCTGACCAGCCGCACAGATTACATCTGCCTATTCTGCGCGCAGTATCAACCTGACTTGCAGAGCGACCAATTCGGAGTTCAACTTTTTAAGCTCATTTCCGCGTGTGCGTATCTCGGTGCTTTGTCCAGTGATTATGCTAATACGTCTGACTAGCTATCCGCGCGACAAGGCCATCCGTCCGCAAAGAGTTTCCATCCGGTCGCGAGCCGCACAGACCTGGGCAATGGCAGATATAGCCAGATAAATGACATTATCTACCCTCTTACGCCTGTTGTTGGTCTGGGTATCAGTTGCCTCAAAAACGCGGCGCAAGGCTTGCACTCTGGCGCGACACGTCAGGACAGGTGCAAGGGTTGAAGATAGAAAAGGTTCCCTCAAAAAGGGGCGCAGGGCTTGGACATTGACGTGTGGCATTTCAGGGCAGGTGAATGGCTCGATGGGGAAGGCGGCGGGTACCTCAAAGACGCAGCGCAGGGTGGGCTCGGCCACAGCATGAGTAGCCGCAAGTTCAAACGTCTGGCTGTCTAGCAGCTTGTTCTCGGCGCTCAACTGTGCAGCCTGCATATCAATTAAAGCGGTCTCGGCCTTGAAAGGAGCTTGATAGGTGATGCAGAGCATTTGTCTTCTCTGCATGTGAGTGCTGACATCCTTGAGGGTTTCAGTAGTTATGGCGGCAGGGGCAACAAAGCCTGCATGACCTTGGCCATGGCGTGTGGAAATGATCGTGCACATAACAGTACAAACAACGCTGATAGAGGCCATTTTAAAAGAATGGAAAATCAAAAAAATGACTAAAAGGAGACAAAAAAGGTGGGAGAATAATAGATGTTATAAAACAATATAGGGGATATGTTATAAGGATATGTGGTAAATAATTTTGCGCAAAAATAAAAAACACTCGGGAAAAAAAGTGTAAAGGCAAGAGGATGGCGGGTGTGTTTAAAAATGACAAGTTATTTGGGTAGTGCTGATGCTGGTGATGGTGGTGTTGGTGTTGGTGTTGATGTTGGAGAGGGATGTGTGTGGGTGGTATTGAAGAAAACTTTGCTTGAGATGTTAAAGGAAAAAACAAGGATGAAAGATGGTGGAAGGAGCAGGGCGGGAGATGCCTAGCATTTATTTTTCTGCCATTTTTTGTTTTGTGCTGTGCTAAGCTGTGCGAAAATAAATGCGCTCCTCTTTGCCCCTCACAAAAAAATGTTTTTCAGGTCGTCTCTTTCGGGTTCGGCTGGAGCGGAGTACAAGTTTCAAGAGGGCTTTCTTGTTGCATTTATATTCCCCCCTTTTTTGGCGAAAGAATGCCTTCTTCATATACATGTTATTCAAGGATCGGCAATATCCAAATATCCATCATAATGTTTCAAAATATGCACGTATTGATCAGCGGTCACTTTTACAATGCTTTTTTTAAACCGCGGTCGCTGGTGGGCAGACCATGTGTGTACAGAAAAAGTTGATATCTGTCGGCATGGATTTTTGCAGCCAAAAATAATTGACTTTTTGTAAAAAAAATTGCCAGGCTTACGTTTAGGCTGAGCCGGAATAGAACAAAGTAGCAGCAGTAATGTTTTTGTTTTGGCATTGGTAGCAGTGCGAGTATGAGGTGGATAATGGCATTGTTTTTTATTTTCTTCTCACAATGAAGGCCAAGTTTTTTATTAGCCAACACATAAAAAATAAAGGTTGCTATGAGGCATTTTTGAGCTTTTTCTTTTCTGGTGACTCTGCATCAATCATGGCAGCTAAAATGTAACCCCAAAAATGGGGGCAGAGTCACGTGACATTATAAACGCGTGAAATGTTTGATACTTCATGCACACAGTAATTTCTGGATAGTGAGCTCTTTTCGTAGTCTCATTTTTATTAATATATTATAGCCAGCACAATTATCATTATAGTAACAGTCGATGCAAATAAACAGCAGACCATAAGTAATCAATAGAAAAAGGTACAAAAACTGGGGGGTGCAGGGATCGAACCAACAACCTTCCGCTCTGGAGGCGGACGCGCTACCATTGCGCCAACCCCCCAGTGAGTAATCCTAATTGACAAGCTAATTGTCAACTGCTGATACTTCCAAGCTTGAAATAGTACCAGTTGTGGTATAAAAACTATTTTTGTTAAAGATTTAGGGTTTGTGGCTTTGCGCGTAATATATTAGCAAGCAGTACTTTTCAGCTTTAAAATTGATTCCTAGGTTCTGCTTACACATTCGGGCTTTTATTTATTTAATAGACTATGTAATGGTGTTAGCACTGTCGATTGCACTCTCATATATATGCGTATGATAAATTCTACAGGCTTTCAGAAGTTTGGTTGCCTGCGCCGGCCGCACTGCATTGCATTACTTGGCCAAAAGTAATCTTTTTCAGCTGCTTCTAATTGTATTGTATTGTTCTGCTTGCTGTTCACTTGTGTTTTTAATTTGTCTACATATCTGCTGCTTCTGCCTCATTAGGTTGACATTGCGATTTTATCTCTTCACTGAATGCGAATGCTCGGCATAAAACAAAACAAATTTAGAGAAGCACAATATTCCATTTGTACTTTTTTTGCAGCCAACACACTCATACAGTGCACCTTCTAAAATACGCTATTGGAAGCAAATTCCAACATCGTACATTCGAATGCATGTATCAGTGCGGACCAATTCGCTTGACTGGGAGCATGGCGTGACATGAAGCATTTGGAGAAGGTCTTTTGTACAAAAATGTCCAATTTTGAAATAAGAAGATTCTTGTTTGTTTTTTCTTTGCACTGCATTTTCGAACACACGTGATATTCCTATATAGAGTAAACCAAGTGAAATGTCAAAACAAAATGCAGGCATACATTTCTCATGTTAATGTAGGCCAGTGTGCATGCAAATCGTATATAAACAGCTTGGGCTTGGTGCCCTTTTCTCAAAAGTTCAACCCGCATTATTATAACTTTTTGCACCCACCACCCAAACTTTTATATTATTCTATTTATTTGTATATATCTTTCATTAATGAAGCTCTTCAAAAAAAGCCTATCAATGACCCAGACTACCATGCAACAATTAAGTATTTTTGCGGAGCTATGGAAGGCGCACTGTACACTTCCCTTATTAATGACGATACAACGTTTGAAAGTATCAAGTACGACATTTTTGGATATTTGATTGAAACTGAGAAGACTGCAGTTGGCAAAACACATGTTGAATTATGCAAGTACGTTCTTTATTTAAAAGATTCTAAAAGTTCTAAATTTGATTATGAAAACAACAAAAAAACATTGGTCAGGAAATTCATGAAGGATAATAATTTAAAAGAACTAAATTTGGGCTTGTATTATTCGCCATATTCAAGTGGGTCATCTACTACTACTAATAAAAACAATGTAGTATATTTTAATCTGGAGACTAAGGGTAAATAAAACAGCAGCTATACATAATTATTCAGCTATTGGACAGGGTAGTGTTTTTTTGACAAATGTTTTTTAACCCAGAAAAACTTAACTGAGCCTAGCCCAGCCCAACCCAGCACACGCGCAGGTTGTCACTTCTGAATAAGCACAAACAAATTATTACAGGCATAACAAAAAAGAGCAAAGCAGGCACGGGACAATCTTTTTTTAGTAAAAAAAGTTAACCTGGATACTTGCGCTTAATTTTATGTTGGGTGCACTTTCGGAGTTTCTTGGTTGCCTAAACCAACCGCATCGTATTGCTTGGCTTTTGATAAAATCGTTTTTTATTAAGTCCCACATATTTAAATAACACATTTTGATACTTCATGCCCCCATCTGCGCCTGACTAATAATGTTATTTGCTTAAAAATGACCATTCTGCTATTAAGCTGTATCCGTGCTGTTTTTCTTCTACATGTCAGAATATATTTTGTACTACCCAAATCTGAAGCGCTGGCATAGACGCTGGAGGTACATCTAGTTTTGAGACTTCTAAGAAGAAAAAAAGCTGGCCCCGAGTCACATTTCCTTATTCACCTTCACTTTCATGTAGCTCTTTCCCCCTCAACATGTAAACAAATATAGCTGGCATAAACATAATCCAGGTTTTAATTGTTCGCAGGGCGAGCATGACTCAGGCTCAGATCGAATTGTAATATTGGTATTAAACTAAATGTGGCCATAAATATAATCACCTATTTTTATGATCATAATTATGTGGAAAGGCCGTATTATAATATAATACGTTACTCCTGACTAATTCTGTTTTATTACTATTTTGTATTAAAATATATAGTGTCACAAATAAACATATCACATTATAATCCCCATACATTATTATGGCTGGGCTTGATAATGCTAAAATTCAACTTCAAGCGCCGACGTTGGTCACAAAACTAAAAAAGACCAATCGCAAAGTGTACTTTTCAAACCATATTTACTTTATATATTCATTTATCCCACATAATCAACATACACACATTCCATTTTTATATATTATTAAGCGACAATGGGCAAGCACGATTTCATGAGTCCCAAGGACGTGGCGAACCGTATGAAAGCCAAGGGCCTTCAGCGTCTCCGATGGTACTGCCAAATGTGCGAAAAGCAATGTCGTGACCAAAACGGCTTCAAATGCCACTGCGCGTCAGAATCCCACCAACGACAAATGAGTATTTTTGCAGAAAACCCCGAGCGCTACATGGAGCAATTCTCGCAAGAATTCGAGCAGTCCTTTATTTCAATTTTATCCCGCCGTTACGGGACAAAAAAAGTACACGCTAACCAGGTATATCAGGAGATTGTAGCCGACCGCCAGCATCTTCATATGAATGCGACCAAGTGGGATACGTTATCGGATTTTGTCATGTATTTGGGGAAGGGGGGGAAGTGCAGGGTAGAGGAGTCGGAGCGCGGCTGGGTGATTGAATGGATTGACACGAGTGATGAGGCGTTGGCGCGCAAAGCGGCGATTCTGAAGAAAGAGAGGCAGGAGATGGACGACGAGCAGCGTGAGAATAGGTTGCTTCAGGAGCAGATTGAGCGCGCGAAAAAAGCACAGATGGAAAACTCTGCACAACTGGAGGATTCGAAAAAACAGCCGGAGGCTACGGAGTTGAAGCGCGAGAGTGCGGATCAGCCGATTAAACTTGAGTGGAAGAAGGCACCTGGGAGGGGTCTTTTGGGCAGATCTACGGGGCTGATAAAGGCAAATAAGCTGACATTAAAGCCTAATCCATTTAAGATTGCGGCTGCAGCTGCTTCTGTTAGCAAAAAAGCTGAGCCGGTGGATGATAAAAGCGCTTCTTTGGGTTTGGCTCCAAAGCCAGCAGCACCCAAGAAGATATCTGCTGTTGAGGAGATCATGCTGCAGGAGCAGGTACAGAGGGAAAGGTTGAGAGACGACGACAGAGGATTTGACAAAAATACACTGAGACGTAGGTCGCGGTCTCCACTGAGACGCTGAGTGCCAAAAGCGTTTGCAACAATTATAAATTCAAAGTCTCCAATGTTTTCTCGCTATTGCCTATTCCATCAATATACTTTATATTGCTGATTTTAAACATTACTAAAAAAGAGTTGACTCGAGTGCAAAACAGGTTCTTTTGGCATCCTTCTAGATTATGTAAACCGGTTGGCCTGGCGTCTGGCAGTCGAAATCTTGTTTCCAGTCCGGTCCATATCCTGGTCCAGCTCTGTCAGCAGCTGGTTCTGCAGATCAAGCTCATTCCCAATCGCCACGCCCATCTCGCGCTGTCTCTGCAGCAGCGCACTAAAATCAGCAGCAACCTGATCCTGCTCCCGCATCCTATCCGTCTGAAGCATCAGCAATCCCTTGTTATCAAGCCCGCGGGTCTCATTGGTCTCTTGCGGCGGATTGCTATTGCCGAATATCCTGCGACTCCGAGAAACCACTCGCGACGACCCATTAGCCGCTGCCCCAGCATTGGATCCATCCTCCTGCAAAGAGCCCTTCGAGCGCCCTGTCATTGCCCCAGCATTACCATATTGATTCCTCGACTCCAAGGAAGAATTACCGTTTCCGGCTCTGCCAAGTACCCTTGTGTTATTATTATTGTCCAACGACGTGCCGCTCAAAAGCGCCGCGCGCTCGCCGCTCCCTGACATAGCACTGGTGCCCATAACGATGCGCGACAAATTAGCGCGCTCCTCCACCAGTCGCATCACCATATCCTGGCGTCTCAACACTTCGCCCGCTGTAAGCCCACCTTTGGTCTGTTCCAGCCCCTGCTCCAAAACCTTCAGGACCCGGCCTAAATCAGCCAACTGCCGTTTAGCCTGCAGCAAGCTCTGGTGCGACACAGATACTTCATTTCTCGTAAGCGCGTTCTCCCGCCGCAGTATGCTCTGCCTAACATCACGCACGATCTGCTCAGCATCGCGGTGCTCATTTAGCCAGGATGCTGGAGTCACCCAGCCCATATCGGAATCCGCCGAGCCTGTCTCTGAGCCCGTGCGCGTACTCATCTTGGGGCTGTTTTTGCCTGCCAGGTATTTGGCACCCTTGGTCACTGGCGCAAGAAACCTTTGCAGCGACGCGGATTCCCGCCACCGGCCATCTTCGCTCATTATCATACCCTGGATGTACCGCTCCAGAGCGTGGCGCCGCTCCTCGATAAACTCCAGGCTGCTATTGGTGCCACCATTGCTGCTGTTGCTGCCGGATATGTTGCCGGTGACTGTAGTGATTTTGGAAAACCACGAGGTGAGGGTTTTGGGTGGCAGCTGGAGTGGAGTGGGGGTGTTTGGGAATTCTCGGTTTAGCTCGTAGGCTAGGGTCAAAAAATCATTGTAGCGGTGCCAGACGGTCCATGAGCGCACTGGGCCTTGGACGTTCAGGGCGTATTCCACGTGGGTGTCGGGGTCTGTGCGGGTTTCGGCAAGTGGTATTTTCACATAGCGAATTTGCTCCATTATGAAGCTAGCAGCCTGGAATTAGCAGAAAAGAAAAGAAAAGAAAAAGTAAGAAGGGGGGTTTGAAAATGAATGAAAAATATTACAAGCAGGCCTGGCTAATTTGCAAAGTGTAAAAAAAATAAAAAGAAAAGAAAGAGGAATAAAGAAAAAGAGAAAGAAATTGCAGCCTTGCATTTTTTGGTGCACCTTCATTTTCACTTTCACTCTCGCCCCCACTCTCACCACCACTACCACTCTCAAACAACGTCGCACTATTTGCTTGGCCACCATGCAGGCCCCCTGCCAAGGAGGGAAGAAAATAAATTCTGATCTCGTTCAGACAGCTGGCAACTGCGACCGCGACTGCGACTTTACCTGGGCGGCCTCCCACTTAGCCACCTGTATGTCTGCCATCCGTGCCAAATAAACGTCTCTTCCAGGCACCTCCGCCAGCTCCGCCAGCGCCGGATCCTCGCTACCATCAGCAATAAAGTTCAGCTCCCGCACCTGCTCCGTCATCCGCACCATCTCCGCCTCGCTCCCACGGACCTCTGCTGCCGTCACAAAAAGCGCCTCATCCTTTTCCACTGCACTCTTGGAAATATCCACAATGCGCAGTCTCTCATTAACCGCGCGCAGCCGCCGCACGCTTCTCTCGGCCTTGGCCAGATCATGGCGTAGCCTGGTTTTCAGCAAATTCTGCGTCTCCAGCTGTCTGCGCACCCGCTCCAGCCTCGCGTCCAGCTCCGCCTCGCCCTCCGTGCCCGCCCCCACCGCTTCTGCGTCCAAAGGCTCAACCCGCCGATGCGGCATCTCCACGTAATCCTCCAACCCACTCGGAATATTAAACAGGTTGCGCAGCGTGTACAGCTCAAACTTATCAAAGTTCTTATCCACTGCGTGCTCCAGCAAAGTCTCCGCCTTATTCACCGCCTGGCTTGTCGCCTCGCTCGTGCCTTGCTCCTTCTCGACAAACTTGCTCAGCCCGTCAGTTGCCCGATACACCGTGTCATTGGCGGCGTTGATGATTTCGTCGATGAAGGAAATCGGTAGGAATCCAAAGTGCTCGACTATGAGGCTTTGCGTTTTGTCGCAGGGCGGGTAGACGCATCGGAACTTGGGCCCGGCTTGTCTGCCGGGTGTCGCGCCTGGAATTGCCTCGCTGAGGAGCTCGGCCACAGAGAGCCCGCTTTTCTTCATTGGCGTGGTGGTGACTTTATCTGCAGTCTTGGGCGGGGTTGAGGTGGATCTGGGCTCGGTGGTTTGCTGCGTGGTGGGGGTTGATGGGGCTGGGGCTGGTGCTGGGTCGCTCGGCTTTGTGGTAGTGATGCCTTGGGGGTTGACCTCCATTTCGTGGCTCTCGGACACTGTGGCTGCATGACCCGCCAGCGATACCAAATCTTTCTGCCCTGCGCTCTCCATGATTTAAAAGTGAATTTGAAGGCGAATTTGTGAGCGCGCGCGTTATATAGTGATAATTCAGGTAAGGAAATAATAAAAAAATTAAAGAAAACAATACAAAAAGAAGCACAAATTCAATTTTTTTCCTAGGCGAACCAATAAAGCTGTGCGAAAAACCACCTTTTCTTAAATCGAGCCAAGTTAAGCCGAGTCGACGCAGGCCCCAAATAAAAAAGTCACGTTTTTTTCCATCTCATTTAAAAATAAAATCTATAAAGTGTTTTCTACTTTTTGGAATTCAGCAGCGCTAACTGCCTGAGCAGCATCCGCAGCTGAATGAGCAACAATGGCCTTTGGGTTCTGCCCAGGCTTAATCACAGCAACGTAATTTGCCGGAAACAGTCCCTCGCGCCCATCCTGCATTGACCCTCGCCACCACTCACTGGGCTTGCCCCAGATATCAACCTTACTGCTGACCGCGATCAGCTCCCCGCGCCTAAAGCTCAGCTCTGCACCCGTATCGCCCTTAAAGTCATACTGTGCCTGTGCAAACTCCAACCCAACCGCGCGCATCGCCGGACCCGCCATAGCAGCAGAGGCAAAATCACCCGAGGCCAAAACTTGCTGCTGCATAGTCAACCTTCTCTGCCGCGCAGCAATCGACCGGATCACTCTGGTCATCAAGTACGGTAACCCAACAATGATGGCAAAAAACATTACCAGCGACCGCTTACTCACGCGCGATCGCCTCTCGTACTCGGCGAACCCGCCGGCATCCAAATCCTTCTTGTTGACGCTCATCGGGCGTCCGGAAATCCTAGAGACAAGTTTGCGGAAACCATCATAGGCAAAGGTTGATCCAAGAGTGCTGCCCAGGGACGTACGTAGCATGCCAAACTGGTCCATGACGCCGAGTACTGCCATGAAGGAGGAGTGGGTGGCAAAGTATGTTGACTCGAGCATGCGCGCGAAACCGCCGAATGCGCCCACGAGGGATTCGACTAGCTGAAATGTGCTGCGCGTTGAGGCGTCCAGCTGCTGTGTCAGCGACAGTGGGCCTTGCTGTCCCATTGGGCCACCCATGCCGTAACCGCCCATATTGCCGTAGCCTCCCATATTTCCGTAGTTGCCCATATTTCCGTAGCCACTGCCGTAGCCACCCCCCATTCCCCCGCCCATCCCGTAGCTGCCCACCCCATAGCCACCCATACCACCCATACCGCCGTAGCTTCCCATACCGCCGTACCCTCCACCGCCGCCATAGTTTCCATACGCCCCCGCACCATACCCGCCAGCGCCACCATTCATGCCTAGCGGCATACCGCCATTGTGCTGTGCCATATTGTCACCCGCATAAACTATTAAAAAAACAAAAGTAAAAATAAACTGTACCAAAACCATTGTTAGAACTGTATCCCTATCCCAGCTAACCAACCCGATTATAACTCGCTCTGCGTATTGCTAATCAAGGGCTTTTTTTACCTCCTGCTACGCCAGAGTCCGCGGCTGTTGTAGCGGGCATTGCTGGAGGAACCATTTCAGTTGTCCCCGTCCCTGTCCTCGTCCCTGTCCCTGTCCCTGCTGCTGGTGCTATGCCGCTTTGCTCCCAGGGTTTTGGCGGCGAAGTCATTTCCTCCCTTTTTTGTGAATTGGTGGTTCTAATGCTGACAAATAAGGTTTTTTTTAAAAGTACAAGGTGTCACAGTAAAAATAACTATAGAATAATATTAGAAAAAAGGGTTGATTTTATAACAGCAGCAATTGAAATTTAAGAAAAATTGAGCAAAAAAAGGCGTGTACATGAAGTGTGAACGAGTTATTTGAAAGCACATGAAAGCGGGTGTTTTTTTTTGGGCGGCGATGACGGGACAAAATTTAATGCGGGCTCCCATGAATTCCAAAAAAAAGTACTTTCTATTTGATTTAAACGACTCAGCTCAGCTCGACTCGAATATCTGAATCGCTTGTCAGCCAAATTATTTTTTTGCATGTGACAAAAAAAAGTGTAAAAATACAAGATCACCGCCAAAAAAAGAAAAATGATTAGGACGGACATGGAATTTCATCCCACCCCGGCCAAAGAAAAAATACATCCCGGGATATTCTTGGATCCTAAACAAACAAAACAGCACACGCCGCTACAAGTAAAATAAAATAAAATAAAACGGGTCCAGTGGCCATATGGAATACAAATAAAACCGAGTTGATTGATTTCCGCATCTTAAAAGGGAAAACATGTAATCTTTCCTTCTTGTGCATCTTACATACTATTCTTCCCCCATATCAAATTTAGGATTGCGCAGCAAAAAGAGGGGCGAAGAGAGGGGAATCTCACGGATATGATTTAAAAATAGAAATTTGGCTACAAAATATCACATCAATTTTTTTAAAAATAAAATGCACTCCTCAAGTTTTTGTAATATCCATTTTTCGTTCAGATTGTTGGCTGATCAATTCAACTACGAGGGATGTAAAAAAAGGAAATCAAAACAAATTATTCTCCGCATTTGCCGCTCTGCTACTTTTTTCTTTTATCCGAGCCAGCTCAAAAAATGGACAAATGTGTAATAATAAAAAATGAAATTGGCAAAATATATGAGGAATGACTCGATCAGCTGCAGAGATTCCACATGGCTTATCCGTATTTGATCCGTCTTTTCTCCCCTGCCAATCTGCAATTCCACAAATAATGACCAGACGATATCCGTAAACTGTAAGTGGAATTAGCAATGGCAATGGAAATGGCAAAAAAAACCCACCCCAGCGCTTTTTATAGTCTGAATTTGATAATAGGATTTCAAATAAAGAATAATGCAAGATAAAATAGTCTTAAAAATGAAATATTATGCACATGAACGCTGTTTTCCCTCTGCCCAAAAACAGCAATCAAAAAAGGCATTTGTTTCCACATTTTATTTTTCGTAGAGGGGAGAGTAGAGGGCCAAGCAGAGGCGATCTCTACCTATTCCATTTTTATTTTTAAAAAAATAGCGGTTGGAAAGATCAGGTGAAGGAATTGCAAAACAGCCAGATCGCTAATGGGGGGTGTTGGTATTTTCACTTGTTCTCCATGTTTATCGCCTGGTTTACTTTTTTTACTTGTCTTTCTGTTTTTTTCGTATCTCAGATCAAAAATTTGGATTTTCTGACCAGAAACAACATGGAAAAAAAGTTGTGCCATTATTTTTTGTTTGTTTTGCGTCTGTCCATACTGACGAATTCGAGGGGTGGTATGCAAATCATTTTCAATGTCATACCATATTTAGAATTTTTCCTTAAGAAATACCATCCCCCAACCTCCCCTCCCATGTTTGTACCTCACAGCGAATACAAAAAAAAACAGGAAGAAACAAGCACACGCACAAAGAAAAAAATTCATTCTATTTTTGACGTTGCACAAATAAAAAAAGCATGATCTCAATTCCCTCCTCCTAAAAAACCACTTGTCATATTTACCCGCATAAGAAACCCAAATCCACCCACCCCCTTCTATTTTTTTGTGGCAAGTGAAATAATTGGCTAATTTCGGCACAACCTTGTGCTTAATTGGTCGTACAGAAGAATGTAGTCATTATACGTTTTTGTGCGCATACTAAAGAAATGGTTTAATATTCAGTGTTCTGCACTTCAACTCGTAAAAAATATCTTTCTTTCTTTCCTTCATTCTTTTCCATCTCCATTCACATTATCAAACAGTCTTGTCAACCACACCTATTTATTTACCTGTAGTATTTCTTATTGTTTAGTATTCAAAGTATCAGAAAAAAGCCTTAACCGCCACACACACAGGTTCTTTCTCAACTGCTTTTATTATTTACCCCCCCTTTCAGTGTCTAAAAAGACCTGCCTTTTCATCTATATATTTATATTTTATCTGACGATCTGAGCTTTTCTCTTATTCATCATCATATATTACCAAGAGCAGAGTCAATTCTACAGTTTTTTTTGCACCTTCCTCTATCAACCAACTGGTAGTTTCTACTGATAGACTATTATCACACCTATTGTAAAAAAATCACTTTTTTTCCATATCTTCACTTGTTATTTTTTCTTATAACAAACAAACATTTTTATATACCTATATTCCTATGAACGCGTTTCAAAACTTTGAACTCACACAGTTTGCGCCCAAAAACCCATCTTCTCCCGAAGAGAGCAGCTCCAGGCAGCAGCAGCACCAGCAGCACCAGCAGCAATATTCTCAACAAAGCTATGATTATCAGCAGCACCATTATCAACAGCAATATTCTTACGTTCCAGGGTACCAGTTTTCCACAGATCAATCCCACCAACAGCAACAGCAACAGCAACAGCAACAGCAGGGTCAGAGTCAGGGATCTAAAAACCACCCGTCGTTGCCCTCAGGATCGCAACTAACACCAGCAGATTCTTCTTTCAACCTAGGGTCACCGGATTCCAATATGAGCGAGTTCACATACGCCGCCCAGCCACCAGCGCCGCCCACATCATCGGCGCCACTGGTCAACTACACTACAGACACATACGCGCTCGAAAGCCCCTCCCACACGCCAATCTCTGCATTCTCGCAATACCCGTACCAGCAGCACCAACACCAACACCAGCATGGCTTTCAGAACGGCAGCTCGTCGGCATACAATCCGTACCCATACCAGATTCCAAGCCACGCTCATCTCAGTCAACAGGTTATGCAGCCGCCTCCGCCTGGGATAGCAATTAATGACGCTCCTGTTGTGCCAATGTCGCCCTCACATCAGCTTAGTGGCAGATTGGACGCAGGCGATGCGGTGGAGGGCGCGACACAGGGCGGACAGCAGAAAAAGAAGCCGCCGCGTAATAAGAGCAAGTTCAAGCGCTTCCGAAATGCTTTCATTTATTTCGTCAATGACCAGAGGTAAGAAATCCATTATTTCCAATTTTGTTCTTGCTGTGCAGACCAATACGTCATTCCGTCCCTCCTCCCACGTCGCTATTTCCATGCGGCTCTTGACCAAATAGTGCGAGAGATGTATCTTTATGCCGCCTTCGGGTTTTTCGAAATGTGACATAGCCGAATAATGCATCATGCGACATTCTATTATTGTGTCATTTTAACGCAAAACTGCATGCATGCAACATATTAACAATTGCAAGTTTTTTTGGATGATCAATTTCGGCCTATTGATTTTTCTTGTTTGTAGGGACAAGGTGGATGATGACACCAAGAAGCTCAAGAACCGCGAGTTCTTGCAGCTGATGAGCGCGCGGTGGAAGACCATGTCCGAAGAAGAACGCGGGCCCTACGTCAGCCTCGCCGAAGAGGACAAGAAGCGCTTTGAGGAAGACGTCAAAAAATTTGGCAAATACGAGTCCCGCCAGCGCCGCTACAACAAGGGCCGCGCGAACGGAAAGGCCGCGAGAGCCCACGATTCCGAACCATACACTATTCCAACAGCAGTCGACGGCAACAAAAACGACCATTCTTCAACTTATGGAATTGCGGGCAAGGATGGTGTTGAACTCGCATACAGTTTTGACGGTAGCATCAACGATGCGCGCAGTACGATGAGCCCTGCTGTACAGGTTGCTGGTAATGCGCCGCCAATCCATCAGTTCTACACAGGTGGGATCCAGCCTGTGCCTTCGCCGGCCGCTATGGCGGCAGTTGCCGCAGCCACAGCCAGCTGGCAGGGCAACCACTACGGGAATATGATCAACACAGCTGGGACTGCCGCAGGGATCCAGCATCAGCATCAGCAGGTGTCTCTGCTGAACACTCCCGACACGATGCTTCACAGGAGCACAACCCCCAAAGTCAACCCATCAAACAACAGCATCAATAACAGTGGCATCCAGGCGCCATTTGCTGACAATGGGTACCATTGGACCGAGACGGGTGCAAATGTAGCCGGCGATCTCCCCAATTCTGTCAGCGGGCTGGCCGTGGCGTCGATGGGCCAGGGCACCGCCAAATACCATAACAGTTACCAGCCAGCTCATCCATCGGCTTCTCCCGCTAGCTTCATGCAGATCCCCGCCGGTCTTCCTATCTCTCATTCGCTGACCGAGCCTATGCTTTTCTACGGTGGTCAGCACACTAACAACAACCAGTGCATATCGTCTGACACTAACACGGGCAATGTGTGAGATAATGGTGTTTTTTAAGGAAGAAAAAGTGCCTTTTGTCAATAATAACGTTCTTTTTTCTTCATTTCTAATATTTTTATATTTCTGTAGTAGTTCTTTATTTCTCTCTTCTCCTTTCTCTTATTTTTCATTGTTTATACTATATATATATTTTTTATTGAAAAGTACTTTTCTAACATTTAAAATACTTAGTTGGGCTCACGTGTAACTCCCCCCTAAATAATATAAAAGCTATTGTCATTGTTGGGTTTTTGCGCTACTGCAGGGAACAGTGATATTAAAAACCCTACCCATTGTCATTAATCCCACTTTCAAATTCTTCAAAAATTTAAATTCATATCAAAGACGCTCCCCTCTTTCCTCTCCCCTCCTTAAAACACAAGCTTCAATACTCGTATTTACATTACCACTTCCCCCCCTCCCATGAAACCGCAGTATGCCGAACGTCTACCGGTCCCACAGCGTACAGTGCTATCAGTAGAATACCCGGGTTTTGTCAAAGATACTGAAAAGGCCATTCAGTCAATCGGCGGTCGCGAAAAGCTCGCACGCGATGTCGCCGAAGACGTCGGAGCGCAAATTGAACTACGCTACCGCTACAACGACCCAACATCGCACCCGATCAGTGGCGAAATAGTTGCCACAGAAAACCTACTAATCAAAGTAACCAGGCACATCAAAAAGGTTAAAGGCCGACCACTAGATGGTACTGAAAAATCCATCCAGACTTCGGCGCAGATCATCGGGATTATTGAGAAAACCGCCCGGTTTCGGAAATTGGCTGATTTTCAATATGTTATGCCGAGGAATGATCCGTTGACTACCTTGACGCGCGTACTTCAGGGGATGGATCTGGAGGAGGCTAAGACTCTAGGGAGAAGCGATACTTTTGAGGGCAATCTGGATGTCAGCAGTGCATATATTCCGGCACCATTCCTTGACCGCGCAGGATGGCCGGCACAATTCCCATTAAAGGCCGCAAGCGAAGCCCAGCAGCCCCTGCAGGAGGACGAAGCAAAGGAGACAGAGAATGATAATAAAAAGGCTGCGGTTGCGCGCTATAAACTGGCATTCCACGGAATTACAATCAAATTCAACGCACCAAATGTCCCTACGGAGCCCAGCCCGGAGGCCCTGGAGGATCAGGCGTTTATTCCGCAAAGAACCTTGGACAAGGCCAGGAGAATTATAGAGGAAAACCCAGTTGTCGGCCGTAATGTCATGGAAATCCTGCTGCCTATTTCGGAGCGCGGCGGAATCAAAGTCAGTATTATCATGTCCACTATGGCATATATTATGGAAACCGGACCGTGGCGCAGCTGCTGGATTAGATTCGGCTACGACCCGCGCACAGACAAGGAATCCTACAAGTACCAGATCCTGGACCAACGCCGCGTGCACACAGCAATATCTGGCGGCCGCCCCCGCACCGGCCGCCCGCGCGGTGCCCCCCAAGCACAGAGCGAACCCGGATCACGCAACGCCGTCCAAGCGCAGAAATACATCTTTGACGAAGAAACTGCACGCGAAGGCGTTTCCGGAATGTTCCAGTTCCGTCATATAGAACTGCCAATGATAAGGCAACTCATAGAGTATCCTGCCGGTCGGCGAAAGAGACCGTGCGAAAAATCCGGCTGGCTGCAGCCCTCAGTGCTCAATACGATTCGCGTAAAGATTCGTATACTCCGCAGGTTTTTCGAAGAGGGACTTGCTGAGTATCCAAAGGAACTCCAGTCTGTGGATTATTCTGAGTTGGATAAACAGATAGAGATGGATCGTCAGGCGGAGGATGCTGTTTTTGCTACGGAGCTGATGTTGAGGGAACGGGAGGAGAGCTCGCTACGTGGCCAGGCGACACAGGATACTCGCGACCGCGTCAATGCTCGTGTGGACGAGTTTATGAAAGAGCTTGGAACCCAGAACCACCCGGGTGCTGCTGACGCAATAGCCGACGTGTATGACTCTGATATGGCCGAGTTTGATATTTACGGCGAGGAGAGCGATGACATGGATAGCGACACCGGGGGATTCGGAATATGAGGTGTGTGTGTGTTTGAGTGAATCCAGCATAAGCATAGAGGTTTGAGCAAAGATTCCTAAAAAACAGGTTTTTTTAAATAAAAAATATTATTGTTAAACGAAACCAAGGTTTATATATTTTACATTTTGCAAAGACTGTCGATGATAGATTGCAGCGAAGTTGCCATTGCAGATTTATTTGTTGACGTTCCGCCTCGCCTCAAAGCAGCCGCCGCGCTCAATTTCATGCTATTATTGCCACCACTGTCTCCCACGTTATCATCAATCATCGTGTGCTGCTGCGAATAGTTTCGCGCCGCCATAGCCAGCCCACCAATGAGACCACCAAATCGCTGGTTGACAGAATCAGAAACGCGGATAAACTGCTGTATATGCGAAACAACCAGCGACGTGTTTCGGCCAGGCAACTGCTTAAGGATCAACTCCCGACCATCAGCAGTCCTCTCACGCATCAAAAATCCCAAAAGCACCGAAATATATCCCGCAGCAATTGCCGCATCAGCACTATTGCTAGCAGAAGAATGACACGCAAGGAATGCCTGGGTCAACAGAATGGTCAGCGGCTTTCTGTCCGCGCAGGTACACTCGGGGAAGCACCGGTCACTGAGGGCACATTGGGGACTCTGGAGAACGTGACCAAAGTACAGCGCTGTAGAGGGATCTGACTCAACAAGGTTTGTCAGCATAGCGCTGGTGATCAACAAAATATCATAACGCAGGTCACCAGCTTCATCGAGCAAAGCCTTGCGTCTAGGCGAAAAATCACATGTTTTCTGTTGGTGTGCAGACAGCATCACGTCAGGGCTGCTGATTTTCTGAGAAACCAGCGCAATACTCTTGGAGACCACATCCAAGCCCTGCTCAGCGATAAACCGCGCACAGAACACAGTGCTGCTGTTAGATATGTTGACAAGCAACTGGAGTGTCAGCGCCGCTGTTTCCAAAGCGCGAATCAGACGTGCACCTTGCAGCCGTGCGCTCGATTGCTGGCAGACGGTCAGCAGAGACAGCAGGATGGGCACACATGTGTCGATGCCGAGCATCTCGTCCTGGTTTTCATCCGAGGCTGTTGTGCAAAACCGCAGAAACTCCAATTCAACAGCAATAGACGCATACGTTGGAATGGCCCCGTCCGGTTCCTCTTGCAGCGCGTGTCTCGTGCCGCCGCCAGTGCGAAAGCTGCCCACTAACTGACTGTTTACGGTGTGTGTCTGCCGACCAGTTGATGCTGTTGTTGTTGTTGTTGCTGCTTCTTTGCTGCTGCGTGCACGTCTGGGGGGCACCGCAACAGGCATATTTGAAAGGTCCTTAGACTCCTCCGGCAAATCAAAGTCCATCCACAGGTCGTCGGCCTCACCGCCCTTAATGCCACTGGCAGCAGAATCTGCACTACAACTGCCAAACAACAGCACGCGCTTGCTGCCAGGGAACGCGCGGGATGTGCATATGTCATCGAATGCTGAGTGCGTTTTCGCGGTCTTAGACGCCTGACCATGCATCTGGATAAATCCAGGAATGCTCTTGGACAGCACGCGCTCGATAACCAGTCCCAGGCAACCTGACTCCCGCACCTCGCTGCGCAGCAAACCGGCCATCGCGAGAAACGCCGCGTCGTCGTTGCGAGTAAATCTGTGAAGGGCACTCAGCGCGAGGTTGTATGTAGACAATGTTAGCGATTTGCCCAGTAGCTCGCGCTCGCGGGACAGCCGACACATTTGCGAAATGCAAGCATATTGCTCAAGGCTGTCAAAGTCACTGCGACGACGAAGCGATAGGATATCCGAGTCCACAGTCAGCTTTAGGACCTCTGCGACAGTCTCCAGCACCTGGCGCTCGAAAACCAGCGTCTGCATAGTTGTAGGGGTGCTGAAGGCAGTCGCAACCACGATCATAGTGGCCGACAGCGCCAAACCGCTGCCACGTGCCCTGTGTAGTGCCTGGAGCAGCATTGGCAGCCATTGCCTGTTGCTTAACAGCTCCTCGCAAAACGATGTCTGGTCGAGACCGTCCACTAGCAGCTGGCATGCGGCATCTAACGACTCATCGCTCGAGCTGGCAGAGAGACCCTTGATGATGTCCCCTAGCTGCCGTTTAAATCCTTCTGCCGAATACAAACTACATCCGCCGCTGCCGCCAACACCGGAAGGATCGACAAGATCAAGCAGGTGGCCACTCGTAGCTGCAGCTATTCTAGACCGCTTGGAGGCTGCATAACCGCCTGCCCTCGCGTGCAAGTCCTCGGACATATCAATGTCATTACTGCTCATTGGGCCAGCAAAGTCAAGAAGTGGCTGCGAAACCACTCCTGATGTCGTCGGCAAACCCAGCCTTCGACTAAAAATGTTGTCAAGCTCATCATCAGAATCGCCATCACGAGGGCGGCCATATGTGAACACTACGTTTCGTCCAAGGGCACGGTCTTGGAGCCGCTTCAAAGTTGCCGAAGATGGTCCTTGGGTTGAATAAAGTTGATGCTGGGCCCCCACCTGAGCTTTGGGCGTGCAGACCAGAGATGTGTTTATGCCTGCAATGTTGGTTTCATTGTCGCTGTCACTGGTGCTTTCGATCGATTCCTCGCGACTGCTCGGTGGCACTGCTGTGGTCTTGGTGCGACTAGACCTTCGGACAGAGTCCCTGGGCTGAGACAAAGCAATGGTGCTTAACACAGACTCATGCATATCCCACACACCGTTATCATCGTCGCCAGCTAAAATTGCAGACTCTCTCGCTGCACTGCCAGACAAACAAGAGCTAGTGCCGTTGCTACGACTCCCTCGCTGCTTAGTGGAACCAATCGTATTAATGCTTCGCACGCGCTTCAGCGGCGCAGTATTGGGGTTTGCTTTTGACAACGGCGCAGCTCTGCTTCCTGCGATGATGTCAGCTTTTTCAGGCGCAGTAGCCGTTGTTAGTTTGCTGTTCAAAATCGGTAGAGTCTTTGTCAGTTTAAAGTTTGACCTTTCCGCCCTCGGCGCTGACTCGAGCGCAACCTTAAACGCTGTTTGCCGTGCTGTCCTCTTGGTAGATGCCGAAGCGGCCCTGGAAGCGGATTTTCCAGTCACAATAATATCAGTGTTGTCGCGTAATATCCGCCTGGTTTGCTGAACAGGCTTTGCTTCTCTCCTGTTAGTGTCAGCTGCCGGACCCACGCCATCGCTACCACCAACGCGACTCTCACCAATGTCAACTATGTCCCAGCTGTCTTTAGCTGATTCAAGTAGTGCGTGCGACGTGGACGGCGGCGGATTGCCGGCATCTGCAGCCTTGGTGCTCTCATACAGAAATTCCAATTTTGTCATTGCTGACTGTGCAGTCCTGTGAGTCCACAGGTTCCCGGCTGCTGGTCCAGCCCGAGCTGCCTCCGTATCGGGCTTGTCCCTGACCAGCGCGCTTGTAAAGCCCTTGTTGCCAGCAAATACGCCACCATCACTATCTCCAGTCAAATCGCTGCTTGTGTCACTGTCATCGTCCGCGTTTCGGGCGGGCGATGATATTGACGGAACAGGAAGCAGCGCTCTGGTATTGTTGGCAGGGGATGTATGCGACATAACAATTCGACGCGCGGCCATAGCCTTTCGGCCATATGTCGCAGCAGCCACAGGCTTACGACGAATGCTCGAGAATGGGTCCGACATTTAGCGTGCGCATGCAAAAAAGATAAATGAATAAATAAATGATAGCGCGGAAATTGAGGTGCTTTGGAAGAAGAAAATGAAGTTGTCGTTTGCTATTTTTTCGCAGTCGCAAATTTAAGTTTTGTTATGTTTTCAAAATTTCTACGCGGTTCATAAAAATACATTTGGGGATTGTAGCCACACGTGACTATAAGGGTGTGTATATATATTTTGTGAATAATCAAAAAAACGCTGCCCACTCGTAAACAGTTCTTCTGGCTCGAACAAAAACAACAATTGGAACCGCCGCGGCTCTCGTTGCTGAATATAATTTAAATAACTCAAGCAACATTTTTTAAAAAGGAAAACAAGGTCAAACCAAGACTTGAGTTTTGCCTGTATTATTGGACTGGCGGCAGCTTTTAAGCAACAGAATACTTTGAATTTGGGTTTATTTAAAGCTGAAGGGCACCTTTGTAAAATCAACCGTTCAAAGTTTGCCAAATCAAAACATGTATGCTTTTTTCGCATGCTTGTAAAACACTGTTAACTGCCTTTGTATGGACGTTGGTACGGGGAGTAAGACAAGCAGGAGAGAAACTAGATACATTGAGCCAAATATTTGGAAGACAAACGATTAGATAAAAGCAGATATATCATTTTCATTTATATAAATCACAGCCTTCGGACTAAAAAATATTTTCTCTTATCTTCCACTCATTATATATTTATTATTTGTTAATATAAACCATTAAATTATCTTATCAATAACTTCATTCTGCAAAGCATGTGTAAAAGCGAAATCAACGAGTTTCCATTCATGGGGCATGGCTTTTATTTTAAAGTTGGTAACAAAAATATTATTCGTGGACATAGAGGCGACTACGTTGGATCACTTTTAGAAAATTTAAGATCAGAGGGCTGTACAGACAATACTCTTACATATTACTATCACCGTCATCTTCATTTAAAATGGAAACAAAGGTGCGTGGAAAATACACTAAATTTTGAGGGCTGTTTGACAATAGATAAAAAGAAACATGAATTGAGTTTACGGACTACATAAAACAAATACACACTTTCAAGGTATAATTGTATCAAAGAGGGTGTGATATCGATGTTTTGAGGACTAAATGGTACAGCTTGCATTAGACCTCGTTTGTTATTTACTTTAGTAATTTAGCTTTTGGTCAGATTTTGGCTTTTGGGTTTAATAAATACATTTTAAATTTTATTTCCGTTTTAATTTCAATTTGCTTTCGTGGCTGAACCAATTTATATACCACCACCACTTCTAGGTCATCTGTCAAAATGTGGTTGTTGTGCACAAAGCTTTCAAGGGTACCTACGAGCTGTTCCCGTTTAGTTTTCTGTTGATTGGCCATTCTAGCACGGAAGAGCTGGTGAACCTTATAGATGCGCGTTTTTCACTTAAAGCTTTATAGGCCTTTGCACAATCTTTTGAAAAAATACGCGCATACAGAGTAATAACAAACTTAAAAAATAGTTTTACCAGTGCATTTTCAGCTTTGCTGAGCGTACCAAGTTCAAGCGGAAACCTCATCTGAATGCCTGGGGTAGTACAAACTATGTGACTAAGGGGGTAAAAACTGCATTCATCATCCACATCTCCCACCACTTTAACGAGAACATCCAGCAAATGTTTAATGTGGTTTTGGATGTTAAAGGCCAAATTGAAAACATAAAGGAGAACAATGAGCAGAAAAATATAAAAGTAAATATTTATTTTTGAGCCAGCTGGGCTATAGATAATTAAAATTAGCGCTGCTTTGTTGCTATAGTATTTGTAATTAAACTCGGGAGCCATTACATTAAAAACAAGAAAATGGTTGTGACCCTCACAATACATGGCAATTTCAATTGCACAATTGTTCTGCTATTATGCTTGTTGTTAACAATTGTCCTCAGTCAAAATAAGAGTCGTAAGACAGAGCTTAATATATATCTGCAAATTAAACAAAGAAAATAAAGAGGGTATGCTCACTATAGCAAAGTAATATATATTGCCAATTGACACAGTCAGGATTTAACATTTATTGTTGCTTCTCAAAAACAGTGTACAATAAACATATAAAAACAGTAAGGTCCCTTCTTTGGTGGTCTATAAATACTTAAATTATTGGCATGGTCAATGTTATATTGTCAATGCCCATAAAATTCAGAAATGTGCAACCTGCAAATATGCAATTAGTTAAATATATTTCTTGTCAATAATAATGTAAGACGGCTGATTTTAATTTTAATTAATAATAGATGGCAAGTCTGCATGCGCACGGGCACGCCTATTTTTAGCAAGCCTAAAGGCTTGCCTTTGTAAATTAACTGCTCAATGAGTAAAATAAACGAGCGTACAAAAAGGCATTATCCACAGCTATTACAGGTATACAAACCAACTATGCTACTGCTAGGCACTTTTCTTTTTCTATTCCTTTTCTAATTATTTTAATAATACTACTTTTTTATTACCGTCATTTATTTTACTAAATTACACATCATGGGGCTTCCATCATCCAAATCTGGTTTTAATTTTCGTCCAAGGGGTGAATTTAAAAAACTTTCGGGTGGGTTTATAAAATGCCACAAAACCGGCACTATTGACTCGCTGTTAAAGTTTTTACAGGCGCTCAACATTTTGGGTAAAATTAGAAAATTTAAATTTTATGATAAAACATCAGAGTTGGAGATGAGTAATATTAAAACTATTAAAGATTTGTTTGTTAATACTAATGAAAAATTATTATTATAAGCTTTGAGGATAATAATAATTTTAAACATATTTATAGGCTCTTCTGTCAGAAATAGCACAAAATATATCAATAACAATACTTTGGACCTATAAGCGGGAATTATCATTTATTGTTTTAAATAGCTTTACTTATTTTGATGTTGAACAATAAAAACCACTGAATTGCACACACCAAAGCAATTGCAAAATGCTCAAGCATTGGCAAGGCTTACGCCTTCATATTTTTTAGTCTATGACGTGCTTGATTATTGCGGATATCGTTTTTGATTTTGCACACAGCCCTTTAAATCTGCCAGTATTTGCTAGTGTGGATCTCAGTTTGTCCATCGGGTTGACACCCATTTTTCTTTGTAGTATATCACTGGGGTATGCGTAACTCGTCAGCACAAAGCGCGACAACGCTTCAATTTTTTACAAAGGTTGAGCGATTTTGTAAATCACACGTACACTCAATCAGATGGAAATACCAGCACGTCAATCTGCCTCTTTGTCAACTCGTTGGTCATTGTCTAACAATCGCGGAATTTCTGTGAAGATAATGTTGTCTTTGCTTTTTTTTAAAAAGGCTGCTGATTGAATCCTACGTTAAAAGATACCAAACTGTTTACACAATCTTTTCAATATGTCGTGCATGCCTCCAATTAGAATATCGATTAGAATATCAGATTATTGTCACGGAAAGCTCATCCTGAATGCCGCGATTATATTTTCTAGTTAGAGGGTGTGGAGACTCCAGCCGCGCAAATCTTCGGCGAGACAACGTCTGCAGACAAATCCATTTCTGGAAAAATAAAACAAATGACTACGACAATGCACTTAATTGCACTCATTGTCAAGGAAAATTTGCCAAAAGGCAAGCAGCGAACTGCAGACGAGGCACAATAATATAAATACCGAGGTTGCTGGCTCCAAATACAACAACACAATTCAAAACACCAACGCATCAAACATCCTCGATCCCTCCCCCCGACCACTCGTCTGTTTTGGTCCGTATCTCTTATTAACGCCTTTCTTATAAATACTTATTCGCCTTAGCCGAACCATGCTTTTTATGGAGATCACAGTATCCACCATCGGACTCCTCGCAGCGCTGCCCACTGCGCTTGCCGTCTGGCCCATTCCCCAGGTCTACGAGCAGGGTTCATTCAACAGCCAAGCATCGCGAGTCACCATCAAGGCCAAGGGAAACATCGGAACCATTGCCAACTCTGCCATCCAGCGCTACAACACCATCATCAACAACGAGAGCTTTACTGCCCCTGTAAACTACAACCAGGGCGTTGTCAAGACCAGCGGCACATTCAGCGGCCTTGAGGTTGTCGTCGCCGATTCTTCGGATAAATTGGATTTGGGCACTGATGAGTCCTACATCCTTGATATTCCCGTCAACGGCAAGGCAACGTTAAATGCCAATACACCCTACGGCATTGTTCGCGGCCTTGAGACTTTATCGCAGCTGGTTTTTGCCAATGGCAAGAGCAAGGCCATCCATAACACACCCATCCACATTGCGGATGCGCCCTTATTCCCTCACCGCGGTATCCTTTTTGATAGTGCGCGCAACTACTTTTCAGTAAAGTCTATCCACCGCATTCTTGATGCCATGTCATTCAACAAGATGAACGTTCTGCACTGGCACGTTGTTGACGCCCAGTCTTGGCCCATCGAGTCGAAAACCTACCCTGAGCTGCACGCCAAGGGGGCCTATGGAGCTGACATGCAGTACTCACACGATGATGTCCGTGGAATTATTCAGTACGCAAAGGAGCGCGGAATCCGAGTAATTCCCGAGTTTGATGTTCCGGGCCACACCTACATCGTCGGCGAGGCGTTCCCCGAGCTGATGAGCTGCACAAACAAGCAGCCCAACTGGGACCATTTTGCCGCAGAGCCTCCTAGCGGCCAGCTTAACATTGCAAAACCCGAGACAATCGAATTCACTAAAAACCTGTTCACCGAGTATACCAAGCTATTCCCCGACAGCGTGTTCCACCTGGGAGGCGATGAGGTCAACCGCAACTGCTGGAAAGAAGATTCCTACGTTCAAGAATACCTGGCAGCTCACCCCGGAGAGGATGTCGAGTCGCTCTTGACCAGCTGGTACTCTCAGGTTCACAATCATCTGGCCAGCACCGGCAAGACTGCGTACACATGGGAGGAGACTTTGTTCCACACCAGCTACACGCCATCCAATGAAACCATAATCCAAGCGTGGATCGACGAGCAATCTATTCAAAATACTGTTGCCAAGGGCTACCGCGCCATTGCCACACCCTCCTCGTCCTACTACCTGGACTGCGGCCATGGTTCTTGGCTACCTAACTCAGGTAGCAACTCGTGGTGTGACCCGTTCAAAACCTGGATGCATGTCTACAACTTTGACCTGCTGGCCAACATTACCGATCCCGCGCAGCAAAAGCTTGTTCTCGGCGCCGAGGTTGCCCTTTGGGCTGAGCAGAGCGATGAGACTGTGATTGACGGGCGCCTGTGGCCTCGTGCCTCAGCCATGGCTGAGACTGCCTGGTCAGGCAGGTCCGACTCTACTGGTCATGTCCGCACTACCGGCGAGGTTGCGTCCCGCCTTCATGAGCACCGTTTCCGCATGGTTGGCCGCGGAATTAATGCCGAGCCCATACAGCCCTTGTGGTGCGCTCGCAACCCAGGTGCCTGCGACCTTCCATGAGCTGTTGTTGTATTCTCATTTTAACTAGATATTTTTAACATTTTATTTTTTTACCAATACATGCATTGTGTGTTTTGAGTTTTATAATTGCTGTGCTTGTTCTGGTAAAAAAAATTATTACACACATACAAACAAAAAGTTCAAGCACAACCTTTTTTATTTACTGAAAAACGTGTAGTTAAAAAAGTGGTGTATCTATTACACATCATGCTCTGTGTTACGCAAAAGACCGCGTGTTCATTCGCTTAATCTCGTCAATAAAAATATTCGGGATGTCCTGCGGAATGGGCAGTTTTAGGCGCAAGCATGACATGTAGAACTTTGCGTTTGGCACAAAAAAAATTTCGCCGTTGGCTTTGCGGTTTTTGTTGAACTGGCGGCAGCGGATGTTGGCAAACCAATACTTAAATTTCCGCTCACTGATCTCATCTACCGCTAGCTGACCCAACCGATCTTCCTCGCTGGGGAATGGAAAATGTATGTTTTTGATAAGCCACCTGTAAAATTCCATTTTCTGCATTCTCGATATGGAGTTGCGTGGCTGACTCTTCCAATTTGAAATTTCGTTCATATTATCCGCGAATTCCATGCTACTAATCCCATTGTCACTACTGTTGTTGTTATTGTTATTGTTGCAGTTTAATAAGGAGATATCACTGCCACTGAGCAGCATGTTTCGGAGGTTGCCGTTAAATCCAAAATTGTGGTTGAACAAGCCGGCCGGAAATGTATTTGTTCTATTTTGCATGCAATTGCCTGGGTTGTGCAGGCTTGTTTGACTCAGACCAGAACTTGTCAACGGAAAGGTCGAGGAGAGCTTTCTATCGTACTGAATTCGCGGATGCAAGCTCGAATCCTTAAAGAACTTTTTTTCTGTGCAAAATGGAATCCGACTTGACAGTGCCGTATCCGAGGCCACCCTGGCAATGCCAAAGGCGGATTGTGGCTTTTGATCCGTGTAAGGCGGACTCGCCTTTGGAGGAGATATCAACGGCATGTGCAGAGGCGAGTGCTGAGACCAGCAAAGGTCGAGTGAGTGGTGGTTCTGCTGGTCATAAATATCACTTTGACTTTGCGACTGGTCTTGCGACTGGTCTTGCTGTGCATACAATACATTGGACACAGTTTCAGAATCGCTATCAGCGTCAGGATTGGTGCCAGTACCCATCGGTGGGAAAGGTTCCAAGTTTGCACCTGGTGTCTGAAAGACACCCATCGCTTGCAGGTTGACAATTGTTAATAGTCTTTCGAGAGCAGAGTCCTTCTTGGTCTGGTCGTAAATGTTTGGCCCAAGAGCTATGTTTGAATTAATGGCTTTCTCTTGAGCTGTTGAATTGGTGGGTGCAGCGCGCATGCTCCCGACGTAATTACTAAATTCCACCGTACCAGGCGCTGGTCGTGTACCGGATATGGCCTGGGTGTAGGCTGAAGAGGCTTCCATCGATGCGCTCAGAGTAGGAGAGGATGATCCAAGCATTATATTTTTGAAAAATTGAAAACAAAGCGAGTCTACAGTTATTAAAAAATTTTGGGAGAGAGAAATGACAAATATTTAAAGCGTGAAAGCGAAAATATACATGGCTGGGCTTCCAATAGCACCGGCAGTTGACTTTGTCATCTCCTGGTCAATGAATTTTTCTGCCATCCTTTGGGCTTTGAAAATTTAAGCTTTAAGCTTTTCACACAAATAAAACTAAGGAGAAATTGTAAAAAGGATATGTCGGTTAAAAGACAAAGGGAAATGCGGTTTTCCGGTAAAGATGTAAATAAAATTAGAATAATCACAGGAAATCCGAAATCTGCCTTACTACTTTTGCATGCTAACATATGCTCAACGAGCTAAAAAAGACAATAGAGACAAGTACAAAGCTATAAATTAATTAATGGTTTTTAGATGGTCACCTGCAGGTATATCAAAATAAAAAAGCAGTACCGTTTATTGGCACTTACAACAACTGATTAGCACTAGCAACCACAGCCAACCGTGCAAGGGCAGAATCACGTAGAAAAAACCACAGCGCTCGCCCAATCACTCAATCACTTGCCCAATTATGTCTCATTTTGTTTGTGCGCGGCCGCTCACTTGGAACTATAGTCACAGAAATTATACTGCCAAAAAATGGCTACATGCAAAGTACCGCCACCATTTAAAGATTATTCCTGCCAAGATGGACGACAATAAGGGTATATTACTCTTTATGAAATATGATGATTCGATCGTTCCATTTTTATTCCTTTGTATAAAGGGCTGTGCGCTCTGCCTTAATCACCTCCCAAATCAACGAGTTTGTAGCAAATATTTTTTTGGTACATTCTACCATGTATCATTTTTCCATATTAATTCTGAGGACATGCACCAGTGCGTCGCCATTATCTGATATTGCGTTTGGGGATGTCGCATTGTTTGAGCATGGCTGAAGCTCAATTGATTCTGAGCGCTCACAATGGTTTCGTTTACGAAAGCGAGCACGTATTTAATTTAAAAAAAAAGTAGACGCAAAGAGAGACAATTCGCTGCTACTTCTTCCAAATTTAGTGGCATCTGTCTTCCGATTGTCCTCCCAACTTTCTACTTTTTGCACTGCACCAAACAATAAAAATGCGCACTGTCACTTCATGTCTTGCGTATTCTGAGCCCGCTCTGGTAAATATGCGCTGACCAATCACAATCAATGTCAATGTTGTGCGCGAGAAATTCGCGTCCAAAACCAGCTTTGCAAGTTAAAGTTGTAAAAAAACACAAATACAAGCACAGATGCGGATATTCGCTGTGCAATCCCCACCATCCCTTTCAATTCCCCGACTATACAGTGATCGCTGTTGTTTTATTTTGGCTAATTGTGCTGCAGAATGACAAAAAAACAAGCAAATTTTGCTCGCAATTATTTTCTCAAACTCTTTTGCTTTTCTTTTCTTTGTTGCTTTTTATTTTATTTTAAACCTTAAACAGGAGTTATTTTATCAACTTTATATACACGCCTCATACCAACAGCTCTACACATCAAAAGCATTGCTGACGCACACGCACATACATATAAGCACGCACGCGCTGGTCAACGATACAGTTTTTCTGACACAGATATAATTTTTTTTAGCTCACTTGTAGCATATTTTTTTGCAGCTACTGTTTGTCTGAGCTCTCCAGCTTAGTTTTTTTACTTTGTTTTTTTACGGTGGTCCCCCTTTCTCACCCAGATCTTATTTTTTGCTCTACTTTCACACGCTCACAGCATAGTGTCTGCACTCGATTACGTTTTCTCGCTGTGGCCATATCCGCCAATCTCTGTTTTTTTATTGTTTCCTCTTTTTTGCATTGTAATTTCTTACCTGCGAGCAGAAATTCACGCGCTCATTGTATTTTTAAATTCGCATTATTATTTATTCTATTGAATCGATAGCAAACAGCAAACACACACCATCGCCGTGCACACGCATCGTTTGAATATGATAGCACCCGAAGGAATTCGCGATGGTCGTTACTTTGCAGAGGCATTGTACACTTTCGCTGGCGAGGGCGTCGAGGACCTGCCATTCAAAAAAGGTAACGTATATCGTTTACGCATAGACACATGTTCATTTAGGACGGCGAGTAAACGGTGACAGCAATACCATCAAAAAAACTAACGCAAACATTATGTTTCTTTAATACTACACGCAAACGTAAATCGAAAATCACAAATCATTGATGCTTATGCTCTGTAGGCAACCTGATCGAGGTTCTGGACTGTGGTAAGTACTATCACAGCTCATCTTTAGGACAGAGACAGAAGTAGCAACGGAGCTCAATTCTTAATATAGCGTATACACACTGCTAATTTGTACTTTGTGGGTTTTTGTGCATTTTAATAGCCGACGCAAACTGGTGGCGGGGGAAGATCACGGACACGGATGAGGATGGGCTATTTCCGGCCTGTCTAGTAAAGTTCACGTAAGTAATCCAGGAAAGGCAGTTAAATTTGTTCACATCACGCAATGCTTTTGTATGAGCGTGGGGGGACATATTCTAAATACGTATGTGTATACCAATTAGGGTTGCTACTTCGTTTGTAATATTCCCCTCGTTTTTTGATCCCAGCGAACAAATCATTTACTGCGCGCAACATTCCTCTTCTATATGGTACCTCTATAACACCAATTATGCGCGTAGTAATCCCTGAATGTGGGTTTGCTTCTACGGCTCTCTCAATCTCTAGAGGCTACTGCATTATGCGTACACTATCGTCTACTGCGCTCATATTTGGAGCAGATTGCGTATTTGTACAAGTGATAATGTGTGATGAGAGTGCATCATGCCATTCCATTTTACGCCCCGTCGACTATGTATGTCCATTTTCATAGATGTACTAACTGCTATTCCTTTCATTACAAACACAATGCCATTGTTAATCATTGTAGGGAGGCACCCGTGGCCCAGGAAGCAATGCAAACAGCCGAGAGACTGGCGCGCTTGAGTGATGTACTAACACCCGCTCACGTAAGGCAAAATATCGCATATAATGCTAGCAGCGGAGAAAATGGAAGCTCGGCTCAGAACGCCAACGACGCAAACTCAATAGAGTCCCTACTGCTCAATATGGCCAACAACGAGATGCAGGTGCAGCAGCAAAAGATCCAGGCGCACATACCGCAAAAGCCGACCCGGATGAAGTTGCTGTATAAAGACCACTCGCAACCTGACAGCGCCGGAAGATTGAGCGCCATGAGCAACTACACTAACGCGACTCAAAAGCAACAGGCAGCCAAGGCGGCAGTGCAACCGCAGAAACAGCAGCTCCAGAAGCTTCAACAGGCGCCGCAGCCAAACGCCCGAAGACAGAACGAGTCCATAGATATGTCGCTCAGCCAGATTGGGATTTGGGCGCCCTCACGCGCCAGCACGCAGCCTGGAATCGCGTCATACAGCAACAGCAGCTTTACATCGTCAATAGAGAGCATGCGCGAGATTGCCATGCGCACCGAGGAGGCCACACAGAACCGGAGCAGCGGCAGCATGCTGTTTGGCCCACGTGGAATGCCGCAACAGCCAGCCTCGCGCTCCTCGAACAGGGTGCAGGATGCGCCGATCAGGCCGGATCCGAACACAATGCAGTCGCCATACACCACTATCTCCTCGAATGATGGTTACGGCCAAGGCGACAACCATTCCTCGTTTGTCTCGCTGTACTCGCAGAGTGACACGGGCAACACCATGCAAAGGTCCTCGCGCGCTGCTCACGAGGCTGCCATATCCGAGGCGCGCCAGATGATGGACGGGATCCCGTCACCCCTCGAGCACGGCGATGACAGGCGCCACGAGGCTGAGTACCTGTTTGATGACGATTGTGCTGAGGACGACGAATATGCGGCTACTGATGTTAGCAAATTGCAGATGATGATATCGCCGGCATCTGAGAATTCGGCGCGCTTTGTGAAGTACGGCTCAACCGTATCGAGTCGCGTGTCGTCTATAGCTGAGTCTACGACATCTAAGCGGCTACCGGTAATCCCATCGACGGCCAACGCGTCGATAGTTAGCGATACGTCGAGCCTCGGGTTGGCCGCACAGGATAGCAGCATTGGCGACATTTCGCAATACCACCGCAGCTGGTACAGCAGCACGGAGAGTACCAATCTTTATGGTGGCGGTGGACTGAAAAGCGTGGTCATTGACGAAGTGCACCAGGAGGAGGGCGAGTACCAAAGCGATTCATTTGCGCCGCGGACAGTCAAAAACAAGTCGCGCATCCGCCCAATTTCTGGCACTGCATCCAAACCGGCGACAGAGTCCAGGGCTGCCGATGTTCCGGGTTCTTCAGATGGTGATGGGCATTACGAGGGAAATTACGACACACGCTATGACATTGCCACAGACTTTCAGCGCGCGATGAACTTGTCGACCAATACTCACAGCGCGTATGGCAGCACTGCAGCAGACACGCGTGCTGCCAGCAGCATGGTCGATATGGTTCCAAGCTTGGTATCGGCGCGCCCCGTTTCTCAGCAGCAACATCCACAGGATTCACAGCAATATGCGCAGCAACAACCTCATAATCTACATCATCCACAACAATATATACAACCACAGCATCCGCAACAACAGTATTTACAGCAGCAGCAGAACCCACAGATGTACTCTATGATTCCGCCTAGTCGTCAAGACTCGCCAAATGGGTATCTGACAGCTAACGGTTATATGGTTCCTGTCCAAAATGGCTATGCGACTAATATGGCGTCACAGGGATACATGCAGTCAGTTTACAGCGGAGTTGATGCCAACGGGCGACCTTACTCTGCTTACCAACCGTTACCGCAGCAGCAGCAGTACCAGCAGCAGCAAGTCGTATACCCAAACCATCAGTCACAGCAGTTCTCTTCTATGCAGGTTGGAGGTATGGTCGCTGCCGCCCCCACCGGAGGATATGCGCCTATAAACACTCAAATGCAAAGCCAAGGCCAAGGTCAAGGCCAGGCTCAGGCCGGCTATTATGACCCGATGCGCGACTCACCCTCAAGGGTTCAGCAATACCCACAAGCCGTGTCGGTGGCCGGGCAGCGTCCGATGAGCGTGGAGACCATGCAGGCAGGCCCGCCAGTGGGATACATGGGTACCCAGGCTCCTGCCCATATGGATTCTGGTAACGTGTCTGCAGCGACTGCAGACAATCTGGCAAGGGCCCGTAACTCTGCGACTGGAATTCCGGTGACCGCTGTTTTGCCTGCAAGTGGACAGCGCGACCCCGCACCCAGTGTTCCGGCGCAGCAGCCGAATGTCCATCAAGTCTCGCCTGCCAACGAGCAGCAGCAAACCAGAAGCAGCTTGAATAGCGTCCCCATTCCCACAAAACAGGATTTGTGTGCGCCAGGATCGCAGGAGACGCAGCGCCCAGCCTCGTTTGTAGGCACCAGTGACATGCAAAATGCGCCCGGCAGGCATGGTGTTCCGTCGGCCCTAGACAGCGAATTTTACACGCGCTCGACGACTCCTACGGGCTTTGGCTCAATGTCGTCTGCCCCGCCATCCACTTTTGCGCAGCGCGAGGGGAGAATGTCGCCATTCCCATCGAACGTCGGGATATCCCAGCCGCCAACATACTCGGCGAACACAGCAATGGACCTATCCAAGGACATGTTTGTCGAGGACATCGACCCACAGCTCGCCCAGCCGCTGCCGGCCAATGTGACGCCAATCAATTTTGCCAAAATGACGCGCCCAGTGTTCAAGTTTGGAGGGCACATTTCTTACCCCGAAAGTGTGAACTGGTCCAAGGTCGATCGCCAGATGGCCATGATCAAGTCGATTTCTGTCAAGCTCACAGCGGATGTCCTGGCAACCATGCATGTTGGTCGGCCCTTTAACAAGCCCACCGAGCGTGTGCGCGCGGCATTCATCTGGATTGCATCGAATATCCAGTACGACCCCAGCACGGCCGAGAGCAACGATGAGTTTGAGCGGCAGGAGTCACCTAACAATGTTTTGCAGCGCCGCCGCTCTCGCGGACCAGGATTTGCGTACCTCTTTGATGCGATGATGCACGCGCTGGGTATAGAGTCGCTCACCATTCGCGGCTACTTGCGCCAGCCATTGGACTCTTATCAGGGCCCAGTGCTGCCAGCAGCCAATCACGTGTGGAACGCAGTGTGCCTGGAGGGCGAATACCGCCTGATCGACACTGCGTGTGCGTCAAAGTCGCACCCGCTTAACGCCGAGAGCAAGGTGGACTCGTGGTTCTTCCTGGCGCCGCCCAAGGAGATGATATTCACGCATTTCCCTATGGCCGCCAGCGACCAATTTGTCGACCCAGTTGTGCCGCTTCCTGTCTTCTGGATGCTGCCGTATGTGCGCCCCACATACTTCTCATCCAAGGTCAAGCTGCTGAACCTGCCACATGTTCCACGCATTGAGCTGCGCGACGACAAGGTAATCCCGCTGGTTTTGTGTGTGAAGGACTCGACCCTGTCTGTGTTTGCGGAGGTTGAGCTACACGACCCCAACGGCAGCGGTCGCATAGTAGCGCGCCAGCCCTTGCTAGCGCAGTGCATGGACTACCGCGGCAAGCGCATGGTCAAGATCCTTGTCGGCGTGCGCGCGGCCGACACGCGCGGGCTGATCAAGATCTACTGCGGCACACGTCTACCACTGCAGCCCAAAAGGCCCAGCGATGATGTTTTGCCGCAGTCTCCGGGAAGCAAGGCCCAAAAAATGCTTGGCTTTTTGCAAAACAAGGACAAGCGCCCTTCGGCACACGACTACACGCGCATCAAGGACGTTGACGAAGAGGGCAAGATCAAGACTGTCGCTACATCAAAAACATTCCCACTTGCGTGCGTGCTACCGGTCGTGCACCGCGGCAGAAACAATGCACCGACGTTTGTGCAGCTGAATGCGGCGGCACCCAACGAGTTCTACATCAAGGAGCCGACTGAGTCTCAGTTCCATCTTGGCGAGTCCATCAACTTCCATCTGCTGCCCGTCGGCGACGAGCGTCTGTTCCACTTGCAGCTGCGCAGTCCCAGCGGCCAGCAGCACAAGTTTGTCTACCAACCCAGCGACCAGGGGTACATACTGCGGCATACGGTCAAGGAGCGCGGGGCGTGGATTATTGTGTACCACACTGACACTGACGGATGGCTTCCGATTGCGTCTTACAGCTGCGTTTAAGTAGAAATAAATTATAAAATAAAGTCTGTAAATGCGACATGTTGGGTCTACATCACACATGTTTTTTAGATAATTCCTGGGAACTTGATAATGGCGCTGATTACAAACTGGCTGGCCAACGAGTTGCACCACGCAAACCACGACCTAGTATAGTCCGCTGGTTTGCTCACATCGACAGACTCGTGCATCAGGCCCAATCCCGAGGTTGTCGCCAAAAGTTGATCCAAACACTCTTTGACCTCAGCCCTGTCGTTCGAAGTGAGGCCACGCATGGCTATTGCCATGGGCCATACCTTCTGCAGCCCCGTATGCGGGCTGCCAATACCATGGATATATGGGCCCGTGAAGTACCATGGGTTGTCGTTTGCAGACAAAATCATCTTGCGCGTGCTCTGATAGACAGGGTCACTGGCAGTAACAAACCCTATGTACGGCAATGAAAGCAGTGACGGGCCGTTGGCGTCGTCCATGACCAGGTTTGAGCTGTATCCGTCGGTCTCGTAGACAAAAATGCGACCATATTTTGGATGAATTGTTGTGCCGTGCTCTATTATGCCCTTGCGAATTTTATCCGACAGTGCCTTTGCCACTTCAGATGTCTTGGGGTACGCACCAATTGCGTCAAGCATATATGCCAGGCGGCTGAGCTCAACGGATAAAAATGCATTGGCAGGAACGAGGAACGGAAAAATAGTGGTATCGTCCGAGGGCCTGAACAATGTCTTTGCCATTCCGGTGTACTTGACCGGGTTGCCCATGCCACGGACAAACTGGGTCTCGGTCGCCATGTCTGTCAATCTTGTATACCGCACTTTGGGCTTGTTAACTTGATGCTTGGAATTGAAAGTTGGCTTTTGAAGATCGTAAACAATGTCCAGAATTGCAGACACAGCTTGGATCCACGACGGTTGGAGCATGAATCGATGGTCCTTGGTAGCAATCCAGTAAGACGTCGATATTTGAAAGAACGAAGCAAACGAGTCCAACTCAAACTTTGCCTCAAAAACTGTGCGATTGTCAAATGGCGGAGTGACCGACAGATCCAGAGCAAGCCCATTTTCAGCTGGTCTTAAGCCCGAACGCGGCGGAGGCTGAAATGCGTTTCCGTATGGATATCTAGCAAGTTCTTCGGCTTGCATGTTGATGAGGCCCATTATCAGCATCGCAATGTCTCCGTCCATCTCTGTGTATGGCAAATACGGCAATACCTGGTTAGTACTGTCGCGTATCCACTGCGCGGTAATATCACCAGTCACAAGAAATGTATATGACTCAGTTTTATTTGCATTGTGCCACGCGACAGTTGTGTCAAGTGTGTTTGTAAAAATGTTGGAGAATAGCTGCCGCCAGTCAGGGTCGTTTATAGCCGATGTATATTTTACCAAATATTTTTCAATGGTAGGGCTGGTAAACGTTCTGCACTCGGGTGCAGGGCGCATGGAAGGTATTTGAAACTTCCCCGCAGACAGTGGGCCATGAACAACTGCCGAGTAGTCTGTGTAGCTTGGACATTGCTTCCGAATATTGGCAGAGGTTACTGAGCAAATTAGTGCTGATACACTTGTCAATGTTAGTATCAAGTTTTTCATAATCTGTTCAGTCGCAATTTTTAATAAGTTTGGTTTGGTGTAACAACTGAAAAGCAATTGGGTTCATGAAAGTCAATGTTGCCAAAAAGTGGGTTTATTTTTTACATGGCATATGTTGGAAAAGACAGGCGATAGTAACCGCAATTATCAACAACGCGGTAAACACAATATAATTTTAAAGAGTAATTATTCAATGTAGTATTTGTGGCGCAGCGTGTTACCATGTGCCATTAAAAATAATTATTGGGTGTTTTGGAGCCCAAAATCCCCTTCATATTTGTTTGGACAAACACTCTTATAGTTCGGTTGGCTGTCAATTTTTCATGCTCTTTAAAACAGTTTTCTCAGTTATTGGCGATTTTCCTATAATGTTTTTATTTTCGAGTTCATTGGCTGGAAAATATACGTTTTTACTTGACAAATTTTATTTCAATTTAGTTATGAGTTCAGATAAATCATAAAACGAGCTGCGGCATTTCGCAGAATTCGGAGTAGGTGCTCAAGGGCAAAACCAAGGCGACTGTCGAGTCCAATATCAAGTTCAGGTGTTGGAACCGCAACATTGCATCGGTGTGCAATTTGATTACGATATTCCTATATTCCTATATCGTCGCAAATTTGATGAGCACCACCCTGGTTTCAAGCGCTGTGGTAGACCGCCAATTGATCCATATGCCGCGCCGAAGCACAACAATACGGGATAATTTGTCTTTTTCTCCATATCATGGCGGTTATTACTGCCTGACAGCTCAATCCCCACTGTTTTTACCCCATGACTACAAAATAGATAGGGGACTTAGTCTAAAACCCCTATAACAATTCCGTTTTTCGTTTTATATATTTTTTATTTAAAGAATTAAAAGACACTACATAAACCCACTTGATTATTTTTTACCCAAAGATGATCAATCACGGTTGATCACCATAAATATTGTTTATCCTCGCTGGCCCAATCACAAACCGCAGCGTTGATTGAGCCAAGTAGCTAAAAAGCAAAGCTCTTTGCTGTTGTTACTGCCGTCGTCGTCACTCGCTCGTGTTTTTTCTTGTAGCCAGAGGAACTGAATTTCAATTTTTGCTATTCTATTCGTTTTTATTGTTCACACACTTGCTCTAATTCGCATTCGCATTCGATTTTATATTTACTTTTATTATTTTCATCTTACTTTGGCAGTCGCAATCGTTAATTCTCCACTTCACTGCAACAACGCGATAGTGCTCTCGACAATTTACATTTTCAGGTCCAAATAAAAATGAGCTGGAAGAAGGACGAGGACACAGGTAAACAGCGCCAAGAGACAATTCGCAAGACATGGGAGTCTAAATTCACATCGGAGATGGCATCTACTGTCTGAATTTTAACCATTTATGCGCCAGATGAGCTTGCACAGACTAATTGAAATATGGCCATTGTCAATTTGAATTTGTAGATGAGCTCGGGGCGCTGATGAATCTGGACCACTCTATGGTATTGCAGGAGGCACGCGTATTCAACGAGACACCCATTCGCCCCAGACATTCGCGGCTGCTGCTCGCTAAAATAATATTCTTGATGTACCGCGGAGACACAATGCCGACCACCGAGGCAACAAATTTGTTCTTCAGCATCACCAAGCTGTTCCAGTGCAAGGACATGTCGCTGCGGCAGATGGTTTATCTGACGATCAAGGAGCTGTCGACTGTCTCCGAGGACGTGATTATGGTCACCAGCAGTCTGATGAAGGATATGCAGCCAAAATCTGAGATTACTTATCGTGCAAATGCCATCCGCGCACTGTGCAAGATCCTCGATCCGTCGATGCTCCCGGGAATCGAGCGTTTCATCAAGTCAGCTATTGTGGAAAAGTCGCCGAGTATTGCGTCGGCCGCGCTGGTGTCGTCTTATCACTTGTTCAAGGATTCCAAGGACGTCGTTCGTCGCTGGGGCAATGAGGTCAGCGAGGCACTGAACGGCAAGTCGCTGAACCAGGGCACTTCGTTCTTTGGTGGCTCGGCGGGGCAGAATCAGGTTGTGAGTAACTCCAAGATTGTGCAGTATCACGCGTTGGGTCTTATGTACGCTATCCGCCAGCACGACCGCATGGCCGTGCTCAAGATGGTGCAGGCTTTCTCTTCCCAGGGCAAGACCAGCAGCTGGATAAGTAGCTCTAACGCCGCGTTGCGCAGCGACATGGCACAGGTGCTTCTTGTGCGCTATGCTGTGCGCGTGATGGAGAATGACCCGAGTCTCCTGCCACAGCTGTACACCCTGATTGAGGAATGGATGGGCCACCGCTCGGACATGGTCAGCATTGAGGCTGCGCGCGCCATGTGTCAGCTCAAGGAAGTTACTGCCAAGCAGCTCACACCGGCCGTTAACGTGCTGCAGCAGGCGCTGTCGGCATCGCAAAAGCCAACTCTACGGTTCGCGGCCATTCGCACGCTCAACGCCCTGGCGCGCACGCACCCCGAGGCGGTGCAGCCGTGCAACGTCGACATGGAGGGTCTGATCACCGACAGCAACCGCTCAGTGGCAACGTTTGCCATCACCACCCTGCTGAAGACAGGCAATGAGGCGTCAGTTGACAGGCTCATGAAGCAAATGCAGGGCTTCATGGCCGAGATTAGCGACGAGTTCAAGATCATCGTTGCTGAGGCCGTGCGCAGCCTGTGCCGCAAGTTCCCTGGAAAGCACAGCGTGTTCCTGGGATTCTTGTCTGGCGTTCTGCGCGACGAGGGCGGTTTTGAGTTCAAGCGCGCGGCTATCGAGGCGATCGTGGACCTGGCCAAACACGTGCCAGAGTGCAAGGAGGCTGCCCTGGCGCACCTGTGCGAATTTATCGAGGACTGCGAGTTTACCAAGCTCTCGGTCCGCGTGCTGCACTTTCTCGGCGAGGAGGGCCCTCTGACCGCACGGCCGACCGTATACATCAGGCATATTTACAACCGCGTCGTTCTTGAGAACGCCGTTGTCAGAGCAGCCGCAGTCAGCGCACTAGCCAAGTTTGGGTCGTCGCCCGTGGCCGACGCCTCGCTGCAGCGGTCTGTGCGTGTCCTGCTCAAGCGCTGCCTGGACGACCGCGACGACGAGGTGCGCGACCGTGCTGCTTGGGCGCTGCGCATGTCCGGTGACAGCCAGACCACCCGCGACAAATACGTGCGCGACGACAGCACCTTTGCGCTGGCTGTTCTCGAGCGCAAGCTGGTTGAGTACTGCGCCGACTCATCAGCCTCAGCCAAGGGCAGCTTCAACTTTGAGAGCATCCCGCGCATCTCGCGCGCTCAGGAGGAGGAGTCGCGCAACCGTACGCGCATGGAGAACATGGACGCTGTGCTGACGGGCACTACGCTCAGTGCGCCTTCCGGTAGCGGCAGGAAGACCGGCGGCGGCGAGAGCTCTGCGCCGGGCACGCCTGGTATGGGTAGCGGCACCGCTGCTTCCGGGTTTATGGACTCGTTCGAGCAGCAGGCGCAGTATGCCAGCAAGCTCAATGCGATCCCCGAGCTGGCTGCATTTGGCGAGCAGCCGCTAGTGTCGTCGGCAAAGGCAGTCGAGCTGACAGAGTCCGAGACCGAGTACGTCGTGCACTGCATCAAGCACGTTTACGAGTCGCACATTGTGTTCCAGTTCGACATCACCAACACAATCCCGGAGCAGGTGCTCGCGCAGGTGGAGGTCTCTATGGAGCCCGAGGAGGACATCGAGGGCGTTTTGCAGCCGATCGTTGTTGTGTCCATCCCAGAGCTCAAGTGCGACGAGCCTGGAACCGCATATGTGGCCTTTGAGCACACCGATCCCGACACGTTCCCGGCTGTTTCGTTTGCTTGCACACTCAAGTTCACCGTCAAGGAGTGCGACCCGTCGACCGGAGAGCCTGAGGAGGGCGACGACGGATTTGAGGACGAGTATTCGCTCGAGGCAACCGATATCAGCGCCGGCGACTTCATGCAGGCGACATATATTCCTGATTCACAGGCGCTGTGGGAGGCCCTGGGCACCAACGGCGAGGCCATTGAGACGTTTGCGTTGGCCAACTTTGACAGCATCGAGGAGTGCATAGCCAAGGTATCCGACCTCTTGGGTATGTGCCCGCTGGAGGGCGCGTTGAAGCCCAAGAGCAAGGCCGCCCACCAGGCCGTGTTCACCGGCAGATGGCTGGGCCGCACTCGGGCAGTGGCTAGGACCAGAATGACGTACCAGAAGGGAACCGGTGTCACCATGGAGCTTGCTGTGCGCAGCGAGGACCACACTGTCAGCGAGCTGGTTGTGTCAGCCATTGCCTAAGCAAGCGAGTGGCCTCTTATTTTCACACATTTTTTATTTTCACTGTCAAGTCACTTTTATCTATTAAATTTTTTTATTCAAATGGGAATAAACAATCATTTTATATTGTTTTATTTCGTTTTTAATTTCACTGAATCACGTTCAGCTCACGGCCAACTTCGATGAACGAGTCGACTGCATAGTTGACCTGGTCGGTGGAATGCGCGGCGGACAGCTGGACGCGGATGCGAGCCTTGTCCTTGGGCACCACAGGGAACGAGAAGCCGACGACGTAAATGCCGCGTGCGAGCATCTTCTCCGCCATCAGTGATGCCAAACGAGCATCACCCAGCATAACAGGAATAATAGCGTGACCCTCGCCGGCAAGCACAAAGCCGGAATCGGACATGCGCGAGCGGAACAGCGCGGCGTTAGACCACAGCTGGTCGAGAAGCGGGCCTCGGGTGACTGGGTTATTAACAAGATCAATGGCAGCGGCCGCAGCACCAACCATGCTGGGAGCCAGAGTGTTTGAGAACAAGTAGGGCCGCGATGTATTGCGAAGCAAAGTCACAAGAAGCTTGTCGCCCACTGTGTATCCGCCGGAGGCACCGCCCAGGGCCTTTCCGAGTGTGGAGTTTACCAAGTGCACGCGGTCCATGACACCCCAGTACTCGCCCGAGCCGCGGCCGCTTGGCCCCAAGAATCCCGTGGCATGGGCGTCGTCGACAAACAGCACTGCCCCATGTTTCTCAACCACATCGCAGATCTCCTTGAGCGGCGCAATGACACCGTCCATGGAGAACACGCCGTCGGTGGCAACCATCTTGACGCGGCACCCGGCATCCGCTGCCAACTGCAGCTGGCGATCAAGATCCGCCACATCGCCGTTAGCGTATCTGAACCGCTTGGCCTTGCACAGTCTCACGCCGTCAATTATTGACGCATGGTTGAGCGAGTCGCTGATGATTGCGTCCTGGTCGGTCAGCAGGGACTCAAAAATCCCGGCGTTGGCGTCAAAGCACGACGCATACAGAATGGTGTCGCGGGTCTCCTGCTGGCCGTAAAATTCGGTGATCTGGTTCTCGAGGTCCTTGTGGATCGTCTGGGTACCACAGATAAACCGTACGGAGCTCAGCCCGTTGCCCCACTTGTTGAGGTATTCCGATGCGCGCTGGACCACTGTCGGGTGGTCGGCCAGGCCCAGATAGTTGTTGGCGCAGAAGTTCAGCACGGGCTTGGTGCTGGTTTGCACCTTGATGCTGGAGTTCTGCGGCGTGGTGATTACGCGCTCGGTCTTGAAGGTGCCGGCAGATTTCATGTTATCCAGTGTTTGACTGACGCGCTCCTCGAGGGCTGCGGGAAGCTGGGCCCGGCCGCCCGTGACTGCTGTATTAGAGAACAGGCGGTGCCGGCCGGCGGCGATTCGCATGGCGGAGCTTTTGGCGATGCTGGACGACATTTTGGTTTATTTTGCGATGGTAGAAGATAAGGGTGGAAGTAATAAAAAGAAAGTAAAAAAATTGACTTCCAAATGTGGTGGAGATAAAAAATAAATTGTATCGAGAAAAGAACTGTTACGCCTGATACCTCCCCCCATCCATCTTTTCCAACCGACAGGCCTAAAAACTGCTGGCGTAATTTCATTTGGATGCAGTGATGGAGTGTGGGAAACCATGAAGGCTTCTCATTCCTGTTTGATTTGCTGAAACTCAAACCCGCTCCTTTGTTTCATAGATGCACTGATGATGCATTCTGCAGGATTTCACAAAATAAAATCACTGACCACCCACTGCGTCGCGCTTGTTCTTTAACAGCACCATACCCTCCTTGTCAGCTGGGTGCTCCGAGAGTAATGCCTGACAAGTGTGTCAAGTGCTATGCATTGCAAGTATTGTTTGTTCCTGTTTGCAATTGCCAATTTAACAAACAAGCCACTAAATAAGCAAATAGTATCATATGGCAATGTCATCGCTAACCACTTGATCAATTTAAAAATACGCGAGAATGTCGTTATGTATTTCTTGCTGGCAGATTATGTTATTATTATGTTGCTATTGATGCTTTTGGCAGCAGCGGTAATAATTGTAAGAGAAAATCTCAGCCAAGTAGAAAAAGTGGACTGAGTCACCCAGTAATACAAAGGCATTATTATTGCATCATGCATTTGTATGAGATTTGCGCACATCAAGATTGCTCCGGAGAATTCGGCGAATATCACGCCAGTCGCAGCGAATAATCCAAAAAAGAAGAGGAGGGGAAAGAGTGCGCCGTTTTATGTTTCCGGGACACAAATTAAGAGTCATTATCGAGCATATTAAAATGTAAACACAAGAGACAGCCATGTGAAGAGGGTGCATGGAAAACGGTACAATTGCCACCAAAGACAATCAAAATGCAAACATCCATTGAACAATGCACGCAAGTGAGAAACAAATAGCAAATAAACAAAAATAAGTGAAATATCTCCGAATAACAAGTGGTCACAGATCAATCGAAAGAGCAGGCGCAGATGGGGAAATGGAAAAAAATCCACCGACCAGTCTGAAACATCAGGTTTCCCACCACTGGACAAAAAATGGTGCTTAGTAAAAACAAAATTTTATATTGGCAGCGAGAAAGGAGGACAGCACACAGCTCGCAAACAATTAAAAATGTATAAAAAGATGCCTTCTCTGCCACAACTTTTGAATTAGCCTTCTGTCATCTCTATTGAACTTTCAACTTTTTTGCTCAATTTACTTTTTTTTCGTCTTTCTTCCAAAACCGCTCGTTTACTTTTCAAGCAACAAGCCGACATTCGCAAAAACCTCATCTTTCCCCAAGCCAGAGATACTCCTCAATTCACAGCAATGATGAACCACCGCATGCTACGAACTATGCCTAACCTCAAGCTTGCAACCCGACGGCTTTACTCAACTGCACGCCCTCCTCGTGTCCTGGTCACTGGCAGCCTTGGTCAGCTCGGCACCACCATGGTCAACACCCTTCGGTAAGTTTTCTTCTGTTGTATCTGCTTGTATTTTCCCCCAGGCACACAGTCTGGTTCGTCATTTTACCCCGCACTTGTAGATTGCTGCGAGAGAGTGCGAGCGCTTGTCATTCCAACTCGCCTTTCATGCAGTCTAGACAACCAACTCTCCATCTTTTCTCGACCGCATTGGATCTTGCCCCTTTTCTATTATCTCACTGTTGCCGCAATGGCGACGATAGAGAAGAGGGGGCAAGGTCAGTGTCGCGGTGGAAAACCTTTTTTTGTTTGAGGTCGGCAAACAGCCTCAATTTTCTTACAGCCTTGCAATATTGTTCGCCTTTCAAAGATTGCATTCCAGAGCGCGGTTCTTTCGTATTTAGATCCCCAATTTCTCCGAAAAGAGGAATGTCCGCTTTTGTTTGGATCAAGCGGCGGATAATGCCTGTTTCCCCCTGCCACTACCTTAAGGAGAATTGAATTGACTGTAATATTTCTGTTGCCTTTTAAGGTATTGCCTGTAATATTTTCCTGGGAATTTTTGCAAAGTCAAACCGGATTGGACTACATATAGGCCGCTTTCTTCCGACTGTCGATCATTTTCTATATTTTATTTATAAGCGCACACGCTATCTCACGCTTTTTTATGTTTTTCATTTTTCTTATGTTGTATTGGCCCCCTTATGCAAAGGCGATCGCCGCGCTCGACAACCATTTTTTGTGCCACCTAATTTGTTAATTTTGAATTTGCTCACACCACTAAATCATGATCAACACGCACAATTTAAAAAAATCCACTTTTTATTGGCAATCAATAGGGCGAAGTTTGGCAGCGAAAATGTCGTCGCTTCAGACATCAAAAAGCCCGCCCTGGAGCAGCGCAGCACTGGCCCGTTCGTGTACGCCGATGTGCTCAACTATCGGGCAATGGAGCAGGTTGTTGTCGACTACGGAATCGACTGGATCGTGCACTTTTCCGCTATCTTGTCGGCCGCTGGCGAGCGCAACCCGGCGCTGGGACTTAATGTCAACATCAACGGGTTCCAGAACGTCCTCGATCTGGCAAAGAACCACGGCCTGCGGCTGCTGTCCCCAAGCACGATGGGCGCCTTTGGCCCGACAACGCCTAAGGACGAGACGCCGGACCTGACGATCATGCGCCCGAATACGATCTACGGTATCAGTAAGGTGCACATGGAGCTTTTGGGCGAGTACTACACGGAGAAGTTTGGCGTGGACTTCCGCAGTCTGCGCTACCCTGGCATCATCTCGGCAGACTCACCACCGGGCGGCGGCACGACCGACTACGCTGTGGATATTTTCCACTCTGCGCTCAAGGAGAACCAGTACTCATGCTTCCTCAAGTCTGATACGCGCCTGCCGATGGCGTATATTGACGATTGCATTGTCGGAACCATGCAGCTTCTCGAAGCCCCCCAGGAGGCCCTAACGCAGCGCGTGTACAATGTGCATGCGTGCGCGTTTTCGCCCGAGGAATTGACCGCTGAGATCCGTCGCCACCACTCGGATGACTTTGCCATTGAGTATCGCCCCGATTTCCGCCAGGCAATCGCCGACACATGGCCCCGCACGATGGCCGATGAGGCCGCGCGCAGGGACTGGGGCTGGAACCCACTCTATGGCACAACCGATATTGTGCGCATCATGCTTGAAAAGCTCAGGCCCGTTTACGCTGCAAATGCCTCATCTAATGCAGCCACTTCATCATCAATCCTGGATATTGCGACACCGGCAGCAGTTGTGGCGAATTAAGTTGATTTTTAAATTGCATTTATTTTTTTCATTTTTGTTTCATCAAAAGAATATTATAGTCGAAACAAACACTATCTATTATATGGGTTGTGCAAACTGAGCAACTCTATTTAATTGTCATCTTTTTGATCACTTGCAAGGGCTTGTGCTTGATGCTTGCAACTAGCAAGATGAAGATAACTGAGAATGGGATGAGCGCGATGAATGCCACCCGCATGCTCCTCATAAACGCATCAACCAGCAGGTCATACACGGCCGGTGGCAAGTCCAGCTTGCGGATCAACGTCTGGTTTTCAGCAATGAGCGCGATCTTGTCGGCATACTCGGGATACAGTCTGGTGACTTCAGCAAACATATAATTCACTTTGTTGCCATATACAGAGCCCAATACGGCAACAATGGTAATAGAACCAATGCTGCGCATAAACATGGACACCGAGGTCGTGCTAGCAGAATCGAGGCCGTCGGCATTGACTTGCGCAGTCAGGAGCAGTGAATGAATGCATACTCCAAAACCCATTCCAGCAACGATCTGAAATCCAATGATAATTTCGAGCCCTGAGTTTTGGTCTAGCACAATTAGCGGGGTCAGGCCTACCAAAAGCATGGTGCTGCCTAGCCACACACACTCCCGGTACCTGCCGGTGCGCGTAACCCACCAACCCGAAACAACCACTGCTGCAAACTCCGCCAGATTGTAAGGTAGCAGGTACAGGCCCGATGTTACCGGTGTAGTGTTTTTGACGAGTAACGCCCATTTTGGCACAAGAAACAATGGCGCATTTGCCACTGAACCAAAAAATAGCTGCGCGATGAGTGCTATCACGTTATTGCGTGTGTGCAACAAATGGAGCGGAATGATGGGCTCCGTAGGAACCCTATGCTCGTAAAATATAAACAGCGCTCCTGTCAAAACTCCAAATACCAAGAAGCATATTACTATAGCTGAGTTCCAATGGTACTCTCGTCCACCCCATGCAAGCGCAAGCAGAATCAGCACGATACTAAGCAGCGAAATAACCGTGCCGCCGAAATCCACACGCTTGGTCTTGTATCTCATTGTGCCACTCGGTTTGGGCAGTTTAATGGAATAAATGACAACAGTCGCGATAATGACAGAGATGGGCAAGTTTAGCCAAAATATAACTCGCCACGACGCGAACTGCACCAGTACACCTCCCAGCACTAATCCCCCGCTGGAGGCAAGCGACCAGACACCCGACGACAGGCCCATGAATTTTCCTCGCGCACGCTCACTGTACAAATCAGCGACCAGCACGTTGGCCATTGTAAACATCCCCGCAGTGCCCAAGCCTTGGATCGCGCGCCCGATGATCATAACAACCAAGGACTGCGAAATGGCGCACACCAATGATCCAATGAGAAGCATGGTCGAGGCAAACAAAATTGCTGGAACTCGTCCAACAATGTCGCTTATTTTGCCGTAGATGGGCTGGAACGCTGTTGTTGTTATCAAGTACCCGTTGATGATCCACTCGGCCTGCGAAAGAGCGTTGAAGTGGTTTGCAATCGGAATAAAGACGACCGAGTCCATCGTAGAGTATAGCCCGATCATAAACATGATAATACAAAGGCCGGTTCCAGTCAACACGCTGGTTTCTTGCTCTGGAAGACCCGCATTCGTGTCGGTCTCGACAATAGCGCGTTTGGGATGAATGTCAATGGCATATTTTATAGATTCAGACATTATAGAAATATTATAAAAAATGTGTATTCAAATAAAGATAAAGTTTATTTTATATCAACTCTCCTTTTAAACTAACAGAATGAAAATGTTGCGATATTCCCACCGAGATGCATATTAGGTCCCATGGTGCCCAGTTTTACTGCTTTCCAAATGGTTGTTTTTATGAGTGCACCATTATTTGCTTTTGCCAAAATTTCAATTATTAAAAAAGTTCCCATATATTAGCTCTTTTGTTTAAAACATATCATAATTCTCGTATCGGAAAGTTCAATTGTTTAACCTTGCATTGTTGGAAAGCCACAGATCAATGGGGACCTTGCCATCATGACGCGAACAATTGTACTGTAACAAAACCCCAACCATTGAGAAAAACTTTGAAATTGTGTTTACGTATTTACCTTTACATTTCATTAAAAGGTAAGAAATTAGGTGCGATCATTTGGCAGAAACTCAGCAGTAGCAGCCGGGCGCAAAGCCAAGGAGGCACCATCTTCTGTGGCTATTCATCCAAGCAGGCAGCGCACGGATTGATTTATCCACATATCATGGGGTTATTGCCGCCAGTTTATCACAGGACAAGGCTTTGTCAAATGAGCAAGCGGATTTATGGATCTATTTTCCCTGGGCGAAATGTGGGGATGCTTTTTGTCCAGCGCATCAAATTATATTTGCTTGCTTATCAGGCGTCATTTTTTTGCACTTGTATTTTTGTTACTGTGTCATTTTGTCCACTGTGAGTTGCACCCAGTATTCTTTTCCCCCTTTATTTGTCACAAAAATAACATATTTTTTATCAACTACAAACTTTGCGCATTCGCATTCACATTGACATTTGCGTTCGCATTATCGCTTGCACTCTTTTTAATTCCAGCACATAAGAAATGCCACCAAAGAAAAAGGCGGTTGCGACGAGGTCGACAACTCAGACTCGATTTTCCGCAGCAAGCCCAATTCCAGTTTCAGGCAGTACCACGAGCTCGTCGAGCTTTTTAGACGACTGGGCGCCTCCGGACGTTGAGCTAGGCATTTCTTTGTCACAGGTTCTTCAGCGCTCTGCACGGCGACACAAAGGTCCGATTGAAAGACCACCACCGCTGCCCAAAAAGGCCAAAAGGCAGCCAGCAGTGACAGCCGCCACTCCAGATACTCTAGATACTTCAAATCCGCATGCACCAAAACTTCAAGATGAGATCGTAATCAAGTACGCTAATGATGAAACAAAAGATATTGCGGCCATGTTTACTGATGACCGCAATGCCGGTGGCGATGCCAAGAGTCACGGTGTCGAGTCGGCGGATGACTCGGATTCCGTAAAAATCGAGTATGAGAGGGGTGCGCCAGCGACGATTGGAACTTTGCGTGAGTCGACCCCGCACACAATGGAGTTTATTGACGAGGAGTGTGCCAGAAACTACCAACGAATCGTCGAAAACACAAAAGAAAAGCAGCGACTGGGACGGGCTGCGAAAAGGATGAGCAGAAGGCTGAGTAACACCAGGATACAGCGGCGGCTAGTATCTGACACCGAAGACGCATTATCTACAGACGAGCTTCCCGAAAATCCCCTCGAACCGATTAAATCTCAGCCAGCATTGCAACCATCCGCGTTCCAGGCAAAGAAAAGGCCGCGAGTGGCGCTTCAGATCAGCGATTCCGAGGAGGCAACTGACGACAGCGATGCCCTGGACAAGCGTGCGATTATTCAGCAGCGCCTGCGCAGGAAACAAACACCGACCGCAATGAATAGCCGCTTTGAGCGGGCGCGAATCAATGCACAGTATGTGTCGTATGATACAGACTCCGAGAACGACATTGGAGGAGCTGCGCATGATTCCATTGAGAGCGCTGATTCATTTGCTGACATTCTGGTCGATATTCCCAGGACTGATACCGAATCCGACAGCAAGGCGCGCGGCAGCAAAAAGAACGCCGTTCTTGTCATCAATGATAGCAGTGACGACGACTTTGTATCTGATCCAGAGGAGCCAGCACAGAATGCTTTGTCTAGCTCTGCGCGAGATGCGCAAAATTCAGACAATAGGATGGGGCAGTACCTATTGGCATTTGAGCCTCGGCGGCGCGAGCAGATGCTGCACAAGCTGGAGCTCAAGTCTGGAAAAGGTAGATCGCCAAAGGCGCTAACCAAGAGGGCAAAGCTATTCGATTCAGATCTTGATGATGACATTGTGGATTTCATTGTTGACGATGAGGATGCCAACGAGGCAGAGCGGAGCAGCGTTGGTATCAACCATAGCGCAGATAGTCCTGGCGCATTTTCCCACCGGAACGCTGGTGACGACTACGACGACAACAGAAATTTTGAAGCGAGTTCGACATTCGGCCACAGCAATCCGCGTAGAGTAATGTCGCTGATGCCCGAGCAGTTTAACCAGCTCGACCTGCACACGTCGTTCAAGGCGTACGTGCAGTATCTTGTGTATTGGATATGCAATGGCAGGCGCAAGCCAGCAATGAGCGAGAAGAACGCACATTACTTTTTCCAGGCGTATATCACAGTGGTCCGGGTCGTTGACTCGGTCGAGCAAAGTCTGGTCGCCAGCTCTGTCTGGGTTGACGGCTTCCGCAACAACCTTTACGGGTATCCTGGGTACAATGCGACGCGCATCACAGGCACGCCAGGCTGCGATGCCTGTCATTTCCACCAAAACCGCATGGCCACTTTCTGTGTCGCCTTGACTGGAACGCCGTACAATCGCGGCATTCTTGCACCGCCTCAGCCGGGCGACACCAGCGTTCTGTCAGTCGACAACAGTTCCTCAGAAGAAGAAAGTAGCCGATCAAGTAACGATAGCCTTCCCAACACTGTGAGCTACAACGTGGGCAGAGTGTGCAAGCTGAGGTCGGAGCTTTGCCACGAGCTGCACCATTTCCTGTACCGCTTGTCGTATGGAGTCGAGGTGTCTTTGCGCACACTATCGTACAACCGGCCGGATGCTTCCAGAAGCAACAATGCCGATTTAGATGAGATCTGGAACGGCATAGCTCCAGACGATCTCGTGGAAATGCTCGAAAGCCAGGGCCGCATGGATGTGCTATATGCTGATTTCAAATCAATGGTCTCCAGGTCCAAGTCTGGGTTTGTATCTTGAGTCGTTTTTGTGCATGTTTGCTATCTTTAACAATAAAAACTACTTATTTTCTAAACTCGACTCTCTCGGCACTCGCCGCCCACTTTTCGGCTTCCGACCTCAGCTCATCGTCGACCTGGCGGCGCAGCGTAACCTCCTTGAAGGCTTTTGATCTCTCGGTTTCCTTGAATCCAAAGGAGTGTTCAAAGATATAAATGCTAGTGGAGTTATCCTCCTTGATACGCACAACCAGATCAGTAACCTTCACGTCATTGATGGCGTATTGGATCATTAGGCAAAGCACCTCAGTGGCAATGCCTCGGCCCCAGTAGTCCTGCTCGGCCACCATCACTTCGAGCTCGGCCTCATGCGGGTTATAGTGGTTGTTCAGGTAAAAGTTCACGTCACCGATCATCCTGGCGCTGTTGTAGATATCCACATTCTGAGAGTCCTTAGCGAGGATAATGAAGGTACACTCTATTGGGTTTCACAGAAATTTGGTAAAAAGGCATTGTTAGTCAAGGAATGGCAACTGTGTTGCTTGGAGATTGTCAGTGCACAACTGCTTCAACTTACTGTCAGTGTCGTTGCGCCAGGACTCCTGCATGGCGTACTCTTCGTCAATGCTCAATGGCTCTGACCCAGTCATCTCCTGCAGGAACGGGGATTCCATCCACTCGTGGTACTTTAGTACATGCTCCTTCTCGTAGGGAACCAGGATGACTTGGGATCCAATCTACAAACGACATGCCAATAACATTAGTTCATGGTGTCAGCAATAAAGTATACGTTAAACATTAGCAATTATTTTACTCACAATGGCCAGGTGCTCGTTATTCCGCATGCTGTGTTTTATATATTAATTTTATAATAAGGGGTGTCTAAAATGACTTCTTTAAATCTTTAAATGACTAAATTTTGAGTATATTTTTGAACATGCTTTGAATATTATGTTGTTTTAATCAAAAATGGGATGTGCCATTAATAATAATAATTTTAAGCACGTGAAAACTAGAAATGAATCATCAAAAATTTTCAAAGTTGGTTTGAAGTAGGAACTAAAAAAAATTGAATCGATTTTGCCTTTTCGCTCAACTTAAATTTCAATCGGAAAATTTTGTTTTCTTATAGTAGTACACAATGCCGACTATCAATATCGACAAGCAGGACCTTTTCGAGTATCTGGACAACCAGTACGACACGGCCCAGTTCCGCGAGCTCTGCTTCGAGTTTGGAATTGAGCTGGAGGAGGATGTAAGTTTTGCAGTTTTGAGAAATTCAGTGAAACTCGCTTGGTATCTTTGATTTTGCAACTAAATAACGCCTGCAATGCATTCTTCAAGTTTTTAAATTAGACCTCGGAAAAGTTTGTTCTGGCGCCCGGCGAGCGTGCCCAGTTGAAAATCGATATCCCGGCTAATCGCTACGACCTCCTGTGTTTTGAAGGCCTTACCCGCGCTCTCGGTATTTTCCTTGGCCGCGAGCCTTCGCCCACCTACCGTGTGGCTCACACCGAGAACCCGCACCGCATCACGGTGTCGGCAGACTGCGCGCAAATCCGTCCCTTCGTTGTGGGCGCCGTTCTCCGGGGCGTCAAGCTGAACAAGGAGCGGTACCAATCGCTCATTGACCTGCAGGACAAGCTGCACAACAACCTCTGCCGCCGCCGCACGCTGGTGTCTATTGGAACCCACGATCTTGATACCGTCGAGGGACCATTCACTTACGAGGCGCGCAGACCTGAGGATATCCGCTTCGTGCCGTTGAACCAGAAGGAGGAGATGGATGGACACCGGGTGATCGAGTTTTACGAGACGGACATGCATATCAAGAAGTTCTTGCACATTATCCGCGATTCGCCCGTGTACCCTGTTGTGTACGACGCCAGAGGCCGGGTGATGTCGCTGCCGCCGCTGATCAACAGCGAGCACAGCAAGATCACGCTGGACACTAAGAACATCTTTATCGAGATCACTGCGACAGACATCACCAAGGTCAACATGGTGCTGAACATTATACTAACCATGTTCAGCGGGTACTGCTCCGAACCCTTTACCGTTGAGCCCGTCGAGGTTGTCTATCCCGATGGTGAGACCCTGGTGTACCCGAACTTTGAACGCCGCACCATGACGACCAGCACAAAGTACCTCAACGGCATTGTCGGCGTGCAAAAATCCAATGATGAGATTATTGCTTTGCTTAACAAGATGTCCCTGGATGCCTCCCTCGATAAGAAGACCAATGCTGTCTCGGGCCTGCTCAAGAAGATGTCGCTCAGCGACAAGTCTGAGGACAGTCAGATCATCGTCAAGGTGCCGGTGACGCGCCCGGACATTCTGCAGGAGTGCGATATTGCCGGCTGCCTGGGAATTGCCTTTGGCTACAACAACATCCCACGCGCGCAGAACAACTCAGCCACCGTTGGAAAGGCTCTCCCCCTGAACAAACTGACCGATCTGGTGCGCAAGGAGATGGCTATGGCTGGGTGGACCGAGGCGCTGACGCTCAGCCTGTGCTCGCACGACGAGAGCTTCAAATTCCTTCGCCGCACCGACCCTGGCACTGAGGCTGTCGTGCTCGCAAACCCTATGACGATCGAATTCCAAGTGTGCCGCTCTACCATGCTCCCTGGTCTGCTCAAGACCATCAGGGAGAACAAGAAGCACGCTATTCCGTTTAAGATCTTTGAGGTGTCAGATGTTGTATTCAAGAACCCTGAGCTCAAGGGGACCGGTGCCCAGAACGAGAGGCGCGCGTGCGCGCTGTTCTCCAGCCGCATGGCCCAGTTTGAGGTCATCCAGGGTCTGCTAGATACCATCATGCAGTCGCTCAACGTGCGGCACACGCGCAAGGGTGCCGCCGGGTACTATTTGGCCGAGGCCGAGCTGCCGACGTACCTGTCCGGCCGCAGTGCCAGTGTCGTGTACACAGACGAGGAACTCAACGAATTTGTGCTGGGCTCCATTGGTGTGATGCACCCAGAGGTTTTGGTGAACTTTGAGCTGGACTACCCAGTGTCTGCCTTTGAAATCAACATCGAGCCGTTCCTGTAAACGTCAACCAAGGTTGAATCAAAGTTGGATACATAATATTTTAATTATCATATAAGTATAAATACGAGAAAATAGTGATTTCTAATACTACAAAGCACTCACTACTTGTCCATTTGCTTGAGTGCGCGGTCGACGTTGAATGCCGCCGAGATAAGCGCAATGTGCGTGAAGGCCTGTGGGAAGTTGCCCAAGTGCTTGCCAGCCTTATCGATCTCTTCAGAGAACAGGCCGACGTGATTGCCGTACATGATCATCTCGTCGATGATGACCTGCGCCTTATACAGCAGGGTGATGTCAGCCTTGCTTGCGCGTGACAGGGCTTCGGCCAACCAGAACGTGCACAAGGAAAAAGTGCCCTCCTCACCTGACAAGCCATCGTCGGTCTCGACGGCGTTGTAGCGGAAGACCAGGTTGTTGGCAGTCAGGCCGCCCTTGTGCGGCGGCAGCATGATGTGGCGCATGGTCTTGAGAAAGCGTGGGTCGGTCGCATTGATAAAAAATAGCAGAGGCATGGCGAGCACGGCGGCGTCGAGCGTATCCTGAGTTTCGTAGCTCTGGGCGAAGAATCCCAGTCGAGGATTCCATGCCTTCTCCATGATCTCCTCGTAGATGTCGTCGCGGGTGCGGCGCCAATGATCTATATTGCGGCACGGGAACTCGCGCTTTTCCACCAGGCGGATACCGCGGTCAATGGCTACCCAGCACTGGATTTTGGAGTAGGTAAAGTTCTGGCGACGGCCGCGCACCTCCCAGATGCCCATGTCGGGCTGGTTGTAGTTGGCACAGACATAGTCGACTAGAGAGCGGATGTTGATCCACTCATCGTACGATAGCGGGCGGCTAAACTTGTTGTACAGGTACACTGCGTCGAGCAGCTCGCCGTAGATGTCAAGCTGCAGGTGGTTGGCAGCGCCATTACCAATGCGCACGGGCGCACAGCTGCGGTAACCCTCGAGATGTGGCAGGATCAGCTCGGGCATATCGCGGCCGCCGCGCAACGTGTACATAATCTGGAGGCCACCATCAGCGTTCTTTTCGCTGCAAATGCGGCCCACAAAGGACATGTAGCTTTTTGCCTCAGTGTTCAGCCCCAGGCGCATAAAGGCGTACATGGTAAAAGCTGAGTCGCGCACCCACGTGAAGCGGTAGTCCCAGTTACGGCCGTGCTCGCCGATGGCCTCAGGCAAAGAAAAGGTGACTGCAGCAACGACGGCACCGGTGGGTTCATACGTCATCAGCTTGAGTATCAGCGCGCTCCGCTCGACATTCTCCAGCCACCGGCCCTTGTACGAGCAGCTGCGGATCCACGTCAACCAGTACAACAGCGTATCCTCGAGCATGTCCTCAACGACCTTCATGTTCAAACGCGGGTCGTAGCGGCTGCGGAAGAAAGCGACCTCGGCGGGATCATCCATGTGCTCGGTGGCATTTTCAGGCGTGGTGCGCAGGATAAAGACAAGACGCTGGCCCTCGCAGAGTGTAAAGCGCGATGTAACGCCCTGGCCCATCTCAGGCACCAGGCCATTGGCTGCGTCAAGCCTGATGTACGGACACGTGCCGCCACTGGTGCAGCCAACAACATACCGCAGGTCCATCTGGTGCACAGCGGTCTGCGCCTTCATGTCCTCGGCATTTCCGCTGATACCCAGACCCTCAGCATGAACAAGCTTCTCGGGCGTAAAAATGGCGCGCTGCGAGCCCACGTGCGACTCTGCGCTCTCGTCGGCCAGGTCCCAGTGCAAGAAGACGCTCTGGAAGATGCTGTTTTCTGCATCAGCGGCGTGCGGCTGGGGCTGTGGAGTCTCGTGCGGAGGTGCGTCGACAATGTCTAGTTTGTGCTTCGCACGAGCATAGTCAAATGCCGGGAAGCACTCGAGGTCAAAGTCCATGGTGCCACGGATGACCTCGACCGTACGCATCACCCAGGGCATCATGTGTCTGTGGGTGCGTGAGTGCGGGCGCGGACGGTGCATAAAGTCAGTAACGGCACCAACACCGTCTTCGCTAAGGAACTTGGTCGATAGCACGTTCGAAAATGGCAGGTACTGCTGTTTGCTGGTCACAGAGGTGCTGGCTGGTGTAATCGAAAAGTAGCCTCCCTTGGTCTTGTCTAGCAGACGGCAGAATACCGACGGACTGTCAAACTCGGGCCAGCACATAAAGTCAATGGAGCCGTCCATGCCGACCAGCGCTGCTGTATGCAGGTTGCCAATCATCCCGTACTGGTCGATTGGCAGATATCCGTTCAGATTGCGGCGCATGGCGTCTGAAAGCCGGCCGCTATCGGCGTGAGGTGAAGTGACAGGGCAAGCAGACATTGTTGACTATCAACGAGTATACAATTGTAGTGGAAATTGTAGTTAAAAATTTATTTTCCAATTTGTTTTAAAAACAACCGAAAGATAAAAGTTGCCTGGAACACGCTGTCTTGCTCTCTACAGATTTAACATTTCGTTTAGCCTTAAAGTGTCTGGAACTTGCAAATATTTGGTCATCGAGCATCATCACTTAACTCTTCCCTCTTCACCCTCCTCCTCGATGCAATTTAATATTGAAAGTGTGTGACGAGTAGAAAAAAGAAAATGTAAATGTAAATCTAGTGCGGGGTCAACATGTGTGATATCTTCTTGATGAAAGCGAAACGGCCCCTGCGTGCGCTCGTCCTCAGATCAATGGCTGGGTGTATGATTGTAAACTCTGGCGATCGCAATTCGTTATCCACTGAGTCGCAATAATACAGGTTCTCTGCCGCCCGCATTGACCTGGTTGCTGTGGTCAGTGCCGAGTCGCTTTTGCGGTTGCTCAGCTTGCGCGCATGTGTCAGCCTCGCCTGCTCCTCAGCAGCAGCGGCAGCTGCGGCTTCCTGCACCTGTGCAAATAATGGTGTGGTTGTGCTGGCCAAATTGATTGGCTGCTTAGCCATTGACATCCTCACATCGGCACTTGTAAAAATGTTGCTGAGCGGTCGGCTGCTGCACGCCATAGTGGTCAGTGGCCGTGTGCGCAGTCGGATCATGTCCGCTGGCTGCTGCTCATCGCTATCATTGGAGGCCCTCATGACTATTGCTGGGCGCTGACGCACACCTGGCACACCGGACATAGCTCCAAAGTTTTCATTGGCGCTAGAGCGGTTGCTGGTCGTATTCAAGCATCTCGTGTTATTATCCACCACGCCGCCACCGCCACAGTTTCCAGTGTCTACGTATAGCTGTGCTGTTGCTGCAATTGTTGCCGCGGTCGCTGCACGCGAATTCTGGCCGCCCTTTATTGTTCCTTGTCGCACGACAGCTGCAGTGGTGGAATTCAATGTTCCAGAGTAAATGTCTGATCTCTGTGTCTGTGCCTGTGTCTGTGTCTGTTCTGCGCATGTGTTTTCTTCAGTCGAAAAAGCCGGCGACTCGTCTTCAGGAACTGTCCCAATTTTCTCCAGCGCTGACATGATAATGCCACGCTCTCTGTCTGATATCTGGCCCAGCGTGTTGATCAGCTCAAACAGCCCCATGTTGGGCACCGTGGTATGTGTTGTGGACGGGCGACGAGTGTCAATGAAAGCGTTGTTTGAGGCGGCTTCCGAGGAAACTCGAGGGCTCAATGATCCCGCCACTACAGAACTAAGTGCCCCTCGGTTTTGTGCTGTTGTGTTGATTCCGTTCCGCTTCTTTTTGGCAACAGCAACCGATAGCGGATCTGGAGATGATATGGTTGAGGAATACTTCCGATTGACGGATATTGAAATTGGCGGCCGCGACGCTGTTGCCGCATGCAGTAATTGTTGGGCTGCGGGCCGCTCGCCTGCCATGCTGGTGCGGCTGGGGAGTGCGTGTGCAAATGTTGTGCGGGCGTTGTACGTTTCGTACACATAGGGGGAACCGTACTTAAAAACTTTTAGCGGCACGCTGGCGGCCTCGTACAGATTCCAATCCACAGCATACAGCGAGTCGCGCAAATCGCGGAACCGCACTGGAAGCCCATCAGGCCACAGCTCAAACAGTGCCGTGCGGATAGGAGCTACCATATTGGCAATGCACTTGCGCACCCACACATTCTCCTTGTAATCTCGCAGCCCGCGCGACGCTTCTTCAAACGAGTACACAAAATCGATGCTCAGGTCAGTTTCGGCCTGGTAAAATCTCAGCAGCCTTTGTCGCCTCAGCTCTTGCTCAGCGGGCAGCAGCGCCCAGTCTAAAAACTGTCGACACCGCACTTCCCATGAGAGGCCCGTTGTTTCTAGCGGACACTCGTCAAAAGCCCAGTCCTCCGCCTTTCCGTGAAGGCACGAGTTGAATCTTCGAGCCCATGCCTTCAAGTGAAGCCCATTGTGCTGCGCTGCGTGCTCGAATTGTCGCACAAACCGTAGCGGGCATGACTGCGTGTGCGAAGGGTCAAAGGTTGGGTACATCCGTCGTCCATAATGCAACGTCCGCGCTGCACTCTCATAATCAAACTCAATTCCCACATGTGAAGGTGATCTGATTGTGCGGCCTGTCGCATGTGTATGCTGCGGAGGCATCAAGTCCAGGTCACCACATTCTGTCGAGCTGGTCTCTACCTTTGTCAGATTTGTGCTTTGCATTCCTGGCGGTTTTCGATCCGGTTTGACTGCCGGCAAGCTATGGCTACAGTTTATCGGTGCGCAGGATATGTTCATATTATCGATTACCAATATTAAAACTTTGAGGTGGTAAAATGACGAAATGTAAGGCAAAATGAAAACATGGATCCCCTTTTTTCCAACGAGGAGCCAATTTGTTTATACCAAGAATACGCGTGTGTGGCTTTGTAATTGGAGCACCCATTTTTCAATTGAATAAACAAAGTACTATTGCTTATTGCCCGCTTGAATGTAACTCCAAAATGTATCCTCTGAATCAAGGGACGACGATGGAGGATGCCGTTTAGCAACTAAAGCGGGGGGATGGCTTGGTCGAAAGTAAAACATTTAACAAGCAAATAATAATTTTGTTTGGGCTTTGGACAGAATATGATACTAGCGCTAAGTATATGTTTTATTTTATGTCTAAAGCCTGTTTCCGACATTTATCATTAGTTGCTTGGGAGAAAACTATCTAAATTATAATTGTTATACTGTAGAAAAATCGCTTGATATCCTGGCGTTTCCAATACTGCCAGCAGTAGTCCACATAATATTCCTGTTGAGGTATATTTATCAACCAAAAGTAGAAAATAAAGAAGCGATTCGGATATTTTCTTTTTCTACTCAGCCTCCCTCGTCTTACCTTTTCCATTTCCCAGCGTATTGACACGCACAGAGAACAAATGCGACGGATAATCATTTATTTTTGCAGTGAATGAAGATGGCCCCTTGTGATTTTCTGTATTTTCCACATTAGAGCTCTGCTTGTATTGGGATAGAACGCCCATTTCCCCTAATTTGTGTTGGAATGGCCCAGGAGTAATTATTTTGCTTGCAAGTGCAATCGTAATATTATTCATGCTGTTTGCACAAATACTAGTTGGCTAATCGTACACATTAGAATATTGGATATGCAAGTTTATTTACTTAAATTTAATGAGCGCAAAATTTACCTTTTGGCCAATAATTGTTTTGAGCATTTATTGTTCAAGGACCTGTTTTCTTACTAATATATTTGCCGCTGAAATGTATTTTGTCATTGCCAGATACGGATACAGATATTTGCAATGTTAGTATTGTTTTTAAATTCAAAATGCATGTTTGCGTGTTGAGTTGCATTTGTATGCCGGGGAAGAATGTATTCAAATGAAAATCACGCGTTCGTTTTTGACGCCATTTGTAGCTGGCTGCCAAGCAGCAAATAAACTATGTTTTCAAAATAAATTAGTGGCTCATGCAAAATATCTTTGTTGAGTGCTGCAAGTATTCTTACTAGGGACAATATGTTTTTGCTATTACAGAGTGCACAATGCTTGTGTTTTCACGAAAAAGTAGTTTCGAGTGGCTTATTTTGAATATTTCAATGCTGCATAAGCGCAACATGCTAATGCCAACCAATTATTCTGTGTTTATGCCAAGCGTATGTATATTTAACTTGATGTTTTCTTGTATAAATATAAAATTTAAAACATATTTTGTTTTTTATTATTAGTATCACTGCATGATTTTGGCGTGTATAGATGCATTTTGTTTTTGTTTTTTAAAATGCTGATTTTTTTATTTTCATTGCATTGTTCAACAACATATTGGCTCTGCCACAATATTTTTTAAACATAATGCATACATTTTTCAACTGATATTCTGGTAAACCAACGTTCATGGGATCTCAGAGCACGAAGCAACAAAAACACATCTACAATGTACTGCCCTTGGTGTGTTTATTTTTGTCACTGTATACTCATTAAAATACGGAAAACTAAAGGCACCATATGCCAATTAGGAAATGTTTTATGGCAACATAAAATTAAAATTAAAACTAAAACTTAAACAGAAATGCGACGCAATATTAGAACATTTTCATCGGAAAGAATGCGGATCAAGCTTCCAAAGGAGCACACAGCTAGCTATTCCCTTGTCAAAATATTTTTGTGGCTAGTTTATGCACTTGTTTCTTGCCATTCAGTTTCTACTTTCAATTTTTCATTCATCTCGCTTTTCCGTCATTTTTTACTAAACGGGATGTTGATAGACACAGCGCACGTTTGTTCAAGATAAAATGATCCAGGGGCCAGACATACATATTAAGGCAGACTCCGCCATATTTTTTGTATTCTCAACCTCCACGATTTTTCCAGTATTCAGTATTGCATTAAAAATAACATTTTTATTATTTTCATTTGCCACCCTTATTTATATATTGTTATCATTTGTTATTAATTCTTTAACTACTTTATTTTTGTTTAAATTTACTCACATACACGCAGACAGCCTATGCGTATTATAGAGGATATCACTCCAGAAGCGATATTTGTGCAGCCGGCGCGCAACGAAAAATATCGCTCGTTTAAAGAAGTAATTCTTAACTACTACTCGAATACCGAGTACGTTCGCACACCGCAGCAGATTCAGCAGGACCAGTTTATTTTATTTGCACGCGTGCAATGCCAAGCGTGGATGATTATACCAGTAGCTGTACTCAGCCAATTTTGCTTGGGCTCGCTTTACGCCTGGTCTATTTTCAACAAACCGATTGATAAATATCTGTTCGATGACCCGACAACCAATCAAGCCCATATCACTTTTTATATAGCGCTGGGGATGCTTGGGGCATCTGGCGCCGTTTTCGGTCCTTGGATAGAATCACACTCGCCTCGCATGTGTGCAGTACTGGCTGCAGTGGTGTTTTTCTCTGGGCACTGCACGGCCGCGCTCGGCCTGGCGTGCAAGGACATAGGGATAATGTACTTTGGATATGGCTTTGTCGGTGGCATTGGCATGGGGATAGGATACGTGACAACCATTGATGCAGTTATACAGTGGTACCCTAATGCACGCGGCTTTGCGTCTGGGCTGGCCGTCAGTGGCTTTGGCAGCGGCGCCATGGCCTTTAGTAATATCAACGATTTTCTTGTGCGCACGTTTACCGTTCCGCAGGTTTTTGTGATTCTGGGCAGCATCAATCTTCTCGTCATGCTTGGCTGCGCCATGGTTATGCGCCCGCCACCTCCACACTATAATTTGCCAGGGGTGGCTCTTGAAATGGCCAGAATGTCAATTGCCGACATGCAGCACCGTTCTATCCAGCAGAAAATCAAGGGCAAGAGTGCCAAAATTGGCAGCCAAACCATTACTGTTGGGTCCAGTTCGGGTGACCCTGTTCTGATCATCCCACTGTCAGAGGCCCTTTCGTCGCGCGACTTCTGGCTTCTCTGGGTAGCGTTTTTTATAAATCTGGTCTTTGGCGTCGTGATCATTTCAAATTTGGCTAGCATGTCGACGCACATGTTTGGCAGCAGCATGCCTGCGTCCATCATAAACCTTGTCACAATCGCCGGCGCGTTCAACGCCAGTGGCCGCATGCTGATGGGTTGGGCATCGGACTGGGCCGGACGCCGGCGCACATTTCTATTCATCATCTCACTTCAAATCACGATTGTCGCATGCCTCATCTTTTTCATTCCCCGACTCACGTTCTGGCCTTTTATTGTTTTGGTCTGGCTGGCAACTTTTTGTTATGGCGGTGGTGTCGGTGTCATCCCTGCCACATTGGCAGACATGTTCGGCGCCCCAAACATGTCGGCATGCCATGGGGTCATTCTCACCGGCTGGTCGGTAGCTGCGATCGGCGGGGGGCTTACATACACCAGCGTGGTCAGCACTTTAACAGAAAAGAAGGGATACACCCTCAGTGACCCATATGTATATGTGGTCAATCAGTATTGGATCTTGGCATTGCTGATATGTGGCTGGATTATCCTGCTTTTCGTGCGCATTACTCCCAGAGAGCGAATGTTCCCGTTTGTGCACGGCCAAGTAATTTGCCTCACACTCGCCGGATATATGTTTAGGCTAGTTAGGGGCACGCAGCAGCATGGGCTTCACGACTACACGTTTCTATCGCCTGCACGCTCAGTGGGCACCGTTGCCGGTATTGATGAAATGGACGCGAACAGTTACAACAAGAGCATGATCAACAAAGGCAAGTGCCTGAACGGTATGAGCACTGTTGACGACGTTGATTTTGTCGCGCATACTCCTCCCACCCGCATTCGCTCGAGTATTACGACACGCGGTATGTCTGTTGAGCAGGAGCCAGACATGCTGAGCACGTATATGTACGAAGACTCGCTTCTCAGTATAGAGCAGAAGCAGCAGCAACAGCAGTCCCATGAGGCGTTCAACTATGTTGCGGACAGCCGAAAAACGACATATCCTGGTGCTGCCGATTTCAACGCGCCCTGCGTCCAGTTGATGTGTACCATTCCGCCAACACGTCGCTGTTTCCAAATATTCAAGAAATGGCGACTCGAGTACGTATCCAAAGAGGAACTGACCACTGTGTGGCGGATGTATCTGTCGTGCGCGCTCCTTGCTTCAGCCAACACTGGGAAATAAGCGGCGCCATATGTTTATTTAAAATTTACAGTTCAAATTTTATTTAAATAATTTTATACACCTTGCTTTCATGTAAAACACATGCTGTACGCAATAAAGAAAATTCATTCCTTCATTGTAATCCGCGAAACGATAGGTTAAACGAATAGTTGATAGTTGATATTAGTGGCATAACTACCTTTATTTTATAAATTCCGGTTCAACTCCAAGTAAAACAAATAAATGCTTGAAGACTAGAGGATCACGCTACAAGTTAATAAGTCAACAAGCGTAAAGTAGAAATTATGCGCTAATTGGTCAATATCAAGGACTATTTATGACTTTTAATTATTGCAACTATTTTCATTGCATAATTAACATTACGCAATCTTATTTTTTAGGGGAAAAAAAGAAAAATAGTGAGTTGAGGAATTCCAGTTCATCCATTTATCTCGCACTGTGAAAATTCTGCTTTTCTTTTTTCTTGTTGCGCTCACCCCCTTGACCTAAAAAAATAGCCCAAAAATTGTGAATGACAGCAAAATAAAAAAGATGGGTGTGAGAAAATGAAAAAAAACAAGTCATGCATATCCAAATTGAGCAGTATTTCTTGCGGATTTTTCAATTCAATGGCGGCTGAAGAAAAAAATCTTGCCAAAAAAATACATTCTTGGATTAATTTTTTCATTCACAATTTCCCAATTTTTTTCACGCCCCCTGCCTCTTCCCCCATTTTTCTTTTTCTTTTTTATTTATTTATTTTTCTTCTACTATTTTTCAAGTTTAAACAACATTAATTTTTAAAAGGCAGCATCTACAGTTTGATATTGGTCTTATTTTTATTGACTATATATAAAAGTTTTTACCTTTGCGCTTTTTAATTTCATTATTTTAATTTATAGTTTTAATTTTTTTTGTCAAAAAAGGAATTCCTCTTTGGACGTTGTAGTCGCATATCATTACTGCCAATAAGCTAGAAATATCGTATCACACACCACAGTCCGAGCTAAACTTGAGAACCATGGCCAACACGTTAGAAAAAATTACAGGTCCCCCTGTAAACGCCATGCCTGCGTCCAACGAAGTAGATGCACCGCGGAAGCCCGGTCGCCCTCGCAAGACGGTGTCCGCAGCCTCTGTCAAAGAGATCGCCTCCGCGCCACGCAAAGTAGGAAGACCACGCAAGACAACACCGGAAGCCACCACTCCAGAGGTGCCCCGCAGTGCAGGTAGACCGGTCAAGGCGGCTGCAGAGGCTGCTGTGTCGGAAGCACCGCGCAAGCGCGGTCGCCCCGCCAAGGCAAAGGCAGACAGCACATCAGTGGTTGCAGAGGCGGCGGTGGAGACAGTGGTGGAGCCGCGCAAGCGCGGCCGGCCTCCAAAGCAAGCTGCAGTAGCAGAAGCACCGTCAACACCAGTGACTCCAGTGACGCCGAGCTCGGCCAGCACTGCGGGCAGATCGGCAAAGGACACTGGCGAGGCAGCTCCCTCAGAACCCCGCAAGCGTGGCCGCCCGGCAAAGGTACAAGTACAGGCTGCCCCAGAAGAGACTCTGAAGAAGCGCGGTCGCCCGGCCAAGGGAACTGCACCAGTCGCCATTAATGGCACTAAAACAAATAGTGACGAAAACGACAACGATTCCGATAGACCGCGCAAGCGCGGCCGCCCGGCGAAGCAAGCCGTTGAGGACGCTCCAAAGCAGCCCAAGAGGCGTGGTCGCCCGCCCAAGGCAAAAGAGGACAGCACGCCTGAGGATTCGCGTGCACCTGGTCGTTTGCCAAAGGCCCCCGAGTCGAACACTGCGTCAGATCAGTTGAAGAAGCGTGGCAGGCCAGCCAAGGTCGTCGCTGCTCCTGCGGTTGTCAGCACCTCGAGCGAGCCAAAGAAGCGCGGTCGGCCGCCAAAGGCGACCACCGTGAATGAGGTGGTACCAAGCCCGCCCAAAAGCCGGGGTCGGCCTCCCAGCGTTAATAGGATCAATGCTTCCAGCACTGCTACAAACGGGGCCAAGGAGAGCGCCGAGCCGAAAAAGCGTGGTCGCCCGCCCAAGACTAATGTTGTGACCAGCCCCAAGTCAAAGGTTCTTCCCAAGCTCCAATGGGTCAACAGCGACAACATCGTGCCCAGCTCCAGCTCTGAGCCCCAGTCCTAGATACATGTTCCCACATTGTCCGATCATGCCATGAGAGCGAGATTATGAGCCACATTGCCGGTAATATCTCGCAGTTGTCCGCCCCCCCTTTCTTCATCTTCATTCCATTGGTTACCAGTGGGCCCAGTAGATCCGGATCAAGCCGGATTTCTGGGTCAAGATGCAGATAATTTTTTCGTTGGCTGATGGAGAAAGTGTATTGTTTTTTTCTGCACGCATCGCCGCGCATCGCAAAAAAAAATTCAGCGGATCATTTTTGTTGCCATTGTCAGCAACTGCCACTAAAATTTTCTTTTTCGCTTTTTTTCTTTCGGTTTCTTCGGGTTCTTTTCTTAATTTTAATTTTATACTTACGACTATATATCATTTCAGGGCGCGCGCACATATTTTTGTATAACGGACATTAAGGAGCGCAACAGCCCGGTAGCCCATTCGACACACGAACACTTTATAATTCAACTTTGGCCAGCTCGTCTTCCGGTCCGCCAACCATACAATATTACGGGGAGTTTTGACTGCCTAGATGCTAAGTGGTTATCATCGAACCGGGCACAGCATAGCCTCCTCTATATTCAGCAAGTTCAGCCGCTCTAGAAGTGCACCTTCGAGCTATTCGCCCTATTTATACAACCAGAGCCAAAGCAACATCCGCCTACCGCCGTGCCGCAGCATTCACACGAGCCTTTCAACAGCCATGAAGTGGAGCATTCAGATCGTTCGGCCCAACACGCACAATGTCGAATCAACCTCGGTTCTAGTGCACTTCCCCTCGGGTAGATACCTGTTTAACTGCAGCGAGGGCACACAGCGACTGAGTTTTGAGAACAAGGTGCGGGTAAGCAAGCTATCGGCTGTGTTTCTCACGCGGGTAGACTGGGACTCTATGGGTGGGCTGCCGGGTATGTTGCTCACTCTGGCCGACACGGGCGCCAAGAATCTGACCATCAGTGGTGGTCACAATCTGATGCACGCCTTGGCAGCTACTAGGCACTTTATTCTGCGCAATCAAATGGGCGTGCGGGTCAACGAGCTGCGTGATGGTGACGCGGCCGCAGTCTACAAGGACGAAAATCTTAAAGTCGCGCCCGTGCACATTTACCCTGACGGCTACATGGTGACTGACAGGGAGTGGGGTGCTAATGAGTCAGAAGAAGCGACAACGCGTAAAATGCTGGTCGCTCGTGCGTTTGGCCAGCAGCAGCCACAGTCGGCTGCAGCTGCAGACAAGAAGAAAAAGAAAAGTCCGGCTGTGCAGCAGAAGAAGCGCGGTTATTATAACGAGCCGTGCGACGGTGCTTCTATTGAGCAGAAGCTGCAGGAGATTGAGAATCAGCACCAATTGCAGCAGCAGAGAAAGCAGGAGGTTGGCATGAAGAAGCGCACTCGCTCTCCGGACCACAACTCGCGCCAGGCCCAGATCTCTGACCTGGCTCTGCCCAGGACCGAGCCGACGCCTGTGGCGCTCTGCTACATCTCCGAAGGCCCTGAGGTGCCTGGTAAGTTTGACGTCAATGCGGCCAAGGCGCTGGGTCTGAAGGCTGGGCCGCTGTACGGCAAGCTCACAAGGGGCGAGAGCGTCACGACGGCTGACGGTACTGTCATCCACCCCTCCCAGTGCGTTGGACCGGCCAGGCTCAGCGGCATATTTATCATCATTGATTGTCCCACCCCGGCGTACATCAACTCGCTTGTCACGAGTCCGCGCTTCTTCCCCTACCTGAACGCCTCGGACGACGCGCACGCCGAGACTCGGGAGCGGCTTTTGCTTGTCGTGCACTCTCTCGGGTCCGGGGTGGCTCAGGACGATAGATATAAGGCGTGGGTGAAGCGGTTTCCAGCGCATGTGCGCCACATGGTCAGCGCGCCTGAGTACGTCCCTGACGAGAACCCTTTCCAACGGCACTTGCGTGTGCAAGCAGCGATGTCAGCGATTGACCCGCAGACGTACGTGCTTCCGCAGAGCGCTAGCGAGCCCGAGCTCTCGGTGAGGTCGTTTATCGACAGCGAGAACGCCATCGTGCCTAGCAGCCTGATGGTGTTTGATATGGAGCCCAAGCCCCAGCTTGACTGCTCCAAGGTCCAAAAGACGATCACTCCGCAAGAGATGCTGAAGATGGCCACTTTGAAGGCGGCGTCGCAGCAACGGTCTCCCAAAGACTGCACAACAGAAAGCCACGACCACTCCGTCAGCATTAGCAGCAGTATCAATTCCAGCAGCGACGGTGACGAGCTCATCGTGTGCCCTATCGGAACTGGCTCCTCGGTCCCCAGCATTTACCGCAACGTCAGCGCCAATATTGTTAGTGTCAGAGGCTACGGCGGCATAGTTCTGGACTGCGGCGAGTCGACCGTGTCACTTCTAAAGCGCTTCTTGGGTTATCCTAAGCGCAACGCGTACAACACGCGCGTCGGACTCAATTACACAGAGTTTGTCTCTTCGCTCAAGCTTTTGTACATTTCGCATATGCACGCCGACCATCACCTGGGTGCTATTTTGCTGCTGCACGAGTGGAACCAGTTGACCAAGTCGCTGGCCAGTAAGCCGCGGCTGAGTGTTGTTGCCCCGGCGCGGTTTATGGCATGGATCGAGGACTACTCTGGCGTAGAGGACCTGGGCTTGGATCGCCTAGACTTTGTCAGCTGCCACAACATCCGCATATCCTACGACCAGGCCGCCGGCGGAGTTCATTTTAGGAACGGGATTCCCACGTACACGCAGACCAATTTGGACAAGATCAAGGCCGACTTGGGTCTCACGGATATGGCCACTTGCAGCGTCATCCACTGTCCCTGGGCATACGGCCTGTCGCTGACGCACAAGAGCGGCTGGAAGCTGGTGTACTCGGGCGACACGCGTCCATGCTCCAACTTGGTCACTTTGGGGCGGCACGGCGACAAGCCCCCAACGGTTCTTTTGCACGAGGCGACGCACTCCGACGATCTCATCAAGGACGCCATTGCCAAGCGGCACACGACAGTGAGCGAGGCCGTGGCTATGGCACTGGGCATGGGCGCGGAGAACCTGCTCATGACGCATTTCAGCCAGAGATGCCTGAGTCTGCCGTTCTGGAAGTTGGCCAACGTGCAGGCGTGCAACTTGCCTCGCTACGGAAATCTTTCGCAGCACCTCAGCGAGCAGGACATTGTCAACGGATCCTGTACTAATCTTGATTCGGCCAGAGTTGGTAAGATTGTTCCCGAAGAAGAGGTTGACGAAGAGGCGGCCGTGGACGACGAACCCGACTCGCTCAACGACACGCAGTCGGCCGAGGAGGCGCTTAAGCGCGAGCTGAGCGAGCCGCTTTCGGATAGCGACACCGACGATGGCGCGAGTGACCAGTCGCAGGGTGTGCTAGACGGTTTGAATATTGCGTCGGCATTTGACATGTCCGCATATTCGCCCAGCGATATGGCGCGGTACAGGCACAACACGCGGCGCTTGCGTAAAGTTTTGCGCGAGGAGATTCGCCTTTTCATTGCTGAAGAGACCGAAGCAGCAACCAGCGGGGGAGAGGAGTCAGGGTCAGAAGACAAAAAGCCCCAGAGCAAGACACCAAAATCAAAAATGCCAAAGCCAAAAGGCAACAAAAAGGGCGATAACGGCAAAAATAGCAGCGATTGAATTTGATTTAAATATGTACACCACGCATCTATAGAATTTTTTTTACAAATTAAACATCACATATTAATTGACACACATACATGGGTATACATTTTATTAATGCAGGTTGACCACGCCATACACATTTTCTCACTTAAACCTTTAATGTTGTTTTACAACCGCTGTCTTAGTTTTTCAGGAGATGCGAAAATAAAAATGTTTATAAGCTGCTTTTTAGCATTTTGCTTTTTGATTTAAATTCTCGCCTTTGTTTGCTTTCAACTTGCGAGGACAGCACTTTGTATCATTTGCATCAGTAATCGCAAAAGACAAAAGGAAAAAGTGAAAAAGTGAAAAGACGGCGCCAAGAGTAAAGGAAAAATGTGCCTTTGAAATATCAAAACAGAATCGAAGAGGTGAGGCGAGGGAATATAAAAATGTGCTCTCTCGAGAGGTTTATATAAAGTGTAAGCTGTCATTTCATACTCTTCTTTCTTTTTCTGTCCTTCTCTTTTATTTTTTAAAGCAAGTCACATTTTACTCACTCTACTCTGCATCTGCATTTTCTACACATATCAGCCATTGCATTTTTACATATAGTATTTTACTGTTTTATATTATTTTCGACTTATCTCGTCATTTTCGCACATCATTTGTAACAACTGTAAAAAAATACACTAAAAAGTATGTCCAAGTTAGTCAGCGTTGCCATTTGCGCCATTGGGGCCTATATTTTCCACAGCATCTACAGCTCACATAGTGACTCTGCATCCTTTGCTGCCGAGAGTCAGCAGGACCGGTATCATGGAACAAGCGGCAGAACAAAGTTGCACCGCAGTTCAACAAGTCAGAAACCTAGGGCGCGGTCAGAAAATGCGTGGGGGATTGTCGATTTATATCGCAGGCGCCAGCAGCGCCTGCCCCAGCGGTCTTACAAAAGCATGCGGGCGGCATATGAGCGGTTGATGGCGGAGGGCGGTGCGCGAGGCATTCGCCAGCAGATACTCAGCAACGGAGCGGTTGCCATGAGGCAGCAATGGGAATCTGATGGCAACAATATCTGGCTCATGAGACAGGAGCCCCGCGACATGCGTACAAACCAACCCAACCTGTGGTTCCTCCACGTCTAATTAAAAAAAGGAAATTGTAAATTCTTGTTTTTTTCGTTGTTTATTGAATACACCCTTTGAATGTATTATGTCGCAAGCAATCAAATAAAGCGTGCGCTCTATCGAAAAGAGGGTTTTTTATGCCGGGGGCTGGGCGTCGTTGACAGTCTTGCGGAATAGTGAAATGACAGCCTCGGGGGACTTTGCCTTGAAAATGGATGATCCGGCAACGATGACATTGGCACCAGCCTTGGCAGCCACCTCAATATTCTCAGGGTCCAGACCACCGTCGACCTCGATGTCTAAATTAGGGTACCTCTTGCGCAACTCCCTCACCTTATCCATGCACGTGGGCATAAAGGACTGGCCGCCAAAACCAGGCTCCACGGTCATGACCAAGACCTGATCAAGCTTCTCAGCGAACTCATAGACAACATCGACAGGAGTGTCGGGCTTGATTGCCATGCCCGCTTTCATGCCCCTGGCGTGAATGTCATCGATGAGGGCTGATGCGTCTTTGGTCGCCTCGATGTGGAAGCAAAATAAGTCGGCACCGGCACTGGCAAAGTCATCCACCCATTGCTCGGGGTTGCTGACCATTAGGTGGCAGTCGAGGAATCCCTTGGTGTGTGGGCGCAGACATTTGATTATAGGCGCTCCGAGAGTGAGGTTGGGAACAAAGTGACCGTCCATGACGTCCATGTGCAGGTAGTCAGCGCCCAAACTAAGCATACGCTCGCATTCTTCGGCCAGGCGAGCAAAGTCGCTGGAGAGTAGGGAAGGCGCAATCTTTGCAATGACCATTTTGAAGGGTAGAATTTGCTATTATATTTTTTTATGTTGTGAAATGAAATTGAAGCGAGGTGAAATGTAAAGTCTAAGCGCGAACTAGTGTGGGAAAAATATGTGTGGAATCAAGGCGACAACAGATAAAAAAGATAAACCAAATATTTTGATATTTTTGTAAAAGCACCAAAAATACGGGGATAGGGGGCGGAGCGTCGCACGCATAGATTTCAGCAACACTTGATCATCATCAACAGATGATTATCCTCGAGGGAATCCAATCACATGAGCGAATTTGCTTGATCCAAAATATATTGGCGAGACATTCGGCTCGGGCAGATCCGCCGAATCACTCGGGAGGAGGTGGCGGAGGTGTTGATGGCGGCGGCGGAGGCGGAGGCGGGCTGAATACCGGAGGCGGGGGTGGAGGTGGCTGCTTGTACTGCTGCTGTTGTTGATGATGCTGCTGGTACTGATCGGCATCATTGCGACCAGAATGATAGTTGCGACTGTATTGGCCTTGGTGCCGGGACTGCGACTGGCTATGATCGTAGCTGTAGCGCGACCCTCTATTGTTGCCACCGTTGGTGCTGTCCCTCGAGTACTGAGAAGAGTAGGACGCACGACCATATTCATGCTGTTGTTGCTGCTGCTGCGGATAGCGAGGGGGAGGCGGGCCACGGTAACTGTAGTCTTGCTGGCTGGGCTGACGACGACGCAGCCACGGCGGCGTGGTTGGTGGTGCAAGTGAGCGTGCAGGGGGCGGAGACCGCGAAACTCGCGATCTAGATCGATGCTGATACCGGTCGCCCTCATAGTCCTGGTGATGGTCCACAGACGGTGACCGATTTCCACGCAGCCATGGCGCCGGTCCCAGGGAAAGATGCTGGCTTACAGAATCATCAGTGCCTGGGAGCATCGAACGGGAGGAGGCATGGGGCAGGGGTACCTCGTCTGCCTCGCGGCGACCACCACCATCAGCAACTAGGCCAGACGGTAAAGGCAGACCGGCGGCAGAATCGGGACCAGCGGCGGAAACCGACTCGCCAAGCTCGGCCATCAGGCTGAGGTACTCAGAGTTCAGCTGCTGGTCACGCTCACGCGCCTTCTGCAGAGCTTCTGGATCATGTCTCTGCGTGCAGTCGCGGGCAACATGGCCCTTGCCATTGCACACGCGGCACACAAGACTGACCGTAACATTGGTCTTTTCAGTACACTCCCAGCGGCGATGGCCCAGCGCACCGCAGTTAATGCACGCCTGGCCCTCATCGTCGCGCAGTGTTCCGTTGAGTGCCGCTAGCTCGCGCAGCTGGTTGCGTTTCAAGTCGTTGTGGCCCTCGGGTGTCACACAGGCCTTCTTGATTATTTCGCGCACAATGCGCACGCCTCTCTGCACCTTCTCTTCGGTGTCAGCGACGATATGGCAGTGCAGATCCTCGTCAGCGCCCGGGATGTTGGCGTCGTCGCGTCTCTTTCCTTCCTTGATGGATCCGCGACCACGAATCGATATCTTGGATCCCGAGTCGCCCTCGATCTTTTTCAACGTGTTGCCTCGCGGCCCGATCAAAAGTCCGATAAAGTTCAGCCCCGGGTTGTCATCAACCGGGATGAAGACCTTCTCGGAGAATCGCGATCGCCGGCGATAGTCGGCTGGTGGCCGGTACTCGGGATCACGCTTGAGCTGCTCCTCCACCAGCCGCATGCGCTCCTCCTCCAGCTTACGCCGATACCGGTGCTCACGCGTATTTGTACGCTTGCCCTCGCTGTTGTACATAGGTGCTGGTGACGGCGACCGCTGGCCGTCAGGGGGAACCACGTCGCCGCTCTTTAGTTTCTGCGTAATCTGGTCGATGCGCAGAGTAGTCGCGTAGCTTTCGATTTGCTCCTTGCTCATGCCTGCCGTCGAGGCCGCCGCTGCCGCTGGGTTGGTCTCTTTGTCACCCCATCTATTTTTGCGCCGCCGCTTGCGCTCACTGTCGTCGTCTGCACCTGTTGCACCGCCCAGCGGCAAGGTGGGCGGCAAAAACGGTAGGACTGGCGGCGTTTCTGTCGGCGTCGGCACGTTTTTCATTAAAGAGTTTGCAATTGCGCGTGCCCGCTCAGCGGCGCTCGACGCGTCAAAAGCGTGATTTGACTGAGTGGGCGTGCTGTTTCTGGCTGTGCTATGAATGCTCGCGGCTTCGTGTGGCTGTAGCAACTCCTCTGTTTCGCCGTCGCCGGCTGGACGACCTCGAGGCCCAAGGGGAAGGCTGTTCATGCCAGTTGGAGCCCAGCTCATGTTTCAATTATGTGAAAAGGTAATGTTAAATTTTATGTAATAATAAATAAATAAAAATATTAGAAAAAGAAAGCGAAAAGAGGGACACCATACAACGGAGTGCTATTTACGCTCTTTTGACTGTAGAAAACCTTGCAAAAACAGTGGGGGAGTACACTCAAAATAATGTTCAATGCAGATTTCACCACTCTTTCCTATTTGATCACAACGCTCAATCCTCCAAATCCACATCGTACTCCTTGTACATTTCCTTGACTGTTTTCCCTCGCAGCTGGGCAAGCTTCCCAAACAGGATCTGCCCCGCGTCCTTAACGTCATTGTACCGATGCAACCGGTCGATTAACTCGTCGGATAGTTGCCGCGCTTGCTGAACAGACAGGCTGCTCTTCGCCAGCAATTCATCTCTCTCGCGAGTCTGCGTTTCCAGCTCATCTCTTAGTGTGTTGATTGTTGCCTCGAGCTCGCGCTTGCGCTCATTGTCGGCGGTGGGCGATTTGAACAGGGGCGGAGGACTGTTGTCAAATATGTCTGACAACTCGGCCGTACCGGCTTGGAGGACGCTTTCAGCGGGCTTTCTGGTAGTGCTGCTGTTCTGCTTGCTGGGCGACGCATCCATCTTGTGAAATGTGGAAAAAGACTACAAAAGAAACACGCGTGAGGCTTGTGACCGATTTTCAAATATGTTTGCCGATCCGGTTCGACCCAATCCCTCACACAGCTCATCTCAATTCTGGCATTCTTAAATCCAGTGATTCGGTGATCTATGGGTCTGATCTCGAGATAGGGCGCTGAAAAATTTTCATTGTTTTGCCTGAGAAACACACCTGAGAACGCCAGAAAGGCTGCAAATAAGCAGTATAAAGGGCGACGTCCTCGCGTCTTGGAGCTCATCCTCCTCTTTCTCTTCATTCACCTGTCTTTTTCGTTTAGTTTTATTTTTGTGACAATGTATTTGTAAATAAAGGTATGCTTTCTTTTCATTGCAACCAGCTGTTTTTCACTGTACACGCCACGTTTTTCTTACTCTCTTTTGACAAGTGTTTTTGTTGTTGGTGTCGAGGTGATGAAATAGTACCCTTATTTCCGAATTTGACGCGGGATGTTTTTGTAACTATTAATGTCCCTCGCTGTCTTTTCTGTCGAAACATAACACATTTACGTGTTACCAATGAAGTTCCTCGTTTCTGATCTTCATAATTACAAATCACTTTTTGCCGATTGCGTTGAGATTCAGATTCAAAATTTTAATTTCAGATTCACTAATTTCTATTACTTTTTTGCATTCTGTCTCGATAGTGTAACATCATCAAGCATGAAATACAAATTACCACGTTGCTGACTCGCTGCTGTGTTGTAAAAGGTACAGGATTTACATTATTATTTGACAATTTTAATCTACACTTTTTGACGTTGCGCTGATGATTCATAATCACCCAATTTTTGTATGATAAAACTATGATTTTACCTAACATGCATCACCATCTGAGCTCTATAACACCAAAAACTTGATTTTTTAAAATAAAAATTTTAGCGGCTGTTGAAATATGATATGCAAAACGAAACGTTTTACTAACTTTATTGTTTTTTGCTTTGCATATTCTAGGTGTTCTTGAATTTGCCTGAACAATCTGTTTTAACGTCCCTTATCAACTGTTGGTAAGCCTGTAACTGTAAGTATCTCGCAACACATTTAAATGTGCAGCTACAAACGATTTTTGTTTTTTTTGGTCGGTGATGATCTATAACATGTCAGTTCTGCGACTGATGCAAGCTTGATGATAACCCAATTCTTACCAATTACTTCTGAGTCCAAAAGAAACATACCTGCTTATATTTGCGTGTATCTTTATCCAGCGAATTTCATTTTGCTAACTATGATTTTTATTTTTATTTTGACTTGACATAGGTACAATATTTTCAAGCATGTAACAAGAATGAATGTCCAATTGTGAAGATAAATTTTGTTTGTACATTAAAAATAAATAATAAAAATTAATTTTGGAGAAAAACAATAAACGCGACTAAAAAATATCTAAACAAGCAAAAATGTGTACATTAAGACATGAAAACAACACGCGATATGGACACACGTAAACACTTTTTTATTTGTGGCACATTAAAAGTGCACACGTGTTTTGTCCAGTTTTAATTCGCTATAATTTGACTTGATTTACATATTTCACATCTCGCCACGAGTAATGCAGCGCACAAAAGAAAACAAGAAATATGTAATTTATTACAAGTTTTAAAAAATGCTTTAGGCCTCGACAACGACGGGGGCGGTGGCGCGGGTGTAGATAAGCTGCGAGTTGTGGGCAGAGATCAGGCGGATGGAGCCGCGGGCCTCAAGGTCACTCAGAGCACGGCGGGCAAGGGAGCCGTTGATGCGCAGACGGTCAACAAGGACCGAGGGGGTGATCAGCTTGTAGGCGGGGACCTCCTTCTCGAGCTTGGCAAGAGTCTCGGCGTTGAAGTAGACGGAGTTGTTGGCCTTGTCCTGGACCTTACCCTTCGACCACTTCTTCTTGTTCTTAGATCCGACGGAAACCTTAGCAGCCTACAATGTGAAAGACATAATAAGAAGGGTGTATATAAAAATGAGAAATAAGTGCCAATTAAAGGTGTCACTTTTGATGGAGTGGATTTGCACACATGATTGCACTGCTCTTTTTTCGGAACTGGATTTAGCCTTCAGAAAAACAGCATCAGAAAGCGCAAATTCAGACAAAAGGACATTGGCAGACACTAGCCGCCTCCGCGCGGTATTTAAGTTAGCCAAAATAAAACTCTTAAGCCTTAAGAGTAGAAAAAAATAATAATCTTGGAATGAATATGAATCACCAAAGTTTCGCGTTTACATACGCACTGCTAGAACAAGCTAGCAGCAAAACGCACATATCACTACGCTCGCCAAACAGCATAGCTGCTGCATGGGCTTTGGTGATTCATAGTCAAATTGAGAATCGAATTCAACAAATTGAAATTCAAAATTCCAGAATCTCATTTTTCCTTTCCCTGGGCCGCAAAATCCGCTTTGGCACCACTCAACGCGCGTGTGTGTGTGAGTATGTGGTGTCTGTTTCTATTTCTGCCAGCCTGTCCAAAAAAGCGTATCTCTCCCAGTCTGTCAAAATCCATCGTAATGGTTGTCTATGCGAATCCATCATGGTTCCGTGTCTGTTGTGGATGGATGCGTACCATTCTGTAAATCAAACAAAAATAATATTTGTATTAGTTTTAATTGAAAAGAGGTAGAATCCATCTTGGCTGTTTGGCTTACCAGCTGTTTTGTTCAAATTGCGCCTGCCAGCATTATTTCGTGACAATTAAGCACTAAAAATATAAATGGTGTGAATTATTTCGAGATTCAAGCGAGCTGAAATAATTGAGCCGAAATAATTGAACCGAGCCATTGTACTCTATTATAAAGTTCTAAGCCAAAAATAAAATCTATGCGAATATCTCGCAGGCCGAGCTTTTTAGTTACCCGGACTCGGCGGTCTGGTGTTGGAAGTGCTCAGAGCCTCCGCCCTCGACCTCCATTCTAAGTGCGTTCTCGGCCAGTATGCGATTGCGGCCAGCGATAATCCATCTCCTTGATGACATCTCAACCAGCCGGCTCACGGCACGCTGAAAGGCAAATACCTCCTCCTCGCCGGAATACGCCAGGTCAGTCTTCTCAGCCCCAACTGGTGCATCGTGTCCCTTGAACAAGTGATATATATCTGATTCCGAACTCATGAAGAACATCGTGTGGCTTTCATACAGCGCGTCAATTAAAGTGATGAATCGCCGGGCCTCGTTGCGATCCGACATATCCATGACGGGGACATCCGTCAGAAAAATTGTGTGATAATGCTTGGCCAACTCGATATAGTCTGCAGCGCTGTGTGCCTCCTTGCACAGCTGCACAAAGTTAAAGCGCGCGACGCCGTCTGCCGCCAGGGGAACGTTGAGTGTGCGACCGAGGAACTGCAAAGGCAAGTTGTATTCGAGCGTGGCACCGCCGGATGCCAAGGCAAATAGGGCGTGTAGAACCTTGTTGGTGTCGGGCGACAGCGACGAAAAATACATGGTCTCGGTCTCCCTCGCAACCTTGCGATAGTCTGTGCCAGAATCCAAAGAAACAACCTCGCACCTCTCCTTCAGCAGTGCAATACATGGCAGGAAGCTCTCCCTTTGGATGCCGTTCTTGTACAACTCATCGGGGTGTCTGTTCGAGGTGGTCACTATAATGACGCCGTTGCGGAATAGCTCAGTGACAAGCCGGCGCAGAACCATAGCATCGGCGATATCTGTGACCTGGAACTCGTCAAAGCACAGAACGTAGACTGATGAGGCCAGTTCCTTGGCTATGGTTGGGATGGGGTCGGCGGTCGATGCGTGTATACACCGGAACGAGTTTATGCGCCTGTGGATGTCCAGCATGAAGGCGTGGAAGTGGATACGCCGTTTCTTCATCGTTGGAACGGTATCATAGAACAGGTCCATGGTTGTAGTTTTCCCGGTGCCGACGTCGCCGTAGATATACAAACCGCGCGGCGTACCCACTGGCATCGCACCATCAGACTTGGATTTTCTCAGCAGCTGCTACAGATAAAATAGCCATAGAAAAAATAGCAGCCGCAAAAAAGTAAGAAAAAAATTAACATGTCAGTTGTCATGTGCCCTGTCCATTTTTTCGCATACATCTTTTAAACCAATTGGCCTTATTATTTTCGCTGCAAAGGAGAAGGCGGCTTGCATTTTCTGTTAAACATCTCATGCGCCACGCCAGTCAACGTGCACGAGAGCTCCAGTGCGTAGTAGTCAGCAGAGCAACAAAGCAGGCAAGCAATTTTTAAAAATAAAAAACTGTACCTTCCACAAGCTACCGACACCTCTTTTCGGGGGTTCAGTCGTAGACGACGGTGTATACTCGAGCAAGTCCTGATACAGTCGGTCAAGCTTTGTTACGATAGTCCTTTGAAAGCTGTCATCAATGAATTCCCCGGCCTTAACCAAACGGGCGTACTCGTCGATAGGGCCACCATTATGAGGCCTACTGTGCGTGGATGCGGGGCTTTCTGTAACAGGAGCAATGGCCGATATGGCTGATAGCGTTTTGTTGCATATGGATGCTGTGTGAACCGTTGCTGTGTTACGTATAGATAGTGGTCTGATAGCTGACGCGGTTACCAAGGGCCTGGTACTGCTGCGAATAATTGCTGCTTTGTACACAGCGCGTCGCGTGAAAAACAGCGGTTGACGATACATTGGTTGTTTTTTAACAAAGCAGAAGAAAACAAGAAAAAGTAAATATGAGAAAATAAATGAGAAAATAAAAAGCAGTGAAAAGAAAACTACTTTCAGAAAATATCGAATTTCTTTTATCCGTTCCCTCCGCCTTTTATGTATCACTGTCGCCAGGTTGGATAAGAAAAAGTGATTTGCGCGGTTTGTATTTTTTAAATCCAAGTCAGATAACAAAATTAATCCAAAAAACTTGCCATAAATAAAAGCGGCCTCAATTGCTGAAATATTACCAAACCACAATATTCAAGGCAGTTTTTAAAATATGGCTCGTGCACGAAAATTTCAACTTATAGAGCTTTTGTAATGTTATGTAAGAGGGGGGTGGGGAGCACTACTGTAATAATGTTAAAGAATGGGTGTGAAATTATAAAGGTTTTTATTACTAGTGCTTCTAAAGTGCTATTGTCGCCGGCCTCGCCTTATATATGTATCTTTATCTTTGTGGCACTCACTGGCAGTTGTGTGCTCTGTTTGCGAGAACTGGTCCTTATGAAAGTAACCCGGGTCTCTGATATGGCATAATTGGGATGTCTGTATTCTTGCGCCCAGCACATCCATTTCGGGTCAGGCAGTATGTCCGGATGTCAATTGTGGCGCCTAATTTGATCCCCTGTAATTTGGCTCATATCCTTGGGCTGCATAACAGTAAAATTAATTGTATGAGCTTATATATGCACGTTAGGAAATTATAGATTTGATGATATTTTTCAATTGCAAATATTCAAAAATTGTACACTCACTCAGTAACGTGCACCCTGAATGTTGGCAATGTCCACCAGATGCCTGATTTCCTTGAGCTCCTCGTCAGTCAACTTGATCTTGCCAGCAGCAAAATTCTCTTCAAGGTACTTGATCCTCTTGGTTCCAGGAATGACAATCAGGTTCTTATCCTGAGCCAGCAACCACGAAAGCGCCAACTGACCGGGCTTGTCGCCGCGCTCTTTGGCAATGGCCTCCAGCCCATCGACCAGCTTGAGGTTGTTAGCAAAGTGCTCTGGCTTGAACCGCGGGTTAACACGTCTATAGTCATTCTCCTCAAGGTTATCGATGCTACGGATTTGACCAGTCAAAAAGCCACGACCCAGCGGCGAGTACGCAACTAAAGTGACACCGAGCTCGCGGCAAGCATCAAGCAGTCCGTCGGTCTCTACGTGGGTCGACCACGGGCTGTACTCGAGCTGCACTGCAGCAATTGGGTGCACCTTGTACGCGCGGCGGAGCTCATCGGCTGTGCACTCGGACAGGCCAAGGAAACGCACCTTGCCCTCCTTGACAAGCTCGGCCATGGCAGCGACAGTTTCCTCAATAGGAACGGTGGGATCCACGCGATGCTGATAGTACAGGTCAATTTGCTCGACGCCCAGGCGCTTCAGACTGGCCTCGGCAGCGCTACGGACATACTCGGGCTTGCCGCTGAGTCCAGTCAAAAGTTCTTGATAGTTGCCGGCGTAGTCGGGTCCGGGCTCGGTGAAGGTAAACCCAAACTTGGTGCACAAGAAGACCTCACTGCGACGGGTTTTCAGAACCTTGCCCAGCAGAATCTCGTTCAACGTGGGCCCGTAAATGTCAGAGGTGTCCCAGAACGTGCAGCCAATGTCAATGGCATGATTGAGCACCTTGATCGACTCCTCATCGTTAAATGAGCCGTATAAAAAAGACATGCCCATGGCGCCTAAGCCGATGCGTGACACAGCGACCTTATCGCCAGGAACGCCAAGCTCGATGGTTGGGATAGAAGACATTTCAGGAAGAATAAGTGTTGGCTGAATGTTTTAATGTGGACTTGGTGTTGTAGATATGAGTTATGAGAGACACATTCACAAAATGGTCAGCCAATTGCCAGGTATTTATACTAATTTCGATATACGACATGAAATTGTGCAAAAGTGCTCCAGGTCGGTGTCCACCCTCGTTTCGCCATCATTTTCGAAAAGTCTTGGCATTATTTTGGCGGGTTTCATGTTTAAAAAATGTGGATGCTGATGCGTATACTTTTTTTCAGTGCAAATACTTAAAAAATGTGAATCCATTTCCTTTGCAAATGCATCACGGATTTTTGAAAATCCGAAGAAAAAGGTTGCAGACATGCCATGATCGAAAACCAACAAAACCAAACTTAACACGCCCTAATCTATAAATTTTATTTCTGGCTATTATAGTTGTTAAATGGAAGAATAAAATACTTAATTTGTCAGCAGCCAATTTTATTCTTTCAAGAAACCAATGCGGCTTGTCATTTTTTATTACTGTGGTAGGTCGTGGGGAGGCTAATAACAATGTTGACCTCTTTTATCCACAACTTGTTCTTTTATTTGCAAAAATAAAATTGTAAATTTAATTTGTTTTGTTGCGATTTGAGGGGAGCACTAGTCACCTAGTGTTAAAAGTATGTTTGGGTTTTGTTATACTTTTTGTTATCAGGAGAACCAAAAGTAGAACTAGGGCCGGCCTCATCTTATATATGTATCTCGTCGCATTTGTTGTGCACTTCGCCAGTTGTGCACTCCGTTGGCGAGAATTGGTTTTTCTGCGAGCAACCCGGTGTTTTGGAATGTCAATGTTGCAATCTTTGCATATGCGCGTCTGTGCGTGTATGTTGTAAAAAGAGAGGCATATCAGGGTATCATTATTATCTCCCCTGATTTGATCCTACATTGTCCCACCTGTGCCCTGTCAATCGGCATGTTAATGAAAACTCGTTTCACGATTCTCAACCTGAATATCCACTTTCATATCATCAGGCTGCTTAACGCTAAATTAATTAACTTATTAAATGCTTGCATACTTTTTTATATTTTACATGGAAGCCAAAAAACCTAGAACTAAAAATGTTTGAAAGTTATGCTCATGTCTGCAGTATACGTTGTTAATAAGAAGATTAAGCCTATAATGTTTTTTGACGACAACAAACATAATTTTTTAGTTGAGATATGCGATGGTGATTTACTAGTCCGGCCTGATAATAATATGTATCATACAAAGATGGATACTTTAACAGTAACTGAACTCGATTTTCTATTAGCAAAGAAGCAGCTTAAAAAATATGAAGTGTAAGCGGTCAATATGGTAGAAAAATAAATGTATTTGCTATACCATAACAACACTTACTGATGTGCAATTATTGTTTACATTTGGCTAACCATGTATTCTTCGGTTGGATATATGTGGTAACTATAAATACGTTAATTAATTTTTTTAGTAAATTAACCATTTTATTTTTTAATTTGTATTAATATAATTGCTTTAAAATGGCAAATATCAAATTTAGCGTATTAATGGCACATGTAATTCATTAATAAATTAAGACGAATTCGTGACCATTTCTATTTTTAGCTTGCAACGTATTGTCAAATTGAAGTCTGCTTTATGTTGACTGGGTGCTGACTAAAAGGTTTATGTACTTTATTTTTATAATTTTTTCAGCCCAGTATAATTACTCAAAAACAACAGAAAAAGGATTGCACATAAATTGTTGCTAAAATGGTAACGTAAAAAAGTATAAAAATGGCCATCCTGCCACTCGGCTAGTACAAAAATTTATCCCAAATACATTCAACTTAGTACCAATTTTAAAATTATTCCAAACAACAACAAAACAAGATAAAGCATGGATTTTCGAGCTCACAACTATGTACATAAGGCAGACTGCCCCTGCGGAACATGCAAAAAATCAAGGGAGAACTCAAATGTGCCATCTGGATAACCATTTTCTATGGCAAATTTGTAACAAAAATCTATCAAGGTTTATAAAAAGGTTGGAGGATTTAGCACAAGGTTTGATTTTTTTGTTGCTGAACTAATAAATAAATAAATTAATGAATTGGAAAACATGAATTCAAACATTTAATGAAAAAGTTGTTTCAATTTTTAGTGACTGTCCCCCTCAGTCTCCTTCTCGGGAAGTTCATCGTATTTCTCAACACTGCCCTTGGTTTGTTTGCACTGGCTATGGCCTTCCGCAGTCACACGCTCATCAGCAGTCGCTTGGCCAAGTTTTTCCTTAGCAGCACCCTTGACCTGCTCAGCAGTGCTCTCCATCTTGCAAGCCTCGGGATGCTCCTTTTTACGCTGCGCCTGAATATCACAAGACTTCTCGCAATGCCCTTGAATTTCCTGCGCCTTCTGCTCACGCTGCACTTTGTCCTTTTCGTTGTGCTTTGCCTGAGCCTCCTTTTTGCACTGCTCCTGTGCCTGCTTTTCATGCTGCCCCTGGACCTCCTTCTCCTTGCACTCCCTCTGAGCATCCTCCTGACTCTCGTGCTCAGCCTCTTCCTTTTTCTCCTTTTGCTGCTGGGATTGCTTATCCTTGGAAAGCTCCTCATGGCAAGCCTTGTTGCCTACAGCTTGGGCATGCTGACTGTGGCCTTCTGCCACCACATCCTCGTCACCAACCACCTTGCTGACCTCCTCCTTGGAGGTGCCCTTGACTTGCTTGGCAGAGTCGTCCAGCTTGCAGGGCTCTGGATTTTTTTTTTCGGCCTGAACCTTGATATCATAGGCCTGCTGCTCGCAGTGCTCCTGGGCCTCCCTCTCCTTTTGCTTGTTCGTGGGTTTCTCCTGCTCTCTATGCTTGGCTTGGTCCTCCTTCTCTTGCTGCTTCTGGGCCTGGGCCTGAGTTTTTTGGGGCCCGGATTTCTGAATAATCTCCTCGCCCTTAGTCTCCGCCCATTGCTCACGGCCCTTGTCTGCAAGACTCTCCTTGCCCATCAGGTTTCCAACAGCCTCCTTAGTGGCACCCGCAGCCTTGTTGTAAATGTTGGACATAGTTTTGAAAAATAATAGTGTTAATTGATGTTTGAAAAAGTTTAGATATGACAGTATTCAATGAGATTGATAAGTTGATAAAGAAAAAAGGAATAGCCTTTGGATGGAACGAATTGTTGTGCTCTTTTTATACATTTGGAATAAGTGAGTAGCATCTCAGGATAGATCAAAGTTTTTTTAAAAGGAAAGGGAAAGTTAAGGGGTGATAATAATGCATCATAGCTCAAAAATGACATTGCAACATTTGATGCAATTTACTTATGCACTTGCGATTGATCTATGTTTATTGTTAAGCAAAACCAAATGTTTATAAAGCTGCGATTCAAGTAATGGAATAATGAGGAAGGGGATTTGTAGGGATTTGTGATTAAATATGATAAATTAAATTAGCGATCGTGATGTCATTGACCTTCCCCTCATCTGGAGCCAGGAACAAAACTAGCATGCGCTTTGGGTTTTATTATTATTATTATTATTATTATTATTATTATTATTATTATTATTATTATTATTATTGAATTTCTCATCTTAGTTTTGTATTCCTTTTTTCTTTCTCTTCCTCTATTCATTTTTTAGTTTTATTTTTCAATAATGTCGTATACTGAGAGTAAGTATTTATTTTTCATTTTGAAAAACATTATTTTTTTATTACAATTCCCCTTTTACATTCTTAACTTAATTATCACGTTTTAATTACTATAGAGGAGTACTTTGCGCCAGCACCAACCACCATCCGCGGCCAGCCAGTCCGGCTTTCCGCGTCTCCGCAAAACGACCTGTTCACCTATGCCAGTGGCAAAACAATCATCATCCGGTCACTCGCGGACCCAAGTAAAAGCTCCGAATACACCGGGCATACGCAAGCCACCACCATGGCACGGTTCTCCTCCTCCGGCTACTACATAGCATCCGGGGATGCCCAAGGCAATGTGCGTATTTGGGATGCCAAAACACACACACTGAAAAGCCAGTTCCGACCAATCTCCGACCGCATTAACGACCTGGGTTGGGACCACGAGAGCCAGCGGGTGATGGCGGTTGGCGATGGAAAAACAAACTTTGGGCATGTGTTTTTGTATGATTCTGGAAATACCGTTGGATGCATTGAGGGGCACAGTCGGAGGATCAACGCCTGTGCTTTGCGCCAGCGCCGGCCGTTCCGTGCTGTCACTTGTGCGGATGACGGAAAGTGTGTGTTTTACTTTGGTGCGCCCTACAAGTACAACCGCGCGCTAACGGAGCACAAGGGGTTTGTGCATGATGTCAGGTATTCGCCAGACGACGAAATGTTTGTCTCGGTCGGCGCCGACCGCTGCATTTTCCTGTATGATGGGAAAACCGGCGACGCCATCCGCCAGGTAGCCAAGACGGACAAGGAGGGTGCGCATACGGGTTCGATTTTTGCAGTGGCTTGGAGTCCCGATGCAAAAATGCTGGTGACATCGGCGGCGGATCGCACGTGCAAGTTCTGGGACGTTGCCGCGGATGCGCTTATTGGAACCGTGTGCATGGGTGATGAGGTCGGTGACCAGCAAGTGGGCAACCTGTGGGCGGGCGAGCACATTATTTCGCTCTCGCTCAGCGGCAACATCAACAAGCTGCAGGTGGGCGTTGATGCGCCGGTTCAGGTAATCACAGGACATCAAAAAACCATTACGGCAGCGGTGCTGACTGCAGAGAAAGTGCTGTACACTGGGAGCTACGATGGAAAGCTATGCACGTGGGATTTCTCTAAGGACCAGGCTTGTGGGTCGGCAGTAGCTGTTGATGGGTCGACTGGGGGTGCACGGCTGGACGCTGCTGCTACTGATGCATCCTCCAGCGTGGTTGCACTGGGGTTTATGGATAATTCGCTACGGCTCGCGAGTGATTTGAAGATTACCGCGTCTGTGGCATTGCCGGCGGAGCCACGGTCGCTGGCCATGGTGTCTTTGGAGCTGACCCTGGCGGTGCTGCTGAACGACACGCTGGTTGCAATTGCCAGCGACGGACAGCAGCAGCAGTGTGCAGGGATTCTCATTCCAGACAGCCAATCTGCGCCTAAAGCGGTTGCGCACTCCAACGGTCTCATCGCTTTGGGGTTCCATGACGGCACTGTGCGCACATACACTCTGAGTCAAAACAATAACGGCAACACAGGAAGCATGCTGCAGCTGCTCCCGACCGGTACATTTATCGAAGGTCACAACAGAGAAATCACCGTGTTGGAGTTCAGCCCACAGGGCGGTGTTCACCTGGCATCGGGAGATGCTGGTGGAAAAATATTCGTGTCCCAGGCAAAGGACGGCGCGTTGGTGACGGCACGCTGGGGGTCGCATACTGCGCGGATCTACGGGATCGCCTGGTCACCCTCAGGTCTGCACGCCGCGTCGGCATCCTTGGACGGCCACTTGATCATCTGGAGCATCGAGCGGCCGTTGAAGAACATCCAACTGCGGAACGCGCATTTGGGCGGCACCACATCCGTACACTACCTGTCGGATACGCGGGTGGTCAGTACGGGAGCTGACGGTGGAGTTAAAGTGTGGGAAATCACAAACCATTAACACTTTATTTTATTAATTTTAATGATGGATTAGTAATAAAAAGTAATGGTTCTAAAGATTTGTAAAAGTACACGCAGCTGGTTGCGCACAATAAGAGTATGGTGAGGTTAAGGCTGAGTATGAGGGATTTGAATAGCGGTTCGAGGTCGCCTAGGCGGTACCAGTGGACGAGTCGCGCGTGTATGGAGGAAAGCAGGAGGGTGGTGGACCCAAGGAGAGCATGGAGTGGTGTTGTCTGGTGGTAGGAGGCGAGGAGAGACACGAGAAAAGTGGCCGTACAGACTGTGGTTATAATTGGGTTGGCGTAGCGTTCGAGGAAAAGCTCATGACGGCTGGTGCCACCAAATAAGGGTTCGTCCATGATAGTTAGTTATTTAATGTGTATTAGATAAAGGTAGTGTGGTAATTAAGAGCGGTTTTTATTGGAGAATAATAATAATAATAATAACAACGTGAATGGAAAAATAATAATAATAACTAAAGAGGAAGGGATAGGAGGGGTAATTTTATGCCTCCTATTATTCAAAACAAAAATAATAGAACAAAAACAAAAAACAGGCAAGCAGTAGTGCTCATGAAAAAAGGGGGGCATAATGCATAAACTCAGCTGGTTCGGATAAAGAAGGAAAAAAGTGTATTGTGTGTTTGTGTGTGGGGGGAGGGGGGGAAGTATTACACACTATATCCCAATACACAACATAGACACATCGGGTGCAGATCACTCCAGATCATCTTCCCCACCAGCAGCACCACCATTGAAGCTGGATTTTGTTGCTGCTTCTGCTGGTGCAGAAGTCAAATACGCCAATGAAAATAAACCCTTCGACATGGTCGCCATTGAATCACCACAGGGGTTCCAAGTCATCGCGCCAACGCCCGCACCAGCAGCAGTCACGGGGACCTCAAACAAATGGCACCCCTCCCCCTCCCTCCACAAGTACACCGACGCCGAACCCGTCACAAAGCCCAATACACTCTCCACAGGACTCCACCGGCACGCACGCAACACCCCCCTTGTCTGAATCACTGCCACCAAACGCATATCACGGATACGCCAGATCCACAGCGAATTCGGCATCCCATCGCAAACACTCACCAATAAAGTGCCATCAGCATTAAACTCCAGAATCGAAATACCACCGCCATTACCCGATGATCCCGGCCCCACTGATGCTGGGTCAGACGCAGGTGGGTCGACTGCTCGGTGGATATCCAGTGGCTGGACTACGTGGATCTGTGCCGGTGTGGGCATTAGGTCAAATCGCGTATGTCTGCGGTGTAGGTGCGGCTGCTGTGCCAAGAGCGCCTGCGATGACTGCGCCAGGGTCTGGCCAACCACCACCTCGGAAAACACATCCACAGGCCCCTGGACCACCGCGCGATGCACCAGGGCGGCAATCGGTGACCACGTCAGATGGTTCAACACGCGGATCACACGGTCATACCCGCCAACAGCCAGGAACTGCGCCGACGGCGCCCACGCCACCTCGCGCACACCCAGCCCCTCCACCCCCTCCGGCCGCGTATGCATACGCTTGAACATCCCGCAGACATTCATAATGCTCACCGCATATGTCGCCGCCGAGTCCCACGCTGCCAGGTGCAAGCCATCGGGGCTCCACCGCAGCCCAACCATATCCATGGTGCGCGGCTCGATCTCGCATACTAGATGCCAATCTGCCGTTGCGTAAATCCCCACTACATCCCGGTACTCTCTGCGCTGCGCCACCGCCATATAAGACCCCAGGGGGTGGAACGCCACAAGGGGTGTCTTGGGAAACTGCACGTATCTACGGGCCTCGCCTGCCGCCGTGGCCGAAACTGACCAGATCGAGAGCCGCAGATCCAGCTCACTGAATGTTAAAATATGCCGGGAGTCTGGTGTCCACAGCGCCCGCTCAATACAGCAGACTTCGTCGGTGATTGTGCATTGCCATTTGTCGTCTGAAAGTGACCAGACGTCTACCCGGTTGTGCGTGTAGGAGCAGGTGAGCAAGTGCGTGCTGCTCGGCGACCATTGGATATCCTCGATGTAGGGTGCTGTGTCGTAGGGCGTGACGCAAACCCGGTGGACGCGCTTTGGGTTCTGCGCATCTCGGACTATTAGTCGGTGCTCGACGGAGACTGCAATAAATGCCCCGTCGGGGGAGTAGCTGACCAACGCGCTGTTACTCTGCTTGTACAGTTCGGTGAATTCCATTATGGATTTAATAAATTAACGAAAATTTGTAAACGGAAAAAAACTGAATTGCAAAAGAAAAAAGTAAAAGTAAACAAAAAATTTTAATGTTGAAAATTGAAAGAGAAAGAGAAAGAATTATAGGAAAAATAGAATGGCTTTTTTTGGCTCAGTTCACGATTGGGCTTTGCCTTTACTCAACAATGGCAGAAGCCTTGGCCTTCTCCTTCTTGGCCTTGGGCGTGCCCACCTTGTGGATATTGGCCAGCGTGCTGCACAGCTGCTTGACGGCCTGCGACGAGTTGAAGCTCGGCGAGCACACCACGCAGCCAAGGGACTTGGTCCACTCGGGCGTAGTCTCCAGCGCACCATCAACAGCCTCCCTCAAAACATCGGACTTGACGCACCTTGTGATCAGCTTGACGGAGAACTGCATAATCTCACGCATCCGCTGCTGATCCAAAATCAGCTTCCCGGTGGTCTCGTGCTTGTTCAGGTCCGACCCAGCATACGCAAACGTCTCCTGCAGCGCCTTCTGCAGCTCGCCCAGCAGCTGCGCTGTCAGCGCAACAAACGGCTTACCGTCTTCCGCCGACAGCCGCGGGACGCCGGCCAGGATGGTCTCGGCCAGCGCATATGCCTGCACCTGTCGGAAAACATTGACAGCCTTAAGCGGCCGCCCGTACTCAGCTACCGAGGCAATGGCAATGCGCCAGAATGGCTGCAACTGCGCCGGCTGCATCCGGAGACAAGCAGCGGAAAAGAAATCGGCAAAAAGCTGCGACGCCTTGCGCGTCATAAAGTCCGTCAGCGATGCCCGGTACAGGTCAAACACCTGGGGCTCAGCCTCCGGGTGGTTGTCCAGGACGGTGCGGGCAAGATACGCAGCGACAGAGCTAAGCATCTTGAGTGCACTCTTGTCCGCCGCCCGGCGCGCGCGCTCATGCACGGACGCTAGCAGATCAAGCACGGTCTGGAGCTCAAAGCCCTTGGGAACGCCGGTGCGGCGCGCCGACAGGATGCTCATTGCGCGGTCGTGCACCGGCTTGGACCGCGAGTCCTTGTGCGTGGACTTGGCAAGGTCCAGCAGCGCCGGCAGCAGCCGCAGCACCAGCGGGCTCTCCGGCTGCCGCGCCATGAATGTGTCGGCGAGGTCCAAGACGCGCAGCTTAAAGTTGACGAATGAGATCTTGAGGTCGCGCGCGTCCTGCTTCTGCTGCTTCTTGTGGTGGAAGATCTCCGCAAGCTTGTCGTCGAACACCTTCATCTGATCGTCGTCGAACTCCTCCTCTTCGCCGCTGGCGCTGCGCTCAGCCTGGTCCATGTCGCCGGACCCGTTGCCCAGCGCCTCCTCAATCTTGCGCCGCAGCTCCTCGTCGACCGCCTCGACTTGCTCGAGCTCGTCATCAGAGTCCGAGTCCGAACCCGAATGGCTCGCGTCAATGTCCTGCTCGCCGTCGATCAGCTCCATCTGCGTCTCAACGTTGCCGTCATCGTCGCCTGTAACGCCCTCGCGCGCCTGCAGGACGCCGATGATCGAGTCCAGCGCATCAGAAGTCATCAGCCCTGTGAAGGGCGCAAACACCTGCTCGCACAGCTTGCGCAGCGAGTTCGAGTCCTTGGTCAGGAGACTAATGAGGATGTCCGTCAGGACCTCGACTGGCTTGGGCTCGTCATCCTCTGACAACTCAGCCGCCGCAGCAGGGGTAGCAGCAGCAGCAGCAATCGCCGCTGCCTTCTTGGCCTTCTTGGCCTTCTTTCCGGTTGGGTCGAGCTGGACAATGATCTTCTCAAAGCACTCGTGCAGCTCGGGGATGACCTCCAGGTACTCGGCGCGCAGACCAGAGTCCACCGTGAACGTCGCCATCATGCAGATGTTGCCGAGCAACAGCTCGAGCGCGCGGAACCGCAACGCCGTGTCAATTGACTTTTTCGCATACTGCACGCTCCTGGCCTCCATCGACCGCATGACCTGGAGCATCTTGACAAGCGTAGGCTTGATCTCCTCAAACCCGTGCAGGCTTACGCCGACCTTGGCATTGGCTGCGCCATCGAGCAGCTTGGCAATGACTGCCGTCGACCAGACTGTGCCGTTGCGCGAGCAGCCAGTGGAAAGGCGCCCAGCAGAAGCAGCAGCGGCATCCGCGGCAGCATCAGCGGTGTCGTCCTTCTTGTGCGTGCTCATGCGGTTGAGGTCGCCAACAAACGAAATCAGGGTGACAGCGCAGTACTCGCGCGACGCCGAGGACAGCGGGGGCGTCGGCCGGACCTCCAACTCGGCCACGCCGCAGCCGGACGTCCCAATGGTCGTGATGGTCTTGAGTGCCGCCTGCGCCGTGATAAAGTGCAGCACATTGGTCGTCAGCTCGTCGGTGATCGGAAGCTGGCCGTACTTGGCCACGCGGATCATCTGGTCAATCGCCCACCCACGCTGCTTCTCGATCGACTTGTCCGACACATTAGTGACCATGATGGGGTCGGCAACGCCGGTGGTGTTTTTCCGCGCGAGCTTGGGAGTTACAAAGACCTTCTGCAGGTAGTCGACGTAGCCGACAATCGCCTCGCTGTCGAGCTTGGCCACAATGCGGTTGGCCATCATTGAGCGCAGGTTGTTGGTGTTCGGGCCCGACGACTGGATCGTGGTCCGCTGGTTCAGCAGGTGCGTGAGCACAGCCAGTCCGACCGCCGTGTTGCCCTCGCAGATCTCAATCAGCTTCTCAGCCGTGCGCAAACCAACCTTGGCCAACAGTGACTTGCCGCTCAGCGAAATGTTGTCCGACAATCCGCGCACAATGTTGGGCGTCATCATTGCCGGCACGTTCTCCTCGCTCAGGTGCGGCATCAGGCGCTCGAGCAGCAAAAAGCCCCAGTACCGACGGAACTGGGATGCTCCGGGAGCAAACAGCCCCCTTTCCACGACATGGTCCCAGACAACCTCAAAGTCCATCACCGCCATGTCCGCCACCTCCTGCGCGCGCTCCTTGTTAAAGTACAAGTCAAAGATCTCCGTCCATACCGTGTGCAGCTGCGAGTGCCAAGTGGAGAACAGCGCCGGGTTATCCGTCGAGGTCTCGCAAAGGATCGCTGCCAACTTGCCGACGTTCTTGTAGCTCAGCATGTGCTTGCCCTGCCAGTGCGGGAACGCAGTGTACCAGTTGTACGCCGGGTATTCGCGCCGCAGGCGCATCGCCAGGTAGAGCTCGTCGGGAGTCTCAATCGTGCCCTTGTCCAGTGCCACGGCGACAAACATCGTGATAAGCTCGTCCTTGAACTCGAACTTGCCCAGAACCGGCACCATCGAGGTCAAAGTCACGTAGGAGATCTCGCGCAGGTATGACTTTCTCGACCCAATGGCGGTCAGCTCCATGACGATCTTCCGGATATCCACCGCCGTCGTGCCCGTGCGCTCGATGATCCCAGATTGCACCAGCGCCATGAGACCAAAGATGCGCCCGAAGCGCATGTCCCGCTGCTCCTGCCCCTTCATGCTATTTGTGGCCTCTGTGAACCGCCACAGAAGGCTCAGCACAAGCTTGACCGAGATGCAGGGGATCCGCGCAAGCAGCTCGGACAGCCCAATCGAGAAGCCCTGGCGTGCTCCGTCGCGTGGACTGGCAAGGCCCTTGATCAGACGCGGAATCGCATATGCTACGTCGCTGGCGCACAGCTTGGCCATCTCCTCCTCGTTCGTTGCCATTTCGTCGGTCTGCGGCATGGAGTTCTGGAACTTGACGAGCGCTGCAATCAGTTGTGTGGCCGAATCAATACGCTGCTTCTCGTCCAAGGACGAAAGCCCCCAGTAGAAATCAAGTGTGCTCGAAGACATGGGTCGTTTGTTTGTTTTTTATCTCTTCTTTTATGTTTCAAACTATTGAGTGACTAAAGAAAAATATACACCTCTAGCCAAAAAAAATAAATGAAATAAAAACGTGGGTGGAAAAGTAAACACAAGGCAAGGTAAAGAGTAATAAAAAAGAGAGAGAGAGAACTAGCGAGGTGCAAGGTGAATAATATAAAAAATAAACAGTGTAACGAAGAACAAAAGAAACAAAAAAGAGCTTTCACTTTAAGAAAATAATAGCTCAAGGATCAAGTGAAAAAAATAAAACTGTATGCTTGTCCACTTCAATTTTTTTTTTACAACCAAAAGCAAAAAAAAAATTGAAGCATTGGCGACTCTGCCAAATATTTTTTCGCTTTTTTTTTCCTACTTGATCGTTTTTCTTTTTCCAAAAAAAAAATACTTGATTTAATATTAATCTTCAAGTATATCTAATTATCCGACCCAAACTAAAAAAATAAAAATGCAACTAGCGGGAGACATTCCCTCAAAGTGCCGCAAAAAAAATGAAAACCCGTCTTATGAAAAACCGCGGACAAATTTACATGGTTGCATAATATTAGGTGGTCTAAGATAAAGAGCAAAAAGTCTTTTTATCTTTTTCTTTATTGTCACTTTATTCCCATTTTTAATATAGAAACATTTCAAATTATAATCATGTCTGCATCGGTTCGTCAGGTTTCATCGCTTTTCAAGGTACATTTCCGCCCTATTTTCTTTGAGTTGGAAGGGACAACAACGACAATAACAATAACAAGCTAGAATTCACGCACAACCCTCAGTTTGTTTTTTGACAGCAACAGCAACTAAAATTGTATAACAAAACACTCACAAAAAACTTGAGAAAAAACATCACCTCTACCTGTTATTTTGAAATTTCTAAAATGTAGATTGGTCGCTGGGCTGCTCTGGGCGCCGGTCTCTCATACGGCTACGTCCATGCCCGTAGTCTGAAGAAGGACGCCGACGTCAGACATATTGAGCAGGAGTACGAGCGCAAGGTCGCTCTGATTGAGGAGGCCAGGAAGAAGTTTGCCGAGTCCAAGGCGACTCCCGATAACAGCAGCGGCGCAAAGTTCAACTTTGACGACCCCAACTTTGACGCTGACAAGTGGGCCAAACACCTCGAGTCCAAGTTCAAGTAAAACTTGACTAGAATATTAAATTTGTAACGTTTAAAGGATGGAAATAAAAAATTAAACATGGAAAAACGTTCATTTTCTTTTTTTTCTTATGATCTGTTTGTTGTTTCTTGTTTTCTTTTATATATTAGACTGAAGAAAAATACTTAACACCCACGTTCACAGCGTCTGCCTCACTTGATCACGACCATTTCAGCAGCTAGGATTGCGCAGCACACGGCCAGCTGAACGGGCAGGATAGGAAGACACCAGCGGATGAATTTGAAGTACCCAATATGTCGTCCCTTCTGCGCCGCAATTCCCTGGAACATCAACCCAGCCAAGCTCCCAACCAAAGTGAAATTAGCCCCCAAATTGCTGCCAACAATCAGCGCAAACAAAGCGCCCTTGCGCGTCCTATAGTCCACGTGAAGGAGGAAAACCGGGTGCTTAAGCGCCCGAGTAAACAGAATAGTCATCGGCAAGTTATTCAGAACATTGCAGGTCAGGGAACTCACAATGCCCACGATAAATACGGCAGGGACAACCGACGGGCACATGTGCTTGAGAAGCCAGGCGAGTCGGGGCGTCCATCCGAGCTCTGATAGGCACTCGACCATGATGAACATCCCTATGGAGAACGGCACAATGCTGTAAGGAAGCCGCTGCACAACCGCTGTCACAGTTGGCAGCCGGTGGACGCCCACTTTGTGTATTTTTTCGAAACCCTTTTTGCACTTTGCCAGTGGCTTCGGTTTCTTTCGAGTGTCGATTTGTTCGGACCGAGTGCTTGGTGCTACATTTATTGTCAGCTGGGTTTCTGTGTGCAAAAGCAGGTGCGTATTCCTGTGTTCGGTGTCCACCACACCTGGCGCTTCCGAAACCACAGATGTTTTTTCAGACCCGTCTAATGCTGCCACTGGTCGTGTCTGGTATATATCGATAGCTGCGTCAATAGCCAGCATGACAAACCCAAATGGCAGCGTCACAATCCACACTGCGACTCCGTAAAACGACGAGACGCTGAGCACAATAAGGCACATGGCCAGCAAACTGGCGCCAAACACCGCCTGCCTTGGCTTCACTAGCATATCGCGCGGCTGAATACTCATATCGACAGAAATCTCGCGCGGAATAACGCGCAAGCACATGAAATGCAGGACAACTGCGCCAGCCATCACTGCGCCCAAAAACGGCAACGCCATCCAGGCAGAGTACAGTAGGAAAGAGATGCCATTAGCTTGCGCAGCAATGATGTTCGTCGGATTGCCGATATACAGGGCCATTGAGGCAGTGTTTGCGGCGACAAACATGGCAACGAGGAAGGGCTCGGCGTCGATACCGGTGGTGTCGGAGAATATGCAGATAATTGGCGTGAGACAAAGGACTACGACGTCATTGCTGGTGAGTACCGCCATGATTGTGCTCAGGGTGTAGAAGCACAAGAGCAGCTGGCGGCCGTTGCAGCCCCATCGCTTGGTGACATGCATGGCGATGTAGCTGAGCAGCCCGCTCTGGTCCAGTGATATGCAGATGTAGGCTAGGGCGAATATCAGGATGACTATAGCGTAGGGTTCGATGCCGTCGCTGCCGACGAAGCCGCGCACGACCTCCTGTCGGAACTTTATGGCCGTTGACGCCAGAAGCACAAGGATGGCTGTCCAGGGCGCCAGCTTCATGTCCATGTGGATGCGCACGGTTTTCCACCTGATTGGCCGGATGTGGGTGGGAAGCGGAATTGGGATGTGAAGCGGCCGGATGACAAACACGCTAACTACTATGAATAGGGCGAGCACCAGCCACGATCTCCACGATAGTGGCGGGAGTTCGTCCCCGTCCCTAGGTACAATTGCCCTGGCTGCGGACAAAGCATCCATCCTTTGTTTCCTTGTGTTTTTCTGTTTGTGTATGCAAGTTTGGAGTTACGATCCGTTGTAATAATATTGATATTGATATGGCTTGGTAAGAGTAAAAGAAAATATTAAACGGAACAATAAAGTCAATAATGGTCTAATAAAAGCCACTTTCTTAAACTACACTACGTTTGGCCGTGGCACTTTTTCATTCATCTCACCCTTTCCCCTCTTCTTCCCCCATACGCACGCACGCAAATGGCACACACCACACCGTTCTTGTGTGTGTTCCTCGATTCGATCACAAAAAACATTTAAGCATACTCATGGATATTATTTGGGCAGAATAACACCCATTGTAATTTTGCGCACGCACGCACGCACGCACGCACAGAAGCACGCGACAAGGAGAAAGTGAAATTTTTTGATCCAAAATGTCTGACCCGGAGGCATAAACAAGTCTCATCCTTTATTCAACAAAACAAGAGAGATAAAAATTTTCAAGTAGAAAAAAAAGCGTTGAGCATCTTTTGCTTTTTAATACTCAAAAGGCTCTTCGTCCAATCCCAGCCACTCATACAGCTCATCTCCTTCGTTGGCCTTGAACGCATCCTCAAAGAAACCCTTGAAGTCCCCATCCACATAAACCTGTGGAATAGTCATATTTCCCAGCGCCTTCCGCCGCACATACTTCTTCGCCTGCTCGTCAACAGCAAGGCAAATGAATTCAAAGTCAATTTCGTTGGCCTCCAGCATCGCAAACAGGTCGCGCGCCTGCCTCTTGTATGTGCGGTTGCCAGACACTGTGGAGCCGTAAATCTGAACACGGGGTTTGTCCATGCCAATGTCCTCGGCAGACTCTGCTGCCGCTGCCGCTGTCTCCGCCTCTGCGCCGGAGACCTTCCGTGCTGCCTCATTGGAATTGGTGTTCTTATTGCCCTGTGCGTCGCTGTCCTTGGGCGCCTCCTCTGCCTGTTCAGTCGGCTGCTCGGTGGTCTCCGCTGTGCTTGGCGCGGGATCACTAGCAACAACACGTGCGCCATCAGCACCATCCTCCTGGCTTCCAGTCATCTCGACATCCACAGGCTCATCAGCTAAAGGCTCCTTAATGGATTTGGCACTGGCAGGTGTCTTCTCAGCAAGATCGGAGACAATATCTATGTGCTCATCAACAATAATATCAACAACGGGGGGCTTGGCCTCAGCGTCGCTCTTGTCAACATCCATGTCTTGATCAAATTTGTCGCTCTCCTCTGCCGTTGCTTCAATTGCCTTGTCGACAGTAATTAAAACGGCGGTGACAGGAACCACGTCGACAGCCGCATTGATTTCCAGCACCGAGCGGGGCTTGGCCATGACGTCAGGGCCACTCTCCTGCAATACAGGCTGCGCCGGCTGCTCGAAATCCTGAGCATCCTGAGCATCCTGAGCACCCTGAGTACCCTGAGGATCCTGGACATTCTCTTGGGCAGAAACACTGTTAACATTTTCCTCCTCTTCCTCTACTGCGACCAATGGCCTGCGGATACTCTCCCTCACTGCGTACTCAACGGGCCTTTGCTCGATTTTTTCAACAGCAGGTTCGTGCAGGTTCTCGGCAGGCGCCAATTCCGTCTTCTCAGCAGGGCCTTCCGAAGTAACAGGTTCCGCTGGCTTGTCAGTTTTTCCAACCGCCTCCACAGCTGCTGCTGGTTTGGGAATGACTACGGGTCCAGGCTCGATATTGGCCGTTTCTCTGATGGCTCTCTGGATCGGACGCTCGTTAATATTGGCCGTGGGTGCGCGCGGGATTTCGACCAAAGCAATGTTGCTTGCGCTTCTCATTCTTCTACCCCCAGGAGCTGGCGGTTTGAGTGTTCCCGAGGAGGAGGGTTTTGAGGAATCCATTTTTTCGTCATACGCCTTGGTGTTTCCAGCAGGGCTCGTGGGACCCGGTACCCCACCTGCGGAGGAACTGGCCGTGGGGGATGCAATGTCCTTAGTGTTGCTGAGGCTGGTGTTTGTGGGCATGAATAAGAATATGTGTAATAAGATAATATGTAGGAGGAGAATAAGGTAGGAGTTTGAAATGCAAAATAAGAGATGACCTCTATTTGTTTACTGAATTTCTAAAAATAAAAATAAAAAGGTTGAGAAAGGAAAGGCAAAGCAAAGCAAGGCAAAGGCATCATTGCTACCAAAAAATAGAATCGGCAGGAGGAGCGGCGCGTAAAACTTGTATATTTTTGTCTTTTTTTGTCTCACATGACAAAGCCAAAAACAAAAAGTAACCCACGCTTAAAAAATGGACTTGAAAGTAAGCAAAAAGTGAGCCAATCACAGAACGTACTTGTTCAATCACCATACTTTTTTATCTATGCCAAAATAGCGACCGCTGCTAAAAAAAAAAGTTTCATGTTTTTTGTTTTTGTTTTTGTTTTGTTTACATTTACATTTGCATTGTTGAATTTTGCTAGTTTTTCTTATTATTATCATTACAGATTCTGTTTTATTTTATTTGTAATATGAGCACACAGGTTATCATTGACAGGATCGCTCAGAAGAAGCAAGAGCTAGCGGCGCTCGAGCAAGTCCAAGCGTTATCGGAAAACACTGCCTCGCATTGTCTAGAACTCAACCGCCAAATGGGCAAAGTGGTCGAACAGTACAAGTCAATTCTGGGAATAGCCAAGGGCTGGTCTGGTGCATTCGAGAATGCCGCTTTGGTTGATATTCCACAGACTAATTCGAACGAGGATGATTCTGACCAACCTGAGAGTGTCATTCGGATACCTGCTGCTGCCGAAAGTTTGTGAAAAAAACCCAAGTTGATGAATAAGACTGATTCCTTTTTTTCTTCAGTTGTTGTATATTTTTAATCGAAAAAATCTAAATCAAATCAATTAAATACGCTGTGTATTTCTATGACAGAAGAAAAAGTGGGTAATGTTATGATGGGAGTGAGGTTTCATCTGCTTTTGAAAGCCTTTCTTCCTTTAAAAACTTTAAATATTGTCACACACTCACACTCACACTCACACTCACACACATCTTACGAGAACTCTTTCATATCAATGGAACCCGCAGAGCAAGCATTTTTGGATCCCCAGCAGCATCAGCAGCAGCAGCAAATATTGGGAGCAGAATCGACAGACACACTTATTGAAGCCCAGCGAATAGCTGCGTTTGCAAAGTTCAAGCCCGAGTACTTTTGGGAAGAAACCAAGGAAATGCAAATACAAGACGAATCGGACACCTGGCGCCTATTGGCCTCAGCCAGCATCGAGGACGCCGAAGAATGTCATTTTCTAGGAGTAATGGATAAATGGATACAAGCCGCGGAGCTAATCATCCCGCCAGTCAAGAGCACAGAGATCCTGGAGGACTGCGTAACAGAAGACGGAGCCACTGCGGGCGAGCTCAGGCGTGTGCATCGTGTATTGGTTCCAAAGCGTAAGCTCAAAGATCCGCTTCTCGAGGAGGACGTCATAGTCAGCAGACTGAATAGCGGGATATACACTCGGTTCATCCCACGGGTCAGCGACCCCTCGGGAATTCCGTTCTACTACCCGAGCGTGCACGAGTTTGCCTTTGGCTACGTTGAAACGGGAAATTCCACACAGCACGACAGCCCATCCTGTAAGCTGGTCATTATTGTGCGTGAGTTGTCGCCCGGCTCAACAATAGTGACAAAGAAGCACCGGATGGTTTGGCAGGATCTCATAAAGCGACTGTACAAGTGGACAGCCACTGAGCGCTTTGGCTACCAAAAACGAGTAGAACACGATATTGTGGTAAGCTACGACCTGTACACAGCAAAGTATCAGGAACTGAAGGCCAAATACGCTCTGTATTGGGTCGAGAACTGGCCCGAACAGACAGATCCGCGGAAATTCGTCTATGAAGACATCGCCATAGCCAGCTGGATCATCTGTCTATGGCAAGGCAGCAATAGCGCCAAAGCCAAGAGACCAAGGTTTGTTGACCTCGGCTGTGGCAATGGCTTGCTTGTGCACTTGCTGAACAGCGAGGGCTTCTCTGGATACGGAATCGACCAGTGTTCGCGCAAAGTGTGGGCGCATTTCGGCGAAAAAACCGATTTACGAGCGCAGACGCTGGTGCCGTATGAGTTTTCAGCGGAAGATGTGGACTGGATAATTGGAAACCACGCCGACGAATTGGTTCCGTGGATACCGATCATTGCCGCACGAACCACTGGCGCATCAAAGCCGGGTTTCATCATTATTCCTTGTTGTCCACACGACTTGTCCGGCAAAAAAATGGTCTTCCCTGTGTCGGCCGGCCAGAGCAAGTATCACTTGTATGTGAAGTATATTGTTAATTTGGCGGAGAAGTGCGGATTTAGCGTTGAGAAGGAGTTTTTGCGGATCCCGTCGACGAAGAATGTGGCGATTGTTGGGCGTAGAAGCGACTGCCATGCGTACAGGGCTGCGCATGCCGAGGAGTTGGCGCGCACGGGCGAGCAGGATTTTGTCGCCAGAGTGCCAGACTCTGTGAAGAATGAAATCCGCCTGGCCAAAATGCGCGAGCGCGACCATTGTGCAACAAGCAATTAATTTTTTTTATTTGGCAGCGTCTCCCACAATTTGGCCCATCAATGTGTGGGTCACAGTTTTGCCCACCCGCAGATTATTTGTGAAATGTTTTAAACGTCGATGTAGTAGTAATCGCCAGAAATGATGAGTCCAATAAACATTTCCTAATACAAAAGCTGAGGAAGCCTCCTTGTTGAACCCTCCCTGCTGCCATTTTATAGGCAGCTAGCTAGGTATAAAATCCTGGCTGCTGCATTAATGCCTGCCTGCTCGGCATTGACTTAGGTTCAGCTGAGCCGAGCCGAGAGCTTGCGAGCCATGTGGTGATTCTCACCACAGTCGGTAACCGTGCATTGGTATTGCTAATACATAAAAAAATTAAACTAAAAAACTCAAATTGGTTATTTATGCTGCTTGCGAAAAGGCTTGTCTCGCTTAGAGAATAGGGTTTGCAAAATTGTAGATCCTGGCGCCCTCGGCGTAGTCCTTGCCAGGCAGTCTTTCGCTCAGCGGCGGGAACTTGACGCGCTTGTCAGCGTAGTACTCCTCGCGCTTGTCGCCCTCAGACAGCGGATTGTACGTCATGTACAGGTTAGCGCGGCTAACATCAGACTCATTTGCGCCCGACTTGTGCGCCAAGTACGAGCCAAAAATAAGGATATCGCCGGAATTGCACTCGACAGGAATCCAATTTTTATCGCAGCACCACTCTTCGATAATGGACCCATCGGGGTGATGCGGGATAATAGTGTGGGCAGCATGGCTTTCAGGAACCACATGCAAGCACCCGTTTTCCTTGTATGAGCCGTCAATGGTGAATAGCACAGTTATGTGGTTGACCTGGCCGAGATGCGTGAATGCCGGGGCATCCTGGTGCGGCTTGAAGCCTTGGCCGCCGGCAAGTTTTGCGTTGATCTTCTCCTTGAACAAAACGTAGGGCTCGCCGGTCAGTTGCTCGAGAATGCCCGCTATTTGCGCACCGCTGACAATATGACGGATGTGCGGGCAGTATGGGGTAAAGTTTTCTGTGCGGCAGAGTAGCATTCGGTCAGTTTTCGGGTTGCGCTCGTAGTAGTTCATCCATTTTCCCGGAGTGTCTGGCCAGCTTTGGATTTCACGCACGCTCTTGACCATTTCTTCTGCTTCTTTGGCGGAAAAAAGATCGGTGATCTTGAGAAACCCGTCCTTGTGGTAATTGTCGATCTGCTCTTGGGTGAGCGCGTACTCGTAGGCCATAGTCTGATCTGGTAGTATAGGCAAATATAATGAAGGATAAATGTGTGGGAAAAGCTGGTGTAAAAAAAGAATAATATGATGGTGACGAATTCTTTCTGCAGTTTTTTTTTGGCTGCACCCGTCGCTTGCTTTTTTATACGGGGTTGGGTCTGATATATCCAACACATTTTGTGTTTATTCGCTCCTCTTTTGCACATGTCACACAACAGAACAAAAAATACTGGGTGTTCAAGCATATGTCTTTACTCTTGTGCGCACCATATATTGTGCATCACATGTACAAATCGTCTCTCACCGTTTGCCCAGCTGAACAATGCCCAAGATGTATTTAGGCAGCCACAATAGAGTCAAAGTGAAAAATAATCTTAAAATGATCTGTCACAAACATTCTTCATTCGCCTGAGAATAAAAAATCGATGATTTTGACATGTCAAGAGAAAAAATAAAACAAAAGATGCTGCCCAGATAGCGTTTCTGTGTCTTTGCGTGCTAAAAGGGGGCGATGTGATAACCCGCGCTGAATGTTTAACCTGCCTGTATTTTGGTTTTAAAAAATATGTAATGTTGCATACAAAGTGACCCGGGCGACCTGCAAAAAAACTGCACAATAGATAGAGACCACAATGATAAGCTCCATTTTTCGAATTATAATGGTTAGTCTAACGAGCCCCCTTGGCCAGATTCAGAGTTCGCACGGCTGCAAATGCAAGTTCAAGTGCGACTATGCTTCCTTGTATGCACACAATTACACTTATACAATGGCCGTGTATTTACAAAAAAATCCGCACACAAGCACTAATTATAAAACGGCAAGGCGGGACATATGGGCATATGATGGGGGGGCCAGCATTTGGCAGCATTTGGCAGCATTTGGCAGCATTTTTGGCAGCATTTTTGGCAGCATTTTTGGCAGCAGAAAACCAACAAGATTTTGAGGCTTAATTTTAAACGAATTATCGGAATTCCCCTTATCAGCTTTCTTCTGTGCTTTTCCCATCTTTGCTTGCTGATTGAGCCGGTAGAAGGGACGAGCTGCATATCCACCAATGATGTGCATAAATATTAAAAAACGAGTCGTTGCCCCGTGCTCGGTTGACCTCAATTCGGAGGCAAGCCAATTTTCTCCGAGAGAAAAAATACAAATACACGCCTTTTTCCTATCTTGTCAGTCTCTCCGCAGAGATAAGATTGAAGGTGGTCACAATAGCAGGAGGCAAGGGTTTAGTTTTTTTTTGCAGACAGGCAGTGTTTTTTCCTTTGCTTATCCGCCTGCTTGCTTTCTGCTTGTTTCTTTTATTTTCATTTTTCATTTTTCATTTATATTTTCCGCACGATTCGTTTCTTCATTGTCAATTGCTCGAAAGCAAATTTTGTATAGGAAACAACTTCAGAAATGGCCTTTAACCTCACGATTCGCTCCACTTGGAATTCACCTGCCGTAAGTAATCTCGACTTTTCGTGTGTTTTTTTATTCTTACTTTCTGGCGTGCTGCTTCTCTAAATTCAACTACTCTGCCGCTTTGGAAAGAAGAAAAAGCGGACAATGAAAATCGCCTCCTAATACAACAATGATATATTCGGTTTGTCTCTGGGACTGTGCTTGTAGATGCGCCACCTTGCTGTCCGCGGTTTTGCTGCGACCGCCGCCTCGCGCGCAGCGACCGTGAAGCCTCCGAACCCCAAGTCGTTCAAGATTTACCGCTGGAACCCGGACACCCCCACTGAAGAGCCCCGGATGCAGGAGTACAAGCTCGACTTGAGTCAGACCGGCCCAATGGTTCTCGATGCCCTGATCAAGATCAAAAACGAGGTTGACCCGACGCTCACCTTCCGCCGGTCATGCCGCGAAGGCATCTGCGGTTCATGCGCGATGAACATTGACGGAAAGAACACCCTCGCTTGCATTACCCATATCACCAAGGATGCGCCGAATAAGGAGATGACCATCTACCCGCTACCCCACATGTTTGTGGTCAAGGACCTGGTCCCCGACATGAACTACTTCTACAAGCAGTACGCGTCTATCCAGCCCTGGCTGCAGCGCACTGAGGTTACTGATGTTAACAAGGAGATTCTGCAGTCGCCTGAGGACCGCAAGAAGCTCGATGGCCTGTACGAGTGCATTCTGTGCGCTTGCTGCTCGACCTCCTGCCCCTCATACTGGTGGAACCAGGATGTGTATCTGGGCCCGGCTGTGCTTCTCCAGTCCTACCGCTGGATGGCTGACTCGCGCGACCAGCAGCTCTCGCAGCGTCTTTCGAAGATGGAGAACGCGTTCAGCGTGTACCGCTGCCACACCATTATGAACTGCACCAGGACCTGCCCCAAGCACCTGAACCCTGGCTATGCCATCTCCCAGATCAAGCTGCTGCTGGCCAAGAACTAGATTGCCATTTAAAAAAACTCTCTCCTGGAGCACAACAAGTAAAAGAAATTTTTACTGCTTTATGTAGAGATTTTTCTCTACTTGCTTATCCACTTCTCTTTACCCATTTTTTTGTCTTGTATCACAGTTCTCTTCAACTCTCAATCTCTCATTTTATTTATGTTTTCTTTATATTTGCTCATTCGAAAGCATACGCCACAATGTCACCGCGCTCGTCTGTGAAAATATGCGGCAGGGCATCCGATGTTGCAACTGTGTCAGGCTTAGCAGAAAGATCCTTGAGAACACCCAGTGGTGACAGCTCTCGATTGACTTTGACTGGCTGGTAATTTTCTGCAGCCTCGACTTCGGGAAAGAACATTGACTCTGCGTCCCACAGCCTGATTGTGCGGTCCAGACCAACAGTGACTAGAACATCGGGTCTTGACCTGACAAATTGCCTACGACAATGATAGCAAAATAAAAAACAAACAATTAGTAGATCAACAATATCAACACAATCTGCAAAGAGTTATTTGCAACTCATTTTCTGTTACTTTTTTTTATCCTTTGGGCCCTCGCAGATACTTACAGAGCAGATATGGAGTAGTCGTGGCACTCTGACCAGCAAAACACCGCATCATTTCTGATACACATTACGCTGCCGTCGGCATGTCCGCTGGCAAGCATCCTGCCCTCGGCGGCCTCATCGACAGACCAGTAATCCAGTGAGTATACGAACGGCGGATTAACCAACCGCTGCTCTCCCAACCCCACTGGCTCATCTACATCCATTGCCGCTCCGGCATCCGCCTTGTTTGCCACGCACTCTTCGGCCATATCCCAGACAAAAACCTGCTGATCGAATCCGCCGCTGGCAATTTCTGGCCGGTCAGGGTGGAAGCCGACACAGGAGGCCAATGCATCGTGATTCCCAGAAAATTTGTCCACAGAGGGAGCCACATCAGAAGTGTCGCATACTCCGAGAGATCCGTCCTCATCCACAAATGCGGCGAAATCGCCACGCGTGCTTAGCGCCTGTATTTCGCTCCCATTGTCAATGACCACCATGGCCGCGCTACGGGTTTGATTGACTACTTTCAGTGCACGATGGTCGTAGATGCTGATAGACGGTCCGCATGCTGCAACTAGTTCGTGGTCGCCGACGAAGCCTATGCCTGATATGCTTATGTCCTCGTCAACTGGGAATCCAATTACTGCGCATATTGATTTTCCTATTCTTGCGTCCCACAGACGAACTGTGCCGTCGTCTGATCCGGAAAGCAAAAGCGTACTGCGACTGTCCCACCCAGCAGTCAATGCTGTTATTCCTGAGCGGTGGCCCTTGAATGTCGAAACCTTCTACAATAACGAAAACTATCAAAAATTACTATGCAATCGTGTGCTTATGTATCACTTTTTTTACTTGTGCTACCTTTTTATTTTACCTTGATGGACATCACAAACAATTGGAATTGAAAATAATATTTGATTCAATATTGACATTTGTGATCAAGTCAACAATTAATCCTAAGATTGAAACTGGTAACCTATGGAATTAATTGTGATGAATTTTCAGCTCAACAATATCTCTTCATTTAGACACGTTTCCTGGTATTGCTTTTAACAGTTACACTCACTATTTAAATACATATTTTTTTGCTACAATCCTCTATTAATCGTTGGTTGATGTATTCTTAATTGCCTTTTTTACTGTTAATTTGGCAGCAAAGTTTTTAATTATGCGTTTTTTCAATACCACTAATCTAAACACAATCTATTCTTTGCTAGTAAAATTAATATCGTAAAATTGTTATTTAAAAATAAAAGTAGACAGGTAGGCCAGCAGAAGCAGAAGCAGCGACTGTGACATGCTTAAACTTGGGCGACCTGTTCCTCTTGAACACGGCCATCAGATTCGTCTTCACAATCGGCAAGGCAACTGTCGCAGCTGCTGTCTGCGTCTGACCCATTGTTCACAATGTCATCTGGAAAGCTACCGCGCGTGCGCTGCATGTCGAGACTGCCGGACTGATAAGCGCTGTCGTTTTTATCAAATACAGCAGCAGCAGCAGGAATACTTAAACCCGTGCGGTCTTTGGACGTGGGTGGAGTTATCAGATCCAGGCCACCAATTTGCTGATTGACATAACCGCCTGGTCCGCTGGCTTTCCTTTCCTCGGATCGTCTGCTAGTGTCCAGGCCATGGTTGCCTTGCCATTGCATCCACTCTTCCAGATCCTGCGGCGAAATTGCGCTAGGCACTCCAACTTGTGACTTGCGACGGCCTGGCGTATAAGGCGTGGAGACGCCAGATTTTTGCTGCTTCATCGCGCGTGCCCAGAACCGCTCCTGCAGCTCGATCTCGCTCGGGTCAGCCTCCGAGTCGCTCACCGTGTCAAACACTTTGGATGTCAGGCTGAGAAAGCTTTTGGTCGAGTGCAACTCGTGTGGTGGTGCGCGTGTGCTTGGTGCCGGCTGTTCGGGCTGCTTTTTGCAATACGTGGCTACTGTCTGTTCAAGTGGGCTGCCACGGCCAATGTTTTTGAGGCTCTCTCTAGTGGCAGTGGCCATTTCTTCCAGGTTGATTTCAATGGGTGTTTCCGGGCGGTCAACCACAGGCGTATCTTCAAATAATTGTTCTGCGACTAAAACAACATTGGAGTCAGTCGTGTTTTCAGCTGTCGCCGTAGGTTTGGCCGGTGCAATTGGTGCTCTAAGCGGTGGCGCTCCGCTGATAATTCGCAGCCACTGCGCATCGAGGGACATGTCATCGGCCGAAGGGATAGTGTGGCTGTCATCATCTCCCCAATTAATCTGCGGCTTGAGCTTTTGGCGGCCGGGCGTCATGGGCGTACCTGCAGATGCTGGCGACATGTCGAACCGTGTGGGCTCAAACCCGCTGTCTCTAGACTCAATGTGTAGCGGCTTTGGAACAGAGCGCCGCTTTCCTGCAGCGCTATCCTCAAAACCTGAGCTCCTGTCAGCGCTTTGGCTCTTCAGTCGGTCCCGAGGATATGGAGTGGGTGCTCTACCAATGGCCGAAGCAAATTGGGTGTCACCACTGCTATTGTTGTCGTCATTACCACTTCCATTGACATTGTCCTCGCCCTCGACACTGGGAAATACAATGCCTGTCGATGGCGGCGCCGTATTAACCATCGGTCGAGCAGGCGCAGCATCCCCCAAAAGGACAGGACCCTGGGGCAAGATAACTGCCTGCGTGCTATTCTCGACGGCAATTCGGCGCAATGCAGAGTGTGACCTGCTGCGTTTGGGAAGTCCTGGCGATATCAGTCCACTGGCAGACGTGTCGGCTAACTTATTCGGCTCAATTGTAGCTAGGCGGTCGCTGTGATTTGTTACCGAGTAAGAATGTGATTTGTTGCTTTTAGTACTCTCAGCGGTGACAGTGGGTTCCTTCTCCTGTTGCTGCATGCTTGACGGATCCGCAATGGTAAACGCCGAAGAGCGACGTACATAACGGCGGACAGGCTGGTTGCCAAACTCGAGCGCTTGCGCATTGGTAGTTGGCGTGGGAGGTGATGTCAAATCATTTTTTCTTGCGTCTTGCTTGTGCCATCCGCTGCGGCCGCTGTGCCTGTCGTTGGCCGGCGCGATTCCAAGAACCTCTTGCAAATTGTCATCACGTTGGCGCTGGCTCAATTCCAAATTAATCAACCGGCGCTGCAGCTTCCAGTACCGGGAATCCGCTTCGGCAAACTGATCGTGGTCCTCCAAGCTGCCGCGAAGTGCCATATGTGGGGCTCGCACAGAGTTTGGCGGAAGCTGAACATAACTCGACCGCCGCGATATCGCGGGCTCTCGGTAGTTTTGCGGCTGGTGCATATCCGTGACATTCGTCGAATATGTGTGCGGGGCTGACACAATTTCAGAGCCACTGATGCTGTGCGGGTACATATGCGGGGTCTTCGGCGCAGCTGCCACCGGAACAATATTCTGGAGAGTAGGATGCCTTTGCGGCATAGAAGCCAATGGCGTCAGCAAGGGCGTGGCTTGGGGCCCGCCAACATCAAGTGTAGAACTCAACGTGAATCTGTATACCGTCCGCTCGCCCCTCGAGTCCTCTGCCTCGCAGGAGACCGTGGTCTCAAGTCTGATAGCGTCGGTACCTCGCTCGACTTTGGCCAGCGAGTGGGATATGAGGTCAGGACTAACGTCACTAAACTGGGACCGGATATTGCGAGCAATGACTGCCTCGTTCCACCGCTGCAGTAGCTGCCCCGCGGCATCGCGCGCATTATTGTCGCCAGCAATGCCCTCCTTGAATTGCATGTTCATTTGCGGCGGAATCGACACATCTGCATTAGCATTTGCGTTAGCAGTGGCAGTGACAGCGGCAGTGGCAGCAGCGGCTTCACTAGACTGTCGTTGACGAACATGTCCTATTTTCCACGGAATTTCTGGGGGCAGCTGACTGCTATCAATGTGATCCATTGACGATGGAGGTACACGCAGGTCGGAAGTCGGGGGGGCAGTGGGCCATGATATGCCGCCGCCGCCGCCGCCGCCACTGATGCTGCTGCTGACAACTGAATTTCCAAAGTCAGACTGCTGTTGCTCGATGGGCTGCGCCATCACTTGTTGTGCCCAAGCCCTGCGACGGGCCTGCTCCTCGCCCGATTCCCACAGCGCGACAGGATTGACAATCAAAGGCGATTTTGGCTGTGGGTAGTAGATCGGAGAGCTGCCTGTGTTACTGCGCGCACTGGACGACCGATGCACACGAGGCGGCGGCTGGTGGGTATGTTCTTTGGTGCTGACATGCGCATGTGGCTGCAGAATGACCTGGGTTGCCTCATGCAGAGGCCGATTATTGGGCTGTGGCATCGGCATGTAGCACTGCTCCTGTTCATGCTGACCGTGCAATGGGCTGTGGTTCCAATTATGCATATCATGATACTGGTGCCAATGCTGCTGCGGTTGTTGCTGCTGATTGCACTGATTGTCTTTCTGGGGCGCGCATTTGTGAGGATGGTGCTGCCAAGGCTGGGACCAGTCCTGATGCTGATGCTGCAGCTGCTGATGCTGCAGCTGCTGTTGCAGCTGATACTGATGCTGGTGTTGGGGCTGATTCTGAGGCTCGTGTTGGGGCGGCTGATAGTGAACATAATCGTGGTGAGGATTGCGATCGTAAAATTGCGGCTGCTCGTGATGGTCGTGGTGGTCGTAGTGGTCGTGGTCCTCGTAGTTTTGCGGCTGTTCAACTATGTGACGTTCAATGTACGCCTGATCATACGAATGTGGCTTGAATTCCTCGTGGTGGAGCCAGCCCTCGCGTGCCATATCCTCCCAAGGCCGCTGTGACTGTATCCACGCAGGTGGCTTCGGCGGCTCAGAGTACTGCTGGTCATCCCTTGCCTTAATGACATGTGGGTGGCTATGGCTGTGGCTGTGATCATGGACTAGTTTGTAAACATGGCTCTGGTCTTGGCTTTGGTCTTGTAGGCTGCTGATGCCGTGACCATGGTCCCTCTGCTTTTGATTAAACTGCTGCTTCTGGTCGGGTTGATCCTGCTGGTCAGACTGCTTCTGCAAGTCAGAAGTTTGGGGGGCAGACGCATGCAAGGTCAGATACGTGTAGTCAAGTGGGTGTACACGTTTGGCAGCCCATGACCAGTCCTTGTCCCAGTCTGAAACCTCCTGCGGAAGCACATGCCTGTGGTCTGGCGAGGCAATAGCCGTGAGACCAGAATGATTGTCTTCGTCTCTGCCACCGCTCTGCGCCTTGGTCACCAACTGCTCTGCAGAAACAGGCGGCTGGGTAATGTGGTGGTAGCCTCGACCAAATGCCACACCCTTGTCATACGGGCCGCGCCAATAGCTCCAACCAGATACGTACTCGTCGTGGATGTTCCACCATAGATTCACGAGCTGCTTCCAGCGCTCAGAGGACGACGGATCAGATATAAGCTGGCCGCCCGGTGTGCGCTCCCAGTGCCAAGGCTTGGATACCCCGATAAAGTGGACCACACGCACGTCGCTACCAAAGCGTTGCAATGCCGGCTTGTATGTGTAGTACACGTTGGCCGTGGCGTTATAGAGGAAGGGCAGGCGGCGGTAGGGCTGCGATGTGGACCAGTCGGCAAACTGCTCGTTCAAAAGACCTTGGTCGGCGCCTAAATTTCAGAGAGAAGATACAAATATTTACACGCAAAAACAGGGTGTATTGTTAGTATTGAAATCACTAGAATATAGTCAGCCTTATAATGGCCGCGCGCGGGTGAGTAAAGTGGATTAGGGCATGGATATAAAGAACAATGTCGCAAGTATGCAGGATGCTACTGATGCTGCTGCTGCCCGTGTGTGTGTATGCGCACATTTAACAAATAAATCGACCAAGCGCCCGTCAATGCCCAAAACCAAATCAAATCAAAACCAAACAAATGAAAAAATCTTACCGTCAAAGCTGGCCGAAGCACTACTCGCACGGCTGACAAGGTCTCTGTAGCAGCCATATCCGGGTGCCAGCAAGAGCACACCCGAGTTGAAACAATCAGGCCACCCAGTGTCTGGCGACGCGGCAACAAGACCCCCGTCTCTCCACCCCGGAAAGTCCCCGCGCCAGTCGTAATACCGAGAAAATAAATCATCAATAGACTGGCGCACCAGCGTATCCGCGTCCAAATAACACAATGCATGCCAGGCACCAAACAATGCCGGATCCCACAGCTGAATCTTTGTCAAAGTGCTCTGCAGATCCGGACGACCCAAAAGCTCTAGCCCCTGGCTATCAGAGGATAACCGCACGTCTGTCTCGATGACACCGTCAAAATGATGCCGCAGCCGCTCCATGGAGTGCTCGCTGAGTTGGTACGGCGTGGCCAGACAGATGATGCTGTGAGAAGTCATTGTTTGCCGAAGAGAGTGTAGAAGTACAAGGGAGCCCTCGACATATGCGTCGCTAGTTACTAACGTCACGTATGCAAATCGCCCCATACCTGGCTGTGCGGAGGCAGTGGCCGCGGTCTCGTTCATGTTGCGAATGCTCTCTATAGAGCGAATAGTTGGTAGAGAAAAATGAATGCTGTAGCTAGTACTTTATGATACAAAGAGAAGGCAAAACAGGAGGGGGTTGAGGCAGTGTGCTGTTTGTGACCGCTAAAGCAGATAAAAAGGGATATTGTAGCAAAGTATCAACAAAAAGAATGATTATTCAAACGGGGAGAAAAGAATGGGTGGGTAGCAAACGCAAGAAGGCGCACATTATTTTAATGCAACACCAGACAAACTGGCTGGCTGGATGAATGCGTGCAACAAAACCAGGAGTAATTTTGTAAGCTCCACCAAATTTGTCCGCTTATTTTTTAAGCCTGATGAAATGGAGGAGTGGGGGGAGAGGCGGAGGAGATTGCATGAAATTACAGCATCAGTGCTCTCAATATGTATATTTCATCTATAAACCTACAATCCCCAAAGCAAGCCAATTGAGATACGTTCAAATGTGCATGATGGATACATACATATACGAAAGACACCTCCACATGCTACCAAGAAAGCCGGCCAAAATCACCTCACTTTTTATACCCACGCACTGATGTTGGGATTCCATTGTTGTAAATCAAAAAAAAATTATATCGCGTCATTGAAGACCATTCGCCTCATTGTTTTCTGCAATGCAGGGCGCAGCGAATCCTTGATAAAGGGAGTGGGTGTGGTGTAGTACGCCATGTAGAGAATGGCAGAAAGAAAGGGAGAATGGATTTGAGAAAAGTACCTATATGTTTGATAACAATTGCATGCAGTGTGTTAGCTGCTTGCTTGTCGCCTCATATTTCACGGCATTTTTTTATTGGGCTCACAGAAAAAAAACAAGGATTTTTAAAAGGCGGGGCACATATCTTGCGTTGAGCGTTGAGTGTTGAGCTGTCGCAGTGCGTGGGTGCATTCATGCATATTGGTGCTGCTTGCAAATGGGCGAGATTTGCAGACGACATCATAAATTTTGTGGTATTTTCAGACACCTGTTTATTATTTGTCTGCCAGCCAAAAAAAACTGGAGTACACAATGTGTGTCCAAAGTCGGATATTTACGTTTTTATTTTTGTTTTCAGCAACTGCTCAACATTTAAATACTGGGTTTATGCGCAGTCGCCTACATAATAAAGATGATGATGATGTCAAGGCCATTCTGATTCCGGCATTCAACAGGCCAATGAATAAATAACATTTCAAAAGGCATATTAAAAAACTACTTGTTTGCTTACATGGCCCCTATAACAGTCTTTATAACTAAAAAAACCCTCGATAAGCAGTTCAAGTGTAAGAGCAATGTCGACAAAGAGAAAGAGAAATAAAGAGAAAGGATGATCCGCACATTTTTCTAACCCCCCATTGACACGCTCTTTCTATGTTTTGATGATACAAATGTCTAAAAAAACAATTTCTCCCTCTCTCTCTCTTTTAAATCTTATTTGTTTTTCTTTCCTGCTCTCAATTATAACCCATTTTATCATTGTAAAAACAAAATTTAAATACACATAAATAAACATAAATATTTTACAAAAAACAATTTATCATGGCTGAAACAAACACTAATACTTCAACATCACGCAAGTGTTTTGCAACCTTGCTTACAACCGATTCGTATCTCCACGGCGCCCTGACACTCGCCGCATCTCTGCGCACAACCAACACCAAGTATGAGATTATCTGCCTAGTATCCGACAAACAGCTCTCCGCGCCATCCCTCGATCGACTCTCTTCAGCATTCGACAGGATCATCAATGTTCCTGCCTTAGACACAAAGGACAAAGTCAATCTGGCGCTGCTCAAAAGGCCTGATCTCGGATCCACCGTGACCAAGATTGCAGTCTGGTCGCTGACCGAGTATCAGCGCATAGTGTTTTTGGACGCAGATACATTGGTGCTCCAGCCAATTGACTCGCTGCTGGATAATAATGTAGAGACTGGTAGTGGTGGGTGGGCGGGTCGTCCGAATGGCGGTATGCGGAGGAAGGGCTTGCTGGGTGCTGCGCCGGATTTGGGGTGGCCGGACTGCTTCAACTCGGGTGTGTTTGTCGCACAGCCTGCCGAGGCCACACACGAGGAGTTGCTCAAGATGCTTTACGCCCAGGGATCGTTTGATGGTAACATATTTTTAGAAACTGCGAATGCCTTTGTCCCTCTGTATATATTTGACCACCGCTCCTTTTACTCATAAAATGAATGAGTTGCGTTAAATCTAGCTTAATATACATGTGTATCTAGTGAAATAGTATGCGTGCGTGCATACAGCAACTGAAAACATCGCAATATTTACCAATTTTTTGTTATGATTTTTTTTGCACCATGGATCTCCTGAGATGATGAATAACCCGATCCAAACATGCTTCAATTGATTTATATGTAAAATGTTTCAATTGTACTAATAATTTTTATTTATAAATCTTATATATAGGCGGAGACCAAGGTCTATTGAACGAGTATTTTAGTGACTGGAGCCGTGCCGACCATACGCGCCGCCTGTCCTTCAGCTTCAATACTACCTCGAGTAGTTTTTATACCTACGCACCGGCATTTGCGAGGTTCTCCAATGACATCAAGGTAGTTCACTTTATTGGACCGCAGAAACCGTGGAAATGCAGTCGCCCTGTCAGCAAAGCTGTTTCAGACAGTGCTGTTATCGCTTCCAATGGCAGCAGTGATTTTGATAATGGTGGGTTGGGTAAACTTGTCGAAAAGTGGTGGAGTGTCCACGACGCATATGTGTCGACCCATAGCACCAATATCGGGGCGATTGCCAAGGTTGTCGAGGTTGCCGATGTGTCTCTCAAGGGCATGATTTCTGAAAGTGCAAAGGAGACAGATGCTAGGGTCGATACCGTGGCCAAGGCAAGCGTCAAGGGTCTGGCCTCGTCACATGTTACGGATAACGCATGGAAGAGAGATAATGGTGGGAGCGGTGGCAGCAGCAGCAACAATGCGCTGATAAAACAAAGCCGGGTAGTTGGAGTGGCAGTGGTAGAGGATGACAGCTGGGGTGTGTTTACGCCAGCTGCCGATTTTACACTGCAACCAACGATATCCAGAAGAAAATCAAATGGACTCTCGCCCAGAAGCAACTAGGGTTATTTTTTTAAAATAGTTTTAATGATACATTTGAATAACAAAATAATAACAAAATATTATTATTATTTATTATCTTCGTTCGTGTTGTTGCCAGTGACGGTGACGTTGCCGTTTTCAGTGCCACTACCACCGGCAGCATACTCCCTGACGATACTCATTATAGACTCATCGACCTTGACATGCATGCGAACAATCTGGCGCATAGTCTCGACAAATAAATCCCTGTGTCCATCCTCTGCCAACGTCCGAAATACCAACGCATACAACCACGACTCAGCAGTCAACCCAAGCGCATGCATAGCGTCCAAAAGCGCCACTGCATTATCAACCAACTGCTTGTCCAAATAATACTCGATAATCAAGGCGAAATGAGCCGCACCACGATGCACCCGATCCAAACCCCAATATCTTCCCTGTCCCAACTGCTCGCAGCGCTCCAAACTGCCCATAGCGCCAAAGACCCGCAGGGCAGAGTCAATATTGTTCTGGCGCAGATGAAGAGAGATCCAGTGCAGTGCTGTTGTTTCGTCATGCGGGATGCCTTTGCTCACCATGAGGTCGATGAAGGATTCGGCCTTGGCGTAGTCTTGTGCGCGAATGCATGCCTGTATGAGGGTGGAGTAGGCCGCGCGCGGAGTGTAGATCTTGTGGTAGTCGAATTCCTCCCAGACCAGCAGCAGCTTGCCTAGGCACATCTTATGGTGCTCAATGGCATAGTCTATAAAATGACCCTCCTCTGCCTCCTGAGCCTTCCGAGCCTCGATTGCCGCTCTTTCCTCTTCCCCGTTCAAAGAGAAAAAATGCTCTGGATCGGCCACAGAGTGATCCTGCTGCGCCGAGCCGTCTGCTAATGACTGGCCTGCATCCAAACGACCTGCAGCCACCGCCAGTCTGCGACTCTGCCTGGCCGGCGGAATAATGCGCATGTAGCAGTCCATGATCATGGTCAGGATCTTTGAGGACGGCTTGACCTTGTGCACACGCATCTCATCCAGCACGCTCTCCACGCCCCTAACCGACCCGCACTGCGCGCACCCCTTGGCGATAGCGCCAAAAAGCCCAATGTCCAAACGGCCTGCGGGCAAGTCCCGCACCAAGCCCAAGCAATCCTCGTAAGCACCCAGTGATGATGACGAGATTGCTGCCAGCGACCGCACGATCATCGGCAGGCTCATACCGGCATCGATAGCCGGCCCAATGTTGCGCTTCAGGCAGTTGGCCAGGTAAGATGCGGACAGATTCGGCAGCAGGTCCTTTGGATCCCGCTGGCACTTTGTCAAAGAAACCAAAACATGTGAAAACGCCCGCGTATATATTTTGCGCGTCGGCGAAAGCGAGTGCTCGCGCAAGACGCGCAGGACCATATCGGCGACCACGCAGCCGTACACGGACTGCGCAACAGAGTCCAAGATGCTCTGAGCCACCTGCATCTTGACCTCAGTGGCACCAACGGCCGTGCGCACCATCAGCAGTAGGGCATGCATGTAGTGGGGCGCCAGGCGGTCGGTGAGCCGGCCCCAAACCGACTGCCTTGTGGTATGGGATTCGGCCAGCGCCCCGACAACCCACTCGAAGTCAACCATGCGGCCGGCCTCGACGCACCTAAACAGAACCGTGTCGCAGACATCGTCGGACACAGGCCCCAGGCCGCGTGTACGCTGCAGGTAGCGCAGAAAGTTGGCGGCGTCGCTGGCCGTCGAGTTGAGCGCCAGGTAGTGGCTGCACAGGTTGGCCGCCGCCGGGTGCATTGGGATGTTGTGCTGCACCGCATGGCTAATCATCGCGTGCGAGCGGTCGCGCAGGCGGTTGTTGATGCAATACGTGATCACCATGCCGTACGGCAGGCTGCGTCTGGGCACTGGCAGCGTGCAGAGAAAGTCAAAGGCGCTCAGCGCGTGCGCGATCCCCCGGTGCTCGATCAAAATGGAGACCAGGCCATGTGCCGTCGAGGCCGGCAGGTTAAGGTGGCCCAGGTCGGTGGAGCGCAGGTGGTCGCGCAGGTGGTCGTAGACCGGCAGTGCAGACAAGGGCTGCGGCCCGTGGAGCCGCAGCCGCAGCGCCTTGAACAGAAGCTGGATGGATGCTGGCACGCCCAGCGCGAACAGCCGGTCAAAGGCCCCCAGCGCCACGTCCGAGCCGCCACGCAGCCACAGCTCGTCCACGAGCCGGCCAAACAGCCGGAACGACGGTGTGAACCCGCGCTCAGCCATGCTCTCAGCCATGCGCGCCAGCTCCCGCGGCTCAATAGAGCCATCGGCCAGCGCCAGCTCCAGCGCAATGTTCTCTGTCTCGTTGTTTTCTGGGAAGCGCGTCGAGCCCAGCCCTCCGATTTCGCGCGCCAGCGGCACGTTGTCGACGGCACACAGCGCGCGCACGGCGCGGGACACCCCTTGGCCGGGCTTCGCACTGACGCGGCGTGCCATGGCTGCCACCAGCGGGCGGTTGCCGCGCCGGGCGGCGTTCTCCATGATGACGGCACACAGGCTGGCGGGCTGGCGGGCTGGGTTTGCAGTGTCAATGCGGCCGGCCACGGCGTCGAACATCTCGTCCTGCTGCGCCTCGCCGTACCCGCGTAGCAGCCCGACGAGAAAATCGGAGTCGGGCGCGCGGCCCCAGCTGCGCATGAACGCGGAGACTTCAGCGAGCCGTGCCGAGCTGCGGCTCTGATCGGCGTCCAGCGCGCACGCCTGCGCCAGGGCGCCCAGCGCTTGGGCGTCCGGCTCCAGCCCGAGCCGCCGCATGGTGTCAAAGAGCGCATACGCCGCCGGCGCGTTGTTCATTTGCGCGTACTCGGACAGCAGCGCGCCGAACATCGGCGCAGTCGCACGGCCGCCGGCAGCCAGGCGCGTGTCAAAGAGCGCCTGGCCCTCTTTCTGCCGCACGCTCCAGAACAGCGCCAGGCACATGCTCCAGTCGACGTCGTCGCCCTTGGCCTCTGCCGCTGCGTAGCACCGCTGCGCGTCTTTGATTGACCCCAGCCGCGCGTATGCCCGGATCAGCGTCGGACGCACGAGGGCCAGCGTCTCGGCGTGGCCCTGCGCCAAGTCGCGCTCGATCTGCGCCAGCAACCGCCGCCCGTTGATCAGCCCGAGATTCGCGCCGTAGTTCACCAGCCGCTTCGCCATGGCTCCGTCCAGCGCTGTGCCGCTCGCAATGGCCGCACGGTAGGCCCGCCACACCGCGCGCGGATCCGTGCATATCGAGGGCTGGTCCAGAAGACCTTCCAATGCCTCTGCCAGCTCGGGTCCACTCGGCCTGCCGGCCCCCTCAGAGCCCAAGGGATCAGGAGCACGCTGCACCTGCGCACCGATGGGCTGGGCCGGGGCCTGCGGCACGAGCGGCGGCACATTGTCTGCACCCAGCGGCTTCTCCAGCCGCGCGCATATGCGCTCCACCGTGGCGATCTCGCCAGCTTCCAGCTCTCGCCGAGCTGTGATCTCAGTGAGCACATGGGCGATGCGGCCAAGCGCCCTGGCGCCATCCGTGTCGCCAGCCATCACCTCCAGCAGCCGCTCGAGCGTCTCCCACGACAACTGCTCGCGAGATACCCGCCGGTACATCCCCCATGCCTCTTCTCGTCGGGCGGCCGATCCCGCCTGTGAGTCTGCGCGCAACTCGTTGCGCAGCCGCTGGTCGGCCGTTAGACCCGCTGTTGTCAGTCGCCGTCTGTGTTGTGTGCTGATTTGCTTGATGTCGCCGGTCTTTGCTGTGCGACTGTGCGCTATTGCTCGTCGCCGCAGGTGCTGCCATGCTATGCAATTTGACATGACAAAACACCCCACACTGTGTATAGCGAAATGGATAAGAAAAAGGATCCCTCCCCTCGCCTTGTTCTAGAGGTCAAGTGCAGGTGTGTTTTGTAGTTTCTATTTTTTGGCGCTGCGAATTCCCGTAGTTGAAATCGTCTCTCTTTCTCGCGCTCTCTGTCTATGCGCTGCCTCTAATCAACAATTTGAATTGGTGTTTTTTATTTGAAAATACTCTTGAAACAAGAAAAAGCGACAGAGGTCGGTATCCCGTTGAAAAAACGCCCACAGATAAAGAACAGAACCCAAAAAGACGGCCTGGAAATTTCAGGAAATCAGCCGATCAAGCCTATTGGGCGCTCTTTCGCTTTTTTTCTTCCTTTTTTCCTTTTTCGCGCTAAATCTTAAAAATAAAAAATGTTGGAGCCTAATGGAGGCCCAAGAGCGACAGAATTCAAAGTCGCAAGCTCCTCCCTTTTACAGGAGTGCGTTGCCAGCCAGTGGGTACTATGAGCGTCCATGATTGATCTGGCCCAGGCTCCATGCAGTAAAAAAACTTGATACGCAGCGTTTTTACGGCTGCGTGCTCGGATTCCAGACAAATACAGCGTACCGCGAGGTGTCCCGACAAAACGTCAGTACACAATGCGGCCAAAAAATCCCATGGAATCAAAAAAAACATCTCAAGACTCCCAATGAAGGGAATCAATGAGAACATTTAATGAGAGGGGGGACACTGGGCGTCTGGAACCAAAGCAAAATACGAGATTTTCTCAAGCGCACAGAATTTAGGGCGTTTTGAGAAGAAAAACTTAAGGGCGAGCGCGTTTTAGCGCTTGGAAATTCGCTTTTTGGCTGTATCCAACAATTATCACCAAGTGCGTTATGGCAAAAATCATGCCATTTTGCCATGCTTATTTCTTGAATTAACAAGCAAAAATTATTAATTAAATGTTTATATTTCAATAAATTAATTTGACATGTCGACAACCAAAAAATCCTTGTTTGTTTTAGCTGGGCACAGGTGGGAGTCCACTCAGATCAAAGCCCTTGTTGCCAGCCCCGTTCCCAGAAGCCTTGATTCCCTGCCGTAGGCACATCTGTATCATATTCTTCGGGATACTCTGCGTTCTTTGCAGCATATCCGGCGCCTCAACAAACGTCACCGCCAGACCCAAAGCAAAATGCACGTCCATATGGCAATGGAACAGCCACACTCCCGGATTGTCAGCAACGAAGCGCAGCTTCACATAGTGGAATGCAGCAACAACTACCGTGTCTCTTTTTATCGGCCATCCACTAAACTTTTTAACTGGCGCCGGATCTAGCCTGGCAGTGCTAGAGACCCCGGATGGTCCCGACTCGATGATCTGGAATGTGTGGCCATGGAGGTGCATAGCGTGGTCGATAGCCGTTGGATTGTGCATATCGATCTCAATCACTTGACCATGTCTGATTACATGTGCCTCAGTCTGCGGACCGTATATAGCCTCGTCCAATGCCAGATGGCCCATTGAGAGCGCAGTAAAAAGCGTGGGGGCCAGTGGTGATCTGTAGGGCACCTTGTCGAGAACCGCCAGCGTCATGTTGCCCTTGTATCTCCTGCTGCCTGCAACCAGCCTAATTGTCCGGTCGACCTTTAAGGCCGGCTGCATATCAAATGCCTGCAAACTTGTATCCTCGGCCCACAGCATTTTTTTGTCGCTATCTGTGGCAATATTTTTGACTGGTGCACCCCTTTTGTACTCGATCAGGCCCTGGTAGTACCTTGGGTTGAGCCCAGGCAAAAATGGGACAAAGTTGGCATATAGCGTCGCATTGTAAATATAGTTAAACTCGTCAGAATTGTGCGCCTGGACGACCACCGAGTATCTTTGTCCGGGGCCGATATCCAAACCATCAACGGCCAGTGGCTGCGAAATGATCCCGTCGGCCTCAATGATGTTCAAAATGTGACCCGGCAAGCTGAACTTGAACCATTCTGTCGATGCCATATTAACTACACGAAGTCGATACTTTTTTCTCGGCATAAAGCAAATAGGCTTTGTCTCATTTCCATTGAACCCGTTGATCAACCCAAACGGGAATGATGCTGGCGGAGGGAATGTCACTGTCGGATTAAGCAGCTCATCCATCCGCGTGTGGAACTCCACTGGATACCACTCCTCCATGAACATCAGAACATCCTCGTCATATTGCATTGGGAGTGCGCTCAAATCCTTGTCATAGACAATCAGCGGTGTGCGCAGCCCGTCGACATTCTGGTGGTCAAAGTGGCCGTGTAGCCAGAATGTGCCCGCCTGGTGCACGTAGTGCTCATAGGTAAAGTTTGTACCAGGAGGTATCCCGCACTGGGTTACCATGCCAGCGCCATCCATGTAGCCGGTGCCGTTCTGCAGCAGCCCATGCGCGTGGATAGTCGTTGGTGCATCCAGCGAGTTGACAACGTTGATGACCAGTATGTCTCCAACAGTAATGTAGACTGGTGGGACAGGCAGCTTTCCGTTGACACCGATGGCGCGCCTCAGGTTGTAGCCGTCACGATTAACCATCACGTAGCCAATGTCCCAGTTGTGTACCACGCGGGCGCCGTAGCACCAGCTTGAAAGCAGAGCAAGTAAGATAAATATGAATAGATAACGCATTGCAGTGCACATAGTATATATGCTGAATAAAGAATATACTTGCGATAATATTTGAACAGCAAGGGAAATTTTGTAAAAATTTTTTTGGAAAAAAATGCTATTTCATTTCAAAAACATTAAATTTTATAACGCAAAAAAACCACGCATTTTGCTTGTGTAGAAAATATTTTGGAGCGATTTTTATCCAAACACCAACGACAACGCCAATGAATATGAAAACACAACAAACTAACAATTACAACTGGCATTCATCTATGACACATGTCTGAAAATGACAATGCGGTATGTTGTATTTTTTTCCATGGAATGCAAACACTTAAATGACAATGCTGGCGACACAAATTTTATTGGTCTTTCAAGCGTGGCTGATCTGCCAACTAGTAGTGCGCCAAAAACAAGCACAATGCCATGCTTAAAAGAAAAGTAGCTACCAAATAAATGTCTTTAATTGTCCTGTCTATGTCTCCTGGTTCACTGTTTTATTGTCCTTGCGTCCCTTCCAAAAAAGAATAGACACATGTTTTAGTCACCCAAAAATTCGAGCTCGCAATGTGACGCAGTGCTAAAAGTGTCTTTCTACGTCACTTGCCAAAACCTCAGACTGATCTGTCGCTGATCCCATGATTCGATTTGTTATATATTAATTAAATCCAAAAAATTAATCAGCTCGAGCCAAGAAATTGAGTTTCGATCGACACGAGCCAATCAAATATTCTATTTGGCTTCAGAAAGAACACCACAGAACCCTCAAGAACAACGCGCTGTGGATTTTCCTTTCCAGCCCTCGGTCTAAAAGAAATCCAAGACATTTTATTGGAGCAGGGTTTTGTGGAAATGACACGCACACAAAACAACGACACAAAAAAGACCAAGAAGCCAAGATGCCCAGAGAATATTCTGGAGCCTCAAAGGCGCAGAAGACTAAGCGTTTAGCAGAAAATATGGCTGCAACGGCGCAGAGTACGTATATAAGCCGCCAGCAGTATCTTCTGGGCTAACAAGAATTTTCTTTACTCAATTCATCCAAAACGCAACTAGCATTTTCACATACTCTCTCTCAGCAAACTATATATATTTTTTACTTTTGATCGCAGCAAGCGCTTTTCTTCTCTCTTCTCTTTTTTCTTCACTATTCAATAAAAACTTACTTTTTTTGTTGTTATACTTTTGTTTATACTAAGCCTCATTTTTTTACACACCACTTATCCTTTATTTCACAACCAACTACTTGCCAGAATCAAAACATGAGCGGCAACACCGAGACCTTCAGCTTCCAGGCTGAGATTTCTCAGCTGATGAGCCTTTTCGTCAACGCTGTTTACCAGAACAAGGAGATTTTCCTGCGCGAGCTCATCTCCAACGCCAGTGACGCCCTCGACAAGGTCCGCTACCAGTCACTCACCGACCCCTCGGTGCTTGACTCGGGCAAGGATCTCAGGATCACCATCATCCCCGATGTTGCCAACAAGGTGCTGATCATCCGCGATACCGGTATCGGTATGACCAAGGCCGACCTCATCAACAACCTGGGTACCATCGCCAAGTCGGGCACCAAGTCCTTCATGGAGATGGTCCAGGAGACCAAGGACGCCTCTATGATTGGTCAGTTCGGTGTCGGTTTCTACTCGGCCTACCTCGTTGCCGACGAGGTCGAGGTCATCTCCAAGCACAACGACGACGAGCAGTACATCTGGCGCTCGAGCGCTGGGCAGAACTTCACTGTCACCCGTGACACCGTTAACGAGCCCATTGGCCGCGGTAGCGAGGTCCGTCTGCACCTTAAGGAGGACCAGCTCGAGTACCTCGAGGAGCGCCGCATCAAGGAGGTCGTGAAGAAGCACTCCGAGTTTATCTCCTACCCCATCCACCTCATCTTCCAGAAGGAGGTTGAGAAGGAGGTCCCCGTCGACGAGTCCGAGGAGGCTGCTGATGACGAGGATAAGGACGAGAACAAGGCCAAGATTGAGGAGATCGAGGACGAAGACGAGGAGAAGCCCAGCGCCAAGACCAAGAAGGTCAAGCAGAACGAGACCGTTGATGAGGAGCTTAACCAGACCAAGCCCATCTGGACCCGCAACCCCGACACCGTCCAGAAGGAGGAGTATAACGCCTTCTACAAGTCGCTCACCAACGACTGGGAGGACCCCCTGGCTGTCAAGCACTTTTCGGTCGAGGGCCAGCTTGAGTTCCGTTCCATCCTCTTCACCCCGCAGCGCGCCCCCTTCGACCTGTTCGAGGGCAAGAAGAAGCGCAACAACATCAAGCTGTACGTGCGCCGCGTGTTCATCATGGACGACTGCGATGAGCTGATCCCCGAGTGGCTTAACTTTGTCAAGGGTATTGTCGACTCTGAGGATCTGCCCCTCAACCTGTCGCGCGAGGTCCTGCAGCAGAACAAGATCCTCAAGGTCATCCGCAAGAACCTCGTCAAAAAGTGCATTGAAATGTTCGCCGAGATTGCCGAGGATAAGGACAACTTCAACAAGTTCTACGAGGCGTTCGGCAAGAACATCAAGCTCGGTATCCATGAGGACTCGCAGAACCGCGCCAAGCTCGCCGAGTACCTGCGCTACAACTCGACCAAGTCGACCGACGAGGTCACGTCGCTCAAGGACTACATCACTCGCATGCCCGAGAACCAGAAGTTCATCTACTACATCACTGGTGAGTCGCGCCAGGCTGTCGAGTCGTCGCCCTTCCTGGAGGTGCTGAAGCGCAAGGGCTACGAGGTCCTGTTCCTTGTCGATCCCATCGACGAGTATGCCGTCCAGCAGCTCAAGGAGTACGAGGGCAAGGAGCTCAAGTCGATCAGCAAGGAGGGCCTTGACCTCGATGACTCTGAGGACGAGAAGAAGAAGTTTGAGGAGCAGAAGAAGGCTCTCGAGCCCCTGTGCGCCGCCGTCAAGGAGATCCTCGGCGACAAGGTCGAGAAGGTCGTCGTCACCGACCTCATCTCGGAGTCGCCCTGCGTTATTCTCACCGGTCAGTTCGGCTGGTCCGCCAACATGGAGCGCATCATGAAGTCGCAGGCCCTGCGCGACTCGGGAGGCATGTCATCGTACATGGCGTCCAAGCGCACCCTGGGTCTGCAGCCCACCCACCCGATCATCCGCGAGCTCCAGGCCAAGGTTGCTGCCGACAAGAACGACAAGACCGTGCGTGACCTCGTCAACCTCATGTACGAGACGTCGCTGCTGGCCTCAGGCTTCAGCCTCGAGGACCCCTCGACCTTCGCCAACCGCATCTACCGCATGGTCAAGCTTGGCCTGAGCCTCGATGAGGACGAGAGCGCTATCGCCCAGCCTGACTCTGCCGACGCCCCCGCCCTCGAGGAGATCACCGACTCCAACATGGAGGAGATCGACTAATTGTAATTCGCCCCCCTTTCCTATGTTTGTGTCCATTTTTTTCAATAAAAATATACTAAAATAATTCTCACTTCAATTACCAAGCTTTTTGTTTATTTATTTCTCTGGTCATGCGTGCCAAATAAACAAATACAGAACGAGGCGCTTGTGGCAGAAGAAAACCTGCCCAACCACATGCAGGAAAACAATACGCATCGTCGACCCGGACCAGCCCGGCGGAAAAGTCAAAACAAAACTAGAACCTTTCGGGGGGGGGGAAAAAAGGTTAATATGTATTCTACGTCATCGTGTGGCGGGACAAGTGCGTGCAAACAAAAGAAAAAAATTCAATCAGCCCCAGATTGAACTTTAATAACATATTACTTTGTTTTTTTCACTGTCGCCTGAACTCCTCTTTGCTCCTTGCGCTTTGCTTTTTCTCCCTCGTATTTCTACTTTCTGTATACACGCACATCTATATCTTAATAGCAAACTTTTTTCACCTCTTTCAAACTCGCAAATGAATAATCATTTGGATATCGACGCTGCTGGGATACCACCGCTCGCACTTGTCGAGGTAAGGAAATCAGTGCATATATTATACATCGCTTCTGAGAAAGCTACTTTGCACAATCTGCTCAAAAAGCTATCGACAACATACTGACAGCTTAATCTTAAACCAACGCACAACTTGAAAAAAATGTAGGACCCACTGATCGACCCGACTCTGGACGCCACGGCAATTGCATTCGATCCCGTCCAGGGAATCATGGCCATTGGATACGCGACGGGCCAAATTAGCCTCCACATGTCTAAGCGCTCCAGCATCAAACACGCTGTCAGCATTGGCGCTATCACGCACTTGCAGTTTGTCCCAGCGCAGGCAACATTAGCCGCCATTGACGAGCAGGGCGTCCTGCGCATCTTCGACACGCACACCATGCGGAGCTGCTTTGAGTACAGTGTCCCCCATATGCCGACATGCATGGCGCTAATTCCGGGCACAGCGTGGCTGCTGGTTGGAACATACTCCGGCCGGCTGTACTTTGTGGATGCCGTGGGCGGGCGCAAATCAGACTTTTCGATCGGCTGTCGCACAAAACACAAATCGCCCGTGGTATCGGTTGAGCCGCACCCTGTCGAGACTGAAAAGATACTCATTACTTATGCCAGCGGCGTTTGTGTTATTTGCGACTTGGGGCGGGGGCCATCGGCCGAGTCCGAAAAGGACATTGTGCTCAGCAGCTACGTATTCGAACACCATCCGAAGGGGCTAGGGCACGACATTCAGCTGGCCGGCGCTGGGTGGTCGCCAGAGGGCGACATGTTTGCCACTACCTATAGTAACGGCGTGTTCTGCGTGTTCACTACGCAGTCTGGATTTGGAGTGGCACCAATTGTCGCTCGCACCATTGCCTACGCAGATGTTTTGCCGAGCGGGAGCGACGCGCACGTTGGGATTGAGGACCTGGATTACAACACACATTATCTCAAACACGTGCGGTGGTGCACACATGCGCACCTGGACCGTTCTTTTCTGGTTGTCACTTCTGGGCCCTCTGTCATCGACCAGCGGCATGTTTATGTGTTTAGCACGCTTAAGACCTCTGGCGGCCGCGGCGCAAAAATCAAATCAAGCAGCGACATTTCCATGATCGAGCGGTTTGACTTAAAGACATCAATGAGCGCACTGTGCCCAATTCCAGCGCAATCACCGTGGCGCAATGGCAATGAGGACATTCGTGGGCTGGCTGTTCTAGTGGGATTTCCGGCCGCCGTGCAAGCGCTGGAACTGGCGCCAGACCTGCAGCTGCGCATAACTTCTAGACTGCCCGGCGACATGAAGTGGTGCCAGAATCCTGCGGTGTCTGTTGTATGCGAGGCTAGGGGCCAGCTTGACTCCAAGATCCACCGCATGCTGTCAAGCACGCTTGTACACGCTTCGCAATTGCTGCTAGAGCCGGTGCGCACAGTTTCAGAGGATCCAAGCTCCGAGAATGCGGTTGACAGATCCAGCTCCAAAATATCCCAAGCAATGTGCACTGCAGACAGCATGGGAATGCTGTCACTCTGGTGTATCCGAGACGGTACACTCGTGCGCTGCGACGGCGTCGGCGCCGACGTGGCCTTTGTCTCGCGGCTTTTGGGTATTGAGGGTCAGGTTGCGGCCATCGATTGGTATGCGAGCAGCGGGCTTGTGGTCGTTGCCATGGATGGCGGCGAGACACTATTCTACGTTCTGACCGGAGATCCTGGTCTTTTGTTGGCACACAGGTACACACCGAACGCCGAGATTTGCGAGCAGGCCGCCGCATATTACTCACAGCCGCTCGTTTCACCTCATTGGGGTTCTAAGCAGGGCAAATCCGATGGTGGCGATGGTGGCACTGAGGATACTGGCGCAAGCGCGGTGAGCCGCCCGATTCATGGTGACCCGCAGCAATACCACATGGATGCACATGCCGCTCCGCTGATGCACACAAATATGCACATCCGCCCCCGCCCGGCATCAATAGGTGAGGGCAGCTTTTTTAGGCGCAACTCCAAGCGGCTGTCGACGTCTATCGGGTCGGTATTTAGGCGGAGCTCGGCACACGATACCTTGGCGAATTCAGCACATACAGCGTCACACGGCACCAATGACAGCATGCTGCGAGCAGGGCTGCGCAAGCTGCGCTCATCCGTATCGGAAAATGGTCCCAATGACATTGGACGGCGCTACCCAATTGACGCCGATGCGTGGAAGCAGTGTCAACGAGTGACTAGCGCTGAGATGGACCGCATGGTCTACGGTCTTCATTTCAGCGCAACTGAGATCAAGCGTGTAGCGTTTGGCCGGCCAAGTCACTTGGATCCCAAGCATACCCACCATCGTTCGAGAAAGGACTCGGGGACGCAGTCACTCAACAACACTGATGTTTCCAATGTTCCCGGGGAGCAGCAGGTGCAGCAAAAAAACGAGTACCCGTCCTGTGTCTTACTGCCATTTATGATGGCTCGCTTCTACCACAGGGGCATTGTCGACGTTGTTGTCAGCCAGGACGGCATTGCGGGAATCGCTTACAAGGGCGGCACAGTCGTAGTTGTCGACTGCGTTAAGCAGACAGTGCTGCTGACCGACAATGTCAACCAGAGCCCTGATCCCTCGCACACTGTTGCCGACGTCTTTTCTGCATCTGGAACAAAGGGCCAACACGCGCATTTGCATGAGACACACCAGGAAATTACAACCATGAACATCTCATTTGCGATGCTGCCGTCTGGCTCTGAATCAGATGCACATGTTGATTTTGCAGCCGGCGAGTACCTATTTGTCGGTACCTCGCTGGGCCAGGTGCTGCAGTATTCGATTGGCAATGTTTCGGCACCTCCTATTGTTGCAGCCAAGCTGGAACTTTGCGATCCTGTTATATACGTGTCAATGGTTATTGGTGGCCACGAGCCGCAGTCACACCAACTACTGATTGCCGCATCACCCTCATCGATTGCCGTTTATGCAGGCTCAAACTCGACACCCACGGCTACATATGACGCTCGAAAAGAACACTCCCGCGCCTCGTTGGTTGCTGCGCGCGCAGTAAAACTAGAATCAGGATGGGAAGGCGTGGCTGCCATCAATAATAGGGCAATGGTTGTTCTGCTGACACTTCCCAGCCTTGGCGTAGCCAAAGAGATGCCACTTTCTGGCGCGCGGGGCCTAATCAAGTCGGCATTGGACGTGCAGATTAGCGAAAGCGGGCATATTCTGCTGACGAGTCCCAACGGATCGCTGTTGCAAGCGAGAATCACCGACTGTCCAAGCAGTTCAGAAATTGAGGCAGGTTCTGGCTCTGGAAAAGGAATGAAGTCAGCATTTTTTGACTCTGACTTGCACCCGCCACCGCAGCCAGCACGCAAGGGCATCACGTCGTGGCTGCTTGGCAAGTCGTCCAACGCGGCGCCAGATATAGATTTGTTCCTCAGCGCACATTACCGCAACCTGCTGATAAACGGTGGGATTAAACCCAGCGGCGGCGTACCTCCCAAGCAGCCACGCAATGAGCCACGCTCAGAGAGGCGCGAGTCTTCTAGCGGAAGACAGAGCACTGTTCGCGATAAGATTGGCACAGTCGACACAGACGATTTCTCTGGCATGAGGACCATGGCCGAGCGGCGTGGCCAGCAGCTGGACGATCTCAACGAGTCATTGCAGCGCACAACTTTAGAATCACAGAGCTTTCTCAACGATATCAAGGCGTACAACGCCAAGCAAGAAAAGAAAAGCAAGAGAATGTTTGGCCTGCTCTAAATGCGGGTGCCATTTTCGAAAAAAATAATTTATTAGTCATTTATCAAAATCGATTTAATTTATTTATTCGGGTCACATCTCAATTCATATATGTGCTAAAGGAAAATATATTTTGTTCTGCACTTTGCCCGCGCAAAATGGGCAGGCATACGAAAGAGAAAAAATAATATATCATGAGGGTCTGTGCGCAAGGAGAAAAAATAGTTCTCCCCAATTTTAAACCGTTCATTTGCATGGCTTTTTGAGGTGAAGAAAAAAATGGCAGCGATATGCGGAAACGCAAATGCAATTCAACAAATCTCAAATTGATGAGACACAAAGATGCCAAAGGAAATCGGCGTGGTGGTAGTAGTAGGGGTGGGTAATTTTAAAGCAACAACCGATGACTTAAATGGCTACAAGCAAGTGCAACACCTTGTCGCTCTTCTTTCTGCTCACCAAAAAAAAATTTACTGAATTTTTTACTTTTTTAATGGACTACCAGCACAGCAGCACAAACAGCGGCATCAGTAGCAATAATGCGGGCGCTCTCTTTGGCTCCAATGCCTCATCGCCCAAAATGTATAATAGTGAGGATGACGCGCGCATCAAAGCTCACCACTACAGTGAGACTGTTGATTTCCAGCGGATGCGCGCGTCCCTCGATGAGGCAATCACGCAGGGCGTTTCAAAGGTGCTCGTAATATACACGGGAGGAACAATCGGCATGAAGCATAATAATTCAAGCGGATATTCGCCGGTCAGGGGGTATTTGCCCGACAAGCTGCGCTCAATCGGTCGCTTCCACGATCCCGACGGCTTCAAAGACTTTGAATTTGAGTTTCACCGCTCCAGCGCGGTCAACAGCTACACAACGGCTGCAGCTGCAACCAGCCAGGCCAACAACGACCCAGGGAATGCAAAGAGGGTTCAGCCGGCTGGAACTAGCTCTCTGCTTGAGGCGGCAAAACAGCGCTTGAGAGAGATGACCCGTGGCCACATGTCCAGCCCGAGAACCGTGACCCCGAAAGAGAATGCTACCAGCGCCAGGAACTCGGTCAAAAGCGAGACATGCTCGCCGCCAGCCTCGGCAACAGAGACACCCGAACCCAATACCGGTGACAACAGCACACCGCACGGTGATAGCAATCGCGTGTTCGAAGACAAGGCGCCGACTATGACTAGCCCTGGTCATGTAAAGTTCGACACTTCCAGCATCCCTCCGAGCAGCATCAATTCTGGTAGTGATGATCTAGGCGGCGAGGACGACCCACGCGGCAAAGGAACACCGTCTTGCCTTTCGGAATGGCTGATAACGCCCAAATCAATGTACGGACGGCGGATCCAGTACTGCTTTCTCGAGTATGATCCGCTGCTAGACTCGTGCAACATGGACATGACCGACTGGGTGCGCATCGTAACGGACATTGAACGCTTTTACTACACATTTGATGCCTTTATCATCCTGCACGGTACAGACACCATGGCATACACGGCCAGCGCCCTGAGTTTTATGTTGCAGAGTCTGGGAAAGTCGGTCATTGTCACTGGGTCGCAGGTGCCGATCGCCGAAGTGCGCAACGACGGAATTGAAAATTTTTTAGGTGCGCTGACCATTGCAGGCCACTTTGTCATTCCCGAGGTCAGTCTGTACTTTAACAACAAGCTGTTCCGCGGCAACCGCTGCGTAAAGATCGATGCTATGGACTTTGACGCATTCTCGTCGCCCAACCTGGCGCCGCTGGTCAAGGTTGGCGTAGACATTGAGGTAAATTGGCCCGAGGTCCTGCGGCCAAACGCCATCGAGCCCTTCTGCGCGTACAAGCAGATGAACACCAACGTGGCAAATTTGCGTCTGTTTCCCGGAATATCAGCCAGCGCCGTGCGGGCCTTCCTTGCACCGCCAATCCAGGGCATCGTGCTCGAAACATTTGGCGCTGGCAATGCACCCGATGCGCGGCCGGCCATCTTGGAGGCCCTTGCCGATGCTAGCGAGCGCGGGGTTGTTATTGTCAACGTAACACAGTGCCAGCGCGGCAACGTTTCTGACCTGTATGCGACGGCTCGTGGGCTCACCACGGCAAAGGTTGTCCCCGGACGCGACATGACCTCGGAATGTGCGCTGACCAAGCTGAGCTACCTCCTTGGCCGTGGGCTTTCGCCTGAGCGCTGCCGTGAGCTGTTGGGTCGGAGCCTTCGAGGTGAGCTCACAATAGTGCAGTCTCACTCGCGGCCTATATTTTCGACTGGAAACGGCCGCTCGCACACGTTTACACAGTTTGTGTCACGCCAAATTTTGGATGAGACTCAGGCTAACGAGCCCAACATTGAGCTACCCACCTCTAGAATGCATGTCAGCATGAGTCCTCCAATTCCAGGCGGCGCTGGCTCTCCACAGCTTGTTGGAATACATCCCAGCGGCATTTCTTTGGCAAAGCGGTCAATTCATGGCACTGACAAGGCTGCTGCCTTGACAGAGGGGAGCAACCCGAGGTCGCGCGAAACAGTGACCGAGCGCGCTTCAATCTACCGCGCGTTCTTCCCCGTCCTGCTCTGTGCTGCTGCTGCAACTGGGGACTTACAAGGTATGTATCTTCTAGAAGCAGCATCTAACAATGCGCTAGAGGTGACATGCTACGACTACACTGGCCAGACTCCGTTGCACAGTGCAGTTCGTGCTGGGCAGCTCCCGTGCGCGCGCTTTTTGCTCAAGCGGGGCGCCAGCGTGCATGTGTTGAGCCGCAAAGGCCATACGCCGCTGTTTGAGGCTATCTGCGCGCGGCACCCAGAGATGGTCAATCTGCTCGCACAGGCAGGCGCGCATTTCAGTGACGCTGAGATTCGCGATCTGATGCTCAGCATGCAGCATGCTGTGTCCAGGGGCGATATTGAGTTTGTCAAGATTGCGGTACGTGCCGGATTCGACGTCAGTGCCAGCGACCACGAGGGCAGAACCATTCTGTACTTTGCAGTTATTGCAGGGCAGGTTGAGATTGTGCAGTACCTGTTAACACTGCCGGGAATCTCCGTCGAGCACTGGGATCATTGGGGATATAGCCCCATGGACTATGTCGTGCGCAAGCTTGATCTGTGGAATGAATTTGGCGCGCCCCATGAGGACAGCCTCCACGACATGCAGCGCATATGTTCTCTGTTTTCTGAAACCGTGAGCGTCGGCGATAATGAGCAATAATGATTTTGCGCTATAGCACATAGATTTTACATTTTTATTTTATTTTATTGTTTGTTTTTTAGTTCACTTGTGGTCAGTCGCATTCGTATAAACTATTATTCACAGGCCAAATGGGCAACTTGCACTTGGGCGCTTTCCCCTTTATAAGGTCGTGGCTTTTATTTGCTAAATGTGTAATATACAATTGTACACTATGCCGTGAGCGTACTGGAAGAGTAATTTCGGGCATTTATCTCGAATGTCCCATTCACCGCTATAATAGCTTGGTAGTTTGAATACAATAAAATGCCCGTAAAAGATCAAAATATTTGTTATTTTGCCGCCACCAAATCTGCTGCGAATACGCCTGCAATTAATGTTTGTAGAAACAAACTAATTTTTAATAAGCTCACGATATCTAGTTTTCTATTTATTGTGAATTTATATCGTTTACACACCATATGAAGAGCAAAACAACACAACAGGAAAAAGAAATACAGAACTTTACAATCTCATTTATTTATTACGCTTACCAATTTGATATTTATTTATATATCACTCATCTTATAGTTTGCAATGATGGGCATTAACAAATGTGTTCTGATACTTGCATTGCCTTTCTTGGTCAATGTGTCACCGTTTGAAGCTGCTCAGAACAGGGTTAGTGGACTTGTATCTGAGTTTATTTCTACCGACTCAACATGTAACATCGGAACAAATCTGAACTCGTACGATTACATGCTCAATCAAGCAACAGAAGCGCCCAAAGAACCAGTTGGAAACGATAGCATCAACAATTCTGGACTTTATATCTCGGGAAACCATGAGCAATCAAATAAGTCCTGTGATGAGTCTACCCGGGGCTTGCTTTCAATACTCGGCATCAGCCTTGGCGCGCGAATCAGTTTATCAATTCTCGGCATCAACTTATGTATAGCGCTTTGATGATATCATTCGCACATCTCTACAGGACCAAACACACTGTTAGTGTGTGATATAGATTATGTGCGGTTTGAACTGCACAAGTACAATGCGCATCTGGGCGTCATGGCGATGTGGCCTCTTGGAATAAAATATTGAGTTTTTGAAAGCAAGGCATGCAGATAATTGGATAATAGAGACTGGCTTTAAGCACTACTTTTTTGAAGTAGAATCTGGTTACTGCCGCTCCAACAACGATTTGTTTTGTTTTGAAAATATCGACAAGAAAAGTAAAAATGAACAATGCGATCAAGCTTAAAATTCTGTGATCCAGATTTGCATGACTCGAAAATCTGCTAGAAACGCGTCACGTAAAAAAAATACATTTATTTATTTTCGTGAAATCAATGCTGCGTGTAAAATGACAGTCGTTTCTTGTCTCTGCTCGATATAATTTTTTTATTTTCACATAATTTTTTTTTACGACTTGCTTGAATATGCCGATATCAATCAATGAAAAGGAGCTTATAACAGTGTGCACGCGTATTGTTCGTGGGGGCGACTTGGACACACTCACGGACCGGGCTGTACGTCGAAGAGCTGAAGAACGCATGGGGCTTGATGACAAGCTGCTGGACCAGCAGCCGTACAAGCAAATAGTCAAGGGGATAGTTGTCGAAGTGTTGGAGGTTATCTCGAAGGAGAAAGAGAAGGATGATGCCGAGGACGAAGATGAGGATGCACACAGCGACGACAACAAAAGCAAAAACAACGACAACGCTGACACTGACACTGACGCCGATGATGCGAGCAAAGTAGATGGGAGCGAAGAGGAGGGATACTCTGATGTTGCGGACGAAGATGTCCCCAAACTTAAACCCAAAAAGCGGGCGGCCAAGCCGCAAGTGTCAGAAAAGTCCAAGCGCGTAAAATCCTCAACCATCATCACCGCCACCAGCAGCAGCACATTGTCCAAGGCGAACGAAGCCATCATAAGCAACCTCAAGTCGTACATAAACAAATGTGGCCTGCGCAAGGTCTGGGCCAAGGAACTTTCGGGAATGAATGCCGCGCAGCAGATCCGACATCTCAAAAAGCTGCTGGACGACCTGGGCATGGAGGGCCGGCCAACCCTGGAAAAATGTAAAAAGATCAAGGACAAGCGCGAATTGCAAGCAGAGCTCGAGGCAATGGACAACAATGTTATTATTGATGGCAGAGACAGATCGCCTGCCGACTCAACTCGTCGTTCCAGAGCCACTGGGAGCAAGCAAATATCGTACAATATGGATGATGATTCTGAGAGTGAGGACGAGGAAGGAAACGAAGCAGAAGAGGTGGAAGATGGGGGCAAAATTGAAGATGAAGGTGAAGACAAAAACGAAGACGAAGGCGAAGATAGCGACGAATCTGATGTCTATACCGAGAGCGAGAGCGATGTTGATGAGGCAGGCCCTCCAAGTGATCAAGAAGACCAGTCTTCAGCAGATGAGGGTAATATAGCGTCAGATGCTAACGACTCAGAGCAGTGGCTGCAGCATCCGTGCATATAAAATTTTCCCACAATTTAAAGTACATTATTATTTTCTAAAGAATTTTCCCTGCACTCCGATTTTTACAAAACAAGTAACATGGCTGATATGTGGCGAATATATGAAAATAATTGTTTTCGGTGAACTGGGTCTGTGGCAAATGCTTTTAGATGAATGCCACACTAGTATTTTCTGCATGCCCACTGCCACCCAAAGGTCAAATGTTGAACACATTCGTTGGTTGTGCTCCACAATACGAGATATGTATACCTGCCATGACCATATTGTTTGCTTTTGGCACATTTCGTTCTGAGATGGGTGTGAGCATGTTTAACCGATACTTATGATGTCCAATTTTTTTATCCGTGAAATCAACTGGAGTAACATTTGAATTTTTAGTATGGTGCAACAGAACAGCAGCTCGTCTATTCCCCCAGCCTATAGAGCTCAGGGTTGCTATGGCTCACATGCCGAGCAGCAGTTGAGCAGCCAATTAAATGGGCTGTGCACCATTAAGACGATACCCACGTATAAAGCCGGCTGATTTTGATCTTGGTTGCGGGCCTTTAAGATACGCGGAATATATGGTCGTGCGAGTATTTTATCCAACATATCAGCCGCGCAATAGGAAATGTTCAGCACGCCCTGCTTGCATGTAGGGTTATTTTTTGGGTCTGTTTCTTATTACCTATGCGACATGTCTATGCATTGTTTGCAGAAATGAAAGTCGCTAAAAATGGCTGATAATAAAACAATGGTAAATACAACTGAATTTGCGTTTGTCTCTTGAAAACAAAAGCAAGCTCATTCTCACTCACATATTTTTAATGTGTATTTCTCATTTGTCTTGACAATGGCATTTAAACGGCTTGTAGACATGAATGAAGTTGTCATTCAGGCACAATAGGTTCTAAGTTTGTAATATATTTATTCAACCCCTGCCTCAAAAGCCGTGAGCTGGCCTTCAATAACCTGCGGCTGTTGATTTTTTGTGTCCGCTTACATAAAACAAATAATTGGAATGCGTTGTAAGCATGAAAATCATATGGTGGTGCAGCTCTGCAGAAGTGTGACAAGGAGGTAGTTTATGTATGAGAGAGTATGAGAATAGAGACATGCATATTTAGGGTGTGGCTTGGACGGCCATTAGCATCCGAATAAAAAAGTATGACAAAAACGCCAACAAAATGGGCGGCTTTTGTTTGTAAAAAAAATACCAACGGGCAAAAAATACATTGTATGTTAAACAATTTAGTTGTTGTTGGCTGAAGACCTAGCCACTTGAATGCTGATGGCTTCATTATTTGCATTGCGTCGTTTGTATTGTCACATTATATGAGTTACCTGGCTTCAATATTTTGCTAGATTTTTTAATTGTACACTGTTCAAAAAAATCTACCACGACACAACCAATAAAGTTGACACACAATAGGCCATCACAACATTAATTACAACTGATAGCGGCCGTATATGTATTAATGTTTTTTTAGTCAATAATATTTTTAAAATAATCATGTTTATTGGTTTAGCTTAAATGAATAGGCAAATAAGAAAAAGGGGTGACTGCTTGTAATATCAAAAACAATACGCGATGCTCGTTCTTGATTCAACAAACTCACCGCGTTTCAAATATCGTTGTTACCAACCAACGCAAGGAACGACCTTGAAGGCTGCATATACCCAGAGAACAATGGTAAAAGAACGGATACACACAAAGCAAACATGCAAGCTCGTCCAAGAAAGCCCAGGGGTGCAAAAAAAACAAAATACAATAATAATAACCAAAAAATGACACCGCCACCTGTCCCATTCAAGCATGTCGATTTTCTTGCAGAAAAATAAGGGTGTGGTTTCTAATAAAAGTGTAGAGCTGACCGCCCTCAAACAGTTTTGCATTTGCAACCATTTCCAACTGCCTCTCGCTTTTCACCCTTACCACAATCTTTATTTGCTTTTATTTAAACATTTATTATATTTCTTTTCACAGCAAGGTTATTTAATTCGACTATATCATTTTATTTTTTGAAATTTATTCGCATATTGCATTTTCAACCAACTGTATGCGACGCTCATATTTCTATCATTCGCATATATAATAGCTTTATTTATTTATTTCATCTATTTTGGTTTGCGCCCCAGACTTTCGAGGCCCACAAATCAACACCGTCCATTTTCTATTTGTCATTTCACAAGTTAGGGTTCTTTGATAGCCCACATAGCATGGTTGAGCCTACACACATTGGCCTATTTACGATTCCTGAAAGCCTCAGCCACATAATCAGCGGACACAGAATAAAACCCGTCAAACCAAAAACCACAGAAGATAACACGGCCAACATGCAGATCATCGGAGGACACAAAAAGCTCTCCTCGTTCCTTCACCTGTCATCAGGAACGCAAAAGTACGAAGGTCGCATTGCCTTTTCGCCGTACACGGGGTCTCTGACGGACGATGACACTGCTCGCGACTTCCGGGGTGCAGGGTCCCTGGACTTGGAAACACCAATGTCAACGCTCCCGGCCGCAATGAGCATTGGTGCGAGCATCACGTTAAACATGCGGTATGTGGCCAAGGACATGTGGAGAAAGGTGACCTTTCCGCCCGGAATCACTGTAACACAAGCGCGCGACCTTTGCATGCTGCGCTTCAACATCTGGCAGCAAATTATGAATTGCAACGAAAACGTGGATTTGGCCTTTGTGACCACATCCGACGGCGGCCCCGAAACCCAGGACCGGCCCTCTATTGACGATCCTAACAACATTTCAAGGCAGACACAATCGCTGGGGTACAAGGCCGGCGCCACGGCGGGCCTTTATGGAGTTGTTGGATCTGGAAGCCAGGCGTCGCAGTCGCATAACCAGTTTCGCGAGCAGTTTGGTCTATTTTGGACTTCTGCAGGTCACTGGCTGGAGGCAGATGAGATGCTCAACAAATACCCCCTGCGTAAGGGTGAGGTTCTGGAGCTCCAGCACATTGTTGACTTTATTCCGTTGCAGCCACACGAGTTCAGGTTCAGCTACGCCGAAACCGCTATATACTACCTGCACACGGATGGCCCCAGCTCTAACTGGAAGATGTACTGGGCGGTGCTGCGCTGTCGTGTCCTGCGGCTGTATAGAAAGAAGGGCCAGCAGGAGGCGGACGTCGAGATTGACCTTACGCAGCCGTACCGCCTAACTGACCAGGATGGTCGCAGTTGGCCGCGCAGCTCATCGAAGGGTAACGATTTGCTCAATATCCAGTCACTGCAAGAGTGCCTGCCAGCCACTCCGCAGGCCACCGCCAGCGGTGGCTTTTTGGTTATTCAGCTTTTGGCTGCGGCTGGCAGCCAGCAAATGTACGTCTTCCGCAGTGGCAACCTTTTTGACTATGACGTGTGGCACAGGACTTTGCGGCACACACTTTCTGCAGAGGCCAATAGCAACATGGTTCCTGGCGGTGCCGGCAGCAGCATTAGCGGGGCGAGTAACAAAAACCACAGCATGGCACACTTGGTGCATCCTTCTGATACGTCTGTGGCTGGAACAGCAATGCTTGGCAGGAGCACCAGCGTTAGCGGCGGCGACGGCTCGGCCGGCGCACAGCTGGCCATCCTGCAAGCCATTGCCAACGGCGTAGTGGACAAAAACAGCAAGCAGTATGCTTTCGCTCAGTCATCATCCACTCTTCTGTCGCCGCAGCTGAGCCAGCGGCTCACCATGTTGCCCACACGCCACGAGGGGTACGTCAACAGAAAGGCACCCGACGGTTATGGCTTCCGTCGTCGCTTCTGCGTGCTAAACTCGACAACACTCTATGGCTTCCTCCATGCCAACGACTGCAAGGACCTGGCTGAGGACCAGCTGGAGGGCAGTTGCGACTTTGCCATTGCGCTGGACCACAAGTCTGTGTCCGTCGAGGCAATAGCCTGGAATGGCCGCTATCTCCTGCGCATATTTGGGCCGGATTCCAGCCGCATCCGCGACAGACCCGGCGCCACAGCCCTGCAGCCAGGCGGGCAGGTGCGCATCCAATGCACAGACATCCTGGCCACCGCCGCGCAGGCCGCCATTGAGCAATACGGCAGCACGTTTGGCACGCTTCCAGACTCGTGCGAGCTTGCTCGCCTTATGGTTGACGACCACGATGAGGGCCAGATGTGGGCCGTGAGCCTCAACAGCATAGCTGGTCTGAAGATTACCAACCAGTCCAGGGTCATTGTTGGTGCGCGCCGCCCGCACCTATTTAAGGATGCAAGGCTGAATGCGACTCCAAAGACAAATTGCGAGGACGAGTTTCACACGCTGACAGGAAGTAAGCACCAGGAGCTGACACTAGAGGACTGTGAGGTGTCGTCTAATGCTACTGCGCTATCGAGCCCAGAGGTGTGCAGACAGCAGTCGCTGTGCGAATTTTTCATTAAGACCGACCCAATTCCGGGCCACCAGCTCCAGCAGCCAGCGTCAGTTTTGCACAAGCAACTCTCGATGTCGCCGCCGCAGCACCATTTGCATCAGATGATGCAGCCGCCGCAAAGTCCCACCAGTGACCACGACAGTTCCAAGTCGCTTGCTCCAAAGTGGATTCCACTGGACGTCGACAAGTATGTTAAGGAGGAGGAAGAGCGGAAGCGCCACCATAATGTCTCAGGCAAAGATACGACGCCAACTCTGCCTGTGTCTGTGCACAGTACTCATTCGTTTGGCCGTGGGCTGAGGTCGAAGGCCAGCAATGTCAGCGACAATGACCATACCAGCCACAGCAGTGTTGGCAGTAACAGTGGCGCAGGCGGCGGCAGCAGCAGTAGTGGCCAGAACCACAGCAACAGCCAGAGCTACAGTGCCACCAGCACCAGCGGTGCTGGTCGTCAGCCCCCCAGGTTCAACTGGTTTAAGCGGCGCGGCTCCACATCGAAGCAGCAGCAGAACTAATACTTTTCAACATTAATTTTTCTTCCACCAAATTTGTATGCAGATATTCTAAATATCAGTAACAAAAATACGAGTACAAAAAAGACACCTGATAAGCAAAGCAACTAGTTTGATGCATTGAATAAATCTCTGCCAAATGATCGCACTTGCCTTTACATTTAATTGAAGGGTAAGTGCGTTAACACCTTTCCCAAAGGTAGGAAAATTAAGTGTGTAAACACAATCTCCGAAGGTTATCCCGCAGGTTAGGGTTTTGTAACAGTGTAATTTTTAAAGTAACTGTCATTTTATGAGGAGGGGAACAAAATGCAGACCACTCCAAATTTAGATAAAAACGTGCTGCCGCAAGTTCTGGGGCCGGAGAAAAAAAAGCGACCACGCTGTTTTTCCATTGGATTTTTGTTTGGTGCCTCGCATTCGGCAATTTTATTAATTATTAATATTCTTCAAGCCTCCCTCCTTTCACTTTTTTCAATGCTTGCAACTTATCAATTGCATGGAACTCAAGGTTCTATTTTTACAATTCCTTTGCAGCCCCTTTTATCTTTTCTATTTTCTTGTTTGGGTTTTTTGCTCTTTTTCATTTGAATTAATATTTGGTATTTGATATACTTTTCACACATTTTTTGTTTATTCTTTTCTTCACAATTAATTTTTCCCTTTAAGTTACTGTTGTCAGACAATATTTGGATAACACAACATGAGGTATTTGCTGCGCTCATTAATTCAAGCACTACTGGCAGTCATGCTGGCCTTGGCGGTTCTTGGATATCCCATTGGAGCCACAGAAGAAAACCCGAGCAGTGATAGTGCAGAGGTCAGCCAGGCGATGGACCGAATATTCACGACTCTTGTGCAGCGTACCTTTGGGCCACGGAGCCTAGACCATGCCGAGATATACTACAAAACCCGGTTCTTCACCTCCCACATGCAAGCGCGCATGCGGTATATTTCATCACAACAGGACTTAGTCATCAACAACGACGAGGACGTAATTAGCAGCAGCAGCAAGGCTGACACGGATGTTGCTGGCAATGACAGTGATGACAAAGAATTGATGCTGAGCAAGAGCGAGGCCGAGCAGCTGAACTCCATAATGCAGGAAATGTGGCTGGCATCGCGCAAGCTGTACCAGAGCTCGGGATGCTTAAGCTACGATTTGACCCTGTGTAATGGACAGTCGTCAACGAAGGGTGCAAAATTTTCGGATACGGAGCGGCTGGCTATGGCTGAATGGGAGAAGCGGCTTTCGACACCATTTGTCGCTGGAAAGAGGCTGCCCAAGACTGAGGCTGAGGAGATTCGCAGATTGATGGCGAATATCCACGCCGTGCTGCTGGAGAATTCAGCGACGACAGTGTGACAAAACAAAAACAAGTGAAAAATGGAAGGCAATGACGGTCTAGATCTGCATGAACAAAAAGCGATGTAAATTTTGGGGAGTCAAAAAAAGCGAGGGGATATGCAGAATTTTCAGATCTTTCAAAAGGTCGCGTTTGTTTGGCTCAAGCTTGAACTGCTTTCGTTTTTGTTTCGCGTTTTTCTTTTCTTTTCAGGTTGTTTTGTTTTTCAATTGAATTTATTTCAATAGAATATTTGCGTTTACAAACAAAACACACCCTATTATTATCTACCTCTTCTTTTTTGTTTTTTGGTCCAGCAATTCATCACGAACAAAAAAGCAAATATAAAAACGCCCACCACCTCAACCTCCACACATACACGTACACACGACACCATGGCTGGCGACGACAGAGACAATATGCTGGTGGACGATAACGACGGCATGAATGAGATCTCACCAAGGACTCTGGGTCAGTACTACCAGCGACTATTTCCGCACAGCCTCTACTACAAGTGGCTAAACTACAACGGCCCAATGCCAACAACTGAGTTCACGCACCGCGAGTTCAGTTTCACAATCAACGACGGCATCTACCTGCGGTACCAATCATTTAAAGACGGTGAGGATTTCCAACGTGAGCTGCAGAGACTCTCTCCGAGCAAAATCGACATTGGTGCCATTTTCACAGCCCAGCCCAAGCACGCAAAATCTTTACAGCCGGGTGTATTCAGAGCCATCTCGAAGGAGCTTGTGTTCGATATTGATATGACAGACTACGACGAGATCCGTACTTGCTGTCAGGGCGGTGGGATATGCGGAAAGTGCTGGAAGTTTATGGTCGTTGCCATGCACGTGTTGGATCAGGCGTTGCGCGAGGACTTTGGGTTCGAGCGAATTATGTGGGCATACTCTGGCCGTCGCGGTGTGCATTGCTGGGTGTGTGACGAGAGGGCAAAGAAGCTGGATGATGCCGGGCGGAAGGCGCTCACAGGGTACCTGACGATGATCCGAGGCGGAGCAGAGCAAGGAAAGAAGGTCAATTTGTCGCAGCGCAGTGGCCAACACCCCCATGTGCTTCGCTCGATGGAGATCATCGAGGAGTACTTTGAGGACATTGTTTTGGTTGACCAGGAGATTCTCTTGACCAGGGAGCGCTGGACAAAAGTTTTGGCTGCGGTTCCTGACGAAGAGCTGCGCAATTATCTGGACGAAAAGTGGATGAAGCGTCCAGACCGTTCATCTGTCGATAAGTGGTCTGAGATGATTGATGCCGTTGATAAGAAGGCGGCTAAGCGCGGAAGCAAGTTTGGATTGGGTACGTTTGAGCGGGATATGATGATGCAGTGCGTTTACCCGCGGCTGGACGAGAATGTCACTACGCATGTTAACCATTTGCTCAAGAGCCCGTTTTGTATCCATCCAAAGACCGGGCGCGTTTGCACGCCGATTGGGCCAGACCAGTTTGACGAGTTTGATCCTATGGCCGTGCCCACGCTGGCGCAGCTGCTGCGTGAGATTAACGACACGGCAGGAGATGGCGGCAGCAGTAGGTCGTCTATGACCAAGTACATCAAGATCTTTGAGGAATTTGTCGCATTGGTTGGCCCTGCCCACGACAAGAACGGCAATGGCACTCGGCAACACCAGCAGCAGAGTCTTGAATTTTGAATCAAAATAGCAGGATACAAAGGTTTTTTTAAAAAGTTATTTGCAACAAAATATTAATGTTATATTTCAAAACGAGATCAAGAGCTCGGGCTCGCCCTCGTTGCTCACATCAATGCCCGCCGGAGACGAGCCCGCGCCATCGCCGGCACCGGTAGCCACATTGTCGGCATCATCCAGCCCCATTGCGCTGATACCTGAATCCCTGGGCACACCAGCCTTCTCGGTCAGCGAATACACAAAAAGTCTGGCGGGCTTTTGCAGTACCGAGGATACACAGCCAAGCTCATTGACAAGCTCCTCGAGAAGCTGCGGCGACAGATCAACGTTCTCTAGCTCAATGGCTGGCTTCTCTGTCAGCGCAACTGCGCGCGCAGCGTTGGGGTCGGCGGATAGCAGCCGCCAGTATATGTATGCGCGGTCACGAACGTCTGGGTTGGCACACTTCTCCGTAGCCGTCTGCAGGGCCTTGAGCACGAGGGTCTGGCCCTGCTGGGGGCTCTTGAGGAAGAACTTTACGGTGGCATTGATCAGGGCCAGCTGCACGCCAGAGTCCTCTTCCTCGAGGAAACTCTCGAGGAATGATGTCAATATATTGGAAATGTTGGTGACGCTCTCAGAGTACTCGCCGAGGATCCAGATCAGCGCGGCGCGGGCCTCAGGCTCATTGACGTCGTCGACGTACTCGCACAGTCCGTCGACCAGGCTGTCAAAGCAGCGCGGATAGCGGCGCAAGATGTCCTGTAGGGCGACCATACAGCTCTGCACAATGTGGTTGGCCCTGGTCTCGAGCAGCTCAAGGAGCACCTTTATGGCCTTTTCGGCGGCGGTTTCATAGCGGATGGCCAGGCGGCTGATAGCCTGCACGGCGCGGCTCACAAAGTCCATGTCAACCTCCTTGGCGTACTCCTTAAGCTCATTGAGCAGTGGCTCGGTGTTGCGCTCGGAGCAGATGCGCACAAGGACATCGAGCTTCTCGTACTTGACGTAGATGGGGTCGTTGTAGCGGCAGAAGAATACGCGTATCTCCTTGCTCAGCAGCTTCGGGTGGCGCTGCAGAATGATGTTGATGTTGCGCAAGGCTACGTACTGGATCTCGGGGTCTGAGGACAGCAGTGTGATCAGGGGTGGCACCATCTTCTTGGAGAACTGCGCCAGCAGGTCAGCCCTGTGCACGTGCTTTTCGTATTTGAGCAAGAGCCGCACGGTGGTGAGAACCACGCTACCATTGGCGTGCTGCAGTCGTGGGAGCAGCCGCTCGCAGATATTCTCGGCCTCCTTCTCGTCCCTCGGCGTGTAATCAACCAGGGTCTCGAGGATGGCAATCTGACCCCACTCGATGCACTCGTTGATGGCCGTCAGCAGCTTGCCCACTGTGTTCGCATCAAGCCTCCACACGTCATGATGTGGCGACATATCGTTCATCTCGACCAGCGCCGACACTGCGTTGGACACAACCATGGAGTTGGAGTCTGACAGAGCCTCACGCACGCTTTCGACAAATCCATTATCCTCTGCCACGTCCACACTCAGGTCGTACACCTTGGCCACGCACATCACGGCAGTCTTGCGCACATACGGGTTGGTATCCTTCAGACACTTATGGAGAGGGTCGCACAAGTAGTCGAGCACCTCCTCGACGTGCAAACAGCCCATTGTGCGAATTGCCAGTGCGCGAATCAGCGGATTCGTGTCTTCGGCGTCCTTGACAAAGGTGTTGATAGCCAGAATAACCAGGTCCGGCTGCGTCTTTGCGTAGTTTATCAGGTACAGGTAAATGAGCTTTTTGATTTCAAGGTCATCTGTGTGCATGTTTTTAAGCACATCGGTGAATAGACCGCTGACGTCTTTGCCCACTGTCATGTTGGCAATGACTCGCCGCACTGCTTCCTTCCGCCGCTCCTTGTATTCACTGTTCAGCTCTGTCTTTAGCTCATAGTTTTCACCCTTACGCAGTGCCGCCAGCACCTTGGCTTTCATGATTTGGAGCCGCGCGATGTTTGTTTGAATCGTCGAATTCATCATCTTTGGTTAAAAAAATTAGGTTGAGACGGATTTAAATTTGCCGCGGCAATAAATAAAATAAAAATGATAAAATGAGGTGTGTGAATTGAAGAAGTAAATTAATGCAACAGTAAAGAAGTTGCGTTGTTTGAAGCACCGCGATGTCCGGAATGAGCGTCATCATCGGCTGGAGGACAAGTTTTCAACCATCTTAGCCAAAATAAAATATAAAAATAAAAAATTTGAACCATGGGCTGCGTTGAAATTACTTGCCCACACGCTTATAGGTGGTAAAATTCCAGCAAGATTAAGCGCAAAAAATTATTATGAAAATTATTAATTTGTTGTGCCCTTCAAAACAAATAGCCGTAAATGTATTCATTTTCTGCATATGTTTGCTGATGCTTTTGTTTTGTATTTTTGTTTGTGCAGATTCTAAATGCAAAAAATCATTTCTTCCTGTTTTTTTGTAGTGCGTTAGTTATCAGTACGAGTGATTAGGTGATTCAACATATGCCCAATATTTGTTATACATGTATTCCATTTATAGATATTTTATATGCCGAGACAACCAACAAGACCATTATATACTGCGGTTCACACAATAACCCAATTACAATTTCAAATACACACAAAAGCAATATCCGCATATGCTCTCTGCTATTATTGAAGCTGTAGGACCGCATTTTTCTCATCAGCAGGAATGGGTGGGGACCATGTATTCTGGACATCAATGGGGCTTGGACCTATGGTAAAGCAATTGAATTGTTAGGCCATTTCTGGCCCCACACACCGCTGCCATCAGCCCCATACTATCTTATGTTCAACAGCACTTCAATGCTCGTCAGTATCATATATCAAAGGCAGATGGATACGATTTAAATGCTGTGTATAAATGTTGAGAATGGCAAAGCAAATAATTAAGGAACAATTTGTTAGTGCTCTGTGTTTTTTTGAAAAAAAATTTATCTGGTGCAAAACAAGTTGAAAAATCCTCCAAACAACTAAAAAACATTAGTATATAAGAACCAAACATGACAGAGTAAAAAACTACAATTTAAATAAACATAATCAGCTTAATAATAATATAATTTATAAACTAATAAACATTAATACAAAAAAAACTACAAAAATGCTTTTCATTTACGGCCCACTCATCCTTGCGCTCATCTCCGCCATCCCAACTACTGTATTTGCCAAACGCGTGGTAGAGAATTGGGAAGTAACCTACGTGACCAGCAACCGTGGTCTCGATCAACCACCCAAACGCGGTGTCGGTGTCAACCACAAATTCCCGCTCCCCGTTGTACACGCAACCAAGGGTGACACTCTCGTCCTAAACATTTTCAACTCGCTCAACGAAACCACCACCATGCATTCACACGGACTCTTCCAACGTAACACGACGTACTATGACGGAGCAGCAATGACCACTGAGTGCTCTATCACGCCGGGAACCTCCTTCTCCTACGAGATCCCCTTGGAGCAGGCCGGAACGTATTGGATTCATGGGCATTCGCATTCGCAGAATTTCGATGGGCTGCGCACGCCCTTGATTATTCACGATCCCAAGGATCCATACAAGAGCGATGGCGAGTATGTGGTGGCCGTGGAGGACTGGTGGCCGGTGACCTTTAATACCACTTTGGCGGCTCTGCTGGATGTCACTGGGCAGAGCAACCCATTTGCGCAACCGCCTAATCTCCTTGTCAATGGACACCCTGAAGCACCCCGCTTTGACTTTATTCCCGGACAAACTTACCGCATCAGACTCGTTTCCATGATGAGTCTGCCGCTGTGGGAGTTTGCCATTGACGGGCACGAGCTAGAAATCATTGAGGTTGACGGCGTCAACACAAAGCCCAAAAAGGTCAATGTTGTCCGTCTGGCACCCGCCCAGCGCGTCTCTGTTCTGGTGAAAGCCAAGGAATCGTGCGATAGCAATTATAGCTACCATGTGACAATGTTTGGAAACTTCTTGCCACCCATCCCGGGTGTCTTCCCGTCGCGTGTGGACGGTCTTGTGGCATACTCCTCGGATGCGCCGCTGGCAGAGACTGTCGGCGAGATTCCCTCAGAGCCCTTTGACGAAATGAGCATTGAGTCTCTGCATGGTCCTATTATGAAGGCCGACCGCGGACTGTACTTTAATGCCACGTCAGGGTTCTTGCCTGACGGCACCAACTGGGAGTCGTTCAACTTGGTCACCTACCGCGACCCGGATGTGCCCTCTGTGTTCACTGCACTGACCGATTTTATCAACCTCAACCCCATCTCGTACGGCCCCCAGACCAACGCCCATGTGTTGCAGCTGAACGAGGTCATTGAAATGCTTTTCTGGAGTGCCACGCAGCTCTCCCACCCGCTGCACCTCCACGGCCATGTATTCCAGATTGTCGAAAAGGGGTTCATCAACGACACCATGGGCGCACTGACAACCAGGGTCGCCAAGGACAAGTTCCCTCTGCAGAGAGACACAGTGCTGGTTAACAGCGGTGAGTACGTTGTGGTGAGGTTCAAGGCGGATAACCCCGGAGTTTGGCTTATGCATTGCCACTTCGACTGGCACATGGCGCTCGGGTTAAACATGGTCTTTGTGGAGGCACCCAAGGAGATGATGGATGTTATCAAGGTGCCGCAGTCGGTTATCGACCAGTGCAAGAGGCAGGGGATTGAGACCAAGGGTAATGTGGTGGGCAACATGGCGTACGACTACGACGGTGCGCCCAATCTGCCCCACCTGCTGCACGACGCTCCGGCGGTTCTGGCATCGGCGGCTTAAGCTGAGGAACAAATTGTATGGGCGTGACGATATGATCAATGCTGATTTGATTTAAACCGATCCGATCCACTTTGATTCGATTCGATCACAAAACCCAACGCCAAAGTTTATAAAAAAAGGTTGGGTGAACATTAATTTCAACTTTTTATTTCCAGTTCAGCACCAGCTTTTTTCTTCTAACTATTCTAATACAAATTCACTCTAATATTCTTAATGACTCGCATTCCAATCACACAGGCACCTGGGCTGCTCCCACAATTACGGCTGCATGCGTCGGCAGCGTACGAGGCGGGCAGTGACTTGTATGTGTATGAGATCGTCAGCACTGACTTGGGCATGGCGGCATCGGCATCCAACCACACGGTCAAGTTTTTCGACCGCGGCACGCTACAGGCCACAGGAACGCTGGCGCACCACAGCGACCAGGTAACGCAGATGCGTGCGCGGCCAAACTCGCTTTTGACGAGCTCCCTTGACGGCCAAATCGCCATTTGGGACTTGCGGCAGCCATTGGGCGCACCAGCACTGGGATTCCGCGCCAGCGACCCGCTTCTGAGCTTCGACCTGGGCAATGACGAGCGGCTGCTAGTGGGCGGCGCGCGATTAGACGAGGACATGCACTTGTCGCGCATTAGTTTCTGGGACACGCGCGGCAGCGGCACGCAGGCCGTGCGCGTGTTCGAGAGCATGCACAGCGATGACGTTACGCAGATCCACTGCGGGGCGCGCGATGGCCGCGTGCTGTCGGCATCGACCGACGGGTTGGTGTGCACGTTCGATCCGGCGCAGGAAGAGGACGATGCTGTGCTGGCTGTGGCCAATACAGGCGCATCGGTCGCGCGCTGCGGGTTCTTCGGCCCTGACGAGCAGTACGTGTACGCACAAAGCGATATGGAGACGTTGCAGCTATGGTCCGACGACGCCACGCTGCTGGCTGATTTCGGCGATGTGCGCGCTGTGGCTGGCAGCGGCGTGCCCGTCGACTACATGGCTGGCTTCCGTTACGATGCCGCCACACAGCGGCTGTTCATGGCCGCCGGCACTGACGCTGGCGACCTGCACGTGTTCCATGTTGGCGCCGGGTTGCTGGAGCACGCGCAGGTGCTGGCCGGCGGCCACTCAGCCATTGTGCGCGCTTTTGACTGGGACGCACACGCGGGCTGGGCCGCGACGGGCGGCGAGGACGGGCGACTGAGCGTGTGGGCAGCAGCTCAGTAGTTTTTAAGCAAATCAGGCGCGCCGGTAGATTTTAAATAAAGTGAGTGCCATCGAAGAACGCGTGACGCAGTGCCTCGGCCGCCGTCGGCCGCTGCTCGGGGTCGTAGTCCAACAGCGCATCAGCCAGCGCAATAAAGTCGTCAGCATCCGCATCGTCCCCCACGTGCAGCGAGTGCCTGAGCCACTGCGCGCGCAGCGGTGCGCCCCAGTCGAGGCTCGGCTCGGGCGCACGGAACCCGGGCGTCGGGCGCGCAGCGGACCACGCCCGCATGGCGTCAGTGTAGATCGGCGACGCGGCATATAGAGCGGCTGGTGGCGGGCCGCGCAGCTTAAGCATGCTGCGCACCAGGCTGTGGTTTTCCATGTCGGTAAACAGAGGGCGGCCGAGCCACAGCTCGCACATGACGCAGCCAACCGACCACACGTCAATGGCCCGGCCAAACGGCCGCTGGTACGCGACCTCGGGCGCGCGGAACCACACGGTCTGGATCTCGAACGATCGGTAGTACTCGGCCACGTCTCCGTCGCCCACAGCGTTGCCAAAGTCAATTAGCTTGGCGCTCAGCGAGTGTGCGTCGCTGCAAATGACGTTGGTGGTCTTAATGTCGGCATGGATCAAAGCGCTGCTATGCATGTGCGCCAGTGCTGCCAGCAGCTGCCGCACCACTGCGCGGATCATGTCCATATGAACGCGCCGTGCAACCTCAGTGTCATGCGCTGCGTACGCTGCCTTGACGCGCCGTGGGAACGCGTCGTGCAGCGTGCCACCCAGCAATGGCTCCATAACCAGGCACGCGTGCGCACCGTGCCGGAACATGTCGTGCACGCGCACGATTGGGACGCGTCCGCGGGGGTCGAGCGCGTTGAGCATAGTGAGCGTGCGGTGCTCCGACAGTCCGATCACCTCCTCATGTGCGGCCATTCGCTTAATGCTGACCAGCCGCGTGCCGTCATGCCGCCGCCCCATGCGCGTGCAGTACAGGTCCATTGCGAGGAACGCCTGGCTGAACGCACCCTCACCGAGCTTGCCGACGATCTGATACCGGTCGAACCACACCTCACCGTACTCCGCCGGCCGCGTCTCAACTGCCGCCACCGAAAGCCCCCTGTCTGCGTTGGCTGCGCCCCTGCCGGCAGCATGTGCCCGTCGTCCGAGCGCGCCCCCGTCGATATCTGTCTGCTCGTCGCCAGCTCTCGCCTGCACCCGGGCGAACGCGCTCTTCATATTGCGCTTCCCATTGCCCGCGACCACTCCAAAAGACCGCTTGCTGCTTTCCGGGCTTTGAGGCCGTGACAACTCGCTCTTCCGCTTGCGGCCGTTCGTTATATCAATGCTGCTGCTTCTGCCCGCTGTCTCCCCATTAGGTGTGTCTCTGTGCCTGCGCTGCCTCTGTGGTGTCTCGGAGCTTGCATATACGCCGCTCGGCTGACTGTCCTCCGACTGTGTCTTATTATGCGCGTCGTCGATCAACAGCCCAATTCTGTTGTATAGCGCCACGAGTCCTAGAGTCTGTAGTGCTGTGTAGTCGTGTATGCGCATTCGCTCCGAGAGGTCGTCCATTTACAAATATAACGCGTTAATTCAGGTGCAAATACAAGTGGGAAAAGTGAGGAATAAACGAATCTGTGAGTCGAAAAAAAGAGAAAGAGAGGCAGCAAATAATGAACGACTTTTCATACTAGCAGATGAAAAAATTATACGCTGAGCATGCATATCAGAGTCAAAGCTGGTGCGAGTTTACTACACGCCCAGAAAAAACCCCGCGCATTTAGCGCTTATACGGGCGTGTGCTGAAAAATCAAGTTACCTATTTTTTTGCCATTTTTTACTGTATTTTTCACATTGCTAATCCTGAATTCGTGAGCTTTTTCTCTCTTTTTTCCAACTTTATTTGCGCCTCGCCGTCTTCGTACCTTTCAAGGTCTTTGCACACACGCAACATTTGCTTGTTTAGGATACTCATTTATCTCAATTAGGTCTTTTTATAAAGGTACCTTAAAAAGGCTTGCTTCATTTCGGTCTTTCTTTTTAAATTAACCCAACACAACCACTTCCCACCTTTAACTTTTCAATCTTGCTGACTCTTTTTCTATTATATTCTCTTCTCTTCTTTACTTTATTCTTTCCAAAATTTAGTTTTTTTCTCTCTTTTTCAATTTAAATTCTCCAAAAAATGTCGACTCAGCATCAACAGCAGCAACAACCCACAGCTAACGGCACCGCCCCCGCCTCGTCAGAGGGCCGGAAGGTTGCCACCCAGGAAGTCGGGTGGATGTTTGCCAACGAGTATTATACAATCATGAACAGGGAACCCCAGAGGCTGCACTGCTTCTACGCCAAAAAGTCTACTGCCATCCATGGAACCGACGGCGAAGTTGTCAAGCAGGCCAACGGCCAGCAGGTACGTTAAAAAAAGTAAAAACATGTATTTATATGGCTTTTTTAAAGTCAACATGGACTGCGTATATATTTTTATGTATATGTTTATACTAACTTTTATCTTGTGTCACTCTGTAACCCCATTATAACAGTTATAGGAGATTCGTGCTGTTATTGAGGCCGGCGAGTTCAAGGGCCGCAAGGTTCAGGTCACCAACGTCGACACGCTGGCTTCGATTGATGGCAGCATCATTGTTCAGGCCATCGGCCAGATGGACACCAAGGACGGAACTTCCTACCAGCGCTTTGCACAGACCTTCCTCCTTGCTGAGCAGCAGGGCGGATACTACCTCCACAACGATATTATGCGCTATCTGAGCGACGACACGGAGGATCGCGAGCCCGCCGCTGAGCCTGTCTCTGAGCCCATTGCTGCCGCTCCTGCCGTCGAGGCCTTCAAGAAGGACGAGAGGGTTGAAGCCGACGAGATTTCCAAGAAGGTTGAGGAGACTCCTGCTGTCGAGGCTGCCCCCGTAGAGGCCGCTGCCAAGGTCACTGCCGACGCCGCTGTGGAGGCCATTGCCCCCGCCCCCAAGGCCGAGGTTGCAAAGGCCCCTGTTGAGGCTGCTATTCCTGTTGTTGATACTACAGTTGCTGTCAAGCCCGAGCCCAAGGCTCCCAGGGCTCCCAAGGAGAAGCCCGCCGCCGCACCTGCTCCCAAGGCCGAGGAGAGGCCCGCGCCTGCGCCCGCGCCCGCCAAGCCCACAACATGGGCTGGTCTTGCCGCAGTCAACAGCAACAAGTGGAACAATAACACCATTGCCAAGGTCGAGGGCACCGTAGCCCCCGCCACCCCCACTACCTCGGCCCCCACCGTCACCAACCCCGCTGCTTCCGACGCCCCGCGTACCAGCACCCCTGTTCCCTCTACCCGCGGCCACCAGCAGCGCAGAAATGATTCTCTTTCGGTATTCCTGAAGAACATCCCGCAGGTTGCCACCATTATTGCAATCAAGGCCGGATGCAAGAACTTTGGCCCCATCACCAGTGTCGACTTTACCCTGCACAAGACCACTGGTGTAGTAGAGTTTGCCACGGAGGCTGCCAAGCAGGCTGCTCTGCGTGCCGGGTCTGCTGTTATTAGCGGCGGGCAGGTGGTTATTGAGGAGCGTCGTAACCGTCAGCAGGGTGGTCGTCGTGAGGGCGCCCCTAAGCAGGTCGGGCAGGGCCCAGCGCCTGCGCGCAATGGTTCGGGCGAATTTGAGCGCGTCAACTCTTCCCGTGGCTCCCGTGGTCGTGCCCCTGCTGCTGGCAGCGCTACTGCCAATGGTGCTGCTGCTACCTCTAACGGAACTTCCAACCCTGGTAACCGCGCTCGCGGCGGAAAGCAGTAAATCTATTTTTTTCGAGGGGGAAATGACGTTTCAGCGCCAAAAAAGTACAACTGGTGATGAGGATAAGGATCAACGGAGGGAGCAAGGATGGCTCAAGGTCAAAAAGGTGGGAAGTAAATTTAAAGGGACGATATCCCGAATTTTTTTGTTATTTGAGTGAAATATCATTATTATGTTGATTTAATATAAATGGTATAAACGATTTCTTGGTCATCTCAAATTAAATGTGTAACTGGGATCTCACAATTTAATAGAGATGTGACATTGATGAAACCGCTGTGTGGTTATCGACCAACCAGTGTGAGAATGGAGTGGCAGACGCAACCAGGACCAGAATACACATGTTAGCCTATTTTTATGAGAAAATATATTCATTGAGCGAAATATAAAACAAGTAAAAAACAAAGTTAAACCCAAGCACTCGATCTGCCAGCTAGAGTGTCAATCGTAGCCAAAAAGCTGCTGTGCATATCTGCTGTCCTCATTGCTGTCGTCCGCAGCCACTTTGGAAAGCTGTCATCTTTGTCTTGTCGTGGATTTGGTATTCTCTGTTTGTTGAGATTGGAGTCTAATCAACACTTGGTGTTTCTCAAGCGTCAAGAATTCCTTCATTTCCCATTCGATCTATAGGTCACACTGTCCCTTGTACCAGTTGTTATGTTTGTCTATAATCTCGTTTACAAGCACCATTGCTTGTTTTGCATGCTCCCCTTGGAGTTTCTTAACCAGCATTGTGTACCTGTTCTCTGTCAGTTTTTTCCAGCCGCACCTCATATCCAGGTCCAGCTTCTTGGCTTGATAATGAGCATCCACATTCTGCTTGAGTTTCTCCAATATATCATCTGTTGGTCCTGGATACACTTGGTCTGTTGACCATCTCAGCCACGAGATCTGTGTCTGGGTCCCAAAGGTCCCAGTGGAACTCCTCTTCGCGTCAGAGTTTCACGCTCCCATCGTGGATACGTAAACATGTGGCCATGTATATCAATGATCTGACAACCAGGCCACGGGCATGGACACATCTCTGGTTTAGGATATGTATCGGGGGTACTATTCCCACTGTCTGTTTGCTACAGGCAGTGGGCGGAGAAGCATATCTAATGCAAAGGAGCGACGGATATAGTCCCTTGTATTGGTAATGTGCCAGGCATTCTTGTGGTTCCAACCGCATTTCCTATCCATGGTCACATTTATTACCCGGAGGATAATGGCAACTGTCATGAACGAGATCTTTGGCAGCTGTGTAGAGGCTAGAGGCAGTCGTGGTACTATTGCCGCTATCAATGCCAGTGTTGTGCCTGACATCAGTACTGTTGTCCTTGCTCCATCTAATGACTCTGCCAGTGCTGCTGCCAATTCCTCTGTGGGGAGAACTGCCTCCTTGGTGCCCGCTGCCGTGATCTGGTCCATCAGTGCCTTGCTCATCCAGTCGTTGTCCTATCAGCAGCAAACCCTGTTTGATAGGCAAGGTGTGATAATGTTTCCTACAAAGAGCCAGTACTTTTTACCCGTCGGCTCCCATCCACACTGCAGTGACCAGAGATCCGACTGTGCGTGGGTTGCGTTGGCGGTCCTGTCGGCTTTCCTGTTTTACTGTCCCCGCGTGTTCTCAAACACACTGTATGTTTAAAAGCTTTTTATAAGCCTGGTCAAGGCATCTCAAACATTCAATAAATATTAGATATTGCCATACGTGTAAAGTTAAATTTTTATAAAATAGGGCTTTTAAGCTAGTCGCAAAATGAAAATACGTATGCTTTTATAAATATCTAACTTTTTAGTTTCAGTACATTTACTCAAATATTTAATGGAAAATGCATTGAAATTTAAATAATATGCTTCAAACAAAACCAGCAAAAAAATTGCGGTTTTCGAAAAGACAAATAAAGAAATTGTTAACAAACTCGGCATGTCAAAACGCCAAATTTAACCAAGCGAGCATCTAATATCTGCATTCCAGCATGCATTGTAAACCCCTTTCACAAATTGCGCAGCTTCTGCACTCTGAGCTCTGTATCCAAAGTACCATCCTCGTTTGGCTGGCGTTTGTGCTTGGATGCTCCATTGACAATGTACTTGTTAAATAATTTAATCACCTTTATCGTCGAAACTGGTGATGACGATCGCTCGGAAGAATGCGTTGGCGATGATTCACAAGAGGAGGTTGGGGTTGACGGCTGTTCTATCGGAAATGCACTCGTCGAGCCGGCAGTCGCTACCGGGTTTGCACAAGCAGTGGGCTTTGTGATGTCTGTTGCTGTGGTTGCAATATGAGCTGCTGGTTCAACAGGCGCGGCGGCGGGCTTTGCATTGGTACAATTATTATCGCCACTCTTGTGATCCTCGCTGCCGTCGTCCTCATCGTTGTTCTTATTGTTGCCCTCATTGTCGTCCGCAGTGCCATAAAGAAACATTATCTGATTGTCGCTTGCTTTACGCACTTCCCAACTGCTGCTCAACAGAAACCCGCCGATAAAATAGTTGTTCTTGCTGAAAAGAAGCCTGCGAAGCGAATCCAGCAATGTTCGCACCTTTGACGGAATAGTACTACAAATGCCAAAGTGTTCGGGATAGGTTGCGATGTCTGTCATGCCACCAATCTTCGACGTTGCTGGAAGTTCTGGGATACCGGCTCGAATTTGTGACTGTGGCATTCTGATTTGCCAAAAACTGATGTATTCAAAAATTGCCAGCATGGCGTAAAGCAGCGACTCGATGTCGTCTAAAATGCTATGTTGCTGACAATATTCCAGCAAAATCCGAATGCTCTTAAAGTGATCTGTGTCTGTGATTCGGCTGTATTCCCTCTTAAACTTTGACAAGTAGTCTATGTCAACTCCCCACGCTTCATTGACGCTCTTCTTCACTGTCTCTGATACTTCGGGGATAATCTTCGCGTATCCTTAGTTTATCACAAGTGTGTCCTTTCCGCGCCAAGTAATGTTGTCTGGAGTAATGTCGCGGTAGAGCACGCCTGCCCTCTTGGCCTGAACTAAACACGTGCAAACGGTAGAATATATTGTCCACATTGTGTCTAATAAGCCGCATTGTGAGTGATTCAAAAGTAGACCAGACCGACTCGCCACAGCCCTCCGTGATCAAGAACTCCAGTCGGCATCCAAACAAGTTGCTGTGCAAAATGCCGCTGCAATAGACTGTCGGCACTCCACTGATGTTTCCCGCCTCCAGCACATAATAAATGGCACCCTCAGGCTGACAATTGACGGGCGCCCACAACAGCTTGAGCACAAATTTGTATTGCCAACTTTTGTGCTGAACACGTACGATGCTCGACCAAAAGCTCCTACGTCAAAGCTAATCATACCACCGGTGTCGACCGCTGTAGATGTGTGCTTATCTACTACCCTGACCGTGGATTTAGTCTTGGTGCCGCTGAACTCGAGGAATCGAAATACATGGGTAACATGGACAAAGTGTCCAAACCTGTCCGACAAGAGCTTCAGAAAGAACCAGAGTTGACGGAGGCGAACATGCTGTTTATTTTTTTGGTCTGATCGGGGAAACTGTAGTGTAGAAAACGGGCCGAATTCCACACAAATGCAGCCACCACGAGTGAAGTCCAGCAAGTCCAGCATTTTCCTGTGAAAGGGCAAAAACAGGGACAAACAAGCGAGTTGGCTGGGCCTCTAATGTCTTCCTTGCAGATTCACCAACTTGCCCCAGCGGCATTGGAGGCAATTTGTCGGTGTATTTGGCAGTACTTGCTTCCAAAAGGAGGTGCACATCCTGGAACGAGGACACAATCCCACACATGTGCACCAGAATCCCATCTGACTTAGACCGCGATTGAGCTAATGGCGTTGCCTGACGATCCTTGGATCGATAGATCTGCTCCGGCCGAGCCAGAAAAAAAAGAAGCAAAGCCTGCATTTTGGCGGCAAAATCTTTGACGGTAAGCGGCAATATGTACCTCAGCAGCTGCTCGCCGAGCTTCTGGTATTTCTCTTGAGCCCTTGGCTCGCGTTCGGATTTAGCGATAAATTCTTGTACAGTAATCTTGGAATTGGCGGGTTACTGTTTAGTGCGTGCTGGGGTTGGAGTTTGGTCTCCTGGGTGGCCGCCCTAAATATGATTGAATATGTTTTTTTGAAAATTGTTTTTTAGTATATATTTTACTAAATAATTATAAAATTATTCTCAATTATTGCAACTACTATTTATATATTGTTTAGATTTGTACTTCTGGGTTCACCGACTTGCTCCGGGGTGTGAGTAGCTGGATGCTCTCAGATGGTGCACGCTTTCAGTTATTGCTGTTTGTTGTTATGTTTGACAAATAAGTTCCAAAGTAGGGTGATGTTTTGTAATATGCAAAAAGTTTAAAAAATATGCAAAATATGCATAAAATTATAACTTGGAATATTTAAGACTCAGTAACTTTAAAATTTAAACAGTCAAAAACATGCAACCAATGCTCTTCCATGTTTTATTCCAATACTCTATATTGCAATATGTGAACAAGGCAATATAGTGCCTTTTCCAAACAATGCAAAATTAACAAAATAACATGTTCGTAGTTTTTACATATCTTCATTTCCATTTCCCTCTTTTGCTTTTCTGAATATGCATTTCATATTGTTTTCAACGTACACTTGTTAATAAAAATTTTCATGCAAATCATGTTGACGCGTGTATATCCTCAAGTCTACTGGAAATATACGTGCAATGCCGCAAAGCCAATAATTATTGCCTATTCATTAATATTGCGATTTGTACCATGTTAATATTTATGTTGCCACTGGCATATTCGATACCGAGTTTTACTTAGCATGCGCATGGCAAGGGTTTCTGCATGTATGTTGATTGTCTTTACTTTATATTTTTGTTACTATATTAAAAATAAATCAGCACCACCCTATTTTTTTACCACAGCACTATTGTTGTCAGACAAAGCATTCAATAAAAATATAATTTCAAAGCAATCCCATTTTTTGACAAATGCTGCGCTTTGGCCATGATTTCAAACATTCCAATAAAGTGCTTCTGCGGGCATAATAAACATCACACTCGCATTATCTCTATTTTTTGTAACGCGGCTTTTGAATTGAACGATCACCGCACTATATTTATTTCAGCTCGTTATGTGGCGTAAAGCAAGCGCTAATGAAATCGGCTATTTGCGTAAAGCATCCACAATGCTCCATCTATCTACATCCGCCTGGGCGACAGGTACAGTTTTATTCCATCGATATTGTGCATTTGTCAGCACAAACAAAGAGCCACACCCCGACCCGCTTCCCACGCATATCAGCATAATGCTCTGCCTATATCTAGCCACAAAAGTGACCGAGGAGCCACGCAAACAGCGAGACATAATCAACGTTGGGTACAAGTTAGCGCACCCGGACTCCACATTTCTACCGATTAGCAGTAGCACACTGAGCGCGCTGCGCGTAACGCTGACGCAGGGCGAATTAATTCTCATGCGAGCACTCGGATTTAACCTCACTGTGGATTTGCCCCACGCGTGGATAGCCAGCACGTTGTATGGAATGCTGTGGTGGGAGCGCAATGGACAGCCGCCGGACGACACTGAGATGGTGGATGTTAGAGCCAAGAGGGTGGCGGGCACTGCGTGGGCTGTGGCTAATGCGGTTGTTGAGCGCGGGTTGGTCGATAGGGAGCCGGCGAGACTGATAGCAGCAGCTTGTATTTACATTGCGATGGACAATCATGGAGAGAAGCTGCCAGCCAAGAGCCTTGACGAATGGGCCGACATCTGGGCAAAGACTACAGGCAGGCGCATAGAAGCCGTGCGAGCGCTGATTGAGCAATCTGTAGATGTGCCGCTTGTCATCGAGCAATTTAACATTCAGAATAACCGAAAACCACATTCATTGGCAGAAAAATAATGCGCAGCAGTCTCGGAAAATAAAAATGGAGGCTGCAAATTAAATATTGAATTGTCATCTTTTTGATTTTGTCAAAAATATAAATATGAAAAGGTGGAAAGCAAAGAATATATTCTAGTGCTGCGACCACTGGATAGACTTGAGATCGATTCCCTCCAAGTGCATCTCCCACAGCGGACTCATCTCGCGTAGACGGTTAACGTGGGCCTCGACATTGTCGACGACATAATCGACCTCGGACTCGGTTGTGAATCTTCCTAAACCAAAGCGAATCGATGAATGAGCCATGTCGTCCTCAGCACCCAGCGCGCGCAGCACATACGAGGGCTCCAGCGACGCCGACGTGCAGGCCGAGCCTGACGACAGTGCGACGTTCTTTAGGGCCATCAACAAGGACTCACCCTCGACAAATGAAAACGAAAGGTTGACGCACCCCGGGTACATGTGATCGGGGTCGCCGTTGCGCACTACATGCGAGACGCGCTTCTGGATGCCTTCAACTAGGCGATTCGCCAGTTTCTGCATGTGAGCGTAATTGTACGAAAGCTCGCGCTTGCCCAGGGCTGCAGCCGCACCCAAGCCGACAACGAGCGGCGAGGGCACGGTACCGCTGCGCAGACCACGTTCCTGGCCGCCACCGGTTATGATGGGCTCGAGGCGGACGCGCGGGCGGCGACGCACATACAATGCACCGACGCCCTTGGGGCCGTAGAGCTTGTGTCCCGAGATACTCATAAGATCAATGTTCATCTCGTTGACGTCCAGTGGGATCTTGCCCGCCGCCTGTGCAGCGTCCGTGTGGAAGAAGATGCGGCGCTTGCGGCACAGCTTGCCAATATATTTCATATCTTGAACAATAGGATATATATAAATATATTAAACAAAATATCAGATATGCAATAACTAAAACTAAATTTAATGAATGAGACAGAATATCTACTGCGCCACATAGCCCATCATGGTTTCCATTGCAGACATGGCTACATGCCCCTATCACAAAATATTGTAGGGAATTCTTGATTAGTGGTTACTCAAAAATGGGTTCAGACAGAGCTTTCCTCAAGTGATAGACAGCTTGTCACATATATAAGTTGTACTTATAAGGGGGGCTAATAAATATTCTCGAGTGTCCTTGTGGCAAACTATATGGTTATTCATATATGAGAGACAGACATACTCCTGTGTGCAGTTTTCTCAACGCCCTGAATATCAACGCTCAGGTAGGCGCCGCCAATAAATACAACACTATTGTAAGTAAAGCTTTAATTAATTTTATTATGTGTGTATATTAAACTATATGATATTAACGATTTTATTTTATATAGTTGCCTCCGTCAGAGTCAGCATTGACTGCGTTGAACTTGCAAGTTGAACGTGGCAGCGGCTTGATTATTTGCCTGACTTGTTGCTATATAATATATCCTGGAAGCATTTATAATCATCTTAGGAAATGCCAGAAGAAAAATGGACATCAGCACAAGGTCGGGTTTGATTATCAGGCTGTTAAAGAAGCTTGCAGTTATCTGCTGTCTGAGGATTCGGGTGCCAAGCCAGAGGATGCGCTTCAGCGTTGGTATAAAGATCGATTGTTGCGAGTGGATTTTCCGGTTCCAGGCATTAAATTGATTGATAACATGTATTGGTGCGAGCACTGCAACTATGCTTGTTGCGATAAAGATTGCATGCGGCAACACTATAACAAGGAGCATGACACAACATGGATTTCAAAAGATGCAATTGCTGGGCCTGTTCAGCAGCTTTCTTATTGTAGTTTACAATTCAGTAGATACATTCGGGTTTGCTTTTCAGATTCTTTGGACACAGTTAAATTCAAAGGATTGGCTGACGCAGCTTTAGAAACACATCCCTCACCCAACAACCAGCCACCCGTCGAACCAGCATTGCAGCCTGAACATTATGCTTCAAGTGCTAACAGTGCTGCCAATCAACCCAGTGCTCAACCAGTCCCAACTGCACTGTCTGCCTCCACTTCGACAATGTTTGTGCCGTCCTATATTGCCGAGGGGATCAGACAAGTACTCTTCAAATACCAGAACAGCACTGATCGTAGCCTTGTCAATCCGAGAGAGCGCACGCTGCTCAGAAACATTATCTTGCACATCCACGACTAGCTTTAACAATAATAACATCGATTAAGCCATAGCAAGTACCAAAAAAAAGTGTACATGCCCGTGATTGAGCATGCATAATTTTGTTCTTTCCGTTATGCAATAACCCTTGGTTGCCAGGATTTAAAATGCATTTGTTGTTCTGATTACTTCTTGGCAATACTCTCTCGCTTTCTCTTTTCCGTGATCTATTTTTTCTTTTGTGTATCTGTATCTATATTTTTATTTTTATTTTTAAATATACCCCATTTAAATATTAATATTGTCATTGGTATTGATGCGTTCGAGTGCAACTGTTGACCCCAAGACTTTTGCTACAAAAACAGCGTATGGAATGCACAACAACACAGATACAAAAAATACTTTACAATTGTTTCAGCGACTGGTTTCGCTCATAAGTTTCTGCATGTGAACATAATATGCGAGCTTTTGTATTGGAAATCATTATCCAGCAAATACCTCGCAAAAAGGCATACTCTCGTGTGCAAACATATCTATGCTGCAAGCATTGCTACTGTGCATAACAATTTAGTCAACAACAAAAGTATTACAATAGTCTGTCTTATTGTTTTTAAACCCCAATTAAACCTACATGTTGAACCGCATTTAACAATTTGTAGCCATATCCGTCGGTGGCAGCGTTAGTTGCGTTGAATTTGAGCGTCGAGCGCGGCAGCGGTCTGATTATTTGCTTAACGTGCAGCTATGTGGGTATAACCGGTGGCATCTACACTCTCATTCACAAGCGTCAGCAGAAAAAGAGCCACATACACAGGTTTAAACACGGCCAACGCGCCATTGCGCAAGCATGCCGATATATCTTTCAAATGAATTGGCGAACCATGCGAGACAAAGAGCTTTACAGCTGGTTTAATAATCGTTTTCTATGAGTAGACTTGCCACTTCCTGATCTCAAGGTCAATATACGGAGGTTATTGATGCGAGCACTGCAGACACGCTGGTTATAAAGGGTCTGTAGTGCGTACCCATTATAAAAAGATGCACTGCGTATTCTTTAATATACAGAAAAGCATATCCAGCCTGATCAGCAACTTTTTGTTGGCAGTGGACGCCTTCAGAGATGTGCTTGGGTTTATTTGCCCGATACTTCAAAGACTGGTAATATTGGTGCACCGGTTTTTTTTTCAATGAGCAAGAATCATTCATGCTTGATGCCCAGCCGTTTTATCGACCGGAAAGTGACTAGTATCCAAGAAGCGTTGAAATGACAATAGCATATATAATTAACTAAATACTGATAGTATGGCTAATTACAGACTGAGAGTTACTAGTTATCCATTCAAATACAAAACAATTTGTAACGTGGAAAAGCCATACGCGCTGAACAAACAAGTAAAAGTATATGATTTTGTATCCGATAAACTGCAAAAAAAGCTTTAATAAAAGTTAATTTTTTTAAAATCTGGGTCATATTCATATTCAAATCAAACTTTAATTTTTTATTGATATCTTCTATATGTTTAATTTGTTTCAAATAACGACAGAAAAGGAACTTTTCAATCTTCTTCTGTATATTTTTTTACTCAGTTCTCCGATTATCGCTGGAGCGCTGTTTATCGTTGGATCACCCTACGGCAGCCAGACAAGCTACTCGGGTAAGCTGGCACTAAACGGGTGTCTCGCATGGATAGTCATGGAGCTCGTTTCGCCTGCCGCCCTACTCCTAGCATACACCTACCCATTGACACCCGGTCAATTCAGCCAACGCACCCACACGACCGACCTGTTTGTTATCCTTTGGGTTACGCATTACATTAACCGCGCGTTAATCTACCCTCTTCGTCAGCCATCCAGAAAACCAATGCATGTTGGGATTATGCTCTCCGCCTGCCTTTTTAACCTTATCAACGGGTACCTCAACGGCCGCTGGCTCTCCGTATTCTCCCCGCCGCCTACCACCACCACCACCAATATCAATAACCACGCACTTTTAAACCCCATTTTGGGCGTGTGCTTGTTTCTGTGCGGCATGCTAGGTAACATCTACCATGATGAAATACTTATGCGAATCCGCAGAAATTCTCAGAATACCCGGTATGCGGTACCTTTGGGTGGCGGGTTTGCATTGTTATCGTGTCCGCATTTTTTGTGTGAGTTGGTAGAGTGGATGGGTTTTGCTGTTGCGACAGGATCGCCGGCCGCTTGGGCGTTTGTGCTGAGTGTCGCGTGCAATTTGGTTCCACGCGCAATGTTTATCCACAGATGGTATCAGGACAAATTCGACAATTACCCGAATAATCGAAAGGCCATTATTCCATTTTTACTTTAAAAATCTCTGAAGGATGTAGAAAAAAGAGTGGTTTATTAGTTTTAGTTTGTGCCTAAAAAAATGGAAGAAAAATAGAAGAGAAAACCGAAAGGAAAAAAGAGGTAAAAAAACATGAAAAAAAGAAAGACGGCTCATAGAAGAACAAACTTTTAAATATTTTCTATATATTTGGGGGTGGGGGGTTTTTTTTCCTAGTCCTTCTTGGAAGTGCTCAGAACCTGTTCATCCTCCTCATCGTCATCCTCCTCATCACCGCCCTCGCCCTCAGCAAATCCGCCAACCTCAAGCTTCTTCGTGCGGTAGTTCTCATACAGAACATCCTCGGTAAAGTTAATCAAGTCAGCGATATGCGAGTTCAGCAAAATATAACGCAGCAGGGCAAAATCACACTGACCCTCGTCATCAACCTCGATCGAGCCCCAAGGATAACGGCGCACACGCACAGCGCCAAACTCGTTATCAATAACCTCATCGCAAGTAACAACCGAAAATGGAGTATAATCCATAATCTCACGGTTCTCCTTGAGTGCCTCAGAGTCAGACTCGTCCCAGCAAAAGTTATACAGCGGAAGCTTGTAGTAGTCGATATCCCGCATGACATTCTGCTTAAACGTCGCAAGCTCTTCCACTGTCAGACTGTCAGCACGTCCGATCACTGGAATGATATTGACGTATTCGCCAAGACGCCTGATAAGTTCAATATCCAGTTCGCGCAGAGAATGGCCAGTGGGCGTGATAAAGTAGATCAGCGTGTGGATGCGGTGGTCGCGGTACCGGCGGTTACGCTTGATCCGGCTCTCCTCTACAAGAACTTCGTCGAATTGCGCCTCGATGTAGTCCTGCAGCTGCTTGAAGCAGTCCGTGTTGTTCAGGCCGTCGCCGAATCCCGGAGTATCAATGACCGTCAGGCTGATACGCGTGCCCTCCTCCTCAAGATTCACCTCGTATGTGTCGAACCTCATTGGGTCCGCAACGTTGGCGGTCTCGGGGTTCGGCGCATCGGGCGGTGAAATGACCTCGCGCTCGCACAGGGTGTTGAGGAAAGTGCGGCGACCCAGACCCGACTGGCCTAATAAGAAAAGAAGCGATGGAATGCAAGATGAAGCATTTTGTGCGGGTTGTTTAGTACAGCATCATTGAGTGTTCTTAAAGGCAATTAAAGGCAATTACCACAACAAGGGAAAATAACAGAAAGTGAGGAGAAAGGCCAGTGAGCGCGGGCGCATTTTAAAAAACAAAAGATTCTTGCAACATGTTTGTTTTGATGATTTGCAAAAGGTGGATGAAAAAACGAACAATGCCCGAAAAAAACAAATGCTACTATTTTTTTTTGGCAAAGCGCGTTAGTTGACGTGTTGCCCTGAAAAAAGTAGAAAAGTAACAGATGACACAACGGTCCAAACTCTATCACTAAACCCAAAGAGTAAATAAAAAAAACTGTAATGAAACCCCAAGTCCGCAGGGGAAGAAAAATAAATAAAAAAAACACGTAAATTTATGCAGATGTGCAAAATTGCAAAAACAAAAACAAAAAACTTACCAACAAGCATAATGTTGTAGGTCATGCCGCGCTTCTCTGACTTGTAGCGGTAGCTGCTTGGGCGCGGAGTAGCCATGCGTGAGCTCATGGTACTGTTAATTGAGGGTGCAGATGGAGCCATTGTCGAGATTGTTCTTTTTTGTTTTGAAATTTAAACAAAACTTATTCCAAGACGGGTGACCGAGAATATGGAGAAGAGGGAGAGGAGAGAATAAAGGCGGGGTGTAAAGTAATATAAAAGTAAAGAAAAACAGAGTTGTAATAAAAAATAAGGGAACTCGGGTAGAGAGTGAGTGTGTGTGTAAAAAAAGGGAGTAAGTTTTAAAAAAGAGGAAACAAAAAATTATTAAGTGGCAGGACAACATAAGCAGACCGTTTCCCTGTTGTTTTGTTTTGTTAAGTTGACTGCCAGCCCCCTCCTCCCCTCCTCCCCTCATTTCACCTGCTTGTAGGTTGTTATTGGTTTTTTTTGCGTTGACTTTGTTGTCGTTTTAGCAGCACAAAGCACCCTAAAAACAAGCCAATCAAAATTTAAAAAAAAAATGAAAAGCAACAAACAAAGCACATTTGAAATTTTTAAATAATTACCAGTTGATTCTACCATTTTAAATTAATTGGAACTTGCTGAAAAAGCCACAAAGGTGGTTTTTCTGTCTTCAGGGCGGGGGTTACAGGATGGGTTGGCCAAAGGGATCGCAGCCGTCCTGTGTGGCGCCGCCCTTGCCGCTGCCGGCCCTCAGCGGCAGCAGGGCATCCAGGACGTCTGCCGGCGACTCAGCCATGGGACGGACCTCTGCCCTGGACACAAACGGCAGCTCCACAGGCATGCCAAAAATGGCGCGCGCCTGCTCATAGCAGAAAAAGTCTCTCGTCCGGTACTTGCCAGTCGCCAAAATGTTCTCAATGGAGCCAAAGCTGCGCATAAGCTCCAGCGCAGTAACCGGGCCGACGCCCTCCAAGGTCGAGGCAAAATCCGTGCCGCACAAAATACACAAATCAACAAAGGCCGCCTGCGACAGTCGCAGCTCGTCCAGGGCCGCGGCCAAGTCAATGAGCATCATTTGGCCCGCCTGCTGCTGCCTGGGGACGCCAAAGCCACGAAGCAGCCGGGGGCCGCCGAATGCCAGCACGTCGAGGTCCTCGCTGCACACGGCATCACAGACGCCGGCGCGGGTCAGCGCAGCGCAAACAGCCTCGGACTCCGTGGGTCCATCGGTTGTATACGTGGCAAAGCCCAGGGCGGCCACCAGCTGGCGGCACTCGTCAATGTGCGCATATGTCAGCGGCTGCGCACGGCGCCGTAGGGCCTGCAGCCGCTCGTCGCTGAACCGCCGCAGTGATTGCAGTGTCGAATGTGTGGGGTCTATCTGCAGAAGCTGCTCTGGGAGGATGCTGTCACGGGCGCCTAGCTGGTAGAGCAGCAGCTCCCAGGTACTCAGCTCGAGCCGGTCCAGCCGTTCGCTGATCGTCAGCTTCTTCCCCAGTTTTCGCTGCTTCGCCTGGAGGCGCGCAGCCAGATCCTCGAGCATCTCAACGGCGTCTTCCCGCGATAGCCGATCGCTAAGTTGTGCGGCAGAATGCCGGACTTTGTCCTCGCTCTGGCGATTCCACTCGCTACTGCTTTGGTCCAACGAGATCTCTAAAATCGGATCAAACGAGAACCCAGACCCCCTTGCATTGTGGCCGATGGCATCCGTGCAAACGCCGAGATCGCCACTAATCCGGCCATCTTCCTCCTGGAGATATCGCGCGCAGATCCGCTCTGCCACGAGAATCCTCGATGTGCGCTGAATCTCCGCCTCAAACTCTTCCACCACCCTGGCCTGAGCAGTATTCCGCTTAGAGTACTCGATTTGCTTATCGCCTGTGCGCTCATTGCCATCAAAGACAAACACCGGCGTAATGTCTTGTTCCCGCAAGTGCATCGCCATGTTGTACATACCTTGTAGGTGGCGACGTTCTGAGTCGCGCGACCGTTCGGTACCGCGGAAAAATCGGTGCACGAATATGTTGCTGTCAATGCCGAGCGTCCATCCGCGGATGGCTGTGGCTGCTGGGGCTGTGATGCTTGAGGGCGCGAATCGGGCGAGCAGGGATGTGAGTTGTTTGACCCCCATTTCTTTCTTCCTCTGCTGCCGTCTACAAACAATAATGCACCGTGAAAGCATGTAGATCCGAATGCACGCAAGGAAATAAAAAAACCAGCATGAAAAATAAATATAAATAAATAATTTTGAAAATGCACGTAAAATTATTCAATTTTTTTGTTGTCCACATGTCAATGAACACGTTGCTGTCGCCATCAATGTACATTGTATGTTAATAACACGGCAATAACAGCAGAGGTGCTCAACAAGTCAATCTATGCATGCCTCTCTTTCCTGCCTGCTTTAATGTCTGGCTGGCTGTAACAAGTCCATGTGCTAATTTTATGCTGCCGCATATCAATACAGCAAATTATTTTGCATTCAAGCATGCGCTCGGGCAATAAAAAAATCCCTCAAATAAGAAATGTAATAATCAACATTTGAATATTTTCAATAAACCAAGTGTTTAAACACAAAAAATGTGAGATTAACTGACAACAGACGATCGCATAAAAAAGTAAACATCTGGGCAAAGGCCTGCAACTGCATGCTTAGTTGTCGTGTGAGCAAGAAATAAAAAATAAAGCAAAACATCACCACTATTACTATTACTGTCATCCACATGTGTGGATATGGTGCATGCGAATGTCAATCACACTGTGTCTTGTCTTATACAGCTTGCATGAGTTCAGTACAATGACGTATGCAGTGAGGAAAGCCGAGGAAAAAAATATATCCGACAGACATTGACAGCCACAAAAGAATAAATTTACATACAACTTACAACCAATTGAGAAGAGATAGGAGAATATTCTACTGGAGGTGAGGGCAAATAAAATAATATAGATAACAGTCGTGTGAGTATGTAGAAATTTCTAAAAATATGGAACAGATGCTTTTTTTGTGTATGTGGCAATCAGAAACAAAACATCTCGCCCACCTGCGTGGATATCACATGAATGTAAACAAAACATATGGGAATCTTCCATTTTCAATATCTGAAATTTATTTTTACTGGCTGATGGCATTAAACTTTGTATTTTTTTATTGTTTTAAAAATATTTTTATTGTACAAAAGTGTACACTTAAACAGATATTTTAAACATGACCATGGGTTTTTTCTATGGATTTCTCCATTCGGGATTGCTTTTCGGGTTGCGGATGTTGTGATGCAACGCTATAAATTATCTAACTCGTCAGCTGTCCATGAATAAAAAAACAAAAAAACACCTTATACATAAAGATGCACAAGATTACCGATATCTGTTACTCCTTCCTATGTTGAAAAAGCTTGTTGGGGGAGGAGGTGGAACTTGACATTTGCGGAAATTGTAATGGCAGAAAATTACAGAATAGAAAAATAACACACCATGTCATATTACCAGTGTAGCTCGACATGCCACATCCACACCCAATGCGGCATATGCCTGTAATACGACCAGCTCAAGACTCTTCGATATAGATGCCAAATTATCAGCCGACACGGGGACCAGTCTGCCACCGAAATACCCCAAATCCAGCCACACCACCAACTGTCTCCACCGCTGCACATCATCCACACAAAGACCCCCCAGTCCAGTTATCCTCAGCGCAGGCGCTGCCGCTGCAACACACTCTCCCACTGTATCCCTCACAACCTCACTGTGCGTATCGGACCCTGTGTCAAAGGTGCAGAACACAGGGTGTTCGGAGATTCGCCGCAGGCAGTGCTCGATCGGGACCCAGTTGAACTTCAGAAGGTCGAGGAGATCTGCTGGCCGCCAGCGCCCCTTATACGTCATCTTGTTACAGCCAGGGATGTAGTACCCCAGGTAATAGTACTGCAGGGACGGCACAATACCGTGCAGCTCACGAACCAGCGCCATCTCGCGCAGCGCACTATATGTGCCCATTGACAGGGGGGAGAACTCCGGGTCGTAGAAAAAATAAACAGCGGATACGCAGGACGGAAGAATATCCAGGACACTGACTGCCGCTAGTTTGCCGTCAATATAGTAGCATTGGTGGTAGGTTCCGAGGCCATGCGGCAGTAAGCGGGTTTGCTGGTCAGATGCCGGGTTCGGAATGTTCATGGACTGGGGGACTAAAGGTGTGGCGCACAGGAACCATTCGAACCCCTTGGGCGTAGACTCTTCGTCATGGACGGCTCTCTGATATTTTTCAAACACCCGGTATTTCGCCTCTGTAAACTGCGCCGACTCCATAACAACCTTTAGTCCATTACCATCCAACCCACACACCATATCGACCATATCATCCGTAACCCCCTTCTTATCTACAACTGCAGCAGCACCGCCGTCCATTTTGTTTTTCGCAAAGCGCTTGCGCCATCTGCGCAGAAGCTTCTTATCCGATGCGCCCAGGGAATGCTCCAAGGCGTGTGTCCTTATGGGATAGTATGCGCAGCACGAGTCCGAGTGGTCCGTCAGATACATTAGCAGCCCGGACCGCCGCCACCCGCGGTCAATCAGCGCCTGGTAGTCTGTACAGGTTATTTGCTTGGACTTTATCATGAAGCACCGTGACCCATTGGGCGTCTTGCAGTATCCGCACTTTGACCGTTCCTGGATGCCCAAGAGGGTAATTCGGGAGCCCTTTTTTGAGTCGCTATCGGGGACAGTGCCTGGTTCGGATGTGCCGCTGGAATTGGAATTGGAATCGTCTGCGCTGCAGCAGCTTATTTCGCTTGCTACGCTGTCTGTGTCTGTGTCTGTGTAGCCACTGCTGCCATCACTCGTGTTGTCATCGCTGGTGCTGTTGCTGCTGCTGTTTTGACAATCACCCCTGAGTTTGTTTTTTGTGTCCAAGGCCGTCAACGAAGACATATTTGTTGTTTTAGTAGGTTGTGTATGGAATATATGGCGCAAAATTATCTTATTAGTAGGTGGGAAAATTGTATTGAAAGCAAGCAAATAATAATAATAAAAAGTCGGTCGGTTGGATTAAAGACAATGATTAAAAAATAGTATACAATAAAAAAGAAGAGGCTTTATTTGAGTGATTCACGGAAAATTTGAAATAAATAAATGAAGAGAAGAAATAAATCGAGCAATCAATTCAGGCTTTTTTTGTTTACATCCGAAACTCACAATATTTTTTGTTAATTTCCAATTGAACGGATTCAAGATTATCATCGACTTGATCTTCAAAAATTAAAAAAAAGTTAACAACGCATCAACGTATCAATGGCCTAACAATTCACCTATTTATTCAAACACACATTCCCCCAATCCGCTCGAACGGGAGTATCAAAGCGACTTCCAACAAACCATGCATCCAGGGGGGAGGGGTAAAAATGGGATGTTTTTTTTGCGCACCTTCATCCCCTACCCTTTTTTTATAAATTGGTTCTAGAAACAGAACAATCGATTCAACAAAAGAAAAAATTGGTTCCCAGAAGGAGTGTTGTTTGGTACGCGTTCGGTGTTTTCTAATTTTTTTATATAATTCGTTCCAAAAATAACATTCAATTTTCATTCATACATAAGAAGAAAAAAAGAAAGAAACCTCTCAGCATTTGATATCCGACATGTGTGTGGGGGTGAGGTGAGGTAAGATTGAATTTTGGCAATTGCACCACAACAATGTGTTTAGGAATTGTGTCTGTATGTGTTGAGTGTGTTGAGTGCGTTGTCGGTGAATGCTGATTTTTTTCACCGAGTAAACAAAAACATACTCAAGGAGTAAATCATCTTGTATATTGACAAATGCAAATGTAACAAACAAAAAAATAATAATAAAATGGCATTTTTTTGTTGACTGCGGTAAATCACATATACTTGCATTAAATATATGTTTTAAATAATGTTTTATTTACAACCAAATAAAAGTAAATGACCTTCGGAAAAAAACGTCAATGCAAAAACTCCGAGCATTTGTATGAATTAAGAGTGGAAAATAAGCCTTCCAAAACCCACCAACCCCCCCTCCATTTTCCATTCAATTTTTTTTACTGCAAATGTGTTCAATCGGTGGGGAGAGGTGCTGTACTTTTAAAAAAAGGGCAGTGGTATGTGGAGAATAGCACAACGCAGATAAATACAAAGAACATATTTTTGTTCATGCCGTGTGGGCAAAGAAATAAAAAGAAATAAAAAGAAATAAGAAATAAAATGGAAAAACAGTATTTGTTGTATTTTGTTGTGAATGCGGAGAAAACAAAAAAGGGGGGACAGAAATGTATGTGTGGACACAATACTCCAAGTACGGGTCAACGCCTTCAATTGCTAAATTGATTATTTGTTGTTGTTGCTTCGAATGCATGGTGTTTCGGGCCTGAACCTTCTAAGAAAAATTCTAGATCGTTTTAAAATCTTTTTGCTACTATTGCATTAACCTGCAGGAATACTGCGAACAATTTTTTTGTTGAATGCGAAACCTTCTATTTGGAATGTGAGAAATTAAAGCAAAAATAGTTCACGTTTTTTATTCGCTTGAACTTTGACAATGCAATATATTATGTATGCTGATTGAATGAATGACAATAATATTTGTGTATATGACTAAAAACGTGGAATGATCGAGCGGATAACATATAGAAAATTAAACTTTGTACAGGGTGGTGAGGGGAAGGGAATGTGGGGGATAAGGATGGTGATAAGGATGATGAGAGAAAAAAGAAATAATTATACTACAACTTGCGAAAGTAGCACTCATTATTCCATACTCGATATTTAATGATTATTGCTGTTGGATGCGCGGCAGTTGGCAGCGCCGGCAGCAGCAGCCGCAGCCTGAGCGCGCATATGTTGCGAGTTTTTGCGCTCCTCATACTCTTCCGTGTAGTGGCAGTGGTGGCCGCCGCCCGGGACCATACCCTCGTCGTCGCAGATGACGATGCGCTGCATAACCTCGGACTGCATGACCTCGTCGATTGTTGGGCGCGCCTGAGCGTCGGGGTTCAGCATGCTCTGGATAAGGCGGCGCATCTTGGGCTCAATGCGGCGGAAGCCCTCATAGTCCCGGCCATTGCGCATGGCGTCGAGAAAGCGCGTGTAGTTCGCGTCGTCCTCCTTGGCGGCGCGCCAGGGGATGCCGTTGTAGACCATGGTGTAGTACACGACGGCTGCCGACCACACGTCGACCTTGCGGCCGTCATACGACTTGTTGTTAAACATCTCGGGCGCAATGTAGGGTTCCGACCCGCAGAGCCCACGCGACTTGTGCACCTTGTCCTGCCACGCCATGCGGAAGACATCGGCCACGCCGAAGTCGGTGATTTTGATGGTGCTCCGCGCATCCAAAAGCATGTTCTCGGCCTTGATATCGCGGTGGCACACGCCCATCGAGTGCAGTTGCGCAATGCCCTCGCACATCTGCTTGAAGCAGCACTCGTTCTCGGCCAGGCCCATATTTCCGTCGCGAATAATCGTGTACAGGTCGCCGCCCGGGCAAAACTCCATGACCTGGCACCAGTTCTTGCTGGGGTCCTGGATGAGGTCAAGCGTGCTGACCACGTTTTTGTGCTGGATGCTCGACGAGATGCAGTACTCGCTCGTCAGCTTTTTGATGTAGTCGCGCTCAGTCTCGTTGGCGCGCTGCTTGCGGAACCGTTTGATGGCGTACACCTGCGGGCCGTCGCGGTGCTGCTTGTACGCGACCCGCACGACTGCTGTGGCACCGCGACCAATGCACTCGCGCGAGCAAGTGCCGTACCTCTGCTCAAACATTGTATTTTCGGACACGCCCCGCTTGTTGCTGGCCGTCGATTTGACCGATGCGGGCGGGGACACGCGCTTGCTGCTGCTGCTTGTGGGCCTGCTACTGCTAGCCGTGCCCAGAAACCTCTGCATCAAGCTGGGGCGCTTCTCAATGCGCGGCGCCGTGCCGGCAGCGACAGCGATGGCTTGTGCAATAGATGCTGATGTGCTCATGTCCGAGTCGCTTGAATTCCGCCTGGACGACGAGCTAGACTTGGCAGCTGCGGTCGGAGCTCTGGCAATATTGAGAGACGCCATGCCCGATACAACCGTACTTACGGTGCCCTCTTGCTTGTGCTGCTGTGGTTGCTGGTTCTGCTGCTGTGGTTGTTGCTTCTGCTGGTTCTGCTGGGTGCCTTTGCTACTCGTGAACATAGGCTCGTCACACAACGTGTATCCCGAGTTGGTGCTGCTGGCTGATGTGTGTCTGCCCACGCTAGAGGGTGTCGATGTATTGCAAGTGAGCTTTGAAGAATTAGAAGCTAGTGAAACGGTAGCAGCAGCAGTCATGTTAAAAAGAGTGCTGTGAGCTTGAAAAATATAATAATGGCTGATGGGTGGATAAAATAAATAATATACAGGAGACTAGAAAAAAAAGAGTTTATGCGAGCCAAGTGCCAAACAAGTGTGGATATATAAGAGGACAGACGTTTATAGTAAGGGGAAATGATATAAAGCAAGAAAAATAAAATATAATGAAAAATAATAAAAATAAAAGGGCAAAGTGTTGGGGAAATATTTTTTTAAAAAAAGGCAGCTACTTTTATATTCACCATCTACACAACTAAAGAGGAGTATTAAACCAAATGACGAACAATAAAGTGTTTTTTTATCTGGAGATGTAGATTGAAAGTAGAGCCGTAATAAAATAGAACTTTGTGGTGGGTGACCGATAATCTCTTTTTTTGGTGTGTCAGTTGTAGATTTTAGCAATCAAATAAAGCCAAAAAAAAATCGAGCAACAAAACGATTAGTGTGCGCGTGGGCTGTGAGCAAAAAATATTTTTAAGTGCACGTTTTTAGATGAGAAGCTAAGCTCGTGCAAAAAAATAGCGCAACTTTAAAGAGAAAATAATGCTTTGTTTCGTTCTGTTGTAAGACAAACGAAGAGCAAGTGAAAGTGAGAGGTTGAAGAGCAAAAGAAAGCGAAAGCGAAAAAGAATTTTTACGATGAGCAAAAAGAAATCCGGGAGGGAGAAGAAAGTCGTGCAAAAAGCGACCCTTTTATGAATTACTTGGCGAGCCCGCAGCACCTACTCATTTAAAAGCGCTACCAACAGCCTAATTTTTATTTTTATTTTGTTCGACCGGTTTGCAAGCTTAACACAGGCCTATTCATGCTTGTGTGTGCTTGTAAGAAATAAGGGGGAATGAGAAGGAGCAAAAAAAATGGTGTTGCGAGATTGGATAGAAAAATACAGTGAGAGAAAAAGCGGGGGGTGGGTTGGCCCTGGGTGATCGAGGGTGGTTGAAACAAAAATTCAACCCGGGGGGAGGGCAAAAAGCAAGTGTTCAAAGGCCTACCACGCCCTCTCCCCCCCTCCCTCCCTCACTCATCATTCCTTCCACCACTAATATTTTTACTTTTGTTATCCTTGGCTTTGGCCTTTCGCAACAACGCGTGAGTGGGTTGAGGGCAAGCTTGTGTTTATGTTTATGCGCGCGGGTGTTTTTTTTGTTGTTGACTCGCAAGTGCACACACAAAATGAGATCCGTTCTTTCTGGATTAATGCCATTAACGATGGTAGGGTAGCTTGTGGTCAATGCGCAATGACGACACAGCTGTTTGTTTGTTGGTATCATATGGCATGGGACGGAGAAAGTTGTTCTTTTAAACAAACAAGCAGAAAACCCATTTATTTGTCTTTCCTCACCTCAAAGGGAGACGACGGCGACTGAATGGAATGACCGTCTTGGGTCAGCCGGCAATACAGACGGGGTTGGACGGCCAACACAACAAACCCAGAGTCTGGTGGTCGGCTTGCTGCTCGGCTGTATGACAAGCGATATGACGTATACTCTCGATTTTGGTTTACTGCCAAGAGATAATATTTAGTTTGTCTCGACTGCGTAATGGGGAAGCCAAAAGATAGAGGGATATTTTGTCAGCGAGTTTATGTTTTTTTTGCTGTATCGATGCGAGAATGTCAAATTGTTTTTTCCGAGCGCACACATGACTAAGCGCCAGCGGTATTTTATTATCCGGCAAGTGGGTGGTTGATATGTGCCGAATTGAATAAGCGCCAGCCAGAAATAGCAAAAAAAGGGTGCAAGATGTATATATACATCCAATATATATAATTGCTAATTGAACAATATATGCGTCCTGCAGCTTGTCACTTGCTTACTTGCTTCTAAGGTGGTGGAAAGGGGGAGGTTTTGACTGCCCCTCTCTCTAGCTTCTCCTTGGCAGACAACAGCCCATCTTTTTCATTTTTTCGCTATGGATATTTACCTTTCTTTGAAAGTGACTTTACCGCTTTGTATTTGGTTTGTAGAATTCTTCCCTTTGGATGCTGCGGTGGCCGCATGCTGTCAATTAGCGTCATTGGCAAAATAAAAATAAAACAGAAATGAATCAAAGGCCGCTTTTGCTGTCTAATTTGGCTCTATATTTGTTAAAACAAAGCCTCCATGTATTTCTAGAATGTTGGCCTTGTAATATAATGTTTTCGTATTTTTACAAAACGCATATGACGACGTCAAATTAGGATTAATGGATTATTGGTCTTGGCATTGGCTTATTAATATATCAGCGATTTGGCAGCAGCAGATTTAGAGAAGCTTGCTGTGCAAAGTTTCTTGCCAGCATTGTATACGATACACACAATCAATTACCCCTTATTTTCGCTTTTATTTGAGGCGCCTACATGATGTGGGTGTCATGGGCTCTCCTGCTTGCAAATACAAGTGTAAATGACAGATTCGCCAATACTTTACTTATGTTGGATACTGCGGAAATACGGAAACAGAGAACAAAAAAGGCAAGAAAGCAGAAAAGCAGAAAAGCAGAAAAGCAGAAGAGCAGAAAAAGCAGAAAAACAAACTGCCAACAGATGAGTATAGGATAGTTGTGAGCAAAAGCTAAAATTATTTTTATAGTTACAGCCTGAAAAATCAATGCATGCATGGATTCAACAAAAAAATGAAATTTTAAAGATGCCACACATATCCACAGCGAACATTTGAAGTAAACAAAAATATTACTACACGTGGTCAAGTCCACATGCCAGAAAAATCAAAACCCAATCCCATTTGATTTGTTGAGATACATGTAAAAGCGCCGAGTTGAAAAATAAAACGCCGAGTTGAAAATGATTGTTTGCAGTGCATAGCTTGTTTTTTCACCATAATTTTTTTATTCCCAAGCCGTAAATCAATGAGGGGGGGAGGTTCTTAATATGTATCCAAGAAGAGGGATGTGCGTTTGAGTAGATCAAATAATAACGTTCTCGCAATTTTTTTACGGTTTGGCTCGGCTCAAACATACGGATTTGAAATATACTTTTTGGAACAAAATAGTACCGACCCAACCAAACCAATTTAAACAGGAAGATGGTTGAAAAATAAAAAAGAACCTGTTGCATTGTATTTGTTTTTTCGGCCTGGAGTTTTTTTAGTCTCATGCTAAACAAAAAACAGGGGAATGTTTTTTTACGCCTCGCCTCACCTCACTTCGCTTCTCCTCTCACCCCAAACAGCTGAGATGGGAGATAGAGAGAGGCCCAAAACAGGAATCACAAAATCTCTGACTGATGGACCTGGGCCAGTCTGGACCGAAATGCAAGGGGCAGGTGGAAAAGAGGGAGTGGGCCAATGACAGACGGGGTTTATGCCTGTTTCTGATTTTGATAACTGGCTGGCAAATATATTCTGTAAATTTGTATTTAATGGATCAACTAATCGTGTGATCTCGGAATAATCTTTTAATTCGGAACGCACGGACGACAGTCACAATTGCGGTTATTCTTAAAATGAGTCACTCTCATAGGTCGCATGGATTTGGGTAGTGGTTGCAGAGGTTTTGGTAAGTGCGGTTGGTGGCAATACAGATCTATCAGTCAGTCACATTATTCACACAGAAGCAAAAAAAATGTTAGATGACCTTGAGCAATGAAGAAAAAAAAGTTAAAATGGGCAAGAGTGTCCTTATCACCCAACCCACACACATTCTTTCTTTTTTCTCTACTTGTAATATTTTTTTTTTGATTTTCTGACCATATCCGTCCGTCTGTCTGTCTGTCCGCCTCTTATAATCACATCAATCCTTTTTTCCTCTGCAAAAAAACATAAAGCGAGGGGCCCGTTGCGGAATATCTGCAGAATACAACAATACAACAAACATGCTTGTCCCAAAGATCACAGCCTCGACGACACTCTCTCCGACACTCCAGCGCGCCATAGGGCTGCTCCCCTCAGTGCTCTACACAGACGCCAGTGCGGCACTCGTGGCAAGCGAGGGCGACGCCGCAGTGTGGGCGGATGTATCGGTGCACACAGACGTGCAGGATTTGCTTAACAGCGGCGTGGCTGTGGCCGTATTTGGCCCAGACGATCAGGTCTCAGTGGACTGCGATAGGGCGCGGATTGCCCTGCGCTACGCGGCAACCAGCGACTGCACGCAGAGCATCGGCAAGGCGCAAACCGACGGCATTGTGCGCGCCGGCGCCGTGGTCATTGAGCTGACAGCATCGCAGCTCGAGCAGGCGACGCAGAAGGACGCTGCTGGCAGCTCGGCGCTGTCGCGGCTGACCAAGGCTGCTGATAAGCAGCTTTTGGGGAGCAGCGGGCCGGTGCGCGTGCTGGTCGAGGTCACAGACGCATGGACTATTGATCTGCTGGCGCGGGCGGCCGATGCCGGCGCAGACTCTGTGGTTGCCGGCGCGGCGCTGTCGCTGGAGGAGGGCGTGGGGCTCTCGCTGGCCGCGGCCTTCATGGCCGGCAGCGGCCTGGTGTCTGACCGCACCGACGGTCTGTTCACCACGGTGGTTGTCGACGAGCAGCGCGTGTGCCTGGGCGTCGTGTACTCGAGCGCCGAGAGCATTACCGCAGCGCTGGCCGCCGGAGAGGGCGTGTACTGGTCGCGGCGGCGCGGGCTGTGGCACAAGGGCCTGACCTCGGGTGCCACGCAGACTTTGCTTGGCCTGGCCGTCGACTGCGACTCTGATGCGCTGTGCTTCCGCGTGCGCCAGAGCGGCGCCGGCTTCTGCCACCACGCGACCCGCGGCTGCTTCGGCCCCGCCACCGGCATTGCGCAGCTGGCCCAGGTTCTCGAGGAGCGCCTCCAGAATGCGCCTGCCGGCTCGTACACCGCGCGCCTGTTTGCCGACGCACAGCTTTTGCGCGCCAAGCTTCTGGAGGAGGCCACTGAGCTGGCTGAGGCCACCGAGCCTGCCGACGTTGCCTTCGAGGCCTCTGATCTGCTGTACTTTGCCCTGGCCAAGTGCGCCGCCCACGGCGTCTCGCTCGCTGACATTGAGCGCTCGCTGGACCGCAAGCACCGCAAGGTCGTGCGCCGCCCGGGCAACTCCAAGCCCGAGTTCGAGAAGAAGGCCGCTGTCCTGGCCACTGGCCCGGCCCCGGTCCTGCCGCGCACCTCCATTCTCAGCGCCGACATCCGCGCAGCCGAGCCTGGAGAGGCCATCCGCATGCGCTCATACGATGCTGCTGAGCTGACCCCCGCCGAGTACGCTGCGCTTCTGCAGCGGCCGATCATCGACTCGGAGGAGCTGATGGGCCGCGTGCGCCCGATTGTCGCAGCCGTGCGCGCCAACGGCGACGCCGCCGTGCGCGAGCTCACTCGCAAGTTCGACCGCGTTGAGCTCGACCAGGTTGTTCTGCGCGCACCCTTCACTGTGCCTGAGCTCCCCGCCGCTGTGCGCCAGGCCATCGACCAGGCGTACTCGAACGTGCACAAGTTCCATTCCGCGCAGCTGGCCGCCGACATCAGCGTCGAGACCATGCCCGGCGTCACCTGCTCGCGCTTCAGCCGCGCGATCGAGCGCGTCGGTCTGTACGTGCCCGGCGGAACCGCTGTGCTGCCGTCTACCGCGCTGATGCTGGGTGTGCCGGCTCAGGTTGCCGGATGCCGCGAGATCGTGATGGCCACGCCGCCGCGCTCCGATGGGTCGGTTGTGCCTGAGGTTCTGTATGTCGCGCACAAGGTCGGCGCCACCGCCATTGTAAAGGCCGGCGGTGCCCAGGCCATTGCCGCCATGGCGTACGGAACTGAGACGGTGCCCAAGGTCGACAAGATCTGCGGCCCCGGCAACCAGTATGTTACGGCTGCCAAGATGCTGGCTCAGAACGACACATCTGCCATGGTTGCCATTGACATGCCGGCCGGACCCTCCGAAGTCCTGGTCATCGCCGACTCGACGAGCAACCCGGCCTACGTCGCCAGCGACCTGCTGTCCCAGGCCGAGCACGGCCCCGACAGCCAGGTGGTGCTTTTGGCCGCCGGCATGACCGACGCCGAGGTGGCCGCCATTGAATCTGAAGTGCACACCCAGGCCTCGCGCCTGCCGCGCATCGCCATTGTACGCCAGTCCATCCCCAAGAGCTACTGCCTGCGCATCCCCACCGTCAACTACGCCATCGAGTTCTCGAACGCGTATGCCCCCGAGCACCTCATTCTGCATAATGACAATGCCCGCGACTACGTCAAGGACGTCATCAACGCCGGCTCTGTCTTCGTCGGCCCTTACTCGCCGGAATCCTGCGGCGACTACGCCTCGGGTACCAACCATACGTTGCCCACATATGGCTTTTCGCGCATGTACTCGGGCGTTAGCACCGCTACTTTTGTCAAGCACATTACTTCGCAGGAGCTTACGCGCGAGGGCTTGGCTAATATTGGTCAGACTGTTATGACTTTGGCTGAGGTCGAGGAGCTTGAGGCTCACCGCAACGCTGTGGCCATTCGTCTGCGCGATATGCAGTAGACTGATGGGTCACTTTCTTTCATTTATCTTTTTAGTTTAGTTTTAGTGCATGGACCAGTTGTGAGTTTTTTTTTTTGCTCTGCGTCGTGACATCACAGCAAATATTAATTTTTGCAAATAATAAAATAGAAAATATTATTTTTGAGCTGCAAATAACATTCGAATGTTTTGGCCCAAGTTGCATATGCTGAAGAACAATTGACTTTTACCCCTTGAAAATTATTTTGACAATAGATATAATTAACAATTAATAAAGCATGTGGCGTGGCTGTGCATATGCATATATATGTTCACGCTGGGTGTTTATCTAACTCTTTTGTTAAAGGCTTCCACGACAGAAAGACGTGCTCATGCTGCATGCAAGTGTACCATGTACCATGCAGCGGAAGAGATAAACAATCGAACGTCAATTAAATTAAAACAGGCAGGCGTGCGTACCCAATTATTGCAAGAAAAAATGTCTAAAAAAAATTAAACCTGATAATATCTTTTTATTTCCATGGTACTTTTTTTAGTTTCTATTTTCTATTTTTTTATTTTATTTTTAAAATATGCATATCCTTGCATATACATATGTAATTTTCAAATTTTGTAGAATAATATCCTGACCTGCTCCACTGAATACACAAAATTTTTTAATTCAATTTTAATTTCATTAAAATACAAATACAAATACAAATGTTTATTACCAAAAAGAACAAAGGAGCAAATGTCATCATGCCAAGTACGAATATTCGCGGAGCGCGCTGGAGGCGACATCATTTGCATAATATGGATCCATCTCCGCATCCCTCATTGCATGGAAGCTATGCGACACCTTATGCCAAGCAGTCTCGTAGTTGCCTTCCTCCCGACACTCATCACACAAATCAACAGCCTGCGCCCCGCGACACTCTATGCAATGCCACCGAATGCCGACAATGGGCTCAGCAAAGCAAGAGTCACACCGGTATCCCAGGTGCACAGACTTGGCGCTGCGCAACAGCGCTGAGGTTTGGAATTTTACTCCCCCCGAAGATGAGCCTGCAGAAGCTCCAAAAATCCCATCGTTGTCGTCCGTGGGATTATTGCCAGCTGCATACGCACGTCTGTTTTTGCTGCTGCCGCCAGCTTCATTTGCGTCTACACCTGTGGTGCTCAGGGGAAAGTCTCTGGCATCGTACTGGTCATTTGACGAGTCAAACATACCGCCCGATCTGTCAGCCTGCTTGCCCTTGCGGTCATAAGGTACAGCCATACCGAATCTGTGATCCTCAGCCTCGCTGGCATCCTCGTCCATGTCAATATCTATGCTCTCGGCGTCGCTGCCATTGTCCGAAGAGCTTGTGAAGTCAACATACTTGCGCTTGCGACTGGACGACGCCGACCCACTGGCAGCCCTCCTCGAGGGCTTCTTCCTAAAAGAAGTAAAGGAAGAAGAACCCTCGCCCATACCGTCCGCAGCGGACATCAAGGATATAGCTACCTGCGGCTTGTTGCCCATAGACGACCAATGCGCGGTATTAGGAACCCTGCCGGGAACAGGAAGACCGGCTTTGGCCAGCTTGATAAAGTACTTTTGCACACGACTGGCCACTTGCCGCATCGTACGTGTGCCAAGGGCTTCGGAGATTTTGCGCCACCTATCATTCGCCACTTCCTCGTCCGGATATTCTACAAGAAGCGCCTCGAGGCGCTCTTGCTCGGCGTCGCTCCATGGGATATTGTAGCTTGCTGGTTTTGGTTTGCCTGAATCATGGGAGGGTGCGCGTCGTGGGCCCTTTTTCTGGGATTCGGATAGGTGCTTTTTCTTTGGTCGTCCACATTTGCGCTTCACCGAGGACTGCAGGCTGGATGATATGACGTTGCGACTTGGTTGTTGTTGCTGCTGCGGCTGCTGCTTCTGATGGTGGTGCGGCTGCGACTGCAGATATTCCGCCGACTGATGGTTATAATTGTAATTGTGGTTGCTGTCGATGTTGTTGCCGCTATTGCTATTGCTATTGCTATTGCTGTTGCTGTTGCTGTTGTGATGGCCGTTGAACAGAAATGACTTGCCAGATACGTGCGGATGTTGTTGTTGTGGCCGATCAACTTTAGGATTTGTTTCGAGAGTCTTTTGCTGATAGTCAATGTGGGTTTTAGAGACAGAACGGACCAGTTGGTTGTAGTATTCGTCGTCATCGTCGTCGTCCTCAAAATTATCCGAGAAGGGGCCGGGTTCATGGTTGTGCTGCGCTGGCGATAGTGATCTTTCCTCTGAAATCTGTCGCCGAAACGCCTCGAGTATCTGCGGAGTCAGCGTTTTTTGCGATTTCCCACGACTGACTGGTGAAACAGGTATAGACGCTGCAGAGGTAGCAGCAGAATCAGCGGCGGCAGCGGAAGCAGCGGGCCTGGGCACAGGCTCGGTGTTAGCTCTGTTCATCTGCCGCAATTCAGTCACAGCCTTGACTGACTTGTCGATCTGAGCAGAATGCACGGATGTGGCAGTCATAGGAGCGGTTCCAGTCGGGGAAACTGAACTGTGCTTTGCGCCTCTACCACCTCCACTTCCTTCGCCCGCTACCGCCACCCGCACCATGTCAGTGGCAGACTGCGTTCTCTTCGGAGACTGCTCTGGCGTGGCCACCGCCGTAACACCTGTAAGCAAACCAATATTAGCCGAGTTTGGAGCAACAAACGGGTGCAACGCCGATGCTGATTTCCCAGCTTTAGTGGTGACCGGGGTGCGCGCACCGAGACTCAGCGGCTGCACAGTGCTATTTGTCGGTTTGAACAGTTCCGAACTTGCCTGCAGCTCATCACCGCGTTGCGCTTGTATCCTAATGCACTGCATGTAAGCATCAATTGCTGTCGAGTCGGCAAACGCAATGTACGGGTCGATGTAAACTGATGGGATCATGGCAACCGCTTGTTGCCGTGGTGCCGCTGCCGCTGTGCCGTCTGTCAGTGATTGTATGTATTTCTGGGGTTTTGCTAAGGCCTGATCACGCAGTTGTATCAGTATGTCCATGTCATTCTTCGCCCGATCGAGTTGGCTCTTCAGTGCCTGGATCGCGCGATACACCAACATGTACCTACACAAAAAACAACAACAACAATAATAAAGTAGAGCGAAAACCCAGTTGCGAATTAGTGAACAAATGTCAATTTGAGTGAGAAATTTCTTAGAATAAACCAAACCAGATACAACTGAACACTTACTCTTCGTTGTTTTGCAACACGCTGGTCTGCTCGCTTATAGGTGCGGTTGTGCTTTCAGTCTCTGGTGAAGGTGGCATTTCCACCAGGTGTGTTTTTGCGGCCGCTGGAATTTCAGCAAGGGAGCGTTGCGCATAGGCTATACTCTCCTCCCCGGCCATGCTTGATAGAAAAATGTGTAAATTATTGTAAAACAGACAGGGCTTGTTTAGTCCTGTAGAATAAAAAAAAAGAGAGTGTGCTGAATAAAATGAATAGTAAAAAAATGGTATACAAGCTGCAAAGTAAAAGGCGTTTTTTTTGCTATGGGTGAATATAAAAATGAGGCTGTGCAATTGTTGTTTTTGTGAATAAGTACATTATAAAAGTAAAAAAGAAGACAGCGGGGTTTGTGTGTGTAAAAGGAGAGGAACGCCCAGCAAGCAAGCAAGCAAAAAAAAGGGCGAGACAAATACAAAAAAATATATGAGCTGTGAAATTACGCAGAACGCGACTTTACACAACTTTTCATGATTTAATCAAATCGCGCTTGTGTTATAATATTTATTTTGGCTGCAAAAAATCAATCGAATTTCACGCCACTTTTTTGTTTGGGTGCGCCGTCCATATGACACTGCCAAAATGCACGCCAGATTAGACCAAGTTTCTCCTCTACAATTCACGGATTTATTTTATAATTCCCACTCATGTAAGTTTTTTTTATTATATCCATAGTGTTGATGGATGCGATCCCATCCATCTGTAGCGATGGATGCACTATTTTTATCGCTGAACTTAGTGTTGATGGAGCTAGATCAATCCATCCACGGATGGATAATATGAGAGAGAAATTTCAATTTCACTAATTTCTTTGAATTCGAATTTCATTTTAAAATTGACTTTCTATTGTAGCGAAGATTTCTGCAGGCCGTTTTTCAACTTACGTCCCCAGCGCTTTTAACCCACCCCAAACAGTAAACCCTTTTACCGTAACCTAAACGCACTTAATCCAAATGGCTTCTGAAGGGTAAGTATTATTTTAACTGCTTTGCAGCCTTATAAACCTTGTGCCCTCTTGTGTTTTTGTCTTTTGTACGAATTTGAGGCCAGCTTTATGACGCATCGCGCAAGTCCCAGCAGACTGTATGCCGAGACGCTCAAATTTGAACAATTTTTTATCTAAATATTTTTGTATGTATGACTTTGAATTATATTTTATCATGATAGAGATGTTGTGGCTAACATTGCTGCCCCCGAGACCGTTGTTGAGGTCCCCGCTGATGCTGCCCGCGGTACTCTGACCGTTGAGGAGGCTCTTGAGATTGTCCTCAAGAAGGCTCTTGTCAACGACGGCCTTGTCCGTGGTGCCAAGGAGTCGATCAAGGCTCTTGACCGCAAGGATGCCGAGCTTTGCGTTCTGTGCGAGACCACCGAGGAGGCTGGCATTGTCTCCCTGGTCGAGGCTCTGTGCAATGAGCACAAGATCCGCCTGATTAAGGTTTCGGACGCCAAGAAGCTTGGTGAGATGGCCGGTCTTTGCAAGATCGATCGCGAGGGTGAGGCCCGCAAGGTTCGCGGCGCTTCTGTTGTTGTTGTCCGCAAGTGGGGTGAGGAGTCGGTTGCCCGCACCACCCTCCTTGAGCACTTTGGCTCCCAGTAAGCTTGACATTGCGTCGTGTGAATATGCATTTGTAATGTCCGCGAGTTTTTCGTTAGATCAATAAATGTATTTTCCAAACCAAAAAATAAGACAGTTGGGAAATTTAACAAAGCAGTTTAGGATATTGGGGACATGTCAAACAATCATTTGATATTAATTAATATTTAGAAATAACGATCTAGTTGTTTCCACCCTATTTGTTCTGCTGCTGCTGCAGGGCGTGGTGGTACTTTTCGGCCTGCTCGATGGTCATCAAGTTGGACATGGCCTTGCTCATTGTCTCATGCCATTCGCTCACAGGGACCGAGTCATGGACCACGCCAGCTCCAGCCTGGAGATACGCGTTGCCGTCCTTGAACACCATGGTGCGGATACCGATGCAAGTGTCCAGATCGCCTGAGTAGCTAAAGTGGCCCAATGCGCCACCATAAATACCACGACGCTCCTTCTCCACGCCATAGATCAACTGCACAGCGCGCACCTTGGGAGCGCCCGATAGGGTTCCAGCAGGAAGGATGGAGCGCAGGGCATCAAAGCCCGTCTTGCCAGGCCGCAGCTCACCCGAAAGGTTGCTGACAATATGCATGACGTGCGAGAAGCGCTCGACAACCATCAGTTTGTCGGCCTTGACACTGTCGGGTTCGCACACGCGGTTCAGATCATTGCGGCCCAGGTCCACCAACATGACGTGCTCGGCGCGCTCCTTCTCGTCAGCCAGAAGCTCGGCGGCCAGCTGGTCATCCTCCTCGGGTGTCTTTCCGCGCTTGCGGGTGCCAGCAATCGGGTGGTTGTACACCTGAGTGCCGTTGACCCGCACAAGCATCTCGGGCGACGCGCCAACAACCTGGAACCCGTCAAAATCAAAGTAGAACATGTAGGGTGCCGGGTTGAGCGTGCGCAGGTACCGGTACGCGTTGAACGGGTGCAGAGATGTCGGGCGCGTAATCCGCTGTGCCGGCACGGCCTGGATGATATCACCCTTGACGATGTGCTTCTGCAGCTCAAGCACCATGTTCTTGTACCCCTCCTCGCCCGTGTTGGACTCGAACTGGTTTCCCAGCACGATTGGCGGCTGCTCGGGGAATGGAATAGCATCGGCAAACAGCACATCGGTGGTCGCCATAATGGTCGCCGTGGCTTTATCGTAGAGCTCGGCCTGGGTGGCCGCTGAAGCTCCATCAGGCACACGAATATGCGTGATGACCTTGATCTGCTTGTACAGGTGGTCAAAGGCCACCACAGTGTCGCAAAGCAGAAAAATCGACTCGGGCACACCAATGGGATCTGTCAGGTCGCAGGCCGTGCGCGGCTCAAAGTGCTGCACGCAGTCGTATGAGATGTACCCGAATGCGCCGCCTGTAGCTGATCCCCGCGGCAGGCCTGGGACTTGCACATAGCGCATGCTATTGAGCTCTGCCTCCAGCGAAATCAGCGGATCACCCTTGGTCTCCTCCTTTGCGCCTGTCTTCATCACTTTGTACGGATCTATGACCGTTAAGAGTCACCAATTGTAAAAAAAAGAAAATTAGTCATGATTTACACTACTTTTTTTTCTTCCGTAGTTTACAAAAGCGATTGTTGGGCATGCGTATTTATGACGCATTGGTCGGTTAGATGCACTCTGTGTGTGTTTTGTATAAACTTACTGGCACCGATAAATGAGTAGCGGCCGATAGTCTCGCCACCTATGGCAGACTCGAGCAAGAACGAGGTTTTGCTTCCATGTGCTAGTTTCAAGTATGCTGTCACTGGGGTGAGCAGATCAGACGGAACATCTTGGTATACGGGAATGTAGTTTCCGCCGGTTTTCTCCAGCAGATCACGCACCTCGTTAAGCGCAGGTTTGGTCTGGTACTACGTTGATAGAAAAACACAGAAAACGTGCTTGAATTTAGTTGTGGTTTTGAAGAGCCTCTGAACAAGTAAAGTAGGGCTTTGAAATTATATGCGTGTGTGTGTCCTTCTGGCTGCGGTGCGCTTTCTTACCAGACAGTGCATTTCAAAAAGTCAGGATATAAAAAGAAGAAAGAAAAAACAGTATTACAAATAGCAAGTAAAAATAATAATAAAGTGTTCGATAGAAAAAGAGCTAGTACAAGCTGGAAGACTCACGGGCACTTCATTTTGAGTAGTTTTTTTTTAGATGAGTGATCAAGGCGCCCTTCAAATTTGATTGCTTGGGAAAATCCGCCGCATATTGGATTGCTATTTCCAGGAGACATTGAAAAGTTCCATGACCGATCAGCATGTGAGCAAAGCCACCGTTTCGTAGAAAATCACACGTAACTATTAAAAAACTAATATAATATAATATATATTATTGTATTAAAATATCCAAGCACAAAGTTATCCTTCTAGCTCATCTCAATATCCATGGCATCCTGGGGCACAATGAGCTCACCACGGCACACCGAGTTGTTAATTTCGCGACGAATCTCCTCCGAAATACCATCATGGTACTGGGTCTTCAACACACTCAACAGACCCTCCTTCTGCTCAGGTGTCAAATCAGCCTTGTACCTCTGAACAAACACCAAAAACGACTGATGCCACAGCACAGGCAACTGGCGCTCATCCAACCTGAACCGCATGAAATGGAACACAAGGCTATCAACGACCTTGTACGGCAGAGCGTACTTCTTGTCCAGCAAAATACGGATAAAAACAGAGGTCGGGCCCGAGTACTCCATCTCGGACAGCTGGTATAGCGCAGCGGCAGAGTGCAAGACGGGGACTGAGACCTTGACCAACACGGAGCCAATAATGACAGCCTCGCGCAAAGTGCACGTGCCATTCTCGCAAAGCGGGAACAAAATACCCTTAAAGAAAGCCGCGGGCTTGTACAGTGCCTTCTTGAGCGTCATGTACAGGTGGTAGTTGAGTTTCTTGTTATCGGTAATATCATCGCGCACGCGGTCGAGGACAACCAGGCTGAGGAACTTTTGTGCCTGCTTGGGCTTCATGTTGGAGACAAAAAGGCGGGTGGCCTGGTATGTCGCCTGTGTGGTCCAGTTCTCTGGGGCTGTCAGATAAAGGATCTCCTCCCAGTTACGGATAGACGGGATGATCTTGAATGCCTTGGGCACGGCTCCTGATTTGTAGCGGGCAAGGAGCTCGCCGATCTTCGTGTACACCTGGACAACCTTAGGGTCGACGCCCGCCGGAATCACACGTCCTTCCTCATCGACCTTCACGCGGTTAGCGGCAGCCTGGGTTGCTTCGCGATCCTTGATCTTGGACATAATGATGTCCGCCAGGTTCTGGCGCTCGCGCGGCGCAGCAGGCATAAACTTTTCAAAAATCTCGGCATCGTCGCCCTCCAGCTCCTCCTCCTCAAACTCATACTCTTCATCCTCAAACTCCTCCTGGCTATCTTCCTCGCTCCCAGACTCACCCTCGTCACTGCTAGCGTCTGACGGGAAGTCGGCGTACTGGTCGCCGGCCTCTTCACCCTCGATTTCATCCTGTTGCTCGCGGGCTATCTTTAGCAGCCGCTTGGAAGTCTTTGGGTCGACAAGCCCTTCTTGGCCGTCCTTTTTCAGTCGCCTGTTTTCGCGCTCGGTGTACTTTGTTCTGCCCTTCTCCTTGATCTGACCATCGGCATTGAGCTCGACATGGAGCGGGTCATGGCGGACCTTCTTTTTGGTGACGACACGGGGCATTATCTTATAATAAATATATGTGTGAAGTTGTGGTAGTTGTATATCGTTGAAGAACACACCAGACAAAGGGGTGAGAGAGGGAAAAAAAATTGGAAGCTGTGGGACAGGTTGCAGGAAGAAAAAAAAGAAGAAAAAAAGGCAAGCCAAAAAAAGGTCTCAATCTTGACAAAAGAGAGAAAAAATTGTTTTTTGATTTGATCACAAAGTAAGGAATTAAGATAGTAAAACAAGGCACAACCCGTGCAGCCACAAAGATGTCCCTATATAGAGAAAGAACTACAAGTTTTTGAGCGCCACCTGCGGCACAGCATTGACAAAATACGGCCCCTCCCTGACATATTTGCTTAACCGACCAAGCGTATCAGAATCAAATGCCTCCTTGGCACTGGGCGACTGCACCATAGACTCAATGGCCGCAAACTGCCACTGCTGTGCATCCCTGCCACGCGATGTATCGCGCATCAACAAAAAGTTGACAATGTTCTGGTATTTTGCAATCTCGCGGATACCCCACACATGGTGGGTTATCTTCTGGATCACCGCCAGCCCAGCCACGCAAGACTCCTCAAAGCCCGTCATGATCTCTTTGGTCAGACCCACCAGGAATTTGCCATCAGCCAGCTGAATATACAGTTCGTAGCATGCCTGAGATATCTCCTTCGACGGCGTGGGCGACGAGCTTCCAAAGATACACGCGACAGCCTTTAGACACTCGACGCGCAGCTGGGTCAGCGACTCTGAGTAGACCGTGACTAGCGCGTTGAGTGCCGTTTTCTCCTTTGCCAAGTACTCGAGTGCCCGCGGGTTATTGCCCATCGCGCCCAAGCAGTTGATGGCGGTGACTTTGAGCTCGCTTCTCGAGTCCGACAGCAGAATCAGCTCGCTCAACTCTGGCACAACGGCGTACTTTTCCAAAAACTCCTTCGCGTCGACTCCGGGAGCATCAACCATACGCGAGAACAGCTTGAGCACGGCAATGCGCGTGAGCGACCCGGTGACGCTGTAGTCGCCCTTAATGTCAACAAGACTGCCCAGCGCATTGGAAAACACCTCCTGCGATTCAAGGTATTCGAACGGCACCGAGGAGGCGCACAACAAAGGAACGAGCTCATAAAAGTTCATCGATACTAGGGCGTCTTTGGAGGACACCTCTTTCAAAAAGGTGTCGATGATGCCCTCTTGGCGGAAAAACTCGAACGCAGTGTCAGACTGCTTGACTGCGGAGGCCATGACGTCGTACACTCGGAACCGCTGGCTCTCGTTTCCCGCGAGCATCTGTCTGACGGCGCCCAGGCTCTCTTCGGTGAACAGGTAGTCCATTCCCATGCCAACTGTGCACAGATGTATCAGCACCTGCTTGGCCAGTTTGGTAGAGCCATTGTCGCTCGTTCCCTCAAGACACTTCCACAGATAAGGGCCGTACTGCGGAGAAAACTACAGAAAGTAAAAACAAACAACAAATCCAGGCAAATAAACAAGACCTTTTTAGCAATAAAAGAAAGAACATTAAAGAAAAAATCACAGCCGCACAACACGCACTCCAAATATAAAACCCCCTTCTTTGACAAAAAAACTTACTGGGTCGCTCTTCTGCTCGCACTTGAGGAACTGTCTAAGAACCAGGCACTTGACATCGCGATGAGGATGGCCCAACCCCTGTACAATATACTCCTCGAACGTCTGATGCACCATGGCCCAAGTCACCGGCTTCAGCAGCTGTGCGGTAACCTCCGCCACTATAACAATAAGCCTATTATCAGGCGCGGCCAACAGCGAAAACAAGGCTGCAAACGGGATATTACTTAGCGTGGTCTCAAACACCTCCAGAAATGGACCGGCCCTCAGTTGCTTGCTCAGGGCCTCAAAGGAAGTGCGCAGCCCCTGGATGACTGCTGGCGTAGGGTCGCTTTGCAGGAGCTCGCATATCTGCTTAATTGTTTTGATATAGTCCTTTTCTTCCTGCATGTTTATATATTTTTTTGTGTGGGTGTGCGTATTGATGATCTTTGGTCCTGTATGGATAAAAGAAATATCTGTATATGTGTAGGCTATGTTGGTTGAGCTCAAAGAGTATTCTATGTATTAAAAATAGGGATGAAGAGAGAAAGAGAAAAGTGTGTGAAGAAAAAGGAAATAAAAAAGTGAGAGACGATTGCAAATTTAAAAGAGGGAACGAAGAAATGAACCTCGTAGAAAATAGTAAAAATAACAACGAAACGCTTGGACAAACCAAAGATAATTTAGAAAAAAAAAGAGCAGCGGGAGGCCAAAAGCGGCAGCAACAACAATACTTCAAATTGAAAAATAAAAAACAGGATTTTTTTGGTGGTGAAAGTCGAGAAATAGAAGCAGAAGCAGAAGTAGCTTGCGTCATGCAACAAAGTTCAAAATTATTTTGTTGTAAATCCAATGGGAAAAATTAAAATAAAATATATGGTTGCAAAAATTGCTGCTTTTTTTGCATTCAATTTTTTTGCTGCTGTGACTTTGCAAGCCACCCCCCATTTGGAGATGCATTTTAAAGTGAAAAAACGGGCCGTTTTTTTTAGCAGCAAGAAAAAAATCCTTGGTTTTTTTTCACTCCTGATTGGTGGTGATCAGGACACGAAAGCAGAAAATAATAGTTTGATCAAGCCCAAAGCCAAGGCAGATAATGATTTTTTTGTAGTCAAAGTATTCTGAAAAAAAATTGAATTGACAAATTGCTATTTCTTTTTTTTTTCTATACTTTTTTGACTCGATTTCCCTACTACCTTTCTATACAAATTACCACAAAATCATGTCGACAGCTATCGGAAATGTACGTATCAAAAAAACAAACCGTACCTTCGCTCAGTACCTCACACCCAACAGCTAGATTCAGGACCAACATTTTAATTAAACACATTGGTTTCTTTTCTTGCCCTTTTTCCAAACCCCCCCCTCCCAAAAAAAAACACTACACGTATAATAGACAGCTCTGGCATACGCGCGTGTATGGCACCTGGTAGATGCTCGCGGGCAAGTTCTCGGTCGCTTGGGCACGCAGATCGCGCAAACACTGATGGGCAAGCACAAGCCGATCTACGATCCATCCTCTGACTGCGGCGACTATGTTGTCCTGATAAACGCCAAGCACATTAATGTGACGGGCCGTAAACGCGAACAGAAGCTGTACAGACACCATACGGGTTTCCCCGGTGGATTGAAGGAGATTACGTTTGAGAGATTGCAGGAAAAGGACGCGGAGAAGATTATTGAAAAGGCTGTTTCGGGTATGTTGCCTAAGAATAAGTTGCGCAAGGTTCGTTTGGAGAGGTTCATGATTTTCCCTGAGGAGGAGCATCCTTATGTTGAGAATATCATTAAGCGGTATGACACAAAGATCCCGCTGGTCACTGTGCCCATCGAGTAAAAAAACAACAGAACAGAACAAATTTTACATACACATATGCGACTTTTAAAATAAAGCTTTTATCGTTAGATACAGAACTTCAATTGAGATTTAACATCCATTGTGTATTGGCATATATATGGCGTTGTATTTGCTATTTTGTTTGGAGAAAATATAAGTAAAAAAGAAATCCACCCCTTTTTTGTTGTTGTTGGTTCTCGCTTAGTCCAGATCCATCTGCTTAGACGACTCAGCCACCTTCTGGACCTCCTTAGTCTTGATAGTAGGCGTAGCAATAAGATGCAGGCCCTTCTGAATCTCCTTAATATCCAACGCTCTCTCGCGCTCCTTATTACCCGACATCCTCTGCTTATAGAATGCACGCTCGCGACGTGCTCTAATCTCCTGCACCCGCTTCATAGCCTTAATAGTGGTGCTCATGAGATCGCGATCGTAACGAACAGGAATGTTTCTCCGCTTCTCAAACTCAAATGTAGAGTCAATGGCCATCTCCTTTCCGGCCGACTTGCGGAACGCCTTTGTCCAGCGGACCTTACGCGGGTTACGCTTCATCTTGAAGTTTTTGTGGCACTTTGAACGGCAGAACCGGAAGGTCTATTATAATAAGGATGTCATTGTAAATGGGGAGGGGTTTGTTAGGGTTATTACATTATATTTGTCTTTTGTCGTGTGTTTTTAAAAGGCTTTTTGGGTCTTCATTTATATGTTCCTTACCTTGCCGTCGTTACGGACAAACATGGTTCCGTGGCCCGGGTAGCAAGTCGACGAGCAAAAGTAGCACTTTTCGAGACGCATAGTTGTATAGGTTTATGTGTGTGTGAAAAAAAAAGAAAAAGGGGAGCAGTGGTTGTCCGGATACAAATGAAAAATAAAGTGCAATTAGAGACGAACAAGGAATTGAAAAAGGAAAAAACACGGCCGTGTTTTTTTTTTCTCTCTTTTGCTTTCCAAAAAAAATCCTTGCAGCAAGAGAGGAAAAAAAAAAGTTGCGTCTGATCAGCCTGCCCATGATCAAACAATTAACATTTTGCGAATCATCGCGATCAACCACAGTCTCAATGCATCCAAAAAGCCAAAAAAAAAATTTGGCCAAAAAAATTCATTGCACAAAAATTGGAAAGAAAATTAAACTAAACTAAACAGGCGGAGTCCCGTCGCGGCTCGCAAAGTCGTTAATCATCTCAAAATCGTCACCGGCACCGTCACCGTCACCACCATCGTCCTCGTCGTTGTAGCCGCCAAAGACACGGGACGTGGTTGGCGAATGGATGACAGGACGATGGCTGGCGGCAGCGGAAGAATACATGCGCGATCCGTTGCGCGAAGCAAACATCGCCTGAATGCGCGCTGCCGACGAGTGGAAGTCGCGCATGCTCGACACGTCCGAGCAAGCAGTTGGCGACAGGGGCATGCTGGACATTGCATGCAGCACAGGCGACTTTGCTAGGTCAATGTCAGAGTAGTAGGCGCGAATCTGGGTTGATGAGAACATCGAGTGATCGTCAGGCAGGTGGGTGACATCGAAGGAGAGGTTACTGGTATTGTCGTTCGTGTTGGACGAGGCCAACGGCATGCTGAAATCAAACGGAGTCGTGGAGCGGGAGCGGCGGCAGGATATGGCGCTCTTGCTTGCAGCAGCGGCCTCGGTATTGTCCTGGCGCAGCTGGAGGTCCTTTATCGAGCCCTCCAAACGACGAATCTCGTTCATCAGGTCAGAGCTGATCTTGACAAAGGTGCTCGAAAGGCTCTCGATGCTCGCGGCCGAGGGGGTGTTTACGCCGGTGGGAGCCACCGACTCAATCGATGGGGGCGTGGGTGCCGGCGCGGGCGCCACTGTTGCTGCCGTAGCAAAAGGCATGCTGCTGTCGGCATCCAGCAGAGCAGAGCCGGCAACCGAGCGAGTGGGAGACGTGATGCGCAAGCCTCCAGTGCTGGCAGAGCAAGAGGACACGGACTCGGTGTCCTTGCCCTTGCCCTTGGTGTCGCTCGCAACAGCAGCTGCAGGAGGGGAGGGAGTCGCAGCAGCACTGGCAACGGGGCTCACAACGTCAACGGGGCTCACAACATCAACGGGGCTCACGACATCAACGGTACACCACAACGCCGATCCAAAGTAGTTGCCTTGCGGGTCCATCAGACGCCACATGCTCTTGTGTCTGCCGGGCTCTTCCGGCGCAACAAGATCAACAGCAACGCCCACCTGTTCATAGCGCTTGCCGACGACGACGTGCGAAAACTTCCTGGTGCCTGGCATAGCGGGCTTGCCATCCATGTGCACGAGCATGGCTCCCCTGGGCCACTCGAGATCGCCCATGTTGGCCACGCTCCAGATCTTGGTGAGCAGCTCGTTAGGACGCACGGACGCGCCGTCGGGGAGGGTGACGTCCTCAACAAACACCGCGCTGTAGCGGCTGGTCTCGGAGATTCTTGGCACCAAAGCGTGCTGAATGACCTGAGGCTGAGCGATCTGAGGCTGAGCTGCTGGCACAGCCGAGCGGCTGGCAGTGCTGGCGCACTTCAGCGCGGCGCCACATCCAAGGGGCATCGGCAAAAAGACGGTGTCGAGCAGCGGCTTCTTGTTGGGCGTGCGGTGGTTCTGGCGCATCTTGATAAACAGGTGACCGTACTCGTGGACGACAGTAGCCTCGCATGCCTCGCACAGGTCGAAATCGGCGCAGTTGCCGCACTTGTAGCGCACGCCAACAACAGGTTTGTCGCATGCGTCGCAGAAAACGCCCTCGTGCACGGCGCTAGCCTGCACTGCCAGCTCATCCAGCTGCACTTGCTGCCCGGGCCTGAGCTGGTCGCTCGGGCATGTTGTGTGCGCCATCGCAAACGGACGACGCCCAAAGCCCATAAAACCTGGGAGATGGTGTGGTACTGCTTGCGGCGCCAGCGAGCAGGTGAGCGGTGCCAAGTCCGCCGCATACCTACTAGATGAAGGCGCAGCCTGCAGCAGAGGGGCGTCGTCAAAGGGCGGCATCCTCATGCGGCACCCCGAAAGGCCGCCGCGGTGGGGAGGGTGTCTGTGCGAGTGCGAGTGCGAGTGTGAGTGTGGCGGACGAGGGGCATGTGGGACCTTGGCGGAGCCAGATGAAGGACTGGCCGGCTGGTGGCTGCCTGGCGCGGGCGGGCCGAAATGAACAAAGCCGTGGCCGGGATGGACTCTGGTGACGTCGCGGTAGCAGTTGTCGCATAGGTCGTAGTCCTTGCAGCGGCTGCACTTGTGGCGGATCCCGCCAATGGCGTGCTGACACGCGTCGCACACCGCCAACACAACCGGTGGCTGCACTTGATTCTTCCAGTGGCCCTTGCCACGGTTAGCGCTGTGCATGCTGTTGTAGGGCACCGAGCCGGAATTGTGGCACACACGTTGCTGCTGCTGCTGCTGCTGCGGCTGTGGCTGCGGCTGTGGCTGCGGCTGTGGCTGCGGCTGTGGCTGCTCCGTCGGGTCGCTCTGCACTTTCACGCCGCAGACGCCCACAAGACATGCGGACGCGCTCTTGGACGAAATGCTTGTGCTGTACTGCGCAATGGCACAGTAGTCATGACCCTTGCACATCTTGCCCCTGCCAACGCACTTGGGGCAAAGATGGTAGTCGCTGCACTCGAGACAGCAGAACACAGGGCTCTCATGAACGCCCAGGCGATCATTGCACTCACTGCACTCGTAGACGACCGAGGGCGATGGCTGCGCCTCGGTGTCGCTAAAGTACGTCGACGAGAGCAAGTGCTCGTGACCGTTTCCGCGCCCATTCTTGATGTAGCAGTCGTTGCAAGAGTCGAACGACTCGCACTCGCTGCAGTTCCATCTGAGCCCGACCACAGCCTCGTTGCAGTGGTCGCATATGACGTACTGGTCCTTACCGATGGATCTGTTCTCCAGGGGCCAGGCCACCAGCGGATGCCCGAGCTTGCTGCAGTAGCTCGACTTAGCCGCCTTGCAGGGGTTGCACATGCTCGAGTGCCCGTTGCACCTTGTGCACACCCACATAATGTCATTTACCTCGTCGAGGCACTCCCCGCAGCTGGGAGTGCGCACCGCAGCATTCTCGCAGGGGTTACGAGGGGCCACGTTTTCACCGACAGCAGCCGTATCGCGAGGCTCAAGGGGAGCGTTGGTCGAGGGTGTCGCTCTAACAGCCCCGGCCACAGTGGGAGTGCGGGGGCTGCTGTTCGCCGCCCAAGTTGCGTAGCTGCCAGACATGTTTGCCGGGCTTGGCGACAGCGTCAGCGCGTTGTAGACGCTCTCCCATGCGCGCTTGAGGTCGCGGGACACGCGCACTTGGGCGTCGTTGGTAGCGCTCGAGATCGTCGATTCGATCTCGGAGATCTTGGCATCAATCTGCGCGACCGCAGAGTTCAGGTTGTTCGATCCAAAAGACATTATTTGCACCTGTTAGCAGATGGTAAGAAAAAAGACTTGAAAATACGAGCTCGATACGCTTCTGTGTTTGTCTGTCTGTCTGTCTGTTTGTTTGTTTGTTTTTGATATAATAATAAATGAAGTGTAGGGGAAATAAGGCTAAAGTGTGGTGTGAAAGAAAGGGAAAATGGACTGAAAATGTTTTTTTTGGCTTTAAAATTTTTTATGACAGTAAAACAAAGAAAATATTTGTGAATAGAGCGTGTGAAATGTGTGATAGTTGAAATATGAGGCAAAACGAAAAAAGGATAGTAAAAGTGAGTGAACTGACTTGAAAAAATTCAGTATTGATGGCGAATAATAATTATATGAGGAGGGGGAGGTGAAAATGTATGGAGAGATGAGAGAGGGAAAACAGAGAAATATTGCCAGCTTCGCCTTTTTATTTTTGCAGGTCCAGACACAATATCCGCACTTTTGTCTTGGCGGAAAAAAAGAAGAATGAAAAATAAAAAATCTGGCTGTGCACATGACCCCGACTGTGGATGACGCGCACAACAAATAACAATCATATGCAAAAAATGTAAATGCACCATCATCCAATTGGGCCAACAAATATAGACACTGCTGACTGCCAAGCACAAAACCGTATCACATAAATAAAAATCACTTTGAAATATTGGGTTTGCGCTGCAATGATTCGCAAATCATAAATATGTTTGTTATTAAATATTGACAGAGAAAGAGAGAGAAATGAGAAAACAACTGCGCATTTATGCCAAGCATCGATCGACTTTACAACATTCAGCAGAAATGGGAAAAGCAATATTCGAAAAAAAAACAAGGACTTAGAGCGCCAGCTTATCATCAGTGAACAGGTCGACACTGACTGCCGTGAGCATGGCTGCGGACTCGGGCTCATCCATATCATTAACCTCGACTCTTGACTCGCCCATAGACATTATGTCCTCGATCATCTGTGGCACAAATTGCGACAGGTTGGCCTCAGCGATGGACATGACGACGGTCGCTCTGGTGGGCATATCATCGACCAGCTTTGTCTGAGTTATTATTGCAGCGTTGGCAACGTTGCTTGACGGGGACATGGAGACTAAAAGGAGTGCGACGGTCACGGAAACCAGGGAGGAGGCGAATAACTGCATGATTGTTTTTTCTTTTGTAAGGGAATTTGTGGCGGTATGGTTGTAGGGGTGCAATTGTGAGACAGGTGGAGGATAGCTGAGTCAAAATAGGCCCATGCGAGAATGTTCTCTTTTTATAGGAAAGCTTTTTTCTGAACTTTCCATAAAGTCAATTAGCAGTACTCTAGACCATGCCAAGGGTATTGAAGGCCAACATTGCAGCTTATCTTTTTTAATAAAATCGTACGTGCCTGCACGCAAGCAGGAAACCGGAGAGACCAGGCAAATGAAAATGACATCATAAAATGCTTTTCCATTTTTGCATTTTTGCATTTTTGCATTTTACAACGCACGTTGTTAACCCTTGAAAATAGTCATAACTGCAATCACAAGATATTTTTCTCGCTTGCAGGCAAAAAGTTACCCAAACTGCAAGCAAGAATGTTACACACCCGGCAGCCTCCTTCTCCCTATTTTGTGAAATAAAACTTAAAAAATGAATAGAGTTTACTGCAAAATTAAATTATTTTTCAAAACTCGTATACACGATTCCCTCGGAATCGAAAAACTTGCGCAACATCCACTTTTGACAGGGCACGCTTCTCAAAATGTCCTGGTAAACCGAATCAAACTGCAAAACCTGGTAGCACAGTATTTGCTCAAACAAACCAGGTTGGCTGCGAATGTGCTCCCTTAACTGTCTGACCAAGGCCTCGCCAACTTGGTTCGGCGTTGCCTGTTGCTGCTGCTCAATCTCGATTGCACTACTGTTGCTACTACCACCGCCGCACGTCTGCTCCCAGATTGCTTTGAGCTGGTGCTCAATCAACCGTCGCGGCGTGTTTACGCGCAATCCAAATTCAGAAGCTATCTTTTTCAGATCTAGCAGCGGCATCTTGGCATAATTAGGCAGCTTTGGTGCCGATACTGTCTGCCGGATGCCCTTGGAGTTTGGCCGCGAGAGCAGTGGCGCGGGTGCCAGCTCTAAATTCTCTTTTCGTTTATCGACCGGCTGTGAAATAATCGACTTGGAATCCGTGTCGCGACAAGGGCCGATACTAGGCATCGAAGAAGAAGAAGAAGAAAAAGAGGAATAGGCGTACGATACTGGCAATTCTGCCAAATCATTGGGCTGAATTCCAGAATCAAACACCATGTCGGTACTTTTATGATCCGATTCGGAACCAGACGAGGATAGCACGACTACATCTCCGTCCGCATCAACATTGCTTTCAGCCAGCGGCTCTGCGCCCTCAACCCACCCCGCACACCGGAGTGCCGCGCACTGTCTGGCAAAGCTTTGGCGCGCGACTCTGATGAGCTCTGTGTACCCGCTGCGCAACAATGTCTCGCCAATAGCAGCGCCGGACCGGTGCTCGGAACTATGCAACGCAAACGACCTAATTAGGTGGCCAACTGCCTGATCGAGGCATTCTGCGGTGCTGCTGTGTCCTGAATGCCCCATCTACTGTGTAATAATTTATATACACAAAATAAAACCGTGTAGTCACTATAATACAATAATTACACATTTGTAGTTTCCCTTGCTTACTATGTGGAGAATTACCAACTGTGTAGGTAATTGAGGAAAGGTTTGGTTAGCACACCTGCATTCGTCAACCTACTTTATAGTTCTCAAATATTGGGCAATAGTTGAATCCATCTGGGCCGCATTCGTGAGATCCCAAATCCCAAAGACGCACCCCGCCAGCCGACTGCTGCCGCTGCCGCTGTTGACTTTCGGCAGCGCTGTCCCCATCGCTATATGCAGAGTACGCGAGCGAGTCGAATATGCGTATTTGATGCTCCTCGTCCATTTTCTCGAGCGCTACGGCCCGATGTCTAATAAAGTGCTGCGCATCTTCGCTAGCCAAAATGTCCGACTTTGCCATCAACGCGGCAGCAGACTTTGCTACCGTGTCCCGGCGTTTACCAGCGGGCTTTGCAAGGTCCAAATCCGGACCTCGTTTTAGAGACAAAGATAGGGCCTTGGCCTCATTGAGATCGCCATCCAGCTCATCAAGAAACTCTTGTCTCCTCTTGTCCACTCGGCTCACAGCAATGCGCGTCTGCTTGAGAGCGGCAACACGCACTCTAGTGCTCTGGAAGTCAGCGTCCTCTGGAATATCAAACGGTATAGGGCTGTTTGTGCGTGCAGTCGACGCCTGGCTGGACTTTGGCCGCGTGTCAAAGTCATCATCGGTGTTGCTCTCTGACTCGACAGAAAAACGCCTGTTTGTCCGGGCAGCAATGGGCAATTTGAGCGGCCGGTTGCCTGCTAGTTTTGTTGCTGCGCCTTTACCCTTGGGCTTTGTGGTTTTGGCGCAAGACATGGGCGACTTTTTTATCTGCGGGCTGAATGCCCTGAAGAACGAGCTGCCACTGCTGGCATCGCTGCCCACTGCCTTTGACTGCATCCTGCTGGACTGCCCGCACCTGATGGCAGCTGAAACGCTCATTTCATCCAGCGACTCTCTGAATAGGTTGATCAGGTCCACGAGGTCTCGGTTAGACACGCTGAATTGCTTGGCACAGGCCCTGGCATGCGCAGCCCGCGACAAGTCCTGGGATGGCCACATGGATCCGCAGACCGGGCAATCCTCCAGCCGATCCAGCGTTGCAAGGCTGGCATCTAGTTCGTCGGCAGTGCCATTCTGTAGTGTGCCAATATTTGAATCCAGGCATCGCTCGACATGTGAATTTCGCAGCGTCGCGCTGAGCGCAGCCAAGTCCTTATTGCATATGGCACACAGAATCGTCAAGCTACTGTCGGCGCCACCAATATTGCTCATGCTCTATTGACACTTGGCATAACTACAAAAATGAAGGCGAGGGTTGGGAATAGAATAATAAAAAGAGGGAACAAAAAAACTCAGCAAACAGAAGAAAAAAAGAGAACGCGAAATAAAGGAGGGCAGTAGTAGTGAAAAAATTGACAAAAATGACACATTATCCTGTTCAAGCCACATGATCCTACCCACAAGTGTACGCTGTGTGCATTTTACCTGTGACAAGCGCGATTTGCCCGACAGTTTTGAATGCTGGGGAGCTTTAGAATTAAGTGGTTGTTGCGGTTTTTTGGAGCTGAGAGTGAGCTTGTTCTCTCCTCATCTTGCGGCTCCGCGCCCCACGACAACCTAAACAAATGTTTAGCCTTAATCCACACCGACTGCCGTCCCTGGCCATGACCTATGGCTGGGAATGTGGGCTGCTTGGTACTAACAACGAGGCCACATCCCAAAAAAAATTAAAATTAAACCACCAACACATACAAAACACAAAAATTCAAAGATCAAGAAATCAGCAGTCGCTGCGACATTTATTTGTTTTCTGTGTCCAGTAGCAGATTTTCAGTGACAAAGAGTTCACATACTTTTCTCGATCTTTTTTGACCTCCTCAATTGTCTGCTTATTGCTACTGTAAATTCTTTTCTCAGCATTAAGCTTCAATTCTTCCTATTTTTACGCACGAATTCAAATCCTTTCATATTTTCTGCAACCGAAATGAGGCACAACTTTATCGGCATGGTTGTCAGCACGGCAATGAATAAGACAGTTAAAGTCCGGGTGCCCAAGCGCGTGATGAACAACTACGTCCAGAAGGAGCTGCTCGTACACAAAAACTACATGGCTCATGACGAGTTTGAGCACTGCAAGCTGGGCGATATCGTGCGCATCGAGCACTGCAGGAAGCTCAGCCGGCACAAGTCGTTTGCGGTTGCGGAGGTTGTCAAACCTGCCAGAACCTGGACAGATCCGGAGACCGGCGAGGTCCATCTCTAAAACCAACGAAATAAACCGGAGAGGATCTTTGATTTCTCAGCTTTTGCCAAATACAAAAATATTTAAATACTACAAACTCCATAAAAAAATCCACGTTCGTACAACTTCACTTGCTGTTTGCCACGCTTGAGCATTATCGGCTAGCCTCCCCGATTTTAATCACACTTAATTTATTTATGATCAAAAGTTGCTTTTCCAACCCTCAAATGATAAGCCGCTTGCTTTTTTTCAAGCAGCCAGCCATATTTTTTACATAGCTACACACCCAAAAAGAGTACAAAAAGGACAGGCTGACCAGTATTTTTTCTCAGAAACGAAGAGGGATTCAGCTGCCAATTTGCACAAACAAGACTTGCACTTTTCTGTTTTCCAGTCTTTCCCGTTTTCAATTAGAACAATTCAACACTAGTCAATTTATCCAAATCAACACAATGTTCGCTCTTTCCGCAATCCGCACCCAGGTACGCATGCTGTTCGAATAAATGCGCGCGCAATTTCTGACACACACACACACAACTGCCCCCTCATCACCAGCGGAAACGCAACGAAACCAAGCAACGAAAGAAAATGGACGCAGCGTTGCAAGCAACCTGAAATTTGATAATTGAAAATTAACACTCGACTGTGATATTGACCAAATTATTTATACATTTATAGACCGCCAGCCGTTTTGCCGTCCGCAGCTTCTCGGTCTCCAGCGCCGCCAAGAAGGGTATGTTTAATCACAGTGGGAGCAGCATACAGAACCCATGAATAGTATAATATCACTCGTCTGATAACCGGTGCTAACTGATCCCCCATTTTTTCTTGCGCATTTAGACTTCCTCCAGGACCTGTACCTTAAGGAGATCCGCGGCTACAAGCCCGACGTCAAGGTAAGATACGCGTTTGCATTTTGCAGTTGCAGAACACATACTTTAATCGTTGCAAAAACTATTGTTAAACTGATATCGTTTGATGGTGTATATGTTCGCTATTTGCAAAAAAGTAGGCTGCCAAGGCCGAGGTTACCACCAAGGAGTTCGCCGCCCCCAAGGCCCCCGAGGTGCCCAAGAACGACGTCAACCTTGACGCCGACATCAAGGCCTACGAGCAGAGCGGTGTCCTGACTCAGTAATTGCTTTAATGAGTGCGCTTCTTTTTAAATAACATTGACATTTTATCATTTTCACTCTGCAAAATGAATAGGACAATATGACGTGCAAATTTAAATTACCAAAAGTACAAATAAAATTTTATATAAAAATATAAAAAAGTGATTTCTGCCAGGATTGAACTGGCGACCGTCTGCGTGTTAGGCAGACGTGATAACCGACTACACCAAGAAATCACACGAATTTTCAATTATACAAACTAATTGACCACGCTGATATCTCTATTTTAAGATACAATAATAATACTGTTGAGTTAAATTTACTATACTTTTTAAATTGTTATATTGATATTTACTCTGTTTAAAGCCATGGTCACAATACAATTGTGGCTAAATGTAATTTTTTACCTTATATTTTTTTGTTTTTTTTACCAACGCACAAGGTATTTTATCTGCCGAGTTAACACGTTGTCTTGGCTCTGAGCAACGCTAGATGTACAATATTAGCTATACACTGCACGTGTTTTCCCAAACTAGCTTGGTTTTACCGAAACTGGCATTACCACGGGCAAAAATTGCACGCCATTTTTTACATGGTCGAACTTTTGGCTTTTGAATTCATTCACAAAAGAACAATATTCTCAAGAAAATTTTCAACTTTTTTATTTATTTAAATGTCTGACGGCAGCAGTGATTCAGATGAACCCCAAGAGTGCCCACTATGTCGCGAGGATGCACCCATAGAACTGCCGGCATACGAGACATGGCTGCAATGCGACGTGTGCGAAGAGTGGTACCATGGAATTTGCGTCGGAATATCGTCTTCTGAATGCGGCCGCATTGACAAATATCACTGTCACAAGTGCATTGAGGAGCATGGGCTCAGCTCATACAATGGCCCCGCATTGCGGCGCTCGGGTCGCAGCCACGCGCCTGTGGACTACACCAAGCTTAATGAAGGGCAGCCAGCTACATTCAACCAGTACTTGTTGCGGCTGGATGGACACGAATTCCTCGACAACGAGTTTGAGCGTCTGGACGACGGAAGCGAGGTCACGCTGGAGTGGATTCGAAACCGCGACACAAACAACCCGTTTATTGTCAAAAGTGCAGCAGGGTTGGGGATGAGTATGCCCGATCCGGCCATGACTGTCAGTGACATTGCCAAGGAAATCGGCGAAGACACATCGGTGAGCGTCATGGACGTGCTAACGCAGGAGGAGCTAAGTGGGTGGACACTGGGCGACTGGGCAAAGTACTTTCATTCTGAGGATCGCCACAGAGTACTCAACGTTATTAGCCTTGAGATATCTGAAACATCGCTCGGCGACAGGATTCAGCGGCCGCGCATTGTGCACGAGATTGACCTCATGGAGAGTTATTGGCCCTTGTCCAAGCGCAAGCCGGGTAAATTCCCAAAGGTGAAGACATACTGCTTGATGAGCGTGCAGAATGCATATACCGACTTTCATGTTGATTTCAGCGGCACTTGGGTCTACTACCACGTTCTTTCCGGCGAAAAGGTATTTTACCTTGTACCGCCCTCGCCCTCGAACATGCGCAAGTTTGAGAGCTGGACCAAGTCGCCCGAACAGGCCGTGAGTCTCTTTGCTGGGCACGTCAAGCACTGCTTCGAGGTGCACGTGAAGGCAGGAAACACATTATTTATCCCCGCCGGCTGGATCCATGCTGTATTTACGCCGGTCGACACGGTCGTTATTGGCGGCAACTTTATGGTCATGCAAAGCCTCAATACGCATATCGGCACATACAAGCTGGAGGCACGCACTCGGGTGCCCACACGGTACCGCTTCCCCTTTTTCATAAAGTTCTGCCGTTACATGTCCGAGTTGCTGGCCAAGAAGTGGAGCAAGATGGACAAGCAAGCCAGGGCTGCGTGGTCGCTGACCGAACTCGAAGGCGCATTTGTACTGGCCTCGTTTCTTGACGACAAACTGCTAGGCCGCGAGTGTGACTCTGACGAGGCCAAGGCGCTGGGCGACAAGATGGCAGCCAGAAAGCACGTAAATAGGCTCCTTGAGCTTGTCGGCACGGAGCTCGGATCAAGGGTGCTACCGGAAGAATGGCTCAACCGCGAGTCGCAGTTGCGCGAGGGTTGTCATTTCAGGTGGATTCGGCCGGGCATGCCCCAGGGGTCATTGTTGCTTGCTGCGCGCCCACGGAGAAACCGGGCTGCCACCGGTGCTGACAATAACGTTGACAAATCGATCATAAAGATCCGCAAAAAGGCTGCTGAGCGCACTGATTCGGCTAAAACGTCGAGGCCAAAGCTGGTGCGCGGGAGACCCAAGAGCAGCGCTTCAGATACAATCAACGGCACCATTAATACAGCCGAAGCCAACAATGACAGCCCTGACGGCGAAAATGTGCTCGCAGCTCTCGGCACTGGCGCCGGCAGATTGAAGCGCCGGGTCGCATCTGATTCGGGAAGTAACAGTGATGATGGAACCACAGATTCCAACAGCGACAGTGAATCTGGCAGCGGCAGTGAATGTGACGACAGCCGCTCTGACTCGTCTATGTCGGATGGCGAAAACTTTGTTGTCTTGGACAGCGGCGATGAACGTAGGAAGCCCCGGAAACGCAAAATGAACCAAGCAAGCAGAAGTCTAACGTCGCTGAGACCTACAAAGCAGTTGCAGCAGGCGGCCAAGCTCACCGGTGCCAAGCAGCGAATAGCCGAGCGCTTAAAAATCAAGTTTTAAAATGTAATAGAAAGCAGTGCTTCGAAATTGATATTGAAATGCAATTAGATTACTAAAAAGTGAATGGGCTGCCATTAGCTCACATACGAGGAGTGCCCACTCTCAGCGGCGTTCCTCCGCCTCTGATCTCGCGAATTCGCTTTGGCTCCTTGACCGGTTCATCAGCGTCTTCGGCTGAGGCTTTAGCTCCATGCTTCGACTCTTGGTTCATACTGTCATCACCCTCCTCTTCCGCGCTCTCAGTCGCGCCAATAGAGCGGCCGAGCAACTCCAGAGACTTCAAGTACGTCTGCAAACGGCCGTCAATCTTTTCAAGTTTATCGATGCGCCGACGCTTTATCTTGCGCAGCTCGTCGCGCTTTGCCTTGGCTTCGGACTTTGCTGCCATAAGCCTAACAAATCAGTAAAGCAAAAAAGCAGCAGCATCAGCGCAAGTTATTAGTAAAACTAGTCGACAAAGCATAGACAGAACAGAACTAGCAGCCAAACCCCAAATCCAAAATGACTTACATCTCTCTCTGCTTGATCTCGTAGCGCAAACGACTGAGCATCATCTCATGCGGCGTGTTTGTGTTCTGCTTGTACTCTTCGGGTGCCTCCTCCAAAAAACTGTCTAGTGGAATGATATTGATGGTCTGATAGATGGTCTCCAACTTCTCAGTAGAGTCAATTTCCTTCTGAATGTACGCAACCTCGCGCGCTTTGTTCTCCAGAAGCAAAGCAAGGTCGTCGGTCAATTGTTTCATATCGTTCACATTCTGGGCAAGGGCGGCCTTGTCTTCGTGCAATTTGCGATTTAGCAAGCGCAAACGGACAAATGTGCCGGTAGCTGTTTGGAGTATATTGTGATGTGCGCTAAAGGAGCGAGAGTCCTTATTTGACTCCCTCTTGCGCTTTTTGACAATGTGGTCGGCGATTTGCTCAATCTCGTCGCAGAGAGCACTTATCTGGGATGCGGATGTATCGATGGAGGCAGAAATAGTGCTCACGACACTGTCCTCAATATGTGCAGGTTCGCTCGATACAACTTCCATTTGTAAAAGTAAATAGCTGGATAAAGTAAGGTTGGGTGAAAAAACAGTGGGATGAACAAGATGTGCCTTATATTATAGAAAAAATAAAAACATATTTATACGTGTTATTGTAGACAATGTAAGGTATGGGTGTGTCCACGTGTATTTAATTTGGTTAACAAGGAGCAACTAAGGTGCGTTGAATATAAAGTACAGTCGCCCCAATGAGAGGCATATATGACCACGCACATAAATATTTTTACTGTTCCAATACGGTTAATGTCAATATTTTTACGATATTAATTGTATTATATTTGAATGGATAACTAGTAACTCAGTCTGTAATTAGCCATACTATCGGTATTTAGTTAATTATGTACGCTATTGTTATTTCAACGCTTCTTGAGTACTAGTCACTTTCCGGTCGATAAAACAGCTGGGCATCAAGTATGAGTGATTCTTGCTCATTGAAAAAAACCGGTGCACCAATATTACCAGTCTTTGAAGTATCGGGCAAATAAACCCAAGCACATCTCTGAAGGCGTCCACTGCCAACAAAAAGTTGCTGATCAGGCTGGATATGCTTTTCTGTATATTAAAGAATACGCAGTGCATCTTTTTATAATGGGTACGCACTACAGACCCTTTATAACCAGCGTGTCTGCAGTGCTCGCATCAATAACCTCCGTATATTGACCTTGAGATCAGGAAGTGGCAAGTCTACTCATAGAAAACGATTATTAAACCAGCTGTAAAGCTCTTTGTCTCGCATGGTTCGCCAATTCATTTGAAAGATATATCGGCATGCTTGCGCAATGGTGCGTTGGCCGTGTTTAAACCTGTGTATGTGGCTCTTTTTCTGCTGACGCTTGTGAATGAGAGTGTAGATGCCACCGGTTATACCCACATAGCTGCACGTTAAGCAAATAATCAGACCGCTGCCGCGCTCGACGCTCAAATTCAACGCAACTAACGCTGCCACCGACGGATATGGCTACAAATTGTTAAATGCGGTTCAACATGTAGGTTTAATTGGGGTTTAAAAACAATAAGACAGACTATTGTAATACTTTTGTTGTTGACTAAATTGTTATGCACAGTAGCAATGCTTGCAGCATAGATATGTTTGCACACGAGAGTATGCCTTTTTGCGAGGTATTTGTTGGATAATGATTTCCAATACAAAAGCTCGCATATTATGTTCACATGCAGAAACTTATGAGCGAAACCAGTCGCTGAAACAATTGTAAAGTATTTTTTGTATCTGTGTTGTTGTGCATTCCATACGCTGTTTTTGTAGCAAAAGTCTTGGGGTCAACAGTTGCACTCGAACGCATCAATACCAATGACAATATTAATATTTAAATGGGGTATATTTAAAAATAAAAATAAAAATATAGATACAGATACACAAAAGAAAAAATAGATCACGGAAAAGAGAAAGCGAGAGAGTATTGCCAAGAAGTAATCAGAACAACAAATGCATTTTAAATCCTGGCAACCAAGGGTTATTGCATAACGGAAAGAACAAAATTATGCATGCTCAATCACGGGCATGTACACTTTTTTTGGTACTTGCTATGGCTTAATCGATGTTATTATTGTTAAAGCTAGTCGTGGATGTGCAAGATAATGTTTCTGAGCAGCGTGCGCTCTCTCGGATTGACAAGGCTACGATCAGTGCTGTTCTGGTATTTGACGAGTACTTGTCTGATCTCCTCGGCAATATAGGACGGCACAAACATTGTCGAAGTGGAGGCAGACAGTGCAGTTGGGACTGGTTGAGCACTGGGTTGATTGGCAGCACTGTTAGCACTTGAAGCATAATGTTCAGGCTGCAATGCTGGTTCGACGGGTGGCTGGTTGTTGGGTGAGGGATGTGTTTCTAAAGCTGCGTCAGCCAATCCTTTGAATTTAACTGTGTCCAAAGAATCTGAAAAGCAAACCCGAATGTATCTACTGAATTGTAAACTACAATAAGAAAGCTGCTGAACAGGCCCAGCAATTGCATCTTTTGAAATCCATGTTGTGTCATGCTCCTTGTTATAGTGTTGCCGCATGCAATCTTTATCGCAACAAGCATAGTTTCAGTGCTCGCACCAATACATGTTATCAATCAATTTAATGCCTGGAACCGGAAAATCCACTCGCAACAATCGATCTTTATACCAACGCTGAAGCGCATCCTCTGGCTTGGCACCCGAATCCTCAGACAGCAGATAACTGCAAGCTTCTTTAACAGCCTGATAATCAAACCCGACCTTGTGCTGATGTCCATTTTTCTTCTGGCATTTCCTAAGATGATTATAAATGCTTCCAGGATATATTATATAGCAACAAGTCAGGCAAATAATCAAGCCGCTGCCACGTTCAACTTGCAAGTTCAACGCAGTCAATGCTGACTCTGACGGAGGCAACTATATAAAATAAAATCGTTAATATCATATAGTTTAATATACACACATAATAAAATTAATTAAAGCTTTACTTACAATAGTGTTGTATTTATTGGCGGCGCCTACCTGAGCGTTGGTATTTATAGCATTGAGGAGTTTGCATGAAAGAGCATGATTTTTTCTCATAAACCTGGTGGCAAAGGTTTTCCACACAGACATTCGCATATGCCAACTTTCTGCGGAAGCATATAGACGACACCCGTCGTTGAAATGATTTCAACATATGCTTTGTGTTTGGCTTTGTGTCTAGTATATCCAATATTCGAAGTAAAGGTCGCGGGACACTCCTCGCACTTCAAAAAACCTGGTTCGCGTTTAATTCTATCGGCTGGCATGAATATAATATATATATATTGAATAAAACGGTTTTAATGTAAGGAATATTGCAAAGCGAGCAATGAGAGAGAATATGTATTTTTTTCTGCTGAAGACGTTTCAGAGTCGCCATCGCTAAATGCCAACACGGTAGAATAATGGCTGTAATCACCTGATTATTTATTCTGTGCGGGGCTTCTTGTTCTCATTCTCAGAGACCGAAACAGCCTCGATGCCAGCAACGGCATCCGCAACAGACTCAGAAACAGCAGGCGCATCATCTTCCTGCTTGCGTTTGGGATCGGCGACCTTGGGGGTGCGCGTCTCTGAGTGACGGGCCTTGGGTCCCCAGTTCTTCTCGGGGTTAATCTGATAGCGCACAAGCCTGATGCGGCGCGACTCCGGGTTCGAGCCCTTGTTCTCCTCGAAAGAGACCTCAGTCGTACTCTCCTTTGAGAGAATCTTATCCGCATATGAGCCCTCCTCAATCTTCGGCGAGCGGCCAACCTCCTTGACATACGCGCGCATGACGTCCCAGACAACCTGCGACGGCGCATCGGTCTTGATAGAACCCTGGCGCGTGTGCACACCGGACACTCTGTAGCCGGCGTTGAGCAGCGCCGAGTTGATCTTGACCAGGGGCGGGCACGAGGTGCGCACGGCAGAGCACAGCTGTGAGAGGTTGTAGTGGAAGGGCGCGTCGTTCAGCTCCTCCAGAATGACCTTGAGCATGCCCTTCATACGCGGCTGCGTGCCATACATGTTCTTGTTCGTGGCGCTGACGCTGTTGTACATGCGCTGGACAAACTCCTTATTGTGCAGCGGGCCAAGCCAGCAAGGACCACCGAGTTCCTGCTTAGAATCACAGTGTGCGCACCGCTGGTCAACTGGTGATGAGGAAGGAACAAGGTAGCGAAGGTTAGCGCCCTTGCCAGGCTCGATAGAGCCAAAGGGCTGGGTCGTGTAGGTACCGCAGTACCGGCAATGGTGCACGACGCCCGTCTGGCTGGCCACCGTCTTGACCATGAGGGGCTTGTCGTGGACGCGCACAAAGATGCGCACGTAAAAGTCGATGCTGCACGACAGAAGAGGCTCGATGTAGCGCTTCTGGCGGTTGGCAGCCTGCTGCAGGCTGTTAATGACCAGACGCAGCGCCAGCTCGTGGCAGAACTCGGCCTTCAGCGGGCTGCCGCCGTACTTGGCGAAGCACGCCTCGGGATGGTTGTTACTGGCCAAAATGGCCAAGTCTGTGCAGGTAACACAGATCAAGCCGCCCTTCTTGACCGCGTGGATGGCGCCGTCGATAAAGGGCGCGGCAGTGCCGTAGGGATCCAGATCAACAACATCGAAGCGCTCCTTATCGCGGTAGCCGTACATGACCGAAATGGCATCGCCTTGGTTCGCGCGCACGAGATTCTGGCTCAAGCCGTTAAAGTGCACGTTGCGTTTGATAGACTCGACGGCATCGGGCAGCAGGTCATTAGTAAGAATATACTCAATGTCCTCAATCTCCTTGGCGTACCGCACGGAGCGCAGGCCCGATGCAGCCAGGGCCTCCAGCACGGTGAAGGTCTTGGGTGGCATCACCTTGGTCGGGTTGATCGACTTTTCAAAGCGCTCAGTCTTGGCCTCCATGGTGATATCGCGCCAGTTCTTGATGGCGGCTATGGACATGTCCCGGTTGAACTCCTGCACAGGGTTGTAAAAGACCTCATTGTTTTTGGGGAACAGGATGGTCGCCTTGCCTTCTTTGATCTTCTGGTAGTCCTCGATGTTGTATGTGGGGTCGGTGTTGGTGTCTGCCATTGTCTGATAATTGCGGCCGAGTTGGTGAATTCGCGGAATGCGTAAAATAAAAAAGTGGGAAAAGCGAATATAATGTGTTTTGGATGGCAAGGAGAGCAAGGGCATGCAGCGCTCGTTGATTATAAAAAGGGAAAAAGATCAAGAACAGCAAATAAAAAACAGGTGCTAAACAGAAAGAAAAATTTAAAAAAAATTTGCAACCGCGCCGTTGCAAAAAAAGGAGCAAATAAAAAATCGGTCCAATATATATTATATTCTTATTTTTAATTTCACTCACAAAAAAACAACTACAAAAAACACTAATTCGAAATGCTGTACATTGTTGGCCTGGGCCTCTCAGACGAGCGCGATATCACGGTCAAGGGCCTGGAGGCCGTCAAGGGGTCTGAGCGTGTGTACCTGGAGGCGTACACAAGCATCCTAATGGTGCCTAAGGAGCGGCTGGAGAAATTCTACGGCAAGGAGGTCATTATCGCGCATCGCGAGACAGTCGAGTCGGACAGCGACTCTATTCTGCGCGACGCCGACAAAGTTGACGTCTCGCTCCTGGTTGTTGGCGATCCGTACGGCGCGACCACGCACACGGATCTGGTCATTAGAGCTCACGAGCTGGGTATCCAGGTGAAGACCATCCACAACGCCAGCATCATGAATGCTGTTGGCGCCACCGGACTCCAGCTCTACAGCTTTGGGCAGACTATCTCGTTGGTGTTTTTTACTGAGGATTGGCGGCCCGACAGCTTCTACGACCGCGTCAAGGAGAACTCGGACATTGGTCTGCATACCCTGTGCCTGCTGGACATCAAGGTACGCGAGCAGTCGATCGAGAACATGATGCGCGGTCGCCAGATCTTCGAGCCGCCACGCTACATGTCCATTAACCTGGCCATTGAGCAGCTGTTGGAGGTAGAGGAGAAGCGCCAGCAGAAGGCTTATACCAAGGACACCCTGGCTGTCGGCGTATCGCGCCTGGGCTCCGATGACCAGATCATTAAGGCGGGCACGCTCAAGCAGCTGCTTACCGAGGACTTTGGTGCGCCGCTGCACTCGCTTGTTCTTGTCGGAAGCCGCCTGCACTTGCTGGAGGCCGAGATCCTGCGCTCCAACGCTGTTGATCTTGAGGGTCTTAACCTGGTCCTTAAGCGGGACTTTGGCATCGAACGATAAATTTTGGATAAATTAATTTCTGTTGATTTCCCCTTTATCTTTCATTTTTTTGACTAAATACAATACAAAAAAGTATACATTTTTTCCTTTCTTTGTTTCTCTTTTCATTATTTTTTTACATTTCCAATGTTCCGCTCGTTTTCATTTGCTCGCTCGTTCAATTCGGCATTCGTTCGCACGCCTCAGGGCGGTCGCCCAGGAGGAAGACTGGCGTCCCGCACATACGCACAAAAGCTTCACGCCGATGACTCCATTATCGATGCTGAATGGAAGGGCCGCCTGTACTCATGGAAGACAATCGGAATGTGCACCATTCCTCTGATAGCTCTTGGACTGGGCACATGGCAGGCGCAAAGGCTCAAGTGGAAGCTCGCCCTTCTCGATGAGGTCAACGACCGCATGCACCGCCGGCCCGTTGCGCTGCCCCTGAAGGTGACGACAGATGAGATCAACCGCAACGAGTATCGTAAGGTCATCGTCTATGGAGAGTTTGACCACAAAAACGAGATGCTCATTGGCCCGCGGTCATACGAGACAGAGCCTGGGTTTATTGTGATTACGCCGTTGGTGCGCGAAGACGGCTCGCGCGTGCTGATAAATCGTGGGTGGATCAAACGCGAGCTGAAGGATCCAAAGAGCCGACCAGAGTCGCAGAGCTCTGATCCAGTTACAGTCGTAGCATACGTGCGCAAGGCACCCGGAAAGAACAGCTTCATACCAGACTCTGAGCCCGAAAAGGACATCTGGTACAGTTTGGACCTAAAGCTAATGGCCAAGCACACGGGCTCGCAGGAGGTACTTTTGGAGGTTATCCAGCCAGAGTCTATGGGTACAATCATGTACAACCTGAAGAACGGCATTCCTCTGGGCGTGCCGCAGCAAATTGATATCAGAAACAACCATTTGCAATACTTGATAACCTGGTACTCGCTGGCCGCAATTACCGGCGGTATGCTGTTTTTCACCCTGCGCAAACCTCAGAGCGCCATCTCCACAATTAAGAGACTGCGCAAGCGAGGCGGAAGCATCCTGTAAAGGGCATACTCGCTTTTGAGACAGCACAAGTACAAGCGATGTATTAGTAAGAAACAGGATGCATATAACTATCTGTAAGCGCATGAATAAATAACTCAATCTTGTAAATAAACATATTTATTTGTTGAAAAACAAGTCAATTGCCCTGGTTGAGATTCATGCTCTCGACCAACTGCGAGAAATGACTGTTCTTGTCAGCAAGTAGGTTTTTAGGTGAGTCAAACTCTGCCATCTGGCCGTGATCCATCACCAGGATGCGGTCGCTATCCATCACAGTGCCTAGTCGGTGTGCAATGGTCAACACAGTGCAGTCCTTAAACTCGCGGCGGATCACCTCCTGCATAACCTGGTCAGTCTTGGAATCCATGTTGGCTGTCGCTTCGTCCAGAATGACAATCTTGCGCTGCCAAAGCAGAGCCCTGCAAAGACTGATGAGTTGCCGCTGCCCGACACTGAAGTTACCTCCGCCGTCTTCTACCCATTTGTTCAGCCCGACACCCTCAACCCACGGCCCTTTGTTGGAATATTCGTCATCCGGGGGCTTTTCGTACTTCTCTGTTGGAGTATCGAAAATATCGCCAACCTGGCCTGCACGAATAGCCGCCCAGACTTCTTCATCAGTGTACTTGTTGGTTGGATCAAGATTGTCGCGGACGGTTCCTTCAAACAGTGCCGGGTCCTGCGGAATGATGGCAATGCGCGACCGGAGGTCCTGCAGTCCGATTGTCGAAATGTCAATGCCGTCGATGATGATCTGGCCGCTAGCTGACTCGACCAAGCGCATCAGTGCGTATGTGATCGAGCTCTTGCCTGCACCCGTGCGGCCGACAATGCCAATCTTCTCGCCGCCTCGTGCCGAAAAGTTGAGCCCTTTGAGAACCAGGTCCAACTCTGAGCGGTAGCGCATGCTGTAATCGTGGAACTCAACCACGCCATTCTGCGGCCAACTGGGCTCTGGCCTTGCATTCTCAATGACCGCCGGTGCCTCGCGCTCCAACTGTTCAGTAAATTGGTAGTAGCGGGAAAGTGAACGGGTGTTATCCCCAAAGCCATTGATGATCCAGGATAGACTTTTTACACGACTAAACATATTCAGCGCCAACGATATCATCACGTCGACCTCTCCAGCGAGCACAGGTGTGCCAGTGTAAAGACGCCGACGAATGTTAAAGAGCAAGATTCCGCTGCGGATGAGCTCTGTGCAAATGGTCCGTATAATCCAATTCGACCCAAGCAATCGACTGCGCAAATAATTGTAGTATACCCTGTCGGCAATCGAGGCTCTGAAGCGGTCTAGGTACTGGTCAGCGCATCTGTGAATCCGAAGCAGAGTTCTGTTTTGAAGGATCACACTGTTAAATTTATCAGAATGCTGATAAAAGTGCTTGATTCCCAGGCCCCAAACTACGGTATCCAGGGCATTAGAAAGCATTTGATACGAGACATTCGCTCCAAGCATGGGTAAACACAGCAGCAGAACTTTTGGCGATGTCTTCATGACCTGAAGTATGGAAGTAGCAGCTGAAAACCCGTTAAACACAGAGTTGCACAAGACATAAGGAAGAGAACGGGTGATGCGATACTGGTCGTTCATAAGTATGTCGATAATTTGGGAGCGAGAGAGACCCTCAACCACTGTGAGCGGCATTGAAAGAAATAAACCGACAAGCTTGCGACGCATCTGCTCTGACAGGGGTTTGGTCCACAAAACCTTCCTGATCCACAACTCAAATGAGTTCACCTGCATGCGACCAATCTCTATAAGCGCATTGACAATTAGATACCTGCTCATCGACTGGCGCATCGTGTCGGGATTGCTGTCGACCATGAGCTCGATTCGCAAGCTTTCAGCATAGTAGATGGCATAAACTTTGGCAAGCTGGATCAATACTACAATGGCGACAGCCTCGTACCCGCTGAGCTTGGTAAACCTCCACAGCTGCCACATCTTGAACGGCGGGTCCTTCAGCTTGGGGTAAATAGTAAACTCGCTGGATTTGGTGTCAGCGATTCTGGGCGAGTCGTTCTCTGTTGACAATTCGGAGATGTGCTCATCTGTGTTGACAAGAGACACAAAATCAACCGGCTGCTGCTCGGAAATCTCAGCATGCCCCTCTGCAAGCGTAATGACCTTGCTGCTCAGTGGCACTAGATGCTCGGCATGAGTGACTAGAATGCGCGCTTTGCCGCCAATGATGCCGCCAGATGCCAAAACACGCTCAACAATGAGGCGCTCGACCCGCGCATCGACAGCCGCAAGCAAGTCGTCGAAGATGTAAACATCTGCTTTTAGGTATAGCGCCCTATACGATGTTGATACATAATCAAAACAAAACAAAGCACACGAAATAATTAGCAACAAAATACACATTTTATACGCTGCATATGTTGCATTCATGCCATGCATTTGCTGTAAATATCCAATACTTACCTCGCTAGTGCCAGTCGCACCTTTTGACCACCGGACAGGTTAATGCCTTTGTATCCAATCTCTGACAGATCACCAGCTGCAAACTGCTCGACATCCTCGGACAGGGCGCATGCTTCCAGCACCTGGTGCATCCACTTCTCGTCGTACTCGGCGCCCATGAGCACATTCTCGCGAAATGTGTCGTTCATAATGTACGGCTTCTGGCTGACGTAGCCAATTCTTCCGTACACGCGGCCATGTCCACCAACCACGGGCATCTCGCCACACAGCCCTGAAAGGAGCGATGACTTGCCGCCGCCAACACGCCCAATAATCGTGACAAACTCGCCAGCCTTGACGCACATCGTGATTGGATCCAGTGCAAACTTGTTCTCGCCCCAGCTTAATACACAGTTGTCGAGCTCCACCGCAACGCCATCCTCGGAGGTCTCTGGTACGTGTGTAATGAATACCTTTTGCTCATCATCGACAAGCGTCTGCATGAAGGCCACGCCCTTGTTGATTTTGGCAATTTCTTTTCCAACGGAAGCAATCTTTTTTGTGAATTCTGTGAGCGAGTCAATCGAACCCATTAGCAATGCGACGCCTGCATATGATACTGGTTTGCTGGACGTGCTGAAGAAAATGATAATTGTCAGCGCCGCGGAAATCTGTGAGGACGCGCACCCAATGAGGTCGACACTGTAGCTTGCCATATTCCAGGCCATTGGCGGCACATACTCCGGCAAGTCATACCACGACCTCGCACCCATGAACACCTTTTCCCAGGCATAACACTTGATTGTGCGAATGTTGTCGATTATGTTGAAGTAGTCATCTTGAAACCTGGGCACCCTGGTCGCCCTATTTAGTTGTCTCAAGTGCTCGATCTTTTGGGAAACCAAGTGGGAGAACAGTTGGTGAGTGAGGGTGATAACGACGGGAATGGTAATATGCCAGCCGATCTCTCTGTAGATGATCCACACGTTGAAGAACTGACCAAACGCTGAACTGAGGGCGCCAAGAAGAGAAGAAATGCCGAACACAATGTCTTCAATCCGACTATTAAAGGTCCACGTGCTGTTAATATTGCAATTGGACGCCATAAAAAACTCCAGCGATTTAATACGAAGAAGTGCATGCATCTTCTTCTTCAATAAATCCCGTGTGGTTGAGATATAATCACTGGCTATATGAGCGAATAACAACAGTTGCCAGATAACAAGAAGCACAGCCAAGCTCGGGAAGTCAACAGGGCCCGGGGTGCTTATGGCCGCAAGAATGCCAACAAACAGGAGTTTGCGCCAGTGAAGTGCTACATTAATAAGTGTATCAGCAACAAGCATCGTGGCAAGCCCCTTCCACTCGGCCATGATTAGCCCGCGGATGATAAAGAACCTATTTGTGCAAGAAAATAATAAAATATACTAGCGCATTTAAAAAACAATATACAGTTTAAAACATAAACTCTAGCATGTTTTTTTAAATGTTTACCTCTGTCTTGGGTCAAACACCGCTTTCTTGCTGTCCTCGCTAAATTTCTTTTCAAAGCTGCGGTTGGTGAGATCGTCAATGACAAGGTTGCGACCGCGGGAAATCTTGACAATTACAAACCCATCAAGTGCGCACACGCCCTTGAGATGGAACACAATGATGCTTTTCAACTGCGGATCCAGCGCATACCACGCAAGACAAAGGTGAATTGCCGCACTGGCTGCGGTTGTTGGCAGATACAGCAGTAGTGGCAACTGGACTAATCGGTAAAGTCTGGCCAAATGAAGACATGCGAGCGCATTGCTGCTGCTGCAGCTGGTGTTCAAATAATGGCAAAATGCCGAATACGCCGTCAGTGAGACTGTGGCAGACAAAGAGGCAGTAAGGACTACTGAGTTGATGAACGCGCTCTGGGTTACAAGTGCCACGTTGATAATGCCTAGAGCAATCAGTAGAGGTGCGGGCTTGTCTTTGCGCCTGGTAGGTTTGGCGCTAAACATTGACACAAGGCATGCCATTGACACAACAATATCAATTGCGATGCCGGCGTTTGCCGCAATGAAATCGGCTGACATTTGTTGGTAACTTGAAAATATAGTACTATAAAAAAGTTTGATTGGGTGGGTGGTGTTTTGAAATGTGCTAAAATAGGCAATTAAGCAGGATATAAAATCGGAGTAGGAAAATGAAAGAACATAAAAATGGAAGAACAGGGGGGTTAAAAGCATAATCTTTTATTTCTGTTGAAATACAAGCAGTGCGACGACAAGAAAATATTGCTTTTTCATTTTTGACATCCAGATATGTAAACATAACAATTTAGTAGCATTACAATTCACACCAAGTGTGATAGGCATATCGGCGATGGGAGACATGAGATGTTTTCTCTACTAGATCTAAAGCCGCAGTCGGATTGAGAACATTCCAAACGCAACAAATGTCTCTGTGAGAAACAAACGGCATATACGTCATTATATTGTCTTGGCATGGGAGCCCTGACACTTGCATTTTAGACAAGGTACTTATTGCTTCTCACAGTTTCTGTTTGGTTGGAATAGACGAGAGACAATTGGATTATTGCTGCAACATTACATGTGCTCATTGCATAGCACCACATAGCACCGCATTGCACAACTGTATCTACATATTATACGTTTACACATGGATTCTTCTTTTGTTTGTAAGGTATATTTTTTTTATAAAATTATATTGGCCGACATTGCAAATATTTTATGTTAGCATTCATATTTGAAGTTTATTCTGCGCAACCAATGATATAAAATATACAGCGCAGATTAAATGTCGATATGCTAATATGGCAATTCGATAATAGATTTTGTGTACTGCTGCCACAAAGTAGTCGCTCAGCTTGTAAAAAATTACTGGAAAATTAATTTTAAGAAAAAACAAGAACCAAGCAAGCTAGGGTTATATAAAAGAGCTCTACGGGTTATGCAGAGTTGCCAAGGTGCGCTTCCAATTCAGAGTCGTCCCTACCATCGGGGGTCTTCTTCTCTCCGCCGTTTTTTCGATACAGCGTGATTTCCTGCTGCTTAAAGTACCGCCGGTTTTCCTCATCAATAAGGACCAGATTCAGATAGTATCTGGTCGAAAATTTTTTGTTCACGTCTCTGTACGTCGGCGTCAGGTCAAAACCGCCGAGGAACAAGCGAATGGGGATGGTCTCGCCACGCACTGGCGCGCCATCCATAATTTCAAACTTTGTAATGGTCTCACTCTCGTTGTACTGATTGGGCGCTGCTCCCGTTGTCTCCCTGCGAATAATCGACAGCTCCATGTGCTTGATTTTGATCCGCACAAGCAAAAAGTAAATTTTGCCCACGATGACGTCTTTCAAGTGGTACTTTGACTTGTTGTACTCGAATTCAATGTGCAGGCAGTCCTCAATCCCGACCTCCATGCGGATAGAGCTGTTCACCTCTGGCGGGACGCGGTATGAGTACACCCAGAGGTCCTTGCTCTGCATAATGGCCCCGACGCGCTTAGACACGGTGGCCTGGACAAAGTACCGCAGCTTAACGTTGATTCCCTGGTAGCTCTCATACTGCTTCTCGACGTTTTTGAACTCAAAGTTGTACATTGTCGTGTTGGTGAGCTCCGCTGGCGCTGCCAGCTCCTGCACGAGAGACACAAACTCGTAGTGGTTCCCGCGGTCATAAAACATTTCAATGCTGCCAATAAATTGCACCTTGATTCCGTAGTGCTCCAGCTGTTTGCCCTCGTGTACGCGCACGACTACCTATATGAGCACCGATGCTAATTAATATGGTGCTCTGTAAAACAAAATAACACACTCTTCACCAGTCCCTTACTTCTTTTTACCACGTATTGTCCTACCTTTCCTGATATTGATTCGCCGTCAAAGTACAGCGGCGCCTTGTCGCGTTTGTCCTTGCCCACCCGGTACTCGACTTGCTGGCGCTCATCTTCACCATTTAGAATTACCGTCACGTCAGCCACGGGCCCAAAGCCAAACAGATTCTATAGAATGAAATGCAAAGACAAGAAGAGTGTGGGTTACTTAGTTCTTTTGGGCCTAGCTCGATTTGGGAATGGTACCAACGACCAGAGATGCCAAAATTCATGCCCGCCCAGGCCGCTCCCTTCGCTTAAAGTTCTTGCTACATACTGCTAAGGACATGTGAATTCAAATGCGAGTGTTTGTGCTAATAACTGTAAAAAAGAGTGAGAAAAATAGTGTACGAAATTAGACGAGCTTGAAGAAATGAAATTGCCATGGTTGGAAAAAAAGAGGCGGTCCGCTTAACACCTTCATATTGCCCACGTTTTTTTCAATGGGCTTGGATGACGTGTGATCACAAAATTTGCCATCCCATTTTTATATTTAATCCAGCTTGCACGTGAGATGAAAACAGGTGATTTATTGCTTTTGTTTTTCGATTTTTGCTTTTTTGCTTTTTTTAGTTCCACCTTCAAATTCATTTTTTTGCAAATTTTCAGTCCTGGCGTCGTCGCATTTGAGGCACATTTTACAGCGCAGAATGACCAGAGGCCTATTTATTTTATTCGAGGGCTGCGATCGCAGTGGCAAGACCACACAGAGCACGCGCCTCGTGCAGGCGCTCAACGACTCGGGCATCAAGACCAAGCTGCTAAAGTTCCCTGATCGCACCACGGCTATCGGGAAAATGATTGACGGGTACTTGACACAAAATACCAAGCTCAGCGACCAGGCCATCCACCTGATGTTTTCTGCCAACCGCTGGGAGGCCATGGAGCAGATGCAAGCCGATCTTGAAAGCGGCATAACGCTGGTCGTTGATCGGTATGCATATTCGGGTGTGGCGTTTTCGGCGGCCAAGAAGCTCGACTTTAAGTGGTGCAAGGCTCCCGATGTTGGGCTTCTGGCTCCAGACCGTGTGTTTTTTATGGATATTCACCCCGACGACGCAGCCAAGCGGGCTGGGTACGGCGAGGAGATATATGAGAGGAGGGAGTTTCAGATCGAGGTGCGCGTCAAGTTCTTCACCATGATGGACAAGGCTTGGTCAATTGTGGACGCCAACAAGGATATGGACGAGATTCACAGGCAGATTTTGTTTTTGACGAAAAAGGCCATCCAGAAGCAAGAGGAAGGCCTGGCCCCCATTGGAAGGTTGTGGGTGTAAGGGCACCACCGCCCCCAGTTGTCCTATTTTTTAAACTTGGTTCATAGGTAATATTCAACTTATAACATGCACGCAGTAATACTTTCCTCTACCTTAATTTCTGGGCATTTAGTTGCCTAGACGACGACAAGCACACTCACAAAAAGACAAATAGCAGTTACTCATCGCGCGCCGTTATATGCCTTGCATTTATGAAATTTAAAGGCTTGCATCGCAACAAGAGTGCAAAAAGATAGATGCGCAGGCGTATATGCGGGATTACTGCCGTTTGTAATTAGGCTGTCGCAACTCCAACAAATTGATTTGTCTGGTGCAGACAGCATCGCAAAAGTAACAAATTGCAAGTGTAATTGTAGACAGTTACATTGTATAAATTGAATATATTGCATCCTGGCGAAACAACAATATACCGCAGCAGCACATATTATGCGTAGATAGGTGAGTTTCCAGGTTCTGAATACTCGCAGGATTTTAAAGAAGGAATACGCAATTTGGGAGTGTTTCGATATTCCTTCTCTTTTCTCTTATTTTATTGCGTTGTTTCTTTAAATAATTAAACATTTATCTCTTATTATATTTAATTGCACTGGCACTGGCAATTATATTGGCACTAACAACTGTACATCCCTTTACATACAAAATATAACATTTTTAAATCATCGTTTCGCCATAATGAAGATATCACCAGTGTTTTTGTTGCTTTCGGCCACGCTGGCCCACGGGCACAAGGGCTACAGTTTGTATAATGCACCAGCAGCCCAGGCGACTGGCAGCTACGTGCCTCTGTTTGATTTTGAGCTGGCGCCGTACAATGTGGCACTGGAGATTATCGCTGAGGCGCTCGAGAAGCTGGCAGATACCATGGAGCCCCTCGATGTCCCGCTCCCCCTGATTGGCCCCGAATACTACCTTGAAGTGATGGTGAAGTCAACCAAAAAGACATATGCCCCGCGTCCCGATGGCCAGATCAACCCCATCAGCATTGAGGGTGGAGAGGCGCCGCTGGTCACCGAAATTGACATTATTCTTCCCGGAGAGTCCGTGGTTCATCAGACGATTGTACTTTCAGTTGATGATGGAGATAAGCCAAGAAGCACCACTGTGAGCAATGAGGAGTCTGAGAATCCAGTAACCGATATTTCTATGCCAGCACTTATTCCCTTGCCTGAACTCCAGACGGACAGCGCAGCTGGCGCCCTTCCCAATATTGAATCCACACCAGCTGCCGGTACAGAGGCATCTGAAGAGGCTTTGTCTGGCTCGACAGCCGAGTCAGCCTCTGAGGCTGAAACCAAGACTGAGACTGAGACCAAGCCCACTGCAACTGAGGCTTCGGACTCTGCTGGAATCGATTCGGATGTTGCATCGTTGCCCGATGCCACCGCTACAGATATTGCAATTGCCACTGCCACTGCCACAGAGACTGCCACAGCATTGGCCACAGTCATCGCCAATGTTACCACTGCCACCGAATCTGTCGATAACGGGGCAACAAGTGAAATTGACAGCAGCAAGTCCACTGAGGAAATCACGCTCGGTAAGTAAAAATAAGCAATATGAAGATAAAGGTACCAAAATATTATTTTGCCTAGCGTTATACTCAAAAGCAAAACATGTTTTTTGTTTGCCATGTTTTAGAGTCTCTGTCGCTTGAAGACACCATCACACCATCAAGGGCAGACACTGAGGGTGCTGGGCCAACCGAGGAGGAATCTGTGAAGGCCACTCCAAGTGAAACTGTATTTGTTATTGCCGATAACCTTACTTCGAAATCTGAATCGCCATCGGTCAACGCCACCGATTCCGTATCTGCATCCGAGGCTGAATCTGAGGCGACTTTTACTATTGAAACTGTTGCTGAAACCACTGTCGAGCCTGCATCCGAGGAGGCCACTCCTAGCGAAACTGTATTTGTTATTGCCGATGATAATACATTGGCGTCTGAATTGTCTTCAGATGTGACCAATAACAGCAGCGTCGATTATGATGGTCCTTCAACTCTAGTTGATACCACTAGCACTGAGTCTGCCGCTGCGTCTGACATTGGGTCTGCTGTCGAATCTACCGCCGAGTCTGTCACCAAGACCATTGAAGAGATCGGCGAAGAGTCTGCTGCTGGATCTGTTGCCAAGTCAACTTTGACTTCTGAGACTGCTTCCATGTTTGTGTCGCAGGAGACTGGAAATATTCCTGAAATTATTGGTGGTACTTACGAGTCATCCGTCTCTGCACAGGAAGAGTCACTCTCAAACGCCAATTCAGCGAGCACAAACGAGGAAGGAACTCTCGACACTGACGAAATTGCCGAAAAGTCATCAGGGGTTTCTCTAGCAGAGTCTGACATTGAAGAAATTTCAACCGACGTATCTCTGGAACAAGAGACCAGCTCAGCGCCTGGGTCGTTTGAACTAATAACAGTTCCCTCCAATGAATCAACTCCATCATCTGGTTACGCCGATAAATCGACCGAGACTTATGCGGAGGTAGCAAAACCGGCCTTGACTGAGGTCGATGATATCTCGCCGTCCGCTGAGGCTTTTGTTGACACCAACGAAGTGACAATGGTCAGAGACCCTCTGCCATACCCGCCGTTTGGTGGCCCCCAGCAGCAGATCCCCCCTCAGTTCGATGAGGGTGAGCTGCCAGCTGCATCGCCAACCGAAGGCGTTGCCCCCGAGCTTATTGCAGCAACCAACGGCTTGGTGCAGAGCATTGATATCATCAATGCCGATAACGAAAATATGCTCGAGTCGAGCATCGGCGCCATTCTGCATAGCGTTATCGAGGACTACAAGACGCAGTCAAACCCCAAGGCTGCCATTGGGTTTGCCATTATTCATGCAAGACGCGAGGCCACAGCTGCCGGTGACTACATTTAATTTTTTAATTAACTTTACCTCATCTTTATATTTCTAATTTTTCAGTTTAATCGTCAAATATACACCTCGTATTTTCTTACAATATGAAGAAATACAGCGATCAAGACCATTTTTGTACAAGCGCTCGCGTGCGTGCAGTTGCGTCAAGCTACAGCGAATGAAAAATACTGACATTAAAAAGAATGGATCATCATGTGCAAGGTATTTTATTGGCTGTTAGGGAACAGGAGGAAAAAAGCTTGGTTCTTGCCAGGGTGTTTTGCAGTGTTTTTTTTCTCCTTTTTCGCTTTGGGGTGGGATTTTCACGCGAAATTGAACCTTTTCTCGTTTCTATTTTCGCGCCTGTGCTCGCGTCAGAAAGCTTTTTTTTTTTTACATTTCGCATTTCGTCCTTTTGAATTCAAGTTTTCCCATTTGCACTTTTTCCTCATTCTTTTTTGTCTCATTTTCTTCTTGATACAAGCCTGTGTTAACTTTCTGACTTTGTCTTTGTTATCCAAAACCACGGAATCTCTTTCTTTAATTTTTCTTACCCGACTCTCTTCTCTTTTCTTCTCTTTGTCTTGTCTTTTTCTTTCATTCGAAAACAGTAACTTGGGCGCGGTTTTTTATATTTGTTCTTTGTCCATTTTGGCTTTACCATAGCGCAACTGCCACCAGGAGGAGCGCTCAAAGCGAGCACATTCAACACACGAGTCAGCAAATTTATCAACGACGCAGTACAGACAGGACGGGGCGAGAAGCTCTCGGATATTGTTGTTTTTTCGTTCCCACACACATACACAAATTCAAAATTAACTTGACGGGGCGGCTCAGGAAATGACCCCTGCTGATTCGCAGGTGAGAGTGAAGGTGTACCAGCTGGAGAAAAGCTCCGTTTGGGTTGACAAAGGGACCGGGTTTTGCACACTGGAGGACTGCCAGGTAAGCGTAAGCGTTCACTGCCCAACAAGCCACAATGCTTTTGAATTGCCATTCGAATCTTTTAAAGCGATGTTCTTCTAACTGCTCCTCTTCCACTTCTTTTTTCATACAATAATAGGGCGTTCTTCACCTCAATGTCGTTTCAGAGACCGAGCTCGATCGCAAGATACTGGACTGCGCAGTCCAGCGAGGAGAGGTGTACCAGCAGCAAGAAGGTAGGTTTTGCAGCTTGTCAGCTCTTTTTTGGCTGTATATGGGCGCATGTAAATTGAGTTTATGCGCGTTTACGGCCTTTTCTTTTGTGGCGAATGCAGTCTTGCATTGACTCTAATACGTTTGTACTTTCTATCAATATCCGTGTCTGCCTCTATTCGCTTTTAGCAACGCTGATTGTGTGGACCGAACCCACTGGAGAGGACATGGCGCTCAGCTTCCAGGAACAGGAGGGCTGCCTATCGATATTGTAAGTAGCTTATTTCCCCGCTCGAGAACAAGAAACGCAGATGAGGTCATTGTGCAGAGCAGCGAATGATCCCCCATCCTCCCCTTTTTCTGTTATCTATGCTGCTTGGCATTTACTAAACCTACTTTTTTATTTGTGCTGCGCATTTTCAAATTTCTCATCCATCCATGCGCTTGTAGGAACCAAATTATCGAGTTTGAAAATGTCATAGACGGTAAGCACCTTTTTCAATTCATAATCTGTTTTTTTGTCTTTTAATACCCCACTCTTTATAGTGTTTATACGATTCGTAACATACGCATGTATTCACTCAACCCATTTTACTATTGTACACACGTGTCCATAGAGCATGCAAACAGAGGGAGCAGTCCATCAGCGATGTCAAACGATTACATTCTTCCGCAGCCAACCATGTCGGCGCTAGGCGAGATTGAGCATATAATTGCGGAGGCCAGCCATTCAATTTTTTTACGCGACAAGGTAGTGTCACATATCGTCAACACGAACTATTTAGAGCAGCTGTTTGCGCTCCACGAGGCGTGCGAAGACTTGGATGCCACAGAGGAGTTACACCAATTATACAACATCATGCGGCAGGCAATCTTGCTGAACGACTCGCTGATATTCGAGTCCATCATCAAGGATGAACACATCATCGGGGTGGTCAGTTTGCTAGAGCACGATCCGCAGCAACATGTGGAGCGCGGCACATTCCGCAATTTCTTGCGCGGCAACGCGCGGTACAAAGAGGTTGTACCAATCGACGACGTGGAAATGGAAAGCAAGATCCACCAGACGTTCCGGCTGCAGTACCTGAAGGACGTTGTTTTACCACGCATCCTGGATGATGGCACGCTGCCGATAATAAACGCTCTAATTTACTTCAACCACGCACAGATCGCCAATTACTTGCAGCACAACGAGCGGCTTCTCAAGGACCTCTTTGGCTTGCTGCACAAGTCAGAGGACGCGGAGAAGAAGAGGGACGTGGTATATTTTGTGCGACAATTCTGCTCGCTGGCGAGGAGTCTGCCTGTGTCGTACCGGATAGGGCTGTATCGGACGCTGGGCCAATACGGGATGTTTGCTGTTTTTGAATATGCGCTTTCGGCGGACAATGACATGGAGCTGCAGGCAGCGGGTGCAGATGTGATCCTGTCGGCATTGGAGCAAGACCGTGCGTTAGTGAGGTCGTATGCGATGGAGCAGTCCCGGCAGCAGCACGACAACCCAAACTTCATTGACTTGGTCATTCAGGGTATACAGAGGCATATCGGAAGCGAGGTTCAAATCCATTGTTGTGAGATTATGCGTATTATCCTTGATGTCACCCAACCACCACTGCCACAACAGCACCAACAACAACCACCAACACAAGACGCGTTAGATGTGTCCTTGACATCTGGCGACCGCCCCGGCAGAGATGCATGCGAGAGCAGCATGGATGATTTTATTGCCATGTTCTACGGCGCCTTCGCACACAGCACTATGGAACCGCTTCTGGCGCTGACTGTGAAATCAGTGCAGGGTATTGGATCCAAGGACAAATGCATCCCACTCCTCTTATTTCTCTGTGAGACGCTCTCAACGTGCGTCCGGTTTCACGGCTACCGTGCTCGCAGCTTTGTGTTTGCCTCAGACGTGGCCAAGAATGTGGTACTTTTGCTCGATGCCAAGCCCAACTATCTCAAGCTGGCAGCTTTGCGATTCATCCGAGTCTGTGTGGGGATCCAGGACGACTCATACAACAAGTACCTGGTGGGCCACCGGTTGTTTGACCCCGTCATCGAGCTCTTTCTCCGGGTGCACTCGCGCGATAACCTGATATCGTCAGCCTGCCGCGAGCTGTTCAAGTTTATAGCTATAAACCGCATTGCTTTACTGCTTTCGCATTTGACCAATGTTCACTCAAAGACGCTGGGCCCCGCAAGAGAAACGCTAGAGATGCTACGCCAAGCGTACGTGGAGCATCTGGCGGAAGTGGAGCGCATTAAGAGTGGTGGGTCAGAGCCGTCCACGCCGATAATCATTTCCGGCGGGAGGAGAAAGAGTGCAGTGTCGATAAACAGTTTAACAGACAGAGAATTACAGCGCGTGCAGGGTAACAACGGCGCGGCTGGCCACGACATCGGCCCCGAACAGTGGGTGGGAGGCTCAGCAGCGGATGAGATGGAGGACGCGTACCTCGAGGCCTCGGACCTGGACGATTCTATTGACGTTGTAGACTCGCAATCACCAGAGCTCAAGGGCTTACAGGACTGCCTTGTTCTATATTCTGACGCTACAACAGAAGCTATTAAAGTGGCTGATACTACCAGTGCAGATAATCCCGCGGTATCCCAGCCACGCACACCCGACGCTTCGCCTCCGCCGTTGCTCAAGAAGTTCAGTTCGACCGACGGCAATCTTCTCGACGCGTCGCGCAATAACAGCGCCGTTCTGACAATTGCTGATGCATTCCCCGACAGCAAGCCTGTCGCAGGCAGGCGGCGACTGATGGGGACAAAGCGCGCAGTCATTGGAGGCATGCACAAGGGCTCGCTATTCAGGAATTCCAATGGGAGCGCGACATCGTCTTCTGAAATTGGATCGGCGGCGGCAGCGATGCCGCCTCTGGGAAAGCGGGGGCGCACAATGGCGAGCGGGATAGTGCATATGGAGCAGAATGCAAGGTTGGTCTCGCTATCTAATGATGGTCAGGGATCACAGACTACCCGTGCAAGCTGCAGTAATGATGGCGTGCGCTTGCAGGGCTCTAAGGCTCTCTCATCGCCCAATGGTGCTGTGGGAATGGTAGGCGGCAGTACTGGGCCATCTGATAACCCGTCGCCGCCAAAAAAGGCCAAAACTGCATCGCTGTAGTTTTAAAATTTTGATTGTATGCTTTTCGCCTCATGTCGCCTCATGTATAAAATAGATAGTATAAGGCATTTTAATAGTTATTACATTTTATGAATCGAACCCCCGATAGATAGCATGTCAGTAAGGCCGTGTATGGTTAGTATTGAAAGGCCAGTTGTTTATGCTTTGGCAATGGAGAGAAAATATATACATTGAGCGAGATATAAAACAAGTAAAAAACAAACAAAAATTGATGAATAAGACCGGATGTCTACCACGACACTTTGCCCTTCATGGGCTCTATTGCAGACCTGACTTCATGCCCTTATAATAAAAATTATTATCGGGGCGGCATGGTTGGGAATTATCTAGACCTGGATTAAATTGCCTGGCGGCGGAAGTGCCCGCCAGGGTGGTAGTAAAAATCTTAAACCCCAACACTCGACTTGCCTGCTAGAGCGTTAATCATGGCCAGATAGTTAGGGTGTATATCTGCTGTCCTCATTACTATTTGTCTGCGGCCACTTTGGCAGGTCGTCAGCTTTGCCTTGTCGCGGATTTAGTAGTCGGGATGCTTGTTGAGACTGTTATTTTTACTTTTGGAATGAAGTATTTTCCTCCTTACAAATTTAAACAAGATTCAACAAATATTTGAATTCGAGTCTGTCAATTTTGACTTGTTGCAGACCTGTTACCATTAAAGATCAATTGCTATTTATAAATACATGCCAATCAATAACCAATAATAAAACGCTCGCGTGGAAAAGTCTTTGAATAAAAAGGTATTGTGAAAAGTCAAAATAAAATATAAATTGTTGTGAATTCACGTAAATTTATTTACAGGTAGTTGAATTCACAAAAATAATAATTAAAATAGTTATTCAAGCTACTCGGTACATACAATTTATTAGTCGACGCTCATCTTTCATTAATTTTTTGTTTATAATGCGTCAATTCCCTCCTAAAGTTTTTTTATACTTTTTTTTAGTTTTCTATTTTTTTTTTGCTTGTTTCCAATTTTTTTTAGCATTTGCATATACCTTAACATCGTAATCATGATCCGCGTACCATATGAAACTGTCATTAAAATAAAAGGTCATAGGCCTAAAGCGCTTTTGGGTATTAAGGATACATGGAAATGCCCAGAAGTTTACACATTTACAAGCCATTTAATTGCAAATGAAATAAATACCACTTCGGATTATTGCGGTGTGAAAAGCTTATTCGTTAGATATGGAGAATCGACCTTGAATACAGAATTAAAAATTCCTCTTGATGAAAAGGTAAACTTTGCCACTCTTTTCCCAAATAATAAAGGTACTCTACTTATAGTGCCAAAAAAGAAAGACAAATTTGGACAAGAAATTACTTTTGAAGTTGATTTCAAGCTTAAAGAATAACCAAGTACTGTGAATTACAAATGTTGTAAATAAATATAAGTCAATGGCAGAAAATAAAACAGTTTTAAGTATCATGCATCTGTTGTGAATTGTCAGTGTGCATCATGCCGGTTTATTGTGTACTGGTTACACTTTTATCTGGGATAGCAAGTGTCAAGCTGAAAATAGCACTAAGCACTAGGCCACAATGCAAAGCTAGCTTTTAGGTATATATTTTTAATATGTTTATTTATAAATAGAGCATTCGTATAATATTTAATATTTAATGATAGGTAGTATTATCGCTGGTACTTTTACCTTATAGCCAAGCAAATTGCCCATTGTCGAATTGCACATCATCAGACAACCTCAGCTTATACAGCATTTGTCCTCGTGCGCAATAAATTTGTAGTAGTTGTCAAAGGGTCGTTTGCAAAACACGCATACAAACACTAAAAGCTTCTTAATGTGTTCGCCATTGACTGGAGGGTCATTCATTGTTGGCAGATAATATAAAAGTAATGCAAATTTGAAAGGGTAAATATACACCGCAAAAAAATTGGAAATGAAATGAAATGAGAAGTAAAAGATATGAAAAAAACACATATCCAAACATGAATTTAAATGCCAATATATAAATTGACGACCTCATTTACATATTTTTTATCAATGTGCCAGCTGGTCAACAAAAATCATTGTTTTGTTTGTTTTATTTTGTTTGTGTCATGCATATATTGGAAGGATGATATGTCATGTGGATGTTATCTGGGTACATCTGCATGTGAGGTACCAATAACTATAAACAGCTTGCTTGCTTGAATGTTGTTTGTCCATATTGGCTGATAGCGCACCCATTACAACCCTCGTTTTTAAATGCTATTAAGCACCGGTGATCGATTAACTTTGTGCAGCAAAGTAATAATGCAATATAGCACGTGAGATTGATAAGCACACAACCATAGCCACCTTTCAGTAAAAGTTACAATCAAATAAAATAATTTGCTGGGCCCGATGTAATATAAAATACACCTTTACTGCTTTTTTCTTTGGACGTATTGATCTTTTACATACCAATTATATTTTTTTTAAAAAATAATGGTACGACTCGTAAGCTCCATTCTGGGTATTACACCCAAACAACCCGATGTTTACAATTGACACTGAATCAAAATACTGAATACACCATACTTTTAATATTTCTTTGGAATACATAGTCGGCCTTGTTTAATTTTCAGTCGCTAATGCTAGTAGTGCTGCTCACGATCTGCACATGCACGTACGTGCGTGCACAAGCACCGGCGCTGATAGACCGCAATAAGGCGGGTGTCATGGGCCTGTTCTGGAAGAGCGCTAGGATAGGTACTGATCGCTCGATAAAATAAAATCCAGAATCGTGTTGCAAAAAACATTGTATTAGCTAATTTGTTTTTTTTTATTCTATTTGCATTTTTTGGATTTGTCTTGTAGGAGAGCGTCTAAGCCCGTATGTGTCACTGGCCTGCGTTGTCATGGCGTTCCAACTCATCATGTACTAATTTTTTTATTTAATAAAAGTTCTTTTATTCTCCAGGTAATAAATGAATATATAAATGATCTATTCGCGTGTTTAATCAAAATTGTCTATATGTGGAAATGCATAATCTACAGGCCGTTCTTTTCTGCCTGAACCAGTTCATCAGCCACAGCGTGAACCATCTTTTCCAAATCTTCAGCGGCAGCCCCACGGTTATTATCGACATTTCTGACCTCCAAATAATACTTGAGCTTGGGCTCAGTCCCCGACGTGCGCATGGTCAGACGGCCGCCATTGCGGGTCCCAAAGGTAATCATGTGCGACCCAGAAGAAACGGGGAATGTAGGCACATACTGCGCTTCAGCAACAACCATCCGGTGCTCATTCTGATCAACATCGCGCATCTCAAAGCCAGTGGTCAGGTCGCGGATATAGCTCACAGCAAAGCCACCAATGGTCCTCGGGTACCGCAGCACGTCGCCGCAGTGCGCGCGCACAAACTCTGTCCTGTCGTTCGCCTCTGTGCCAGCAGTGTCGCCATTGCAGTCGCCAAAGCGGATACGCGAGAATATTTTTGTGGTTTTTGCAGGGTCAGGGCTAATAAAGTACGAGTTGGCCAAGACAAAGTATCCATACTTGGAGTACTGCTCCTCGAGGTAGTCACCAACCAATCTTCCCTGCGAGCGCAGCTTGGCAGCAAGCTGCAGGAAGACGGCCAAGGCGGTAACACCGTCCTTGTCCAGCACCTGGTCCCCAAGCATATATCCAATGGCCTCCTCATAGCCAAAGCCCACATGACAGCCCCTCTCTTTCTGCATGTCTGCCAGCTCATTGGCAATCCACTTGAACCCTGTCAGCGTGTCGGCGTAACAGAACCCCTCCTTTTGCGCCATGGCCTCAAGCATCCGCGACGAGACCGTGCTGTTGGCCATGGCAATGTGCTCAGTGGCAATGCCCTCCTTCCGCATACTCTCGAGCGTCGCTGCAGCAAAGATGGTACCCAGCTGGTCACCGGTGAACGCTAGCCAGGAGCCGTCGGCCTGCTTCTCAGCGGCAGCAAAGCGGTCAGCGTCGGGGTCGTTGGCGACAACTAGGCCGACGCCCACCTTGTCAGCCAATGTCTTGGCCATATCCAGCGCGCCCCTCTCCTCAGGATTTGGGAACGCAACGGTAGAAAATTCTGGATCCGGGCGGATCTGCTCCACAACAGGGATGAATGGCGGCAACCCAAAGGCACCCAGCACGCGCTCGACAAAGAGCGCGCCAACACCGTGCATAGGCGTGTACACGTACTGCAGATCTGTGCAGCAGTTCAGCTCCGAGCTCTGCACCATGGTGCGTGCAGCCTCAACATACGCGCCAATCATATCCTCAGTGACGTCCACAATATTCTCATGCGACGCCACGCTTTGTGCGTCCCAGTTCACAGGGACGTCATGCTCCTTGATGCACCGCGCAATTCCAGAGTCCAGCGGCGGCTTGATCTGCGCGCCGTTCTCCCAGTACACCTTGTACCCGTTGTCGTCCTTGGGGTTATGCGACGCCGTGATCATCACGCCGCACGCAGCGCCCAGTCGCTTGACGGCAAATGGCACGGCCGGCGTGAAGCTCAGCCCCGGGTAAAAGTACACCTTGAAGCCACGGTCGAGGAACGCGCGCGCTGTCAGCCTTGCAAAAGTATCGGAGTTGTGCCGGTGGTCATGGCCGATAACTACGCCTCGGCTGTGCGCCCGGTCCACTTGCCGCTCGACATACGCTGCAAGGCCCTGCGATGCGGTTATTATTGTCAACTGGTTGAGTCGCGAGTAACCAGCTTCCATGCGCGCGCGCAGGCCGGCCGTGCCAAACTCCACGGGATGTCGCAGGAGCGCTTCGAGCTTTGCTTCGTCCTTGGCGGCGACGAGGGACTTGATTTGCGCGCGGGTCCGGGGATCCTACCAAAGACAGAATGTCGGACAATAGGCAGGTCAAGACATTAAAAAAAGTGTTTTTATGTGATTTGCTGTTGTTTTGTTCTGCAGACTATTTTCCACAGTGTATTAGCTTATTGTTTTCTCTCTCTTCCTTAGTTACCTTGTCTTCGGAAAACCAGCGTTTGGCGAGCTGGTAAATTGGGGTTTGCGTCATGTCTGGCATTTGAAATTCAATGTATGAATAATGAAGATAAAAATATTGCTTGGATGAAGTTATAAAAAGTGAAGGAAAAATAAGAGTGAACAAAACACAGCAAGCCATCAAAACCTAAATTACATTTTCAGTTTACTAAAGCGCCGTTGATCACATTCTCAAGCCTCAGTGAGGGGAAGAAAGATGGGCGCCACCACAAACCTCTACGTCATAGATTTTAAATCGAACTGAAAACTGAAAGCTGAAAGCTGAAAATTAAATATGACATGTAAATTTTAAAATACAATTAAAGCGGAAAATAAACCAAAACCAAAGACAAAAGACCTCGCGTTTAGTCGCTGGCAACAAGGCTAAAGTGCTGACGAAGCATCTTAGCAAGAACAGCCAGCAGATCAAGGATATTGTGCAAAACAACATAGTACTTGAGCGGGGATGTGTCGATGTGCCGCCTGACCATCATCTCCATCCTGCCGCTGGGACCCATGACAAACAACACTTGCTGCGTGTTCATGATAGAGTTCTTTTCAGGATTCATCGTCTCAGCCGCTGCCGACGTGGCAGTGGCCGAGCGATCAAGCAAAATGGAAACGGCCATGATGCCCATATCCATAGCAGTGCGTACCTGGCGTAGAAGGCGTGGGTGATTCTGGCATACGCCGTCGAAAATGACAAGCTGCAGGTTCCAGAGATCGGCCGGGTTGCCCGAGCCCGGATGCGCTGGGATGTCAAAGAGCTGCAGGGACGCATCCATCAGCTGCACGGCGTCGGTCTTGTCGTTGTCAAAACTGAAGCGGCTGAGCACGCGCGCGCCAGCATCGCTGTCAAATGGGCTGCCAAAGGGGTGCAGCAAGCTGACCTGGTTGTCAAAAGGAAACGACCTCCAACTAGCCGACCTCCAACTGGTTCAGCGCGGTGGTCACCAGCACCAAAGGCTTGTAGGCCAGCTTGACAGCATGTGTGGACTGCGCCATATACTTAGAGTTGTTGACGGACACCATCACCTGGTACTCGCGCCTGGTGGTGTTTGTGTGGCATAGTAAGATATTGCCCTTGCAGAACTCGGACGCAATGTAAGGGATGATGCGCCTCATGTTGAGGCGTTTACCTGTGCAGTAGTTGTCGCGCAGCTGTGTCTCCTGGATGGGCGTCAGGATTAGCCGTAGTTGCTCGGTCAGAATCAGGGACAGGTCGTGCGTCAGTTGCGTGTAAGACTGCCATAGCTGCATCGCCTGCTCGCTATCCTGGTTGTTGGTGTGCCACTCGGTCGTGCAATGCTCGAGATCTTTGCGAAGCTGATCCAGGTCGACCAGCAACCCATCCTCTGCCGTGGGTGCATTGTCCGTATTTATCGACTTGTGCTCCTCAGTATTCCCTGTCGCCATGGACTGCTGCATTTGCGCCGCCTCGGCTGCATTCTCACTGTCAGTCTAAGCATAAGGCAGCTGTTGCAGGGTTGTATGCACCATAGCCGGATTAGCCGCCAAACTGGCTGCCGCTGCGTCCTTGTCCTCGTCGGCAGCGGCGTCCTGCATCTCAGAGTCTTTGTCCTGGTGCTGATCGGCCTCGAGCTTTTTTTGTCAATCTGCGCTCACGCTTGGACATGGTGTCATTGAGCAAGCTACATTATTCAAATATTCTTGGGAGATATAGCAATTGAGGAACTGATTATCGATACACAATAACAAAAATACGAGTAAAAATTGACACCTGATAAGCAAGCAACTATAATTTGATGTGCCGGACAATAACGTCCACACTTCGCCCAGAGAAAATGTATTCATAGATCCATTTGCTTATTTGACAAAGTCCTGTCCTGTGATAAACAACTGCCGGTTATAACCGACATGATATGTGGATAAATCAATCCGTGCGCTGCCTGCTTGGATGAGTAGCTGCAGAAGATGGTGCCTCCTTGGCTTTACGCCTGGCCGCTGCTGCTGAGTCTCTGCCAAATGATCACATGGAATTTCCTACCTTTTAACAAAATTTAAAGTGTGTAAACAAAGGTTTTCTCAATGGTTGGGGGTTTGTTACAGTATAATTGACGAATCGGTGCACCAACGGATGACAATAGGCTGAGTGACCAAAGAAAATAGAACAATTGTTTTTTGGCGCCACGCATCGCGAGCGCTACATTCAAAAACAAAAATACCAAAACCAAACAAAAAAATGGCAGAATTGGAAGCAGGTGTAGAAAAAGATTTATTTTGTTGCTCTACAACATATATTGTCAATATCTAATATCTACATTTTATTTACTACGCTATAACTACAAAAAAATATGCGGCACAACAGCCCGGCCACTCAACTCGCGCTTGTAGCAACAACACTATTGCTAACTACAGCCATCCGCTGCCTCCTCAACAACTACCTCCTTCAAATCACTCCAGCCAACACCAACCTTACCTACACGCAAAACCTCACCACCGGCATCCTGACTAGCCTTTCCTCAATCATTGCCATTCCACTCACAAACCTCGTCGGCCCCCGGCCCATCTTCCTTTTCTACACGCTCACAAACACCCTTTACGCAGGATCCATCATTATATTATACCAATACAACACCCACATATACTATAAAATTGCAAACATCCTAAACATCATGGGCAATGAATTTGCCCGCGTCGTAACTTTTGGTTTGGTGCTAGCTTATCCTGCGGAGAAGTGGAAGGCAAGGACACTGGTCGGGTTTCTTATCCTGGAGTACTTCTCGGTTACTGTGGGAGACATAATCATCATCAGAAACATTGAAACATCAGAGTTTGAGAGATTTCACGCCGCCATATCCTTTTTGTGCATCACGAGCCTGGCGCCCCTGCCGGTATTGGCAATGAGGCCATCATCAGGCAGCGTGGTGCGCAGTAATGGCGTGCACCTGGTGACCCGCAAAACCACTGCCTGGCGGGAAGTAGCCCAGACCCTTGGAATATTCACTAACCGGTATATGCTGCTCTTGCTGCCCTATATGTTCTCATACCTGTTTCTTTTTGGCTGTACTAATGTGTGGTTTCCAAGTATCCTTGCGTTTGTGTTATATGATGTCGGTAAGCTGTTTATTATTGTGTTGGGACAGATGCTAGACATACAGTGGGCCGGCCGCCGCACCTGCGGGCTCTTCGGCCTATCCATCCTCGTGTTTTTTTGCGTTTCAATTGGGATATCCGCAGCCTTGCGTATTCTCAAATACAATTTGACCGGACTCAATCCTCTGTGGCCACAGGAAATTCAAGCACAGTTTATCATGGATGCAGTCCTGTCCCAGCAGTACAATGCACTAATGTGTTCGTATTTTTTTGCCGGCGCTACTTCCAGCTTTATTGAGTTGTTTGGGTACTGGGTCATGGGCACATTGACGAATGACTTGAGGGCGAGTGCATGGTTTGTCAGAATTTATCATTGCTTTATGGCGCTGGGCGGGGCGTTGGGATTTTGGCTGCCGCATATTACTAGGCGTGGGGGGTTTACTTCGAATGTGCCAATGTTTGTTGCTAGTGGGCTGACCGTGGTGTCGTTTATCGGTGTTGGGCTTGTGGTTGGGAGGATTGCGGAGACAAATGATTGGACTTTGGACAGGATTAATGAGCAGGCTACAGTGTATCTGGAGGATACTGGTGGTGAGGTGTGCTTAGATCCGGTTGTTATTGTACCAGATGTCAAGTATCACCATAATGAGTCCCATCAATCGTAATTTAAATGTGTATATTAAATATAGCTTTTTCTCCTACGCATTTTCTCTTTTTTTCTTTTTATCTTTTTATCTTTTTATCTTTTTATCTTTTTCCTTTTTTCCCTTTTTCCCTTTTTCCCTTTTTCCCTTTTTTTCTTTTTCTTTTTTTCTTCTCTATATACTCCTTTATTTACTCTTACGAATTCAGCCAAATTGTTAGAATTCAAACGAACATGTGAAATAAATGTTAATAACTACACGCCTATTCCATTATTCTTTCAAAATATATATTCTAGAATATTTTAATCAATTTGTCAGAATACAAAATAAACAAAAAAGGGATGCAAAAATGCAAAGACGTTAATTGAACACATGTATAAATACACACAGCCCGCTCATCGCCTCTATTCAATTGTTTCATGCTTTTTATTATTGAATATTATTAAATATATTTTTCTTCTCCTTTTACATTTATTTAAATGGCTGTAATAAAGGATCCGCAAATACCACGGCCCAAAATTAGGCCTAGAACGCAGGTTGAGGTTGGCAGGATTAAAGCACAACCTATCAATGGTATAATCAAGCCTGATCATTCCTGGAATTGCGAGAAAGTTTACAAGGAGATCTACAAGTATGTTTACACTACAATGGCAAAAAAAGAAAAAAATAAAGAAAAAATACAGGCAGCTATTAAATCCAGCAACATCGATGCCATGTATATGTGTGATATGAAGGAACATCGTGTGGACGTCCACGAAGACAAACATACTATATTTTATGATTTAGTGTCTAATATAAAAAGTGGAAACTTTTTTATTGATCTTGCTAACAATGAGTATCCGAATTTGCCAATATACAAGATTAAATATATAATTACAAGTCAAAATAACAGTGCTAAGAAAGCTGAGAAATATGAGAAAACCAAGGGAAATAGAAATTCTATGAAGTATAAAAATAGTAAAATGAGCAATATGTTTATGACTGCAATTGAAGTAAATGGGAATGATGATAATTAGATTGAGCTAATACCAACAACCAAATAAAATAATAATGGATTAATTATTGAATTAGATTTGATTTTAAACTTAATGGTGCAATGGCGTGTATTTAATACTAGATTTATAAATATTTTAATTGTCATACCTCTAAAAAGTTAAATATATTACATCTTACCGCCTTTTACTTTTTGCCACGCGACACCAACAATGTTAAAGTCAGAGTTTATTAAGGCCGCAGCAACAGAAACAGCATATTAATGCTTAGCTTTAAATCCATACTTTTCAAATAACAAATATATTGGATAGAGCTAGTTTTGTAGCCATTAACAAGTGCTATGATACAAAAGCAGCTATAAATATACTTTTTTTAAGCTAACAGCAAGAACAGACCGCGAGTAACATGTGCACTAGTAAAAAACAGAGCATAAAATTTGTTCGGGACTGTGCTCGTGTGCACGCCTCACAATCAGAAGGCCAAAAACCATATGCAATCGCGTGTAGGGAAGCGAAGAGAAGAAAAAAGCGTTTATTTGGTGGGGGCAGTTGAAACACTTTTTTACTTGCTTAAATTTTTAAATTGTTTGTCCTTTTTCCTTTTCCTCGTGTTTTGCAAATTTCTGCACTCTAATTTTTCACAATCAACTTACAATGTCCTCTTATATTCAGCAGCACTTGCTCGACACATGGGAATTGCAAAATTCAATAATAATATCACAGTTTATTTTGTCCTTTTCTGAACAAAATGGCGCAACAGGCGACAGAAGAACAGCGACCATCAACGACCTGCGGCAATTGCGGGAGGAGCTGGAGCAGCTTTCCGCAAAAGCAGGTCTGCGCGCATCACAGCTGGACAACAAGCGCAGTTTTCATGCTGAAAGCAAGGATGCAGTGGCGGTCAGTGCTGGGCGAGTGATAGAGGCTCTGCAACCGTCCACACGGGCACCGGGTGCTGGCTCAGCTAACTCGGAATCGACACAAAGCTCGCTCGATAACACAAATACACCCAATACAGACCACCCAGCGAATAAGAGAGTTAAGGTTATTCATGGCATGGGGTCAAGAGTGGCTGTCGTGTCGGACAGTGATTATTTGGCTGCTGCTGCTGCTGCCCCTGGCCACACTAACGGAAGCAACAGCTGCAGCATCAGCAGCAGCAATGTGGACAGCAGCGGGAAATACTTCCAAGCAGCAAACCCAGTTGAAAGCATATCAGTCACAATGTCAGTCACGGCAGCTTCATCAGGGTTGCCAAAGGCGCGACACAGCATGGGTACGCCAGTGCAGGACGATTTCTCGCGGGTGAAGGTGACCAACCAAGTGCAAATCCAGACATTCATGGCGTCGCTCGAGCCTTACTTCCGCACGATCAGTGACGAGGACATTGCGTTTCTCGAGAACTTGCGCGACCCACAGGAGTCGTACGTGGTGCCACGACTGGGCAAGTTTTATGCGCAAACCTGGGCCGAGGAAGAAGTGGCGCACTTCCCAGACCATATGCACGGGAAGACGCGTTTCACAGCCAAACATCTGTTGGACTCGGATTCTCGCGGCCGTGCACCTCTGCCGACCACGTCGTTTCTTGGTGCTGACTTGGTCGACTCGGATCTGACTCTCAACTTGGCGCGCCTGGCCCCACTGACCGAGCGGATTATATCAGCGCTGGTTGCCGAGCGGCTCGTGCAGCAGCTGCCTGAGAACGTGGGATCCTCGGACAGCGAGTCCGATGGGGAGGCAGGTGCGCGGCAGACTCCCCTGAGCGGTGACGCGACGTCGCTCGAGGACAGGCTCAAGCGAGAGCTACGGTACATAGGCATTCTGGATGATGGCGATGTTGACTGGGACGCGCGGCAGGACGATGAGGTGAGTGCAACGTTGCGCTCGCTGCAACGGCAGCTTCACGATCAGGTGGCAGTCAACATGCGACGCAAGGAGCGGTTGCTGCCCGTGGCGCGGGAGCACATTGGGTTCCAGGAGTACACGCAGGTCATTGATGAGCTGGATAAGCAGGTCGAACAGAGCTATTTGAAACGGCATCGCCTGACAAAATCGCGCAAGCGCAAGTCAGCGCCAACCAAGACCGTCGCACTGTCGGACAATGCGCTTAATGCCATGGACCGACGCCGCCGCGTCATCAATGCCATAGGGCACCTGTTCCCGGCAGAAAAGTTTGCGCTTCCCGCGTGCTCGGTCTTTGAGGGCATCCAGCCCAACCCTGAAATTGACATGAAGTAAAATAATTGATTTTATACTATTCATATTGAGCAGCCAACACGTGCTCACACTCGCTGGACTTGATGATCTTTTGTACTAAGTGTCGGTCGCCTTCGCCCAGAAACAGCACTGCCAGCGCAAACCGCTCAACCCGCGGAAGCGCACCTAGCAGAGTAGCTCCGAACGTTTCATCATTGCACTCGCTCTGAGCATACTCCGCGGCGGCGGCAATTTGGGCGATGTGCCACGACTCCAGCGATGCGCGGAACAGCATTGGGAGCTCTTCAGCTGATATATGTCTCAGATACTCGTACAAAAGCTCTGGGTGTGCGCCATACTCCCGCCACGCGCGCTCGAACACCAGCGAATTTCTTGGCTGATCCATGCCTGCCTTCACAACCTTCTTGACAGTCTCGAGTTCACGGGCCAGAGTCTTGTTTGTTGGTTCTACAAGCAACGCCACCTGTAGGTCATGCTCTGCTTTTAAATGCTCGCCCAGACGTGCATAGGCGATACCTCGTCTCCCGAGTGCCTTGACGTTGCGCGTATCTAATGCCAGCGCATTGGTGCAGCTCACGATGGCTTCGCGGTATTTCTGCTGTTTGAGCTCAGCCTGTGCGCAATTTGTGTACAGTGTCGGACTTACGTCGTGGTCGGTGCCGATGGCTTGTGTGTAGAATTCGGTGGCGAGTGCATAGTTTCCTTGTCGGAAGGCTGTATCGCCGCGTTGCTTGAGTGCGCTCGCAGTTTTTGTAATGTCCATTCTTATTTAGTTTCAGTTCCAGTTTTTTTAACTTTCGAAATTTAACGTTTATTTGGAGAAACAAGAAAAAAGCAACGGCGAGAAGCGTGGTGAGGAGGCTGCAAATGTAACTTTGCCTTTGGTGGCGCGTCGTGCTTTCTATTCTCACATTTTTTAATCATCACCGCCGTTTTGATCTTCAATCATTGATCAAGCCGGATTATACGCTGTAACAAATTTCTAACGTGTGGAGTAGTGTTGGCGATAAGTGTTAACAGACTGTTAATGCACTACCTTTTTAACGAAATTTAAAGTGTGTAAACACAATCTTCAGAGGTAGGGAATTCCATGTGATCATTTGGCAGAGACTCAGCAGCAGCGGCCGGGCGTAAAGCCAAGGAGGCACCATCTTCTGCAGCTACTCATCCAAGCAGGCAGCGCATGGATTGATTTATCCACATATCATGTCGGTTATACCCGGCAGTTGTTTATCACAGGACAGGACTTTGTCAAATAAGCAAATGGATCTATGAATACATTTTCTCTGGGCGAAGTGTGGACGTTATTGTCCAGCACATCAAATTATAGTTGCTTGCTTATCAGGTGTCAATTTTTACTCGTATTTTTGTTATTGTGTATGTGTTGTTTTGGATGGATTCAATATATTAATGTGAAAGTGTCAGGAAAGAGCCAACATTCAGACTTGCCAGTGTGCTTCATCGGAAGTGCGGCCGCTAGTTTAGTTTGCGACAAAGTTGACTGTGATCCGCTAATCCGCATACATGATGTGATCAGGGATTAACTCTGGGTCAGTGTTTACTTTTATTCAAGTGAGCGAGCTTAAAATACAAACAATAAAATTCGGTTTTTTTATTTTTTCCTTTTTCCTTTCGTTTGGTCCGCTAAATTTTATTTTGTTTGTTTGTTTATCATTCCACAGTTATCATGTCAACACACGCCAGCAGCGACGAGACAGACCATATCGAGACCCTAGCTTACTCAGCCCTTGGCGCCGGGGCAGGACTCCCACTGACCAACCTGTCCTCTTTCCCCACGCCACACACTTATACCCAGACGCCCACTGCGCCCGAGCCCGAGAAAAGTAGGCAGCGCTTGATCATCACCCAGATGGTTTTGGAGAACTTCAAGTCTTACGCTGGACGCCAGGTCATCGGCCCATTCCACAGGGTAAGATAAACAACAACACGCGAACGGCATTCGCAATCGCTAGTTGCCAATTGCAAATATTTTGCTGACAACAAACATGTAAAGGTGTAGTGTTGAATTAATATTATGTTTATTCTTGCTAATTGCACACCTATTAGTCGTTCTCGGCTATCGTTGGACCCAATGGTTCAGGCAAGTCAAACGTCATCGACGCCCTGTTGTTTGTGTTTGGCTACCGTGCCAACAAAATCCGCCAAGGAAAGCTGTCCGAGCTTATCCACAACTCAAAGAACACGAACAACCTGACACACTGCTCGGTCGAAGTACACTTCATGGAGGTCATTGACAGCCCCGACGGCACCACGTCCGAGGACGTCCCCGGAAGCAAACTCATTGTCGGCCGCACAGCGGGACAGAACAACCAGAGCAAGTACTTGCTCAACGGCACCCTCAGTAGCTACACCGAGGTCACCACACTGCTGCGGAACAAGGGCATTGACCTGGACCACAAGCGCTTTTTGATTCTGCAAGGCGAGGTGGAGAACATTTCGCAGATGAAGCCCATGGGCCAGAACGACAACGAAGTTGGTCTGCTCGAGTACTTAGAGGATATTATCGGGACGTCCATGTATAAGGGCCGGATTGAGGAGGCCCGGAAGACTGTCGACAACCTCAACTCGTCCAGATCCGAGCGGCTGCACCGCGTCAAGATTGTCGAGAAGGAGAAGAACGGGCTGGAGGATAAAAAGAACGAGGCTGTGAGCTTCATTAAAACTGAGAATGAGCTCACGCGGCAAAAGTCTTCGCTCTTCCAAAAGCGCCTTCATGAGTGCAAGACAAAGGCAGAGATGTTGCAGGGCAAGTTTGAGAAGGCCCAAGCACAGTACGAGTCTGAGAAGCGTCGCCACGCCGAGTTCCGCAACGAGACAAAGACTTTGGAGGAGAACCGCGACTTAGCCAACAAGGAGTGCCAGGTGCTGGAGAAGCGCGCCAAGGATGTCACCAGCGAGCTGTCCAAGTTTGAGCGCGAAGAGGTGCAGCTGCAGGTTAACCGCAAGCATATTAAGGGGAAACTCAAGAAGATCAGGGACTCGGGTGACAAGGACTCGCACACGACTGCGCAGATGAAGACCATGCTGGCCACACTGGAGCAGGACATATCTAATGGGAAGAAGGAGATTGAGGATCTTGAGCAACGAGTGACCAGCGAGCGCGCTACGCTCGAGGAGATCAGTGAGGGGCTGCGTGGAAAGACTGACGGGTTCACAGCCGCGATCGAGGAGAAGCAACAGGAGCTAGCTCCGTGGAGGGAGAAGATCAGCGCCCACCAGTCGCGCCTCGACATTGCGCTCACCGAGCTCAAGCTGCTTGAGGACAAACTGTCGGCCTCGGACAAACACCTCGAGCAGGCCAAGCATGAGCTACGCCGTTTGCGCGAGCTGCGCGTTGAGAAGGCGCAGTTTGCCGAAGCCCGTGTCGAGGAGCTTGCCTCGGTCAACGAGGACATTGAGAACTCAGATAAGGGCATCCAGAAGACCGAGGGCCGCGTTCAGGTGCTGCGCGGCGTAGTCGCCGATGCTCGCCGCAAGGAGGAGGAGGCCCGATTGGCCCTGAACACCACGCAGAGCCAGAGCAACGTGCTCAAGGCCATTCTGCGCCAGCGGGACCAGGGTCGCATCGGCGGCATCTACGGCCGCCTAGGTTCCCTAGGCACCATCGACGAGAAGTTTGACGTCGCCATCTCGTCGTCCTGTGGCAGCAGCCTCGACAACATTGTAGTCCAGACTGTCAAGGCCGGGCAGGAGTGTGTTGAGTTTTTGCGCAAGAACAACGTTGGCCGCGCGCGCTTTGTCATCCTCGACACGCTGCGCAACTACAACATGAAGCCGATCGATACGCCCGAGAGTGTGCCTCGTCTGTTTGATCTCGTCAAGCCTGCCGATCAAAAATTCCTTCCTGCATTCTACCATGCCATGAACGACACTTTGGCTGCCAAGGACATGGAACAGGCGCGCCGCGTCGCTTACGGAAGGCGCCGCTTCCGCGTCGTCACTCTCGATGGTAACGTGCTCGAGGCCTCAGGCACCATGTCTGGCGGTGGTAACCGGGTTGCGCGTGGCGCAATGAGCTCCCGCCCCACCCATGGCGACGTCTCGCCGGAGACCGTCGCCAAGCTGACGGCTGCGCGCGAGGCCGACGAGATCGAGTGCAGCGAACAGCAGGCTGTACTGCGAACTCTACAAACCAAGCACAAGATTCTGCAGAGACGCTATGATGAGCTGGAAGCCATGCTTCCGCGCCTTGAGCTTGAGCTCAAGTCTGTCGATGAGCAGGTGCAGATGGCCAAGAAGCGCGCGCGCGACCTTACCAGTGTCCAGAGTCAACCCGGAGAGGCTGACGTGGCACGCAAGATTGCCATCGATGCGAAGATTGCCAAGGAGCAGGCGGATATTGCTGAACTCCAAGAGCAGTGCGCGACTATCGAGGTCGATATCAAGGAGCTGCAAGAGAAGATCATGCAGGCCGGGGGCATCCGTCTGCGCGCACAAAAGTCAAAGGTTGACGGGCTGCAGGAGCGGATCAAGACAGTCAACGATGAGATCTCGCGCTGGGGTGTCTCCCTGTCAAAGTCGCGCAAAGAGCTTGCCCGTGCGGAGCGCTCCAACTTGGGACGCGAGGCGCAGATTGCCGAACTGGAGGCGCAGCTGGAGGCAGTGACTAAGGAGATTGATGCCAAGAGCGTGGTCGCCATGGAGGTCAAGGAGCGCTGCGACCGCGCACGCGGCCTGCTCGAGACCAAGCGCTCTGAGTTTGAGAAGATTAAGGAGGAGCTGGATTCCAAGACCGAGGAGTTTAACGAGATGCGCACAAAGGAGGCTGGGCTCAAACGAAAGCTCGACGATGTGGAGCGTGCCCTGGCCGAGGCTACCCGCGGTGTCAACTACTGGAACAGCGAGCGCGAGCACCTGGTCCTGCACAGCGTCGATATTGATGCCCTGGAGGCTCTGGATAAGAGCCACTCACTGGCTGCCAGACGTCGCGACAGCAACATGATGTCCGTCGACGGCGAGGAGGAGAACGAGGGCACAGCGCAAGATGAGGAAGAGGGAGAGGGCACCAATCTGTTGTCGACCTCGCTGCCCGAGCTTTCTCCTGAGGAGTTGGAAGAGGTCGACACGGCAGTGCTCGAGTCGCGCATCGAGCAGACCGAGGCGCGTCTGCAGCGCACGCGGCCCAACCTCAGCGTGCTCACTGAGTACACGCGCCGCGCCAAGGAGTACCGCAAGCGCATGGACGAACTCGAGGAAATGACCAACCAGCGCGACCGCGCGCAGCGTGAGCTCGACCACCTGCGTACGCGCCGCCTTGAGGAGTTCATGACGGGCTTCAACATCATCTCGTACAAGCTGAAGGAGATGTACCAGATGGTGACGCTTGGTGGCAATGCCGAGCTCGAGCTTGTTGACTCCCTTGACCCTTTCTCTGAGGGCATCGTGTTCAGTGTCATGCCCCCGAAGAAGTCATGGAAGAACATTTCGAACCTGTCTGGTGGCGAAAAGACACTCAGCTCGCTGGCCCTGGTCTTTGCCCTGCACCAGTACAAGCCGACACCTTTGTACGTCATGGATGAGATCGATGCTGCCCTGGACTTCCGCAATGTGTCGATTGTAGCAAACTACATCAAGGAACGCACGCGCAATGCCCAGTTTGTCATCATCAGCCTGCGCAACAACATGTTTGAGCTGGCCGATCGCCTGGTGGGCATCTACAAGACAGACAACCGCACAAAGGCCATAGCTCTGGACACCGAGCACACCGTTGCCGCCCTGCACAGCACTGACGAGACCATCGCCGCAGCTGTCAACTAAGTGAGGATACCACTTTTTAATACCTTCTCCATACACAGCAACAAAAATACGAGTAAAAATTGACACCTGATAATCAAGCAACTATAATTTGATGTGCTGGACAATAACGTCCACACTTCGCCCAGAGAAAATGTATTCATAGATCCATTTGCTTATTTGACAAAGTCCTGTCCTATGATAAACAACTGCCGGGTATAACCGACATGATATGTGGATAAATCAATCCATGCGCTGCCTGCTTGGATGAGTAGCTGCAGAAGATGGTGCCTCCTTGGCTTTACGCCCAGCCGCTGCTGCTGAGTCTCTGTCAAATGATCACACTGAATTTCCTACCTTTTAACGAAATGTAAAGGTAACTGCGTAAACACAATTTCAAAGTTTTCTTTATGGTTGGGGGTTCATTATGGTGCATTTTATTTTATCATTTGACACCCATCCTTGCAAATAAACACGTCTAATACTTTGCACCATACTTGCTGCGATACTCCTCCATGGCCTTCAACATGGGTGCCTGCTCTCCGCCCTGCTCAGCCAGGTATTCAACAATGCTATCCAGATTGACCACGGCGATGATAGGTGTTCCGTACTCGCTCTCAATCTCCTGGATAGCAGAGAACTCGCTCTCGCGGCCTCTCTCCTGACGGTCGATAGCCACAACAACGCCAGCCAGCCGAGCCCCCTCTTTCTGAATTATATCCATGCTCTCGCGAATAGCTGTGCCCGCCGTGATAACATCGTCGACAATCAAAATGTCGCCTTTCAGTGCCGCGCCGACAATGCTGCCTCCCTCACCGTGGTCCTTCTTCTCCTTGCGGTTGAACGAGTACGGCACATCGAGCTGAGCATCACCGGTGGCCAGCGCAATGACAGTGGCGGCAGACAACGGAATCCCCTTGTATGCTGGGCCAAAGATGACGTCGTAGTGGATGTCTTTGCGCGCGGTAATGGCCGCTGCGTAGTACTTTCCGAGCTTTGCCAGCGACGACCCACTGTTGAACTTGCCTGCATTAAAGAAGTACGGCGAGATGCGGCCGCTCTTCAGGGTAAACTCGCCAAACGTCAGGACGTTGTTGGCGATGGCGAATTCGATGAATTCGCGCTGATACTGCTCAAGAACCATTTCGCTGTTGTGTGTGTATTAAGGTGTTGAAAGTATAAAAAGTGTAAAAAGAACTTTGAAATATCGGTATTTGAAAGGGAGCCGAAAGGGAAGAAGGTTTTGGATACAATTGCCAAGTTCGGCTGGAGATAGTCCGGCTAATCAAATCGATAAGTCAAATTAATTGCGCGATCATACCATTTGTTTTTAATTCGACCACGCTTAAGCAGCTTGACCTGCTCAGCAATGACGACGAACACTGGCTGCAGCAATCTTGGATATTATTGGAGAAAATTACGCTGTAGCAAATACATAACCTGCGGGGTAACCTTGGAGATTGTGTTTACGCACTTAACACACTACCTCTGGCAAAATGTGTTGCCTTTACATTTCATTAAGAGGTAAGATAAAGGTAGCGCACACACATGCGAACCATTTGTAAGCATTTAGCAGTAAATTACTCTTAAATTTTTTAGATATTTGTAGTCTCATTTTTTCTTTGGTGTAACCCTAGCTTTGCTTAATTCGTTTCCCACGAGGTACATGTGCCTGTAGTATTATACTCATCAAATTATATTGTCTGGAACGGCGAGATAGGATGAGAAGAAGGCGTGTGACTACCACTTCCATTTTTTTGCATGGGCGAACAAACAAAGTCAAAACGGAATCTATTTAAAGGAGAGGCAGCCGTAACTTTGGCAAAATAACACATTTTCGTCTACGATTTTACATTACCCTTAAACATGCACGATAAAAACCACATTTCATTCAGCGACAGCGACTACAGTGTCGTTGACAAGGCGGAGATGAAGCTTTGCCAAGCGCCCTCCGCCCTTGCACTTCCAGGAATCGACACGATCACACGCAGAGAGGCTGCACGTCTTTGTGCCAGAGATTTTCTCGAGAACCATGCCTTCTTCAACGACATCCAGTACCACAACCACCTTATCCACCATGTTCTGGCAAACTTCTCCATGGGCGCGTCCGCCAAGCGTCTTCAGGAGGTTTTTGACCTAAACAACCCAGGCCAGCGACCTGCCATTGGACAATGTGAAGACACAACAGTCACTTCGGATAACTTTGACAGATATTTGTCACAAGAGAAGCACTACGCCGACTACATTGTTTTTTTCCGCAGCGAGCTTGAGGCTGCCGGCGACAATTGGAAGGATGTTGCCGTGGGGTATTTCTTTGATCCTCGGGTACTGCCATTGGCTATGAGCGGCTTGTCACATCCATTGATCCAGCTCGGCTATGGCCTGGAGTTTGAAAGCCAGACGATCACCATCATGGCTCTCGCGCAGACATGTGTGCACAAGGTGCAGTTTGGCAGAGCATTCAGCCCTGAGACCATTTCCGAGATTTGCGATAGCAAAGACATCGATGCGAATGGCAGAAAAGGATTGTCCATGTGGCAAATTGTAAACGACATGAGCGATGACCCACTGACAGACAAGCTTAGCTACACTTGTGCTCCGCAGTCGACCGAGAATTTTGATGTGGCACAGCAGATTGGTGTCAAATACATTAAGTTGTGGAACGTCAACCCGACTGAATTGTCTATCAGAGCAAAATATGGCGAGCTGCTTTCAGTTGTAGCGCTGGTATATGGCTCGATGACCAGGCCCGGGTACCAGATGATCCTGGAGTTTTCGATCATGCACATGCTCACACCCTTGTACTTCCTACCCATCATTTTTGATGTTCTGTCGGTCAGCCAGAGGGTCATTCTTCTTCGCAGCTTTGCCTTGGGGTTCCTGGCCATGTTTGCAACAAAGGGCTGCCCCAGGCTGTACGTTCCTGTTGAGCTTGCGTCTGCTGACACACACCGCAATTTTGGCGATGACGAGCCGCGGGGTTTAAATGAGGCCAACCCGTGGCTAAGCATCTTTGAAAAGGCCATTGGCAACAGGGAAGTCCATGTCCCTAAAGTCGTGCGTGCGCTTTGGCGTGGCAGTCTCAACAGCGCATTTGCTAGCCAGACAGTTGCTGAAAGCGGGTACAAGCTGCCACCGCCTGTCAACTGGGCATATTTGGCAAAATGCACCGTTGATACCATTGGAATTAGCACTCACAAATATTCGGAAGATGACGCAGAAGAGGACGCGCGCTACTGGGATCGTGGAATGGTCGCATTTGATGAGTTCTGGGACCAATTTGGTGTGAAAATATAGTTTGTTTTTCATTTTTCATTTTTCATTTGACAATTGTTCAAAGGTTTAAATCAACATATCAAATGCGATTTAGGTTATATTCAGCATTACACACACGATAAATTGAAATCTCAGTAATCATGGCCACATGTAGATCTTGTAGTCCAGTCCAGAGATCTAGCCGGGGCAAAGAGAGAAACATGTGTAAATTGAATACAACGGTTGTAAATAAAAATGAAAGCAGTGTAGAAATAAAAAACCAGAGGAGAAAGAGAGAAATAAAAACACAGGAGACGGCTAACAGAATCGTCGGTTATTTGGATGCGCAAACCAAGCGATTAATGGTCTGGTCTCCTCCCCCCATTGACCATTCTCTCTCAAAGCATCTCGCTCTGGCCCACTGCAGAGATAAAACGCAATATAGCGAAAGCACGTCGATTTATCCAGCATTCATCCAGTCAGTCAACCCCGCTTCTGCCCCTGCTCCTTCTCCTCGTGGTTCCGCCTCTTACTTAGTGCTCGCCCTCATACTGGGCGGCATGGCCAGCCTTGCTGTTGAGCCACTCGTGTCTCTTCTTGCCAAAGTGGGTGACGGCCCAGAACAGAAAGACGCCGGGCAGAATGTACCCCAGGTTGGAGCTGGTACGACGGAAGAAGTTGTGGGTGCCCTTGCTGATAAGGTGGGCGTTGGTCTTCATCTCGTACGGTGAGAGCTGGTAGGTGACGATGCCGCGGTGCTTGGGCCCACCCATGTTGCCCCACGATCCAGAGTATCCGTGTCCGCCCATAGTGTGCTGTGTGAGTGAAGTATAAAAGTGATTTGGTCGGTGGATTGACAAAAAAGAAATAAAAGTGTTTCAATTAAGAAAGAAAAAGCGAAATTCAAATTGAGCGTGCAATTATAAAAAACCGAAGAAACAAAACCGGCCCGCTCGGCAGGGCCAAAAGCACAGTGCGGCGTTGCGAGCGAGCAGGCGAAAAATAGGGCTGTGGTGCGTAAGGCAAGGCGGGCCAATCTTATCTCCACAAGCATAGCACAAGCAGCTGATCCGCAATCAGAGGATTTAATCGCGAGGCATGCACATTCAAGTGGGCCTGGCTGGCACGAATATGCACGCGCAGCCCGCTGTTCTGTTCTGTGCCTGCAGTGGTGACATCAAAAAGAAACTAAATGAGCGATAGTCTGCCGCACACTGTGTGTTGAGCGACTTGTCCTGTTCTACTTTAATTATTATTGTTACACCATTTAGTTTTTTATTTTGACCACAAGCCAAAGCCAGCCCAGCTGCACCTGCCATATTTACCCTGGTGTGCACTCTGCGAATAACACAAACCCTCTGCTCTACTCGGTTACATGGTCTCTCCGCGCAAGGCAGTGTCGGGCAGCGGCCCAAAAGACAAACGCAGCCGCCTCTGGAGCGTGATTAAGTGGGCAGTGGTCTCGCGCATGGCCTCTTTGGCGCTGGGCATAGTGTCCAACGCAGTCATCGACGACTACGACGCCTCACTCGGGGTGTTCCTGCCTCCAGCGCCCAGTGCGAACAGTGGGCAGCTATCGCTGCTCTGCAGTCGTCTCGCTCGCGGACTGGCGCAAGTGGTCGTGCGGTGGGACGCGTTCTACTTTGTGCACATTGCGGACTCTGGCTACGTGTACGAACAGGAACATGCATTTTTTCCGCTGCTGCCGCTGCTGATGCGCCTGCTGGCCCGCACTGTGCTGGCGCCGCTCGCTGCCCTGGCCGGCCGGCAGCTGGCGCTGATCGTTGCCGGCGTGGCCATTAGCAATGTGTCGTTTGTGCTTGCTGCGGGGACAATCTACAGACTGGGCTGCGCCACGCTGCGCAGCGAGAGGCTGGCATACATTGCAGCACTGCTATACACGGTCGCGCCATCCAACATGTTTATGACGGCGGTGTACACCGAGAGCCTATTTGCATGGCTGGTGTTCTCAGCGCTGCTGCTGATCTCTCGGCGTAAGTACCTGCTGGCGTCGCTGTGCCTGGCGGCCAGCAGCCTGTGCCGCTCGAATGGCGTCATGTACTCTGGGTTCATCGTGTGGGACCTGATTGTGCGCAGTGATGCTCGCGACGGGAGCGCCAGCAGCAGCGGGCGTCGCGCGTTGCTGTGGCAGGCGCTGAAGGCGACAGTGCTGGTGGCAATCTCAGCGCTGGGATTCATAGCGTTCCAGGCATTTGGCAAGCGCGAGTTGTGCCAACAGCCGATCCACTCACCGGCAGCCAGCGCGCGTCCATATTGCGAAAGCTCGTTGTCGACGGTGTACGGGTTTGTGCAGACAGAGTACTGGGATATCGGCTTTCTGCGGTATTACACGCTGCAGCAGCTGCCAAACTTTCTGCTGGCGGCACCGATGGTTGTGCTGTCAGGCGCGGGGCTGTGGGCCTATGCGGCACACGATCCGCCGCGGGTAGCGACACTGGGGTTGCGGATGCGCAAGAGGAAGCTGAGCGCTGTTCAAGGTGTGGCAGCAGAGGAAGGAGCAGAGGCAGAGGCAGAGGCAGAGGCAGAGGCAGAGGCAGAGGCAGAGGCAGAGGCAGAGGCAGAGGCAGAGGCAGAGGCAGAGGCAGAGGCAGAGGCAGAGGCAGAGGCAGAGGCAGAGGCAGAGGCAGAGGCAGAGGCAGAGGCAGAGGCAGAGGCAGAGCAGAGGCAGAGGCAGAGGCAGAGGCAGAGGCAGAGGCAGAGGCAGAGGCAGAGGCAGAGGCAGAGGCAGAGGCAGAGGCAGAGGCAGAGGCAGAGGCAGAGGCAGAGGCAGAGGCAGAGGCAGAGGCAGAGGCAGAGGCAGAGGCAGAGGCAGAGGCAGAGGCAGAGGCAGAGGCAGAGGCAGAGGCAGAGGCAGAGGCAGAGGCAGAGGCAGAGGCAGAGGCAGAGGCAGAGGCAGAGGCAGAGGCAGAGGCAGAGGCAGAGGCAGAGGCAGAGGCAGAGGCAGAGGCAGAGGCAGAGGCAGAGGCAGAGGCAGAGGCAGAGGCAGAGGCAGAGGCAGAGGCAGAGGCAGAGGCAGAGGCAGAGGCAGAGATACGGGCAACGGCCGCTTACTTCGGCGACTCGCTGCTGCCGCACATGTACTTCTGGGCAGTGCTGCTAGGCGTGGCGGCTGCGACGATGCACGTGCAGGTTATAACGCGGTTTTTTTCCAGCGTGCCGGCAGTGTTCTGGTTCGCGGCGCACGTAGTGGCATCTTCACTGCCGCCGCCAGCGCCAGGCCAGCGGCCAGCGACGACGACAACAGCAAAGGCGGCGCTGAAAACGCCAGCAGTGGCCTTGGCCGTGGTTGGCTACTTTGCCGCGTACGGGCTGGCCGGCGTTGTGCTGTTCAGCAACTTTTTTCCGCCAGCTTGAGCCGGGGATCACGTGCCTGGCCTGGGCCGATTCGGTTTGAAAATTTTTTTCTTGCGAGATGAGCGGATTATCGCTCGAGGCGTGTCACCCCACTGGTTGCGCTCGGGCAAAGGGCGGTAAAAATTTTCTTTGCACTGCTGTTTTGCGGCACGGCGCAATTCTTTACGCCGCCGCTGCTGCTGGCTGCTGCCTGTGGCAGTAGCAGCCTAAAAAGATGATTCACTCCGGTTGGCTGGCTGGCCGATTAAGCAGCTTTTTCCCCACGGCACGCGCGCTAACAATTAAAAAAGGCAGACCGACCCTGCGTACGCGGGGGTTTCAGTGCACCTTTCTTTGCCGGCTGGTCGGCTGGCTGAGCGTCCCTTCTGCTTCTCTTTCCAAATGCATTCATTAACCATTTCGCTCACGTATTTCCACACTATCTATTATATCGTTTATCCTCTCTCATAGCGCTCTTGTGCTACTGTGCTCTGTTAATTGTGTATCTTTGCTCGCCCGCTCGCCCAGACTGCTTGACGCACCGCCGCGACTTTTGCACCGGCATCAACACACCCAGACCCAGGCCCAGACCCAGACCATCGACTGCGCCAGTTGCTAGCCAGCCCAGCCCAGACTACATTACGCCGGGCCGCGCACAAACACACATTCTCGGCGCCAACAATGAACACTCAGTCGGACGCAGCCCTCGATAACGAGCTGCTGTACAAACTCAAGGCCGTGCTCGAGCGGTCGATCGCAGATCTGAACAGCGCCGGGGTAAGTATGCCGCGGCTGTGCGCTTGTAAGCAACCGAATTGATGCCACAGTGCACAGTCTAACTCTAAAGCACGTGCATTTTGTGTATATTTTGGTGCTGCTGTGTAGGGCGCGGACATTCAGCTGGAGCACTTTGTTGATGCATTTGACACACAGAGCCACACGATCCACCGGCTGATGTCGGCAGTGGTCAAGGAGACGCTGGCGCCGCGGCGGCCGTCGGAGTCCATGTCCCCATCGGCCAGCCTGCGCGGCACGTCGCTGTACGGCAGCTTCCGCGGCGGCAACTCACCAGCCGTCGACGGCAGTGGGTCGTGGATGGGTGCAGTCAGGCGCGACCGCATTCCATCGGCGAATGTCGACCTGGACCATGTGCGCAATCTGATGGAGGCGATTGAGATTGTGTCGCCGCACATAGTCGGCTCCGATGTGGCCGACTGCGGGTCGCCAATCCCCGAGATGCGCGGCGGCTGGTCGCTGCCGGGCCAGGCAGGCAGCAGCCTGTCTGAGCAGCACACGCTGGCGGCAGCCTTTGCGGCGCCGGCCACCGACATCAACCCGCATGCGATGCGGCATCGGCGCACGTCGGCGCAGCCAATGCACTCTGCTGGAATTCCAATCCGGCCGGCGCGCTCGAGGGGCCGCGGCGCGCACATCGACCCGGTTGAGTTTGCCGAGTACGCTGTTGCGCATATGCGGCCCAGTGCGCGGTTCACGCCAATGGGCCCCGGCTTCCCGATCGGCTCGGCAGCTGCCAGCGAGCCGCGTGCGTCGCTGCCGCGCTCGTTCCGTGGAACCCACGCTATGCACTTGCCCAGGCAAGACGCGCTGGACGACATGCGCCGGGCACCGGGGATTGCACAGGACCAGGCCCACTACCATCACCTGCGCAACCAGGGCCAGCCGATACTATCTCAGCAGCAAAGTCTGCGGAATCAGGGCGGCGCCATCTCGGCCGCAGAGAACGCGTCGACAGGCAACAGCGGTCGCTCGTCGGAAAGCCCTGGCATGGCCTGATACCAGTCCATTGATCGGCAGCGGCGTGGCACTGGCTCCATCGCCATCGCTATCACCATTTGGCTTGCAAACACTTTATATTTTTATATTCTTTTTCTGTTTTCATGTGCCCATTTGGCCGGCATATTGTAAATTTTAGACTTTTCATATTGGATATATATTTATCAGCTCTGCTCAAGCCTGGGCGGGGCCGCGGAGGAATTGCTTGAGAGTCTGCAGGCGCTCAGCGGCAGCCTCCAGGCCCTCTTCGGTCTTACAGAAGGCGAAGCGAATGTAGTCGTTGGCAAGGTCCTTGTGTGCGTCGGAGTAAAACTCGGTCGGCGGAATGCCCGAGACGCCAAACTCTTTGATAAAGAAATAGACGAGCTTGAAGTTGGCGCCGCGCTCGGTGATGAAGTCAGGGAAGGCGTAATCTGTGGGGATTCGGGCGCGCACAGCAGAGGCGTTGACTAGCAGGTAGTAGGCGCCGTCGGGCACAACACATGGCAGGCCAATGTCGGCGAAAATGGCCATCAGACGGTCACGGCGGCGCAGGTACTCCTCACGCTGTATGGTGAAGAAGCCATTGTGTACGGCCTGACGCAGTGCAGTAGCGACGCCCTCCTGCAGCGGTGTGTTGCTGGTAAAGACGATACGTGTGTGCGCGGCCAGCGTCGGGCGAATCAGTGCGGCCGGGCCGACCGCCCAGCCAACGCGCCAGCCCGTGACACCGAACAGCTTTCCGGCCGATCCAACTGTGACAGTGCGCTCCCACATGCGTGGCAGCGTGGCAATTGAGACGTGATCGCGGCCAAAGGTCAAGTGCTCGTAGACCTCGTCAGCGACGATCAGCAGGTTGTGGCGCTCGGCTACGGCGCCGATCAGCGCCAGCTCGTCACACGTGAAGACCTTGCCGATGGGGTTGTGTGGCGTGTTTAGCACAATTATGCGTGTCTTGGGCGTGATGGCTGCCTCCAGCTCGGCCATGTCCAGCCGCCAGTCGTCGCTGGAGATGTCGTGCGTCGCCGCGTCGCACCCATCGCGTACGCGCAGCGGTACGTAGACTGGGACGCCACCAGCCATCGCGACGTTTGGCGTGTACTGATCGAACGCCGGTTCCATCAGGATAACCTCATGGTCCTGGCCATGCTCGAGGAACGCCGTGAATACCGACAGCAGCGCCTCGTTTGCGCCAGCATGCACGCTGACCTCGCTGCCGCTGTCGATATCCCGCCCGAGCCGCTCACTGAACCGCACCGCTACCTGCTCGAGCAATCCGGGCCGCCCGCGCGGAGGCGCGTATTGGTTGTGCGTGTTCTCGACCAGCGCGTCCTGCGCAGCCTGCCTGATGAAGTCCTTGGGCGGGTAGCTCATGAAGCCCTGCCCGAGGTTAACGGCCCCGACCGCCGCTGCGACCTGGTTCATCATCGTCCACACGTCAAGCCCAGTCGCTGAGTACATTGGTGATGCCTGCGGCAGCCTGACTTCTGGTGCTGTTTCTGTCTGTGAAGTGTTGCCGACTTTGGTTGATAGCGCCATTCTCGCGAGTTGTCTGCTGCTGGTCAAACGTGTTCTGATGTTACAATAAAGCGGGATGTGCGAATTTGTCTGAGCGCAAGCTATTCTTTGGATTGCTGCGTGCGCCAATTGTTTTTGGGAGATGAGCATTAAATATCGATAGAATTTAAAGCAAAATTGACAAGCTCGGTAAGGTTTTACTTGGTGGACAAACTTTAAAAATGCAGATTTCCATCCGTTTGGATCCGCCACCAAACAAGTATTTCTTTTTTTGATTCGAGTCATTAAGCGCGATACATATCAACGCCATACATACATTTCGGCGGGCGTGTGATCTTTGAACGTGTATTTTATAAAGAAAAGGGAAAAAAGCTGGCAACAGCAACATTATGTTCCCAGTTTGTTCTGGCCTGATTCGATCTAGTACTCGTCGTCGTTGTGGCCGTCGTCGTGGCCGTCCTCCTGGCCAACGCCAGCCTCATCCTCGTACATGGCGTAGTCCTCGTCATTGACGCCCGCCTCCTGGTACTGCTGGTACTCGTTGATCAGGTCGTTGATGTTGCTCTCGGCCTCGGTGAACTCCATCTCGTCCATACCCTCGTCAGTGTACCAGTGGATGAAGGCCTTGCGTCTGAAGATCTTCGAGAACTGCGAGCCGATGCGGTGGAAGGCCTCCTGGATGGCGGTGTTGTTGCCCAGGAAGGTCGCCGAGATATCCATGTCGACAGGCGGCACATCGCACACGGCGATCTGCGTCGAGTTGGGAATCCACTCGATGAAGGCGCTCGCGTTCTTCTCGGCGTAGTTCCAGATAGTGTCCTCACACTCCTTGACCGATACGCGGCCACGGAACATGGTCGCGCACGTCAGGTACCGCCCGTGGCGCGGGTCGCAGTTGACCAGCATGTTCTGGGAGTCGTACATCTGCTGGCACAGATCCGGCACCGTGACGTGCCTGTAGCTCATCGTCTGCGCGGACGTCAGCGGCGCAATGCCCGACATCAGGAAGTGCAGGCGCGGGAACGGCACCATGTTGACAGCCAGCTTGCGCAGATCAGCGTTGAGCTGACCGGGGAAGCGCAGCGACGTCGTGACGCCCGACATCACCTTGGCCACGAGGTTGTTGAGATCACTGTGCACCGGCGACTTGATCTTCAGCGAGTTGAGGCAGATCTTGGTCAGCGCCTCGTTGTCCAGGCAGAAGGTCATGTCTGAGTTCTCGATAAGGTGGTGGATCGACAGCACCGAGTTGTAGGGCTCGACGACCGTGTCCGACGCAGCGGCCGACGGGAGCACCGTGAACGTCGACAGCATGCGGTCGGGGTACTCCTCGCGGATCTTCTGCAGCATCAGTGAGCCCATGCCCGAGCCCGTGCCGCCGCCAATCGAGTGGCAGAGCTGGAATCCAGACAGCAGGTCGCAGGCCTCGACGTCGTGGCGCACAATGTCCAGCACCTGGTCGAGCAGCTCGGCGCCCTCAGTGTAGAAGCCCTTGGCCCAGTTGTTACCGGCGCCGCTGTTGGCGCAGACCATGCTCTCCGGCCGGAACAGCTTGCCGTACTTGCCGTTGCGGATGGTGTCCAGCACTCCAGGCTCAAGATCGATGGCTACCACGCGCGGCACGTAGCGCTTGTCGCGTGCCTCGGTGAAGTACACGTTCGCGCGCTCAATCTGGTTCTTGTTGTCACCAACATAGATTCCGTCGGGGTTGATGCCGTGCTCCTGGAGGATGTTCTCCCAGAACGAGGAACCAATCTGGTTACCACACTGGCCTACATGAAAAAGTAAGCGAGTTGGCAAGGGGTGAAAGGCGGGACTTGCGCGTTAGCAAACGGGTATTTTTTCATGCATAAACAAGCGATTGCCATGCAAATAGTGTGTCCATCCATAAAACGCCGTCTAAAAGTGGTGCGAATATCAAAACAAGAGCGCGTAGACGCTTTTTCTATCTACTTACCGATTTGAAGCGTCAGAATTTCTCTCATTGTTTTTTGCTTTTTGATATGCCTTGCTTGTTTGCGTTGTTTTTGACTACTGAATATTAAAACGCCACAAACAGACAGTAATACAAAATGGGCGATGATTATAGTGGCAACAACAGCAACAAAAGCAATAGCGAACCATTTTGGGTTGAGCACAGGCGGCCATCAAAAAATGAGAACAGGACAAGAGAACGGCGGAGTTAGTAATTGGTGTCGTATTTTTTGGCGAGGTCAAAGTGCCAGCAAGAAAAAGAAAGCCAGCAGCGTTAAGCTTTGCAGTTCGCTGCCGCCGCTTTAGGCAGCACCGAGACAGGCAGGCAGGGATTTGAACGCAAAGTTGCTTTCTCGCCTTCTCCCTTCTATGAGCAGGAAGAAACAAAGGAAGGAAATGCCATGTTTCATAGGGCGCGTTTTCTCCCTTCTTCGCTTCTCGGAATTAAAAACTAAGGGAGAAGCCTCTGAACGGAATAGCAACTCTGCGCATGAAAAAACTGGAAGAAAAACACACTTACAGGTGAAAAGACTTGCGCTATATATTAGTGCGAACTAGGGCGGGTTTGCAGTGCAAGAGTAGTGCTTGACAAAAATAATAACGCCAAAGGAACAGAGAGCTGCTACGAAAAATAGACGGATAATAATTGAAGGAAAGAGAAAGAGAAGCAAGAAGAGGGAGGGCAAAAAGAAAATGAGCGGTGGGGTAGGCGCTGAGAATGTTTTACGCAGATTAAATCCTTGTTGGATGGGATGGTCCTTTCTTTTCCAGCACTCTTGTCTAATTTTTTGTTGTTGTTGCCTGCACTTCCCCCCATCCGCGACGAACGCCTGTTGCCCCTCAGTAAGTTGAGTTGAGCTGAGTTGCCAGCAGTCGGCTCCAAAGGCCCAGAACAAAGAACAGCACATCACAGCACCGGGACGCTTTGTTTTCTCCGAGAACAGTTCCGTGGCAGCACAGCAGCCCGGTTTTGAAGAGGCGTTAATGTTGGCTTTTTTCGCTTGGTTTTTATTTTCTTGTTTTGTTTTTGCGATCGCGACTCGGATTTATTGCCTGCGCACAGGCACTTCAACAGCCTTCCTTCCCCCCCCCCACTAAAAATAAGAACAAAACAGCTGTATTGAAGAAAACTTGAGAATCTTGTTTCCCGCCGCTTGCACAATACCTGCCTGCTGCCCGGCGCACGTGTCAAAGGTGCTTGAAGTAAAAGAAAAACGTGCAGGTTGGATTTTTCGACCAGGTGCAGGCATCGACTGGGCTCTCAGCCGCACAGCGGGGATATTGCCAACAGCGTCCCAAAAACCAGGTGCTGCACCACAGGGAACTTGCCCAGCACCTCGGCCTTGTACATTTTCCCCAGCCCCTGATTGACCTTTTCCCACCGGGCCACGCCCGAAATATCGTACAGCTGGCGCGAGTGCTCGAAGAACGGCCCGTTCTTCACGTCCATGATGAAACCAATGGCCTGAAGGTACATATACTCGCCGCCCTGCTCTGCCACAAGGCGAGCATCGATGCCGGCAGCTGGCGTCGTCGGCGTACCGATGAACTGCGCGCTGCCAAAGTAGAACGGCAGGAACTGATAATCGTCAAGCCCCCATACGCCATGGCTACCTGCCGGCTCGAGCTTGTATGTGCGCTGTAGCTGCTGACACAGCCGCAAGTACTGGGCAAAGACAACCAGTACCATTGCCGCCGAGTCGGCCGGCTCCAAGAACCCAATCTTGCATAGGCACAGAAGCCACATTGCGAATGACAGCTCGTGACCGGACCCGTAGTCGATGCGTGTAGCATTGCCGAATGCCATTGTCAGGTACGGCGTGAGCTCATCTGCAGCGCTGTGCCACTTCTCGGGCAGCAGCTCACAAAGAAGGCGCGATGCTTGCTCCTCAAGCCTGGTCACCCACTGGCGAAATGCCCTGTTGCCGAACCTCGATGATGCAGATGTGTCTGGCGGGAATTCTGAAATCCACGACTCTGCCTGGTCCAGCAGCTGGCATATTCCCTGCACATGGGGCGAGACGGGGTACTTTGACGACGTCCGCTTCCCCTCGACACTCTTGCTAAGCTGCTCGACAAAGCTGACAATTTCCATGTACGCCGACGACTTTTGCCATTTGGTCATGTCCTTCGGGTCCATAATCTCGCGCCGGGGCACCGTGTGGCGTCCTTGCTCCTGTTGGTCGTCAGACATGTGTTTTTATATTGTCAGTAAGATTAAAAGTGTATATGATATATGGATACAAAAAATGTCAATAATGCACTTCCTTCTTTCGCGGATCACTAATCGCCCTCACGCGCGCACATCACATCGAGTGCTCTGTAGCTTACTAGCTTGTGGGGGTGCATGTGAGCAGACAGACGAAAGAAGCTGTAGTAAAATAACATTTGCTCTTCTTACGAGTTGCGACCACTGGTATTGGCATTGACATTGGTATAAAATAGTTATTGAATGATATGAAGGCAGGAGTAGCAGCGCGTCATGCCATGCCATGTCGCATCGTATCGCATGCTCTAGGCCGACGTGTCCATGGCAGTGGCGGCCTCTGCAGCCTGGGCCGCCGCACGGGGCACATAGAACTCGGTGGTTCCCCTGTTAAACGTGTACACCTGCTCCTTGACAGCACGCTCGTTGGGCCTAGCGTAGTTACGCAGAACCTCAGTGTTGCCCTTTGTCAGGACACAGACGTCAACGTTGGACCCCGAACCCAAATCATTGAAAATACCGGCCTCGATGGCGTCCTTGACCAGCTCGATGGCGTCCTCGCGCGACATTTGCGACCGCCAGCGCGACTCGAACATCGACATGGCCGCCAGCGAGCCGGAGCCCATAGTGACGTACGGCAGGCTGTCTGTGGATCCGTGCGGGTAAATGTTAAATAAGTGCGGCCCGCTGACATCGTAGCCGCCGACGATCAGCGCCGCACCGATATGGCCCTGGTGTCTGAACAGGTGCTGCTTAAGCATCGTCATCGCAGTCACCACGCGTGCATCACGGCCGGTGGTCAGCGAGTGCAGCGCAATCTGCGAGCTGATCATGTTTGTCGTAAACTCTGTATCGGCTGCAGTTCCCGCACCGCAGCAGTAAATGTTGGGCGCGATATAGTGTATTTTCTCGCAGTTCTTGTCCGCCACGATGGGGCCGTTGGTCGCGCGTGTGTCGGCGCCCAGAACAACGCCATCCTTGAAAATAAGCCCGACAATGGTGGTTCCGGTCTTTGTCGCTGAGGCCAGCTTGTAGCCCTTGTCGCAAAGCAGCTGGTTTCTCTTCACATTGTCGAATTTGAAGCCCGCCGTGGAGGTCTGCTCTGTATGAGGTGTCATTTCCGATGCTGTTTGTTAGTTAAAAATGATTAAAAATGTGTGCCAAATGAAAGCAAGGAAGTTGAATAAAGATTGAGAAGAAACGATTCGGAGCAATTTAAATGAAAATGAAACTGTTGTATGCAACAAAAGAGACGCCAGCTTCAAATTCCCTCGCGCTTTACATGGCAAAAGTGGCCTCGTCAGCACGCACGCTTGATTGGGATCACGTCCTGATCCAACATCGGCTTGAATTCTGTGCCTTATTTTAAGCACGTGCTTTTATGCCAAGACTGTCTGATTTTTTATCCCCCCACCAGTTGTAAGCTGTTTGCCGGCCAAAGCACGCTTGTTTGCTCTTTGCTATTGTATTAATATTTTTTACAGCTTTATTGCTTTTATCGCACTCACGACAACCAGAATCTCGCATTTCAAACCCTGAAATGGGCCTCATTGGAACACTTACACATGCTTCTTTTGACATTGTGCTGATTGCAGTTTGTCTTGCTGGCATCCGCCGGTCCACAGGACTCACGCTTCAGACAAACTACCTGTCCAGCAAGAACTACCGCAGGTTGTTTGGATTTGTGATTGGTGTTGGCGAGAGTCTGTTTGACATATCGGTTGCGTTCATGGCAGCATATCCAACAATATTCCGTCGGCAAGATCCTCGGCTTCCTCCAGTGAACGATGACAGCCCCAGCCGCTAGCTAGCAGGTGGGCGCGCCCAGCGGGGTGCCATCTGTATCATGTATTTCGCCGTGTAGTTTACAAGAGCCATTGTTACATTTTTAAAGTCAAGTATTGTTGAACAATATCAATTAATGTAAAAAGAAAATATTTAATGCGTATATGAGAATAAAATGACATAACTAACTGCCAGCCTTTGTCATTGCCATTGTCCGCTTGGAGTACTTGGCAAAGCATTCCGGGCAGCGTTGGTCGCAAAGATTCAATGATCCGTGAGTGCAGTTGCCCGTTGTTTCAAAGCTAGAACAGAACATTATTGTAATGTATGTGCGGCACGACTTGCAAAAGTAATTGTAGCACATTGTTTGAGGGGCGATAGTAAAATACGCAAACAAAAATGTAATATCAAAGACAAACGCTGATGTCTAGGTATCACCAAACTGACTTGGTATTTATAGTAGCAACGCACTTGTTAAAAAGCGAGTGAGTGACAGACATTCACGTTTGTTGTCCTGCTGTTCGTCTAAACTCTCAACTACATCGCCGCACCCACATCTATCCATCTACCCTCCTGGCCGCACTATCCCTCTAAATTAAAGATATAGTAAATAACGATCATAACACAAATTATGACAGCTCATGTCGCACATGTGTTGACGGGTGTCCTGTCATATGAATGAATGACATTGTGGCTAAGCCAAAATAATTCATGTTTAAAATGCTTTGTCATATGATATGTTGGGGGGAGGTATTTATTTATTTGAGATCAGCATTTGGCACACTTTAATTGAACACATTGTCGCACTGTGATAATTTAAAATATTAAAATTTACACATAAATTCCCTCAAGCGCACAATGAGAAACTCTGCTAAATGACCTGTACCCACTTGATATACAAAGCTGCTTTCAATACCAATTAATTCTCAGCATGACATGACATTGTGTCTCCCACCCACCCTCTCTCTCTCTCTCTTCAACCCATCTATTATTTGACATTTGCTCACACGTTCGTTGTATCTTTATTCCAATGATCTCAAATGTGTGTTACTTTCAATAGTTGTGACTGCGAGTGATTATGTAATAAGGAAAAATTGCAGTGCACACTACTTTCCGCCCCACCCCCTCGGGCCCCATATTAACACCACTGAGAAATACGAGGATGCCAAAGTGTGTGTTTGCCCAAGGTCGAAGAAAAAAAGTGAAGCGTAACATCTCTTGCACATCTTTCCTTGATCAACTTTATCATACACCATGCGACAGCGCGCACACTGTATACGTCCCTACCAGCAATGAGACAAAACATCTTTGATATACTCAAAAATGTACGGTGGCATGGATTAAACCGGCCTGTCAATGCACTACCACCGCTGCGCAGTACAACCCAGCCAATGTTTAGAATGCTGCACTCGCCGGTAAACAAATATCGGGAGTTAAAAATTGTGCACAAGAAGCGCCACCGGTGGACCGCAGAGCAAGACGCCAGGCTAGTGCAAATGGTGGACGAGAAGGGTCCCGCATGGAGTGTCATTGCTGGCGAGCTGGGCATACAGGGCAGCGCGCTAAAAGTGCGGCGGCGATGGGAGGTCCTTCAGCCCAAGCATGGAAGTGCTTGGTCAAAGGCGGAAGACACGGATCTGGCCAACATAATTAGCCAGCACACGGAGCTTGGCTATGCCCTTGGGGACATGGGGCTATGGGTCAAAGTGTCTCAGCAGCTGAAAACCAACAGGAGCCCGCGTCAATCCCACGCGCGGTGGACAAAAACGCTGCTTCCGCGCCAGGGCAAGGCGCTGCCGTTTACGCGGTTTGAAAGGATACGTGGCTGGGTTTGGAGCGATGAAGAGGTCGGCCGGCTGAGGGCCGCTGTGGCAGTGGTGAACGAGAGTTCGGACTCGCAGAACGCTATTGATTGCGCGCAGGAGTTTGAGCCATGGCTGCTGATTGGAATTAATACGGCTGAAACGCTAAAGCCCCAGTACTGGACCAGCATTGCAAGCCAAGTTGGCACACGGACGGCAGCGCAGTGCGCTTCCAAGTGGAATAACCTTTTGGGCCAGCTGAAAGGTACGTCGATAACTACCGACCAGGCAAAGCGGTTGGCGGCGCTGGTGAAGACCCATGGTCGCAAGTGGGGATTTCTCGCTCACAATTATTTTCCGGACCAGAGCCCAGTCGATCTCTGCTACGCGTACTCGCTGTGGAGACGGGTCGAAAAAAAGCACGGCGTCGATCTCTTGGATATTGACCCATTCTCAATGATCCGTGAATTTGACGGCAGATCGGCGATGCGGCCTACTGGCGCGGATGGAAATTACGATCCGAATGGACCAGTGGTTAGGGTGTTTAAGAGCGGCAGCTCGTCTTTCATGACACCATATACCTTGGCCCTTGCAAACACTTCTTTCCGCAAGCGAAAGTCGGGAATGCTTCGGGTCATTGGGCTGGTTCATAACCCGCATGGTGGGCTGCTGCCAGTAAAGTCAATTGACAAGCTTGTCGCGGCTCTGAGTCGCCACAGTAACGACTGGGTCAGCATATCCCGCGAAGTGGGGCTTCCTATAACCGTGTGTCGTCGGTATGCTGAGGGACTGGCAAGCAGCCTGAATAGCGTCAAAGATATAATTAGCAACCTCGAGTTGGACGACCTCGCCAGCAAAAGCGACCTAAAGACTATCCAAAGGCCCAAAAAGGCACCCGCCGGTCGACAAGGTAAAATGACTTTATAATTGGGAGTTAAATATATATATATATAATATAAAGCAAAACCAAATGGATGGGGGGGGGGTGTAAAAACCAAGACCATTTCACAACAAATGGCTATGAGAGGGAGGCGAGGAGTCTCTTTGAGACATTGCCAAAGTCATCAGTACCAGTGCCTTTTTGAACTCGCGCTGGACCTCCGCTCGCTCAAAGATTGCAGCTGGGTACAATATCTTCCACTGCCAGTACCACTCGGCAATCTCGGCGTAGTTAGCTTGTGGGTCCTCCAACCACCGCCTCAGATAGTCAATAAAGGCCGATAAAATCCGGCGCTTAACCAGGGCAAACCAGTCGGTAAATGGCAGATGGGAGTGCCACTTGAGAAGCACCTTAAATGGCCAGGTCGTTTGGCGCTGTGCATTAAATTCAAATTCTGCGCGCAGCATGCCCTCCAAGCGCTCGACAACCTTGGCACTCAGCCTGCGCAGCTCCTTACCCTGGAATAGTTCCGTCCAAGGGGAAATAATTGATATAATGTCGCTGTTGCTCTCTCGAGAGGGCACCCACAGGTCGAGTGCCGCGCAGAGCTTACGTCGTACGCTTGACATCAGCTCGGCATGGCTGTAGACAAAGGGAAGCCAGGGGATAACTACATGGTCGATTCGCAGTGCAGCCAATTGATTCGAGCGAGCCTCTGTGACAGAAGACTCTGGACCCGCTAGCGTGCGCCTGTAGCTTTCCATGACTGTTCGCGGGTTGATGGCGTCGATGCAGCGTTGGAGCACGGCGCCGATATCGTTGGAAAGCACGGCTGTGATCACAGGAGGCAGCTCGTCCAGCAGCTGGGCCATGCTGTCGGCCATGGGGTCCCACTCAGTGAATACAAAGCGCCTCAAACGTGGGACCAGCGTCTTGTTCAGTAAAGACTCGTACGGGGTCATTTCATTTGCAGCCATGCTCGTGTCGCTAGTCCGGACATAGGCGCGCAAGGGGGCCAACACTTGGTTGAGCAACTGTGGATAATCTGTTGGGGTCCAAGCGCGGAACAAGGTTGTCAAGTGGGGGTAGAGCGTGCTGGTAACAACCTTTTCTAGCTGGAATTCCCCCCAGGCGTCAAACTCGCAGCGTGCCTCGATCTGCTTTGCCAACCGGTGAATGTCAGCGTAGGCATTGTGCAGCGCCGAGAAGTCAGGCTTTTCCCCCGCGGCAGTACTAAGCTGGATGGTGCCGGAAGCAGCCCGCGCGGCAGCAATGGACTGCTGCAGCGCCTCGAGGCACTCTATGCGCGTAAGGCGCTTGTCTATGGTCAGGCTCAGTGTCTGGATTTCCTTTGTCAGCGACCCCTGCCTGCTCTCTTCGATCGACTGCTCGCGCGTGTGCTCCTCGAGCCTTGCAAAGGTGAGATCGAGGCCGATGCGCACATCGTTGACCAGCTTTTCCTTTTCGCTGAGCGGCAAGCGCTTGGCCACAAGCTCGGCAAGCGACGCAACCTCTGTGTTTGTGGTCATATCCACAAAGATATCCTTCATTTTGGCGGCTGTTTGGCGCTGCAGCTCTTCAATGGTCTTGTATTCGATCTTGGGGCGTGGCGGTGCGCGCGGCGTTTGTGGGCTGCGAGGCGTCCTAGAAGCGGCCTGCCGCTGTTGGCGTCCGGTTGGGCCGCGGGCAGAGGCGGAGCCTGGCAGTGGTGCTTCGGGAGGGCGCTCGCTTCCGCTAAATGCAATTCCTTCGCCTGCTCGGCGCAGGTGGACTTGGACTGGCTCGACGCGTCCCTCGCCGTGCTTCCCTAGGCCTTGGCCGGGTGTGTAGCCCATTTTGGCCATCATCCCCAAGACAGCGCTTCCGGCGAATTTCGCAAAATCCTTGCTCGGTGGTGGCTGCTGGTGTGGCTTCCGGTTGCTGGGTGCATGCTTTGTAGGGGCCGCTGCTGGGAATTTCGATGGCAATGACGACGCTGGTGCTGTGCGCTTAGAGTCCGAGCTTGATGAATCGGAGGCGGAATCGGAATCGGAATCAGAGCTCGAGTCTGAGTCTGAGCTGGAGCTAGAATTTGAGCCTGAATCTGAGTCTGAGTCTGAGTCTGAGCTGGATTTGAATTTGGATACCGAATGACCGGCCGGTTCATTAGTGTCGCCAATACCAGCATGACTGCTCGTAGCTTCCTCAGAAGTGCGTTTCTGATTCTGGCCAGCAAAGGGAGCACTAATGGTAGATGCGGGCAGGTCCGGGGTATCTAAATGGTCTGCGCTTTCAGGGATTGGGGCTGCCGGGGCGTCAGCGGCGGACACAAAGCCAATTGGGTTCAAGGGGTCGGTAGCGATGGTGGATAGTCTGGCCATATCGCTGTCAGAGTCGTCCTCAGCCCAGATTCCTAGCATCGCATCCTCCTTGGAGCGGGGGCGGCGGCGGCGGCCTCGGCTGGCGCCATTTTGGCGGTTTCTTTGGCTTTGCTGTTGGGCGTAGATTTCCTCATCTGAGCTGTCCTCAAAACCCCGATGCGAGTAATTATCATTGCCGTCCATGGCAACGTGTGTTTATATATATATATATATTTCGTGGCTAACCAAAGAAAAAAAAGAAAAATATCCAAAGAGAAAAAAAGAGAAATAATTTTGTTGGGTTTAGAATTTATAGTAAAGTGCTACAGAGAAAGAAAAAAAGTGCTAGATGGGGAGCAGCACGTGGCTATTGATAAACCATTTTTTTTTTGGTTCAGTTAATGCTAGTCGGGTTGGTCAGTTTGCGGATCGGGGCAGGGCCGGCCCAAGTACCCTTAAGCATGGAGTTCCAGTAGACCGCGGGCAGTACGTCAGCGGTGAGCCAGTACGAAAAGGCGTGCTCCTTAGCCTGGTTGAAGAAGAAGGTCTCCTGGGGGGTTCCGGTGTATCCCGAAAACTCGGCAAGAACCAGCTTATGCTTGCCAGTGACAAGCGGGCAAGAAGTGTATCCGTTGTACTCAGCAGCGGGGGCATCCGAGCCGCGGATCTGGTTAAGCAGGTTATGCTTGAGGACCTGCGACTGTGCGGCGGCGGCAGCGGCGGTCTTCGAGGTGGGCAGGGAGGAGCAGTCACCGAGCGAGTAAATGTTGCCGTACTTGTTGTGCTGCAGGGTGAACTGGTTGACGTCGACGTAGCCGGCGGCGTTAGCGATGGGGCTGTTCTTGATGAAGTCGAGGGGCTTCATCGGAGGAGTGACGTGCAAGAAGTCGTAGGGCACGGTGATGGACTCACCGGCGCGGGGGCCATCGCCAAGAAGCTTGAAGGTGGCCTTCTTGGCGGGGCCGTCGACCTCAACCAAGTCATGGAACAGGTTAACGTTGACGTCGCGGTCCTTGGCAACGGCGTTCATGGCGTTGGCGTACTTGTCGACAGCAAAGATCTTGCCAAGCCCGGTGTAGTAGTTGATGGCAACGTTGTTGCGGACACCCTTCTCGCGGAAAATCTCGTCAGCAAGGTAGGCGATCTTCTGGGGGGCGCCGGCGCACTTGATGGGGGTGGCAGGCATGGTGAACAGCGCATTGCCCTTGGTGGTGTTCTGCAGGAACTCGTAGGTGTTCTGCACGTACTTGGGCGAGTAGTTGCTGGCGACGCCGTTCTTTCCAATGGCGTCCTTCAGGCCCTTGATACCGCCAAAGTTGAGCTCAATGCCGGTAGCTACGACGAGGAAGTCGTATGCAACCTTTGAGCCATCGGCCAGCGTGACGGTGCTGGCCTCGGGGTCGATCTCGGCGGCAGCCTGCTGGATGAGGTGCGCATCAGGCGAGACAACGTCGGCGGTAGGGCGATGGGTCTCGCTAAAGTCCTTGAGCCCGCCGCCAACAAAGGTGAACAGCGGCTGCTGGTAGTGCACGGGCGACGGCTCAATGACGGCGACCTCGTTCTTGCCCAGAGCCTGCGCCAGCGTCGAAGACACGGCAAGGCCGGCAGCGCCGCCGCCGATGACCACAAGCTTGTATGACGCGGCAGGCGTGGTGGCGGCGGCGGTCGAGGCGAAGCGGGTCCAGCTGTGGCGGAAGGATGAGCGCGAAACAAACTTTGCGGCGAGCATTTTGCAAGTAGAGTGAATTTGGAAAGTTGGGAGGGGGTTGTGGAAATGAAAAGGCTAAAAAAATAGCACAAGGCCCGCGGCGAGATAGCAGGCAGGGGGGGGCACGGACATGCGGGCAAGCCAGGCGCGGGCGCAGGCACAGGCGTGGGCACAGGCACAACAGCCCATTTTCACTGGATCTTTTCGACTTGCCGCTTCGGCTTTGGGGGCTTGCCGCATTTGGCCTTTGACCCAGCTGTGCGCGCGATGGCGCAATTTTGACAATCGCATCAATGATTCGCGGTGATTTGATCCGGTCTAATTTGATCGCGCGTCAGGCACCCAGGATCTCGGCAGCCAGCACGCGCACGCGCGCGTCGGCGGCGGCGGCGTCCACAGTGCATGCGCGCACGGCGGCGGCCAGCCTGGCGGGGCGCGCGGGGCAGCTGGCAATGGCCTCGAGCACGGCGCGCTGCTGGGCGGGCGCGTAGGCGCGGAACGGGCCAAAGACAACGCCCTTGGCTGGCACCGCCACGCAGAACAGCGGCACGAGGCTGGCCTGCAGCGCAGCCACAGCGGCGGCGTCCAGCAGCCGCGTGCGCTGGCACACCAGCCGCAGCGCGCTGGCGGCGGCCGCCGTGGCCGGCGCGTTGCGGTCGCGCAGCTGCCACAGCAGCTTGGGCAGCGCCAGCGCCCAGTCGGCAACGACGCCGTGCAGCGGCGCCAGGTTCAGCGCGCCGTGCACCGGCACGCGCGCCCAGTGCATCTCAACGGCGCGCGCCACAAAGCGGATGCCCAGCGCCTTGCTCGCCGATGCCAGCGGGCACGCGCGCGCGTACAGCGTGGCGCCGGCCAGCAGCCGCGCTGCGCTGGCCTGGTCGGCGCCCAGCGCCAGCCGCCACAGCGCGGCCAGCAGCTGCGCGAAGGCGTCGGGGCTGAGGTGGGCGTTGGGGGCGGCCTCCTGGGCCAAAAGCGCGCCGGAGGCATCGCTGGAGGCCTCGCCGCCGTCCTTGGCCTTGCGCGCCCGCAGCCCCATCGTCTGCAGCACGTAGCGCCCGGCGCGCCTGGCCCAGCGGGCGGCGTCGGCGGCGTCGGCATCTGCATCGGCGGCGGCGGCAGCCTTGGCCCCGGCCTCGCCGGCGCCCACATGGCCCAGCTGCACGAGCGCCGCCAGCTCGCACACGCGTATGTTCATGGCCAGCAGCGCCTCCTCGGCCTGCGCCGAGCCGGCGTAGCCGTCGCCCAGCGGGAAGTGCACCATGCAGCGGCGCAGGAAGCCGACCAGGTCGCGCGCGGCCGGCGGCACCGCGTCGGCGTGCGCCGTGCGCCACAGCGTCTGCAGGATCTGCAGCACCAGCGCGCACAGGTCCAGCGACCGGTCGGCTGCCAGCGCATTGGCCGCGAAGACCGTCGACGCCTCCATCCACGTGGCCAGCAGGAACGGGAACAGCCGCGCCAGCGCCTCGGTGCTCTGCGCGCGCACGGCCGCCGCCTCGGTCGGCGCGGCGCTGGGCTCGCCAAACAGCCCCAGCGCCGCGAACGGCGCCGCCGCGTCCGCGTACAGGAACTCGGCGGCCGGCGGCGGCAGCGGCGCGTCGGCGCCCATAAACCACAGCGCGTCGCCGGTGGCCAGCGCCGGGCGCGTGTAGACGGCCAGGTAGTTGTGGCAGCTCTGCATAATGCCCAGCCGGGTGCCCTGCGACAGCAGCGCCGTGCGCGCCGTGCCGCTGCTCCCGTCGCCGGCCGCCTGCGTCTCGAGCAGCCCGAAGAAGTTGCGCAGGATGGTCGCCGAGTGCTGCGCAACGGCGGCCGGCGCCACATCGGCCAGCAGGTCCAGGAACCGCACGGCGTCGCTGCGGATGTCCTCGAGGATGTGCGTCATGCCCGAGCACGTGAACACCACCATCAGCGGCGCGAACGGCGCCAGGTCGCGCTCGGCCACGGTCCGCAGCATGCTTGTGTACAGCCGCAGCAGCGCGCGCCGCACGGCCGGCTCGTTGTCGACGACCAGCCGCACGCTGCCCTCGATGATGGCGCCCAGGTCGGTGCGCAGCAGCGCCGGGTGCATGCCCACGAGGTCGCCCAGCCCGCCCACCGCCTCCTTGCGTACCGGCGCGCTGTAGTGCCGCAGCCGCCCGACCAGCTCCTTCAGCGTCATGTTGCGCGAATTTGTGACGGCCGCGCTCTTGTCGGCCATGATCGACTGCCCGCCCATAACGATCGACTTTGCTGTGAACGATGTGTCGGTGGCGTTGGCCGCCGGCCCGACCTTCTTGCCGACCTTGAGCTTGACCTTCTTGAAGTCCTCGGCCTTCTTCTGCTTCTTTTTTGTGGTCTTTGGCATTGTGAGCTGTGAGCTGTGTGTGGTTGAGCGAAAATAAAATATAACGTACGAGCAGAGGCAAAGAGCAGAAAAAGCAAAAAAATTACTTTCAAGAAATATTTGATTTCTGATCCACGCTGGACAAATGAAATAAATGCGCATGCATGATCCTGCTGATCGCGGATCACCCAGCCAGCAGCCCCGCCTCCTCAAGCAAGGGCCAAGCAAGGGCCAAGACCAAAAGCAAGAAAGAGCAAGGCCAAGAGCATCACCCTCATCTGCCTTTGCGCTTCTCTTTCCTCCCCTCTTCCACATGTCTTTGTCCATACTGCCGCGCATTTCCCGCTCATTTGCTTCTTCCATTCCCACCACTCCTGCCCGAGCCCTATTCCATTCCGCCAGAAACTCAAAAAAGGCCAGCAACACAGTAAAGATGCCGCCCAACTCAGCCGCCACAAAAACCGACGACGAGTGGAGGGCCGTCCTGTCGCCCGAGCAGTTCCGTGTGCTCCGCCAAAGGGGCACCGAGCCTGCCTTTGTCGGCAAGTACACCGACACGACGGACCCCGGTGTCTACGCCTGCGCCGCCTGCCACACGCCGCTGTACGAGTCAGCCACGAAGTTTTCGTCGGGCTGTGGCTGGCCCGCCTTCTTCGACGCCATCCCTGGCGCCATCGAGCGCATCGAAGACACGTCGCACGGCGTGGTGCGCACCGAGATCGTCTGCGCAGCATGCAAATCGCACCTCGGCCACGTCTTCAAGGGCGAGCGCTTCAATACGCCTACTGATGAGCGCCACTGCGTCAACAGCATCAGCCTGAGCTTCGGCCCTGACAACGGCTCTGGCCAGAAATAGAGAGACTCTTATTCAAATCCAAATAGCAAACCTCCACCCTTGTATTAACAATAAACCACAAAATATAAACCAACTCAGTACTCGACGTCCTGCGCCCACGAGCACCGCCCATCCTTGGGCCCGTCGCGCCACCTCTCGTCCACCTTGGTGCAGTCGAACTCGTCCTTGCCAAGCATGATGTTGACTTTGTTGTGCGTCTGGCACATCCACTGCGAGAGCCCCGCGCGCGTGTCCACGGCGGGCGGGTGCTTTTCCATCTCGGAGCGCAGGTGCGTCGCGCACCTCCCACACGGGTAGAAGTACGAGAAGCTGGTCAGCAGCGACTGCATGATCCCCTGCTGCCTGCTGTCTGCCTTTTCGGGGTAGTACGCCGCCATTGTGTGCAGAAACGTCCACGTCGCCCGCCCAAGCACCTGTGTGTCTGGCGGGCACTCGTCATCCGCCAGCGTCATGATCGACGACGCCGACGATCCTGTCGCCGCCACTGCTGCTGCTGCTGCTGTTGTCGCTGCCGCTGCTTTCTTTGCCTTGCTATGGCCCTTGGCCTCGTGCTGCCGCCAGGACTTGAACGAGTCGCATACCCGACAGGGCTTGCCGTCCTTGTCGACGGTTTGCTTCATTGATCCACCCATCTTGCCAAACATCGCCGCTACCGGCTTGGCGCCGGCGCTGCTGCTGTCCTTTTCATCTGCCATTCTGTGCTGCGCTCGCGAATTTGCTTGTTGAATGCTCGTGTTGCTGCTGAATTTAGTTTAGCCCAAGGAGATAAAAAAATAATAAAAATGAGAACTTTGCCAAGAAAAAGGGCTAATGGATGGATTGGGTGGGATGGATGGCTCGAATCACGCTTTTTATTAGTAAGAATTTGTACTCCATAAGCCAGGCCCTGCTTGCCGTAATACACAAACTCACACCGACACGCGCAATTTCTCGCGCCTAGTCGTCCGCAGAGCGGCGCTGCTGCTCCCTGCCGCCACTGCGAGGATTTCTGGCAGAGCTGGTGCCTGGCCGAGCATCCGATCTCTGCGTCGCCCGCCTACTCTCCTCCCACAGCGACGGCTCTGCACGCGACGTGTCCTCCTTACTGTGCCCCTTCCACTTTGTGTGGGACCTGCGGCCCTCCGCGTTGATCATCGCATACTCAAACATCTGCTGGCTCATAATAGCATTGACCTCCGTGTCGTTCTGCGCAACGTCCAGCCGCATGGCATTCTGCTCCTCAAGGTACTCCATGCGGAGCTCCCTCGCGCGCTCGATTTTCTCCTCGCGCTGCTTCCGCACAACCTCAATATCCTCGGCGTACTTTTCTGCCTCGGACATGTTGCGCCGCCGCTCGCGCTCCTGCTCCTCCAGATCAACAACCTCGCCTTCCTCCTTGTCGCGCTTAATCCGCAGCAGCTCGCGCAGCTTCCACGCTTCGAATTCAGCCTCCGGATCAACATCGTCTGTGTCGTCCACCAGATTCGCATGCTCGTCGTTGTCGATCTCGGGCTGCTCGCGCGCGCGCCGTGCCTCTTCGGCTGCCATGCGCACGGACTCTTCGCGCCGCGCCTCCTTCATCTGCGCTGACGCCTCGGCCCCCAAGTCTCTGGCCTCGCCATTTTCGTCTTCGAGCATTGCTGCTGCCCTGGAGGACTGCTGCGCCTGCTGTGGGTTCTGTGGGTTCTGCTGTGTCTGTCGCTGCGACTTGGGCACAAACATCGGCTTGAGCATTGGCCGCACTGCATATCCACCATCCTCACTGCTGCTGCCCGACTCTTCGCTGCTGCTACTGCCGCTGCTATTGCCAGAGCTGCTGCCGCTGCCCGGTGACTCAGTGGCGCCCGCACGAGCACCGATACCCTCGGGCTTACGAATCTGCATCGAGGCTCGCAACCGGGCACGCGCCATGTCGCTTCCAGAGTCGCTGTCGCTGCCACTATCGCTGCTTGCCTCTTCGTTGGCGCGCTGCCTTGCAAGAAGCCGCGCTTGCATCAACTGCTTGGTCTCGCCGTCAGATTCGGCGTCTGAATCTGAAAACCCCTCGTTTCCCTGTTGCGCATTCCCAATCCCACCCCCGATGCGCATCGGCGCCGATAGCACTTCTGTCGCTGCTGTGAGCCTGGCGCTTGCCCTGAATGAAGTGCCGGCGGCCAATTGCACAGTGTGCTCTGTTTTTGCTTCTGTCTCTGCTTCGGATTCCGATTCGGATTCGGAAAATTCGTCCATATGGCCTTCGGGTGCCTTTCCGGGAAAGTACCGGTGCACTTTGACCCCAGATGTGGCCACTGGTTTGGATACCTTTTTCTCGGGTGCCCTTGACATTGCTTTTTGTATTGCTGCTGCCTAGCGTGAGCTCGGGTATTTGTGTGTATTTTGTGTGTATAAGGAAAAAAAATAAGGTTGCTTGATCCTGCTAGTTATTCGGAGCCACCTCTGCTTGGTGCTTTTGGTGAAATAAAAACACCTGTCTCCCGTGCGCTTTGCGCAGCGCTGGTTATCAGCTATGGGTTTTGGGTTTTCGGCACATGTAACCCCTGCGGCCCGATTCAAAATTTTCAGATGAGACTTGCATATCGACACTCAATCCACCCCCTTCCACTTGGATCCTCCATATTCAAAAGAAACATATAGCCGCGCTCCCCCCCCTCTCTCCCTCCTTCTTGCAGCTGGGCATTTGCTTTTTGCTTTACTTTGGCAGGTTGCGAGGTGCACTGGGCAACCGCTGTGCCAACGTATCAGCTTGCTCCTTCTCCCACCTCTTCACAAACGGCCTTTGACGAAGGTAGAACACGTCACGGTGCAGCACGTACACCTTGCGCTTTGGGGCTTCTGCCGTTCTGTCTGCGGCGCTGTCCTCTTTTATGCTTGCTTGGACCTTCTGCTCGTTCTTTTTATCCTTCTTCTCGCTCTTCTCCTTGCTGTTATTTTTGTTACTGTTGCTCTCGGACGGTCCCGCACCGTCTACACTGTCTGCTCCAAGCTGTCTGTCCTTATTTGCAGCTTTCCCTCGGCTCGCTGGATTATCCATGCCAGCGCTAGCAACAAAGTCTTTGCTCGCTGTGTCCAGGGCCACTGTGCAAAAGCTCGGCATCAATGTGTGCTTTGAACATATGTAGAACCAGTCGGTGGCTGTTCCTTGCTCGGTCATAAATATGTTTGGCGTAAAGTACCCGCATATAAAACATGTGCCCTCCTTTGCGGCTGTGCGCTGCACATAGCGGTTCGTCGGAAGTGCTGGCCGATTTTGACAAGACATTGAAGCGAATTGGGTTGAATTATGTAGGAAAAAATTAAAGTGAAAAAGAATAACAGCCTAATATTCAGCCAAGGAAAAAGGCAAGTCCGTTTTCAAAGGGATGTCTGTGATGAGACGAGGATAACAAAAAATGTTGTATTCACAGACAGCGGTTTTCCGAGTTTGTACCTCACGTGCCAAATAAACACCTGATGAGGCCAAGCTGCGCGTGCACCGGCCGCCTGTAACTTGTTCGCATAGCTATATGGTCATATGCCCAGAAGCGTTCAATACACACAAAATTTACACCTTGCACTTGGCAAAGAAGGCTGAGGACTCAAAAAAACACATTTGTATTCTTACCGTCAGCTTTAGATAAAGACTGAAAAATTGGTACTCACCTGCTATCTGGAATGTTTGCGTTGCAAAATATTTTGGTGCTGGTGTCACAGATGGAAAGTATAAAAAATAAAGGATGCTGGGAAAAAAAATGCGCCGACACGAATACCTTTACGAAAATACCCTCCCCCTGTTACTAGCAGGGTAGGGGGGGGGCGGGCATTTGCAAGAGTCAATAGCGGCGGCTGTAGTGAGAGCTACCACCTCCACTTCCGCGCTCATGCGAGCGATCGCGTCTGGGTGGCCGGGACGACGGCGAGCGGCTCTTGTTCCTGTAGTCGCGGCGGTCTCTATCTCTATCCCTGTCTCTATCCCTGTCTCTGTCTCTATCTCTATCTCTGTCTCTGTCTCTATCTCTTTCCCTGTCGCGGTCCCTATCCCTAGGGCGGTCTCTGTCCCTCTCTCTGTCTCTGTCGTAGCCACGGTCGCGGCTCTGGTCGTAGTTCTTTCCACGGTCGCGGTCACGGCTTCGGGGCTCGTACGCAGCCGGCGCGCCGTTCCTGTTGTTGTTGCTGCTGCTTCTTCTTCTGTCAGCGTATCCTAGGGGATGCTGCACACGCGGCTTCCCGGAATCATAGTCGCGCGACCTGTCTATGCGGTCACCTCCTCCACCTCGATCGTCGTAGCGGCGCTCTTGGTAGTGTTCGACCGGCAGTGTAGGGTCGAAGCGCCCAGGGTTCTTTTGATTCACAGTCTTGTCTCCCAGACGCGTGCCGCCCAGGCCACCGCCGAAACGACGCGGCACCCAGCCCTTAACAGTGCGGCCTCTCTCAACATCAACCACCACGCGGCGACCCAGAATCCGCATGCTGTCGGCGGTCCGGAACGCCTCACGCATATCGACCTCGCGCTCAAACTCAATAAACGCGTACCCGCGGAAGTTACCCTCCATATCATTGACCATCTTAACGCTGACCAGTACGCCGAATTTAGAAAACTCCTCGCGCAAAAGCTCCTCGGTCACGTCGTAGTTTAGACGCGCTACAATAATGGTCTTGTATGGGTCTTCAGTCGCCTGCAGATTGAGACTGGGGTCCCAAGTTGTCACTCCGCGGATTATGTTGTCGCGCGCTTGGATTGCACGCTCCTTTTTGAGACGATCCTTGCGCTGCTGCACGGTCTCAACGGGTTCGCTTCTGGGGCAGCTGAGTAGCTCTGCGACGTGTTGAGCAATTCCGGTTGCTCTCGGCTTGGGCTTGTCTTCGGGAGCGCAGTCGAGCTGCTTGACATGTTCCAGCGCCGGCCGTGGTGTGAACAGCCGCAGCAGGTCGGGCGGCAGCTTTGATGTCATACGATTTGAATGAAATTTACAAATGAAAGCTCGTAAAGCTCTAAATAGAAAATTGAAACACTTGTTGATTAGAATAGATAAAAACAGAAAAGAAAAGAAAAAGAGGCACATTGGTTGCGTGTTCCACAGCCCAAAAATATTTGACAAAAAATCCAAAATCCAAAATTCAAAATTTCAAAATTAAACCCATCTTGATCTGGAAATCAAGCTGGCCAACATGGTCGCAGTTAGCTTTAAATGCATTTAATACATAATAAGAAAATAATGAGACTACAAGTATCCCTCAAAACGGCATCCTCCCCCCCCCCCCCCCCAGATTGACTAGCAACTCAAAAAGTGTTTAGAAACTAGTGGCAATAGACCACTATGGTTGACGATATTATCGACTTTGTTGCTTCTTTTGAAGAGAAGAAGCAGGGGAAAATGGATTCTTGCGCACGCGCTTTGGCTTGAGCTTTGGCTTGAGCAGAGTCTCAGGTGTCGCTGTAGACTCGGCTTCGGCTGACTCTGCTGGTACATTTTTGCGCAAGAAACGGGTTTTGAAAACCCCCGCTTTAAAACCTGGACTTTCCCTATAAATGTCTGGAAATTCCAAAATACATTTTCAACAATGATATGTAACCAAGGTAGTGTCAATTAATTATAACAAAAATATGCGCACGCAAAGGAGAGGGAGAAAATAAGCAAGTCTAAGTTGGAAAATATGTATTTATCGAGACGGGGGTGTGTTGAACACTCAGTCCTTGCGACGACGCAAACCCCACAGCAGGTCCCAGCGGGACTTGGCAGAGGCAGAGGCAGGGCCTGGGGCAGAGGTAGGCCCAGGGGCTGGGGCTGAAGCAGACTCATTCAAGGACACAATTGACTCTGCCAGTGCAGCATCACTCTGGAAGCGCCGGCGCAAGCGCTGGAGTGACATTTGCTTGACACCATTGCCTGAGGCGTCACTGGCATTTAAAAGCGGCGACTGCGAGCGCGAAGCCACCGTCGTCACCGACAGCAACGCTGGCAGGGACTGCGGCGCACAAGCGGCAATAGTAGGGCGCATGTATGAAGAAGTATCCGCAACAGAGGCGGTGCGCTGCATATATGCCATGTCCTCGCGCGACGTCGGCATCGGCGTGTCAAGCAGGCGCACGGTAGTGCGGCACAGCCAAGCGGGCAGCGCGACCTTCAATTCGGCCGATGTCAGGTCTATGTCGGCAAACTTTGTGAATGTCGGCACCTCGGACTCGACCAGCTTGGCTTTTCCGGCCGGCAGACTGCGCATATTGTATGAGCACGCCAGTGCATCATAAACAGCTGCCACAGCACGGGCGTGCAGCGCGCGCGTGTCCTTGCGCGACGACGAGCTACCAGCAGTGGGCGCAGCCGACAGCTCTGCCATCATGCGCTGGAACAGCGGCCGCTGACGAAACGATGCGTAGTCCTGCTCAAGCAGCGCACATGTGTGGTCCTGCGCTTCCTGGAATATGTTGGAAGTGACCGGCTCATTGCTTCGGAAGACGTGGGCAATGCGCTGGCGCACAGCGTGGCTAATGTTAATTTCTAGAGCCGCGCGGTTCGAAATGAACGCCTTGTAAATGCCCGTGGCGTAGCGCGTGCGCCTCTCGTTGCTGCTAAACTTGGCTGCGCGGTAGTGCTCAACCTCCAGATAGAAAAGCAGGTTTTCAGAGCAGTAGCCCAGGATGGTCGACGCCAGCAGATAGCACACACCCACTGGCGACGTTAGCAGTGACTGCAGGCCATACTGCTCAATCTGCCGTGCGAAAAAGTCGCGGCAGCTGTTCTCGCCGCCAACAGATAGGCTGCGCTTGCGCGGCCGGAACGTGCCTCCTGCTGTCGAGTCAAACCCGGTGCCAAACCCATTATTCAGCCCATTGCCCTGGCAGTGCGAGTGGTAGGAGTCAGTTGTCGATGCTGTTGCGGGTGGCGAAAGCATCGAGACACCGGCCACCATAGTTTGGGGACTTTCATTGGTGCTGCCATTGACATCATGCATACTGTAATCAATGGTGTCGGTAGTGATGACATCCTCTCCTGCAAAGCTGGTGGGGCTGACGGCCGTTGCCGCCAAGGATATCGACACATAATCGGTAGAAATTTCTGTCGGCGTTCGTGTATGAGTACCTGACCGCCCGCTGCTGCTGCTGTCACTCTGCGCCGTCGGGCTCTTGCGCAAGCCCGAGTAGAGCGCGTTTACAAAGCGCCCGCTCCGCTTTGTCGGCGACTGCAGCTGTGAGGTTGACTGTGATTCCGCGCTGAACACGAGCGATGTGAATGCCATTGAGGAGTCCGATGCTGTGCGTTGGTGCGACTTGAGCATGGAGATGATGTCACATTCGCTGTCGCTGTCGTCGCAGTCAATGCTTGACATGTCATTGCGGATGCTCTTGTTGACAAAGTCGCCCGAAAGCGACCGCCGCAACACCCTCTGTGCTTGCCTGACTGTGCGCCGGGGCAGCTGCTCTGCCCGAACCCGCAGGAAAGAGATGCCTGCATTTGGCGCAGAATAAGTGGAATACGCTTCTGACATTGGTGATATATTTCTTGATTGTGTACCAGAGCAGAGTATTGTGATGTAATGTACCCCCACGTTTATATAAAGATGTAGTCGACTTTAAACCCTAGTATTAAGGATGTGTGAGGCTCTAACAAAAAATATATAAAGCAGCAGATATGAATGCTAACCAGCCGTGTCGCGCTAAACACTCGCCAGCCTGTACAATTATAGGTTGAGTAAGAGTAGGATAAATTCGTAAATATGAATATGTGTGTAAATTTTTTTGGATGGCTGCAAAATACAAAAAGTCAAAATCAGCAAATGTGGCTGTGAATGGACAAGTCAATGAAGCAGAAGAAAGGCCCACTTGCGAGGATGGGGGGGCTAATTGAGTAGAGTAGAGTTGATGAAGATGGTGATGATGGGGAGCAAAAAAGAAAGGGAGGGAGGGACAAAAGATATATGGATACTACGACAAACGCCGGCGTGTAAATTGAGATTATAAAGATGAATGTATACAAATACGAATGGAAATAAGAAAATATAATATCCAAAAGGCCTGCATGCAGTATTTTTAGCTGGACAGGCGGTCGCTGAATGAAGCTGCGAGAGGACAAAGAGAATAGTAGAACGCAGGAGAGTAGCGAGCAGTAGGTTAAAGACTATTGTGGCGAGTGTGGCGTGTGTAGTGAGAGGCCAGGGGCTAGTCCTTTTAATCGAATCTTGCCTGATGGTGTGAATTCCGATATTGTCTGCATGCTTGCTTGCGTGCTCACGCTTTACTGCCTCTCTGTAGAAGCGTTGGGAAACAGGCACAAAAGGGGGTTCCTTGAAAGAACGAAAAGGAAAAGGAACAACTGCTTGGTTGGTGAGTGTAGGATCTGCCGCCATATATTTATTGATTCTTATTGATGCAGTCCACTGCCTCATGCAGAACGATGCCTTTAAATTTTACACTTTGCCTTTGCAACTGCTGCGTGACACCAGTGCGTATTCTTTCTTTCTATATTTTATGTTTGCTGCACCCAACAGCAGGCAGCAGCGGGCAGCTGCCCGCTGCTGCCCACGCCGGCCGCCAGGTGCATGACGCCGTCTAATGTGCATTGCTGCAAGCATTGCTCAAGCCCATGATAATAGATGCATCCATCTGACACGCCCACTTGAATGCAACAGATGCTTGCCTATTGGGCAAAAAAAAGGAGAGGGAGAGGTGTATTTTTACCCAGTACGCCTGTCCGTAAAAAAACGTAAACCAGTGCAGTGTTCTCAGTCAGTATGTTCCCTTTTTCGCAGAATACGCTCGATTAAGCAAAATATACATATTTGGAGCAAAATAATTTCCCAAACTGGCATCTTCGTCCAGTTAATATGCAGGTTATTGGCCAAATGATGTTGACTCCTATGGCCATTCGCCAGTGGTATCGCTCGCCATATCCGCTTGTCATATCCACTTGCCCGCGAATGGCGCATCTATCGCTCATATTCCCTGCAGAACAAGCAGCGACAATGGCGGTATCGGCACCCCATCCGCTTGTGTAGAAATCTAGGTCAAAGCAAGTAAAAAACCAGAATTGAAGTATAGTATTTTGATAATATTTTGATGACGGCCTACTTGTCTGGGTACACGCATGCTTTGTAATGCGTGTCAAAAACACGCTCTCGCTGAATAGCTTGTGTCAACTCTGAGTATCGACAAGCGGACGGGCAGCAATCGCTGACACCTTATTGACCGTGTCGCGCTGCCCATGAGCGCAGCGTTTGGCGCATATCCTCGAGCGATATTGCTTTGTGATGATCGCATTTGCTTTCTCACGAACGTCAATAAATAATGTGAGCTTTTCGATTTATAAATTGAATACGGAATCGCATTACGCTCAAAGAAGAGTCCGAATGCGACAAGGACAACTTTGCGCAAAACAATGAACGGTGCGGGTGGGCCAAAGTTAAGCTGGACATACTGTTAGGCTGCACCAGAATATAATTGAAAAATAGAAAATAAAAAACAGACAGACAGACAGACAGACAGACAGACAAACATGCAAACAATAAAACGCATGCGATATGCGAATAATTTCAGTCAGTTCGTTACAGCTGCGCGCGCTGGGTCCGCTATGCTGTCTCGCCGGCAGCGGCAAACATCTTCTCGGACGTCACATTGCGCAGGCGCTGCTCCTCTTGGCGCAGCTCGAAGGCCTTTGCGCTGCGGCGGATCTCGCGGTGTTCGACAGACAGCTGCTTGGCGCTGAACGGCTTCTCCAGCATGCGGGCGCCGTAGGACCTTGCCTCCTGCCGAGCAATCTTGGCCTCGATCTCCTCGCGCGCGCGGATCTTATAGAACTCGCTGGTCGCCTGCGCGTACGCCTCCTGCTCGCTCATGTTCTCGCTCTGCATCAGGAAGTGCTGGTACCGAACGACACTACATCCGAAAATTGAAAATTGTGATTTAGTGATTGCGCACTCGCCATTGTCTACGAAATACAGGGGCGCTAAAGGGCAGCAGATAATAATATCATATTATATGCCATCACCGTTGCACAATATGCCAATAGCTATTCTCAACTGCAAAGAAACACATGGCTGGATTGTGGCGGAATTAGTTGCATACAACGGCAAACAATACGGCATTTGCAAGAATAACAGTGCCCGTGGCGTTCCAGGCGATGCGGCCGTCAACAATAATTCAGCACTGCTTTCTCAAAAGAGGGTGTAGCTGCAACTCAAGGCGATGGCGCAGCCACAGTGGGCAGCCACAATGGATGTGACGGAAGCAAAAAACCACGTGCTGCACTGCGCTAGCAGGCGGCTCACTGGCTCGCCAGGTTTGATTCGACTTACTTTTCTCCAGTAACCTGGCTCGAGCCGTGCGAAAGCTGGCTCCAGTCGTGGCAGGTCTTGCCAGTCGGCTCCATGACAATGCGCGGCCTTGACTTCTCAAACGGGTGGTTTTTGTAGAACACGCGCCGCAACCTGTCCTCGGGGAACTCGATCTTTGGCGGCCTGGTGCTGCGCGTGCGCAGGTGCGCCTTGCCGTGGCGGATCGACACGCAGCCCTCGGGCAGCGCGCGCCTGATCTTCGTCACGTCGGCGGCAGCCTTTGCGTCAGTGCTGACCGTTGCGTCGGTCGTCTCGAACGAAAGCTTTCCGCCTGTGGAGAACTGCGTTGGGTCGCGCACCAGACTGTCCGAGGGCGGCACGCTTCTCATTGCATGCAGCCACGCTGGCACATGCTCGCGCAGATTCGCATTCAGCAGCTGCTCGTACGTCTGTCTGACACCCCGTGCTGCTGATGGTTTTTTGAACATTTCGATGTGTGATTTAGCTCCTGAAAAGTCCGATGCGAACGAAAAGAGACGCGGTCAATTCAAAAGGTAGAAAAATAATTGAGCAGAGTCAAAAGCCATACAAATTCGAATTTGCCGCCTGCAAGCCAGCGGATAAGCCTGGAAAATGGCCAAATAAAAAATAATAAGCCTGTGATTGTGTTGATCGCAGATTCCCGATTATCAACCAGGATTAACCGATGTTGCACCGGCTGCCGCCCAAAATAGGCTTTTATTGCCCATGCATGTTTTGCTTAGAGTGTGACGTGTGCCGTGTGTGTTTCTAAATTGCCTCTACTTTCTCTTTGATCTATTTTTTAAACCGGTTCTATTTTTTAGACACGATTATTTTGCACACCACCGACTTGCGGCATATTGACTTTTACTCATTAGAAGCTATGGCAACAATGCAGAGACTACCTGACGAGACTGTGCGGCTGATCCGCTCTGGCGCCGCCATTACGGATATCGGCGACATAGCCATGGCCCTGCTTGACAACAGTACGTCAATGAAAACTCAGCAATAATTATTTAAATACCCGAAACCGACACATAGTCAGCTAACGCGCTTGGCGCTGTGCAGTTAACTATAGGCATCGACGCGGGCGCTACCAGGTTCAGGTTTGAGATGTCACTCGACCAGTTTTCCGTGGCTGCCAGGGATAACGGCTGCGGCATTCCGGCGGCCAGCATGGACGTGTTGGGCCAGCGGTACTTTACCTCAAAAAACTGCCAGGGCTGGGACCGACGGCACAAACTGTTGCTTGGCAAAAAAACGATCGGATACCGTGGCGAAGGTACAGTAATTTATAGGTTCAAACGTTGTTGAAAGCAAATACAGTATACTCGACATGCACAAATACTAATTTGAAACGCTCGTACTTTGATTCTAGCGCTGGCAAGCATTTCTCAAATTGGAATTGTTGATATCATCAGCCGGGACAGCGAGTCAAAAAGGGCATTTCGCTGCACAGTGCGCAATGAGAAGCGAATCTTTGGCGGCAGCTGTGCATTGGATTTGCTAGATGGGTACAGCACTGTTGTCAGCGTCACCAACATATTTGCATCCCATCCAGTCAGACAAAGAATTGTTGGCGAGACAGCCAAGCGAGTGGCAGACGACATCAGATCCAAATTGCAGGTTCGCTCGCTGGGTTGTCCAGAAATTGCGATCCAACTTGTAAAATCGACGGAAAATACGGTTGTATTTTCATATAGCTCGACATTATCGCTGAATCAGCGCGTATCGCAGATATACGGTCCGTCAATTGCTCACGGTCTTGACTTTATTGCCTTGGATTACGATGACTACCGGCTCTACGGATCAATGTCCAGGACACCCATCCTCAATCGCATCCAGCATATATTTGCCGATGGGTATGTGTGGGACTCGCCAGAACTAATCGGCATCATTCGTTCGGTGTTAAAGATGAGCGACTACACGAACAAGACCAACACCATTGGCAATCTTGAGTCATCTACCCGGTCGCGGGTGCTTCATCCAATGTTTATTCTGACAATTACACGACGCTGCGCCAAAGACACGCTCTCATCGTGCATTGACCACCAGACACGCAGAGACAGTTTTGAGGTACAGTTTTGAATACAATAGCTTTTCGTACTGGAAATGTTGTGCGCACAAGCTTGATACATTTAGCGAGAGAAGTTGGTTTTTTGGTTTGTCTTGGTACTGATTCTCGTTATGTCCTTTGCGCTTCATTTGTCATTGATTGCATAGGTCACCGCCGAGATCAAGCATCTTGTCGTTGTGGCTTGCATCAAATTTCTCCGCAAGCTGGGCCTGATGGACGACTCGCAAATACAGTCTGCAATGTTACTTGTGTCTGGCCCAAAGCAATTTGGCACGAAAAGGCGGTTTGAATGCACACCTGAAGGCATAAATGCCACCAGCGAAAGACTGAGCGCAGGAGGCAAAAGGCAAGACACACTGCCGAGCGTTTTAAGGACGGGCTTGATGCATTGCACAAACAGCAGGTCGGTATTTGAATTTTCAACTGAGTAACAACGGTTGATTTGGTAGAGGCGGCAAAAAAACAGCTGGATACAGCCCCATATCTAACACTGCACGATGTTGAGAACCCAAATTGACATTGCATTGTAGGTTTCCAATTCACACTAGCTCTCAATTTCCGAGGCAAAACAATTGTGAAAGTAGTTGTGCGTTCCCGGGCTCGTTCGGGACCAGAGTGCGGCACGAGATACCATTTGCCGGGGCCATGAACAGCAGCGACAGCAGGATCCCAATTGATATTGCAGCGCTCCAGGTCATCGGGCAGGCGGATCAAAAGTTTATAATGTGCCGCGAGCCTGCCATCTGGCTGGTTGCCATTGACCAGCACGCGGCTGACGAGCGTGTTCGCTTGGAAACTAACTACAGCAAACTCAGCCGCACATTGGACGCAATTTCGCGCCTGCCGCTCGCACACCCGGCGACAATGGCTGATGGCGTCAGCCTGTTAATTCCGCCGGTGCTGGTCGCGCTGAGCAAGCACAACTACGATGTGGTTATAGGCCTGCAGGAGAGGCTGCGGCTGCTGGGCATACAGCTGGCGACTCCCGAGATGGCAGAGCCGGGCAGGCTGGTCAGACACAGCGACACGGCAGTCCACATCACTTGCGTGCCGACGGTGCTGGCACCCCGCCTGCGCAGCTCCGGGCAGGGCGGCGATGGGTTTGCCAAAGAATTTTTGGTCGCGGCCGCCGGATGGTGCCTCGAGCACCACGCTGCGGTAAACACGCGCCCAATGAGCCTGCAGCGCGAAGCAGAGGCAAATCTCGACAACGCCTGGCCGGCGCTGGTCAGCGTTCCGGGCATATTCTTGGACACACTCAAGTCGATCTCATGTCGAGGTAAGTGCAAGCTGTTATGCATATCCGGATACGTCCCCTTTCTCCCTTCCCCAAAATAAGAAGTTCATGAGGAATTAAATTTGTGTGTCATCTGCCAACTGTATACTTTTTTTCGTGATTCAGGCGCGGTCAAATTCAACGAGTCCCTGGACCTTGGCGAATGTCGGGCAATCGTGGAGCAGCTGGCAGCGTGCAAATTCCCCGAGTTCTGCGCACATGGAAGGTAAAAAGGGTGAAGCTGTGGTCAGTGCTTTTGGAAATGCAGCCCCTCCCTGCATGCACCACTTGCACCAGCTGATAAAATGAGAATATATCAGTCAGATGCATGTGGTAATATAGCAAGCGCTCGGTCGATGTTTTTTTCCATCTAATCTCTGGCATTATTGCGTATAAAAAGCTGCGTCTCACGCATGTAGGAAGTCCATCGCACGGATCGCCAGGCTCGACTGTATGACAAGCAACCGGCGCGCAGACAGCGCGCCCGGATAAATTGTTATTCCAGCCGCCAGAAGCCAGCATAGAGGAGAGGGGGGAAGGGGAGGGCTGATGCGGCCGGGGGAACCGTTTTTCCTTAATCTCAGATGGGAAAATGTATTTCCCCTTTTGCGATCCAGCCCGCCAATCCTGCACGCTGCCAGGACCAATAGCAGACGTTGACTGTTCCAATTTTGCTAGCGGAGAAACTAGGGGCCGATCTCAAAAAGGAGCCTCAATACACATGTGACGAGCGCCCAACCTGTGGCAATTCGTGCGTCAGCACAGAGCAGCACTTGCAAGCAGCAATTTGGACAAACACTTTTTATTACTTCGTCGGCGGTTGGATGAGGGCGCAGGCACGATTAACGCTCTTTGTTGTGACTCACAGTGCCTAGGCTCGGGTCTGACATGGCATGATATGGTATTAACCACCGCTTCTCCCGCACAGCCCAAACAGGATAAAAGGACGCTGCTCGCAGCTATAGTACCCACAGCACAGACACACTTTTTCGTTTGAAACCAAACAATCTGCCATTTCATCTAATCTTTTCTCTTTTACTTCTTTCTTCTGTTGTCTCTTTAAACACTTTCATTATTGTAAATCAAGCAGGCATTCAGCCGAAAACACCGCCCTTTTTTAATCACACACACACACTCCACACAAGCTACAGCAACCATGTCCAAGGCTTTCAATGTTGTCGTACTCCCCGGAGACGGCGTCGGCCCAGAGGTCACTGCTGAGGCCATCAAGGTTCTCAACGCCGTCACGAGCGTCCGCGCTCGCGCCAACGGCGCCAAGATCAAGTTCAACGAGCACAAGTTCGGCGGCTGCGCCATCGACGCCACCGGGTCACCGTTCCCCGACGTGACGCGCGCGGCCTGCGAGAGTGCCGACGCAATCCTTCTCGGCGCTGTCGGCGGCCCACAGTGGCCGCGGCCGATCGACGCACAGGATCCGTCCAAGGGCCTCGGCCCTCGGCCCGAGCAGGGCCTCCTCGATCTGCGGAAAAAGCTTGATCTGTTCGCCAACATCCGGCCCATGACATTCCCTGCCAGCACTTTGACGAGCTGCTCACCGCTCAAGGAAGAGCTTGTGCGCGACGCTGAGTTTGTCGTTGTGCGCGAGCTGGTCGGCGGCATCTACTTTGGCAAGCGCGGTGAGGAGGACGCCGAGGGCAAGGCATTCGACACAATGGAGTACTCCGTGCCCGAGGTCGAGCGCATTGCGCGTCTGGCTGGTGTGCTGGCGTCGCGGGCGCGGCCGTCCTTGACAATCCACTCTATTGACAAGGCCAACGTGCTGGCCACGTCGCGCCTCTGGCGCCGCGTAGTGACCGACGTCATTACCCGTGAGTTTCCCAGCGTCAAGCTCGAGCACCACTTGGTCGACTCGGCATCGATGCTGATGATCAAGAACCCGCGCGCGCTCAACGGCATTGTGCTGACCGAGAACATGTTCGGTGATATTCTGTCGGATGAGGCATCAGTCATCCCCGGCTCGTTGGGCCTCCTGCCGTCGGCGTCGCTCAACAGTGTGCCTTCAGCCAGCTCGCCCAGCCGTGGCGTGTACGAGCCCATCCACGGATCGGCGCCCGACATTGCCGGCCAGGGCATTGCCAACCCCGTCGGCACCATCCTCAGTGCCGCCATGATGCTGCGTTATTCTCTGAACATGGAGCGTGAGGCCAACATCATTGAGCTGGCCGTGCGCCGCGTGCTCGACAGCAGTGAGCTCAACGGCTGGGGCATCCGCACTAAGGACCTGGGCGGTTCGGCGTCGACCTCCGAGATCGGTGACGCTATCGTGCGCGCCGTCATCCCCTACGCCGAGGGCCTCAACGTTGAGGACCGCAGCGCGCCCGTGGCAACTCTGTCCGAGCGTCCGTCTGGCCGTCGCGGCATGACCTTCTGCGAGAAGATTATCGCACACCACGCCATTGGCCTCGCGGCGCCCGGCGACGTCAAGCCCGGAGACATGGTCTGCGTGGGTGTCGACTGGACGATCGCATCCGAGCTGACTTGGAAGGGCATGGACAAGACGTACAACGCCATGGGCCGCCCCGGCGTTAACCGCAACGATCGCTTCTGGCTGGCCGTCGACCACACCGTCGACCCACGCATCATGGATCAGGCCAAGCCCAAGGAGCTTGTGTCGACTTCCGAGCTGTTTGCTGAGGAGGCGCACCTGATCGACTTCTACCGCCCCAACTACACCATCCTACACACTGAGTTCTACCGCGAGCGTGCGCAGCCTGGTCAGCTTGTCATCGGTGCCGACTCGCACACGTGCTCGGCCGGAGCCGTCGGCGCCCTGTCGATTGGTATGGGTGCCGCTGACGTTGTCATGCCCCTGGTCACCGGTGAGACGTGGCTGCAGGTGCCTGAGACCGTCGAGATCCGCTTCGTCAACGCGCCCCCCTTTGGCATTGGCGGCAAGGATATCATCCTCGACGTCCTGCGCCAGCTCAAGCGCAACACTGTCGCGTTTGAGCGCGCCGTCGAGTACACCGGCCCGGGCCTCAAGTACATGAGCTGCGATGCGCGCTTCGCCTGTGCCAACATGGCCACCGAGTTTGGCGGTATTGCTGGCGTCTTCGAGGGTGACGAGATCACTGCTGCATACATCTCCAAGCGCAAGAGCCCCGAGTACAAGAAACACTCGCTCTACTTCAAGGCCGACGAGGACGCCGAGTACGCCGAGTCGCACATTATCGACCTGTCGCAGATCGACTCCTTGGTCGCGCTGCACCCCAGCCCTGACAACGTCGTCCATGTTGACGAGGTCAAGATGGACCTCGACGGCTGCTTCATCGGTGCCTGCACGACCGCTGAGGAGGACCTTATCCTCGCCGGCCTGGTGCTTGAGGCTGGTCTCAAGAACGGTATGGTGCCGATCAAGGGCGGCAACCGCCGCGTCACCCCCGGCTCTGTGCCGATCCTGGCCAAGCTGCGCCGCCTGGGCCTGGTCGACGTCTACCAGCGCGCTGGCTTCACCGTTGGTGCCCCCGGCTGCTCGTACTGCCTGGGCATTGCCGCTGACGTCGCTGGTGACGGTGAGGTCTGGCTCAGCTCGCAGAACCGTAACTTCAAGAACCGCATGGGCCCCGGCTCGATCGCCAACCTGGCGTCTGCAGCCACCGTCGCTGCGTCGTCGTTCAACATGAAGGTCACCAACCCCCGCGAGCTGCTGGACCTCATTGACCGCGAGCGCTACAACCGCGTGATTGACATCTGGATGGACAAGGGCGAGGAGGTCACCATCACCGAGCCCAACCCCACACTCGAGGAGACCCGTGGCGAGACCATTGCGTCGCGCAACACTGAGGGCAGCGCCGGCCCCGAGTCGTCCAAGGACAGCGCCGAGCACCCTGTCGACAAGAGCACCTTTATCTCCGGCAAGGTGCAGCGCTTTGAGGACAACATTGACACTGACGCCATCATCCCGGCGCAGTTCATGCCCGGTGTGTCCGACGAGGACCTCGGCACGCACGCCTTCCAGTACTTCCGCCCCGAGTTCCGCGAGAGAGCCGCGCAGGGCTTCGACATTGTTGTTGCTGGCAGCGGCTTCGGCTCGGGCTCGTCTCGCGAGGAGGCGCCGCGCGCGCTCAAGGGCGCCGGCATCAAGGCCGTCATTGCCAAGTCGTACGCTTTCATCTACTCGCGCAACCAGCCCAACATGGCGCTGCTTGGCATTGTGCTCAAGGACGAGAAGTTCTACGGACTTGCGCAGGAGGGTGCCGAGGTGTCCATTGACCTGCCCAACCGCAAGATTCACTGTGCCGGCCACACCTTCCCCTTCAACCTGTCGACCATGGAGGAGCGCCTGATCCTGGGCGGCGGTGTCACCGAGATGTACAAGAAGTACGGCAACCTGCTCTTCCGCGCTGCCATTGCTGCTGATCCCGAGGCCGTCCTCAAGAACGCCGGCGGATCCTGCGGCAAGCCCAAGACGGCGTGCGGCGACGCCGATACCCAGCAGCTGGCCTGGTAATCAAAAGATTAAAAATCAGCTGTTCTTTTATTCTATCCTTCTTTTATGTTCCAAAATTTCATGCTTTTTTCATTTTCACTTTTTTTGTTGTTTGCAAGTGTGTGTGTACGTGTGTCGTTGAGTCACACACAACACACGCGCACCTTTTTTGCTATTTCCATTTATTTATTAATTCTCCACATCACCTATATATATTTTTTTACTTGTAATAACAATGTCCAATCCCGAACACAATCGCAAGCGGCTGGCCATGGGCATCGTCGAGTACCTCGAAAAGGTTGTCACTGAGGGCTTTGTCTCCGGCGATGGCGCTGAGAGTCTGGAAATTGCCAAGCAATGCATTGCCGATGCATTTGCCATCAACACCGAGGACGAGGAGCAGGTCAAGGATCTTTCGCTCAAGCCTTTCTCGCTGGACAAAGTGTTTGAGGTGTACCTGAACGCGCAAGTAAAGGCTGGAGAGAGCTTGAAGACCGAGGAGATCCCCATTGCCGCCCCCACTGGCCCGTCCGACGACGACCGGAAGCGCGCCGACGAGTTCAAGGCGACCGGCAATACCCTAGTCACCAAGAAGGACTATGTGGGGGCCATCGAGGCATACACCAAGGCCATTGAGCTGGTCGGCGACAACGCCGTCTACTATGGCAACCGGGCCGCAGCCTACAGCCAGAACGGCGACCACGAGGAGGCAGTCGAGGATGCCAACAAGGCGCTGGAGATCGACCCCAAGTACAGCAAGGGCTTTTCGCGTCTGGGGCGCGCTCTCTTTGGGCTGGGCCGCTTCAAGGAGGCCGCCGAGGCGTACGAGAATGGTCTGGAGCTGGATCCTCAGAACGCCGTCATGCGGGCGTCGCTGAACTCGGTGAATGCCAAGCTTGACTCATCATCTGCTATGGCTGAAACAAGCCGTTCGGCATCAGCCAGCGACGACGGTGCTGGCGCTGGTGCCGGTGCCGGTGCCGGTGCCAGTGCTGGTGGATTCGACTTTGCGTCGCTGATGAGCAACCCTGCGCTGATGGGCATGGCACGGAACATGATGGCTAACGGCGGGCTTGATAGCCTGATGAGCAACCCAGCTGTTTCACAGCTTGCTGAGAACTACCGCAACACTGGGCAAATGCCCAACATGTCCGATCTAATGGGCAATCCGGAGCTTGCCAACATGGCACGCAACCTTTCTGGAGGAGCTGGGGCCGGAGCTGGAGATGGAGCCGGAGCCGGGGCAGCGCCCGCGAGTGACAGCTCCAACCCTATGGCATCGCTGCTGAACAACCCTGCACTGATGAACATGGCGCAGCAGTTCATGCGCGGCAACAACAACAGCGGCGGCAACAGTGGCAATTAAATGCTTTTTTCTGCCTTATGTGTGTCCGCGAATCTGCCAATCGAACAAATCACTTTTGGTGATCAAATTTTATAATATCGAGTGATCCAACGAAATAAATTTCATGATCAAAAAATGGTTCCAAAAGCACATATATGCATGCATACAAATACTCTGATGCGAAATCTTCACGAACGGCGAGATCGAGCGAGAGTCGGGCTAATATTTTCCTTCGTGATTCGCAGTTTGCAATTCTGCATTCTAAATTTCAATTGAACATTTTTTATCTTATTTTACTCCCCAAACTATTATCAAGGGGGTATTGTTTGAAGCTTTTATATTTTTCTATATTTTCTATCTCTATTTCCGCAGCGGACTCGCAGAATTGTCAAGCCACTATCGTTGACGACCAGTGAACAAGGCCCGCAGCAGTTATTACTCGACAAGCGGATAGGTGTTTTTCTTTTCTTTTCTTTCGAACCAAAATTTAGATCGCACGCCGTCGAATTCCGCTCTTGAACCACTTTTCGTTACAGCGACACGGAGGATATAACGCGCCTTGACTCCAGGGGGGAACCAAGACAAAAGCACAGGCTAACGGAGGTGGAGAGGGCTGATCGATGCTCAAATACTCTAGGACGGTGGTATCGGCGCTCGAACGTCGAAGCGCTGGCTCCCGATCTCAACGACACTACACTTGCCAGTACCAGATCAGCAATCAAAACGCTGGATTGCAGGCCAGCAGCAGAATTTTGGTTCTGCGACGACGGCTGCAGTTGGCGCGCTACTCAACATCGGCGGGCAACGACAATGGTGGTGGAGATCAGCCACCGGTGAGGGCAAAGGCGGATAAGCTGGAGAAGATTTTGATGCGCGGATACAGTCCGTTTCTGACAAAGTTTTTCCAACTGCTGCCGACAGACGAGCAGAACACGCTGCGGGCGTTCAGCGACTCTCTGGTCGGTGGCAGCGGCAGCGGCAAGCACCTCTACCAGATGTACCAATCGCTGAAAAAACACAGGTTGCACCTGTACCTGACTATCCACGCGCTGCAGCGACTGATGGCGCGGATAGCAGCAGAGAATGGGATACCAGGGGACAGCCCGGACGGGCAGGCGTCGAGCGCGATACTGGGGCTGATAGACGACTACGACACAATCGGGTTCACACCGGGTACCAGTGAGTACACAAGCCTGATCCGGGCGCTCGCACACGAGTCTGGGCGAGAGCAGGAGGCGCTGCAGCTTCTGGACGACATTGTGGACCGCTCGGGGATCGCGCCGTTCATCCGGCTGTCGAAGAAAAGCGCCAACAAGGCGCGGCCGGCGCACGAGCGGATCCCATCGGACGAGGAGATTGCGCGCATGGAGCGGTCGCTAGCCGAGGCCGAGGAAAAGGAGCAAATGCTGGACGCTGGAGACGCGAAAGAGCTGGCCACCCAGTACTGCGACATAGACTCGGCCAGCGGCCTAGACCGCATCCAGCAGCTGGTCGTCGATCAGCGGCGGCAGCGGCAGCAGCAGAGCGCGCACGGTGGCGACAACGGCAGCTCGCTTCTGGTGTCGCGGCGGCTGTACCACGCAGCAATGCGCGGGTTTGCGCAGCTGTTCCACGTGCGCGGCGTCATGGCGGTGCTGGCACGGATGCTCGAGGCGGCGACGCATGTGCCGTTCAGCGTGGCCCAGCACCTGATGCCGAACAAGGAGACGTGGGCCATCGTCGGCGAAGTTCTTGTGCGGCAGCGCGACCGCCCGACATTTGTGCGGCTGTGGATCGACTTTATGAGCCGGGGCGCGCGGCCGCCGCTGTCGCTGACGCGCAGTCTGGTACAGATGCTAGCACGCCAGGCGTGCGTCGAGCAGGCTGTGTGGGTCATGCGCATCAGCCGCTGCCTACCCGACGCCGGCGACCAGCTGCCGATGGCGCCGCATGCACGTGACCACGTGCCGTGGGCCCTGAAGGTGCAGACCATGCACGTGGCGTCGGCGCTGGACGCCGCCACGGCGCTGGACGCGACGCTGATGACGCGCGACAATGCGCTGCGCCAGGGCCGCTCCGCCGCGCAGCTGCCATTGCTTGCGCCGCCCGACCCTGACATGTACGCCCAGCTGATTGGCGGCGCCGTGCGCGCTGGAAACGCCCGCCTTGCCGAGCACCTGTTTGCTGAGCTCGTCGCTGCCGGCGTAGCCCCTGACGGCGCAACGTACGGGCACTTGGCGCGGCTGTACGCGGACACGGGCCGCATCGAGCGCGTCTTTGTTATCGTGCGCGACTTCATGGTGCGCCGCCACCAGCTTGCCGCGCGCGAGGCGCTGGCGCAGGGCCACGAGCTGACGCCACACGCGCAGAGCGAACTGAAGGCAAAGCTGCTTCGCCAGGGCGCGCGGCTGCAGAGCGACGTTGAGTGCATTGCGCCGCTGTTGCAGCTGTACGTGCAGGCTGGCCGCGAGCAGGAGGCGCTTCTGCTGCTGCGCAGCTGGAACCGCATCTACGGCCGCCACGTCCCGGCCGAGAAGCTGGCGCTGGCGCTGCTGCGTGTGTACACGCGCCCTGAGGACTCGCACGGCGCAGAGGGGCTTGTGCGGCGCGTGCTGGTGCGGCTGGACGATGGCCAGACTGTGGGCCAGACTATGGGCCAGACCACCAACCAACCCACAGACCAGCCCACAGACCAGCCAAAGCCGATGCACATGTACGCCGAGTTGGTCAAGGCGCATTCGCGCGCTCGCAATCTGCCGGGCATCCTGGGCGTGCTGCGCGAGATTTTGGCGCGCGGGATGAAGCCGTCGCACGCCGTCTGGGAGCTTGTGATGCGCAGCTTTCTGCGTGAGCAGGCGCTGGACCTGTTTGACACCACGCACGCATACCTGCGCGACACGCTGAGCATGCCGCTGTCGATGCCGCTGTACGCCATGTGGATGCGCGCGCTGCGCAACCACGGCGATGTTGCCGGCGTGCAGGCGGCTTTCGACGAGCTGTTGGCACTGGGGCAAATTCCCACGCAGCAGCACTATCTGTATTTGGTGCAAACCTACGCCTACAACGGCTGGGTCGAGCGTGCCGTCGGCATTGTCGACAGCTTGCGCAAGCCCTACAGCTTGCTACGCCCCGGGATCAACCTCAACATTGCTGTCATTGAGGCCCATGTGGCATGCGGCAACATGGAGCAGGCCGAGGCTGAGCTGCACTACTTGCTCAGCAACACGCCGCTTTCCAAGAGCAGCATCCCGGCGCGCCCCTTCAACTACCTGATCATCGGCCACCTCTACGCCGGCAGCGGCCGCAAGGCTATGCATGTCTACGAGGACATGATCCGCTTGGGCATCAAGCCCGACGCGTACACATTCGCCGTGCTGATGCACTCGTACGCGCTGGCCAAGGACCTTGAGAACTGCATGCGCGTTTTCAACGAGATGATTCGCATCGGCATTGCCCCCGACTTGGCCATCTACACCATTCTCATCTGCGCGTTCGGCGCCGCGCGGAAGGTCGGCAGCGCCGAGCTGGTGTTCAACCAGGTTGCACAGGAGCAGGACCTATCGCGGTCGGTCAGCAGCCCCGCCGCACGCGCTGCAGCCGACGCGCTGGACATCTACGCCGAGGACCCAGCGCGCGCCGACTGGCCCTCGCTGATGGACACGCCCCTCAGTGCCGAAGACGATCCTGCATCCGAGCGCCTGCGCGCCCAGAGCTTTTTCAACCTCGACCCGATTGTCTACATCGCCATGCTCAAGGTCTACAACAACGCCCACAAGCCCATGCGCGCCCTGGCCACCTGGGACCGCTTCATCAAGAACTTCCCCGTCGTGCAGTGGAACCCGCGCAAGGGCGGTGTACTGTCAAAGTCTCTGCACTACACTGCCCAGTTCCACCTGCCAGCCTGGACGCTGTTACTGCGCACCATCAAGCTCTCGATCGGTGTTCAGCGTGTTCTGAAGAGGCCGTCCACAATGCCCAACTACTTTCACATGCCGCTCTACCCTAGCAACATTGCTCAGGTCATGGCCAGGCGGCTCGACCACAAGAACCTCATCAGCCGCATGGCCGCCCTCAGGGCCGACTCCGGCGCCGGCGCCGTCGCCCCAAATCCAGCTGCCCGCGCACCCCCCAGCAGGATGGCTTACCGCACCGATCTGGTCGGCGACCTGGAGGCTGAACTTGATGAGCGCACCTTCCTGGACCACGAGTGGTGCGTCAGACAGAGATACATGCAGCCAAAGCCCGTCTTTGACGAAGACAACGCCTTTTCTGACTTTGTCTACTGGATGCCCGACACGCCCCCACAACACAACCCCACGTACCCTGACTCAGCCGCAAGATTCAACGACAGCGCCAGCGATCTGGAGGCCTCGGAGCCCAACTCTGAGTCTGCCCTAGCGTCGCTTTTTGATTCCGACGGAAACTTCACAACCAAAAACACCCGGGAAATCGCTGCAATTGTCGCTCGTCAGTGGCGGGACCTTGAGAGCGCGGGATTCAAATTCAACAACATTCATGTCTCTGTGTACGTCCCTTGCATGCTCCTAGGCCGCCAGTACACAGACCTCGCACGCTTCTTGTCGCTAGTTGAACCAAAATCTGAGACGAGTGCGACAGACTTTACCAACCGCAACGATTCTACCACGGGATACAGGTACCACAACATTAACATTGCCCCGTACCTGACCGCCATGATGATTCGCCAGGTAAAGGTAATCAGGAGGCTCCTCATAACCACCCGTGACAGACGCATCATCCTCGATGCCCTTTTGAACGAGGGGAGTCAGCTGCGCTTTGACTACTTGTCTACCACCAAGTTAGATCCCGCAGATGTTGAACGCTCAGCTGATGTGCGTCAGGTTATGCGCGAAAGACGAGCGATTCATGCCGAGCGCGAGATCTCGTGGACATTGGAACTTGCGATGCTGAAGGATGTAGCCATGCAATGGCGCAGACACACAGATGATGAGCCCCTGCAACTAGGCATTGACCAAGCCATAGAGTCTATAACCCGGACAATATGATGACATCTGAGTTTTTTAAGTTTGCACCAATATTTTGTGTTTAATAGAAATGTATCTTTAATTTGAACTTTCATTTAAGTATCTTTGAAGGCCAAAAAAATATTACCATCATTTTTTATAACTAAAAAGTTATAAAAAAGTGATTTCTGCCAGGATTGAACTGGCGACCGTCTGCGTGTTAGGCAGACGTGATAACCGACTACACCAAGAAATCACATTGTGTAATTAACAAAGCTAATTAACCAATCTGATATTGTTTTCTACTTGTCCATAAAAGACCCAGTATACATAATTATTGCATTTGAAATTACATTTGGTTACGAGTGCAATTTTATTGATCCCCAGTGACATTCACCCTGACTTGGATGCTGAAAAGGAGCTTTGAAATGTTATTTTGATTATGCAAGCAGATTGTCAAACGAAAGTCAGATGCTGGAATTTTTGAAAATATTTTTCATGGCTGGATATGATTAGAATGTTTATAAATAAAAAGTATTATTTTTTTGATTTCTTCTTTAATTATTTTGCATAAACGAGTACAGCCCCAAATTAAAAAAGGCGTCTTTGCGCTTGCTCAAAATAACAAGCAACCTAGCATGTTAATACAATACACCGAACCAAATTAAACCAAACCAAACTGTGCCAAGTTGTGAGGGTTTTAAACAAGCATGCCTGTCTGTTTGCTTTCGTTTTATTTTTACCTGTGCTTGTGATGACAAACGACGTGATTTTAGCAACGACATTTTTAAAAAAAAATACGGGCGCTAACACAACTTTGCATTCTTACTATCAAAAAAGTGCCAAAGACTGCGTACATCGATGCTTGCTTTGCCATACTTCACGTACAATTTGTAATTACTTGTATTTGCATTCACAAAATGGCCTGCTTGCAAAAAAATTAAAGATACTTCAACGCACAATCCAGCACACTGCTAGGTATTCCGGCATCGCGCGCACAAGCAACTGCGTGGGAGCCCTGCGAGGCACGCTTGTCTGAAATCCTATCAAGTATAACGACACATCAAAACTGAGTGCAGGTGTATTATTTTTGCGCGTTTTGGTTGTCTTAAACATCCACCACACATGTGCATAGCTTTTACTTACTTGAAAAGAAACACTAGCCCTGACGATGTCTCGCAAAAATCCATGCATCTGACCTGCATGCAAGACCACAATCCTTGCGCACTAGGGATGCTGCGTATGTCTACAAATGTGAGTATACCAATGTGACTCTGGGAGCTGTATTTGCGGATTTAAATTGACAATGTATAATAACCTGCTGCTGCACATGTTGCTCCTATTTGTATCAGCACTGTCATCCCTGTTTATTTTTTGCCTGCAACTATTGGAGCTGCAACTCTGTTAAATAATCTGTTTTGGCCGGTTCTTACCTTGAAAATGTGTGGCCGCTATTATCCATGGCATTTTATCAGCCCTCCGGGTAAGAGACTGCAGCACACCACACAGCAAGCCCATGCCGTCGGCCGGATTTGTTCCGCGGCCAAACTCGTCTAGCAACACAACAGTATTGGCCGTCACCGCTTTGAGAATGGTCATGACAGTGCTAAGCTCGGAATTAAATGCACTTGTCTTGTGCGTAAGCGACTCTGACGAGATGCCAGCAACCAATATGCTGCTGGTCAGCCCTAGCTGCATGCTGAGTGCTGGTATGTGACTGCCAATGTGCGACATGAAAACCAAAAGCGCAGCTTGTTTAAGCACAATGCTCTTTCCAGAGCCGTTGGGACATACCAGCTGTTATGATAAAAAGTATTCATTAAGGATGACCTAAAAGAAAGCTAAAGGATGAACAGCCTCCACTATTCATATTCATTAGTATTTATATGTGCATATGAATTCCCGCATATCCAAGTAGGGAATTAACTGGTGATTAATTTATTAATCAATCGCCGGGGATAAGCCGCAAGAATCACCAAAAAACCACTTGTGGATTACTCCAGAGCTTCTGACACTTAATACAACGATTGCCATAGTACCCTGGGACAATAATGTCATCTTTTTATTAGTTTGCACGCAAAAATAAGGCTGGTACAGGAGCTCTTGGACCAGCAAGACGTACAACACAAAAACAACAAGTCTGAAATAGTGCACCTATCCACCTATGTGTGCCCATGCTGATATTTTGGGTTATAGGCCATAGCTGTGTCCCAGGTAACGGAAAAGCAGAGACCATTTAGCCAAGCATGCGCGCACATCAACCTAATTCATTGGCACATCAGATTTTCACTGCCGCTGGAAGCACACCAGTTCAAACGCTTTGTGTACAGCCATATTTTAATAGTTTAAGCTTTCTCAAACATGTGTGCCCACAAACAATTATAAAAAATTGGTCCTTTTTACATTAAGGTAGAGTATATTTTTCTATTTTTTGCTTTTACCCATTTTTCTTTTCGTTTAAAATAATTTCAGCATAATAAAATTCGATATTTAATTAAAATTGTTCAAAAGTAAAAAATAAAATTTTATTAAGAGAATATTGTGACAAATAAGCTAAGCTGCAAAAAACAACTGAACAAGTGCACTCCAACCAATTTTCAAAGCTACATGTGTCTGCTAGATGTGTGCTATCACACGAAACTCTGCTTGGTCAAATGACCCTGTCTAAAGCAAAAAAACACCTTTAGTCTCAAATGTCTCATTGGCGCTGACTCTTGCATCAAACACATACAAGACTACTAAATGGCGGTCACTCCCAACAGGCTATGGAGTCTGTCACTGGTGTCGGGTTCGGAGACAAGATCAGGAAAGTTTTCTTCTGATAGAGCTCCTCACCGGCCACTTCAGGGACAGCGAGCGAGTGGAGCAGACGGCATTTATCAGTAGTGGGTAGGATGAGGCAGTCAGCGCCTCTAAATACATTAAAGGAAAGGCGAATTGAACAATAAACAGTGATATAAAAACAAGCAGAGAAACATGCACAGCATTACTTGTAGCAAACAATATATAACAAAGAACCTTGGCTTTAGCAGCATCAAGTTCAAAAGTCAACTGTAGCATTACCTATTCTTGAATCAATAATGGCTGAATTACAAACTGGCGATAATATCATCCAGTTCCATGGCTTGCTCAGCATAATAGCTGGCATTTTCAGCATTCCGCTTGGCATCTTCAGCAGCATAGAAAGCAAAAAGAGCATCGAGCTCGTTATCGGACTCATCAGTGAGCTCAGTATTGTATCCTTCACAATCTGATGGGTCCAATCCTGCTATTTCCGCGAGATGGGATCTATAGCTGCGTCTGGCAGTCGGAATTGCATTAGCGGCGGCGGCATAATCGGCATCATCTGTGGGGGCAGAATAATCAGCACCATCAGGAGAATTAGCGTCGACGCCATTATCAGTGTCATCGGCGGTGGCGGCAAAAATACCACCAGGCATAGTGGAAATGGCATTGGCCTTTGGTGCTGCGGCCAAAAGATAAAGGTAAATAACAATAAAAGTAAACACAAATACAGAAATGAGGATAATTGGTATAGCCAGCTCCTCCCAGTTGACGTTACAAATCTCAAATGAGGGCAGCTTGGTGGATGCCGTTGGTGGGGGAGGCGGGAGAGGAAAAGTAATAGTAAGCATTTTGAATAATTTATAATAATACGAAAGATAGTTGAGAGAAAAAAAAGAATTGAATCATGAGCAGGCGTCAGTTTGTCGCATTTTAAATGTTCTCAGTTCGCTTAGTTCTCGCTGTCCTTGCTGCTTTTGCCGTTATATTCATCCTCTCCGCTTTTTTGTTTTCGGCTTTATTTTTAATATGGATACATTTGTTTCCTGGCGGCTTTTTATATTTTAAAATGTAATCAAACTTATGCATTTTTCAAATTCAACCCGAGTTGACCATTGTTCTATTGCGCGTGATTATGATTTTTGGCTTGTTTTACCAAATTACCGAAAATTTCCATATTCTCTTTATTGCCACTTTTTCTACAAATTAAATACAGTTTTTAAAGACTGCCATTTTATCTACACATAGTATAAAAATTCCGGGCAAAAAGGCCTTCTATGTGCTTTTTACACATGTTTTTTTGGGTATTTTTCATACTAAAAAAAGCAGAAAAAAGCAATCAAAATGAAAAACCGACATTTTTTGCATCGACACAGTGGTATCCGAATATGCAATCCAAAGTATGGCCCATTTGGCATTCTATCCCTTGAGTCAGAATCCACTGGCCCACACAATAAAGTGATATCAGCAGTGGATATTTATAAGCTGCTCAAAGCTGCGGCGTCGCTGTGCGAACAAAAGTTTAATGGCTGCCAAAAGGAAAGCGCGACCTTTCATAAATATTCCGACAAAAATATGAGTGCATCTCTAAAGTAATAAAAGCGCAAGCTGGGCCAGTCAGTATTTCTTAAGAAAAGGTTGTAATGCTCTTTGCTATCCTTTAAGCAGCGCTACGCTTTCCAGAGTACGGGTAACTGGTATAGGAGCAGACAGTGAGACTGCATAAAACGCATGCAGGCAAAGCCCAAAAAGCCTACATTCCAACACCAGCATGCAGAGGCATGCATTGCTTAGATGTGTTAAGTAAATAATCCAACAATGAAATATATGCAGAATAGGGCTTCACCCCCATGGTGCGTTGGCAGTGACGTGAACATTTTTGAGGATGGGGGATAATTGCATCATCAGGGGAGGGGGGTGGTAGAAAACCCTCTGGTTTCTAACAGGGATTGTAAAACAGATTCTGTACGGCGCTTTTTTGAGCATAAATTACTATCATCCGAACAAACAAAAAAGCGCCATCTGGCACGAGTATACCGCCCCATCAGGCTAAAAATACAAGTCGCCAGCACTCTACCCAGTCCAGAGTGCCAACAGAAAAGTTAGAGCTGCGATGGCTTGTAAAGTCAGCGGCATCTAAGACAAAAGTCATATGATTATTCATGGTATTGCATGTTCCCAAAATGCAAATGGTCTGCAGCCTCTCGCAGTGGTTTGACGCCCAATACCTCTAGCGAGGATGCAGGTGCGTTTTAATGTTCTTTTATATTCCTAACACCAACACACGGTGTAACTGCGCATCGAAATGCCCTGTAAAGTGTATAAAATTACGAGGCCTGGAAATCCTGCAGGCTGGGATTTACCTTGGCTTTTCACTTAGCTCGATTGCGGCATGCAGTGGGCAGGCAAGGTGTCGAAGTATTTAGACACCATTAAATGCTGTCATATTGCCAAATTCGATATGGATTGCCCTTGGCATATATAAAAATGATTGGCAGATTTCATATTAAATAATGACCGAGCGATGATGGGCGTCTTTTTGGCGAAATTAATAAAGCGATCGCATATGTCTGAATATTTTATGACTGCGTTTGCGTTTGTTATTATGCCGTTAAGCGCAAGGCACAGCGCTGGCCCAAACAAGCAACCAATATGCGCAACAGAAAAACGCTGCAGGCTTGCGAGGCATTGCCTTTTTGGCAATTGTTCATTTACGCATGCCGGGGAAGAAAAACTGATGGCGCTTTTCTCTCTCTTTTTATGCTTCTTTCGAATAAGGAGGACAATGAAAAAGGCAATTTTGCGACTGTGATCCGACAATGTCCATTGCCCCTTGTCCTTTGTTTTTATTTGACAGTGCCAAGGGATTGCGTTTATAATGCCCCCGGCTGAACTAGGGCAAGCAATAAAAATAATGCACGGATGCGCCCTTGGATTAAAGCTGGCGGAAGCTCGGAAATGTGTTTATGCATCCAGACATGACCAAAAACAAATCTAAACAAAAAATGAACAAAGCTATGGCGTAATGAAAACAGAAACGTGCTTCTGCAGCCCTCACCCACTCAACAAAGCCACAAAAAATACCAAACATTGATGACAAAAAAAGCACGCTCGCGATGTTTGAGAGCAACATGGCCAGCCATCATTTTTAAGCTTTTTTGGACGTGCAAAAACATGCAATGACGTGCGTCAATCCAAAAAGTCAATACAATGCTTTTTTGTCGACACCCAATGCACAGGGCCTAAAGCGGACCCACAGCAAAATAAAATCACAGGGATGGCATTTTCACTTTCCAGTTCAAAAATAGCTAGGCATCAGGAAAAATTAAAGCCGACCATCGTGGCATGACTAACGCTCCCATTTGCCTTAGAAAAAAAGCCTCGAGTCTTCAATGTAAGAAATCACGAATAGCCATACTTTGGACTAAGCCGCTTTGCCTGTAACGCAAAACTAGACAAAACCCCGTGACAATTAACAATTTGTGAGTGGTTCTATAAAAAAACAATTTCGAGCAGTTTTCAGCTGGATTAAGCCGCTGGCCAGAAAATTTGCAGTTTGTGTGTTGAATTGTCGCATTTGTAGCAAACAAATAGTCAGGTTAAAAAACACATTATTCACATTGGCCTAGCCTGTATGAGACATAACAGACAACATAAATAATGCCCAGCCGTTTTACTTGGGACTGCCAGCAAGCACCCATGCTGGTCAGCTGTATTTGCGGCTCATGCGCTTGCCCATTTCATATTTTTAGATTTTGACAAACCCTTAAATTATAATTGTCGCTGAGCAGCTTTAATGGTCATTAGATGCACGCGCGCATTAGCCCTTGCACCATGACTGGCTCACTGGGTTTTTGCAAGCAATAATATATGTGAATATACTGAATCGGTGTTTTTATCTGATAATTTAGTAATCAAAATTACAATCGCCATGCAACCTTGGCTGGCTGGCAAGAAATGATTTGAAAATTGAAATATATTGTTTAGTAAAGTGGACTGGTACTTTTTTATTTGCTAAAAATATCCATGTTTGCAGGTGTATAATGATTGTGCGCGTATAATTTTACAAGCACGCTGCGACATTCTACTTTGGATTTAGTAAAGTTGGTTTAGTCATATTTCAAGGTTTGTAGTCACAGTTGGCTGTATTTGTGACATGATTGCAGCTTGAAATGCCATCAGCGGTCAATTGGCATGCACTTTGGTCTATTTTTATACTTCTATGCACATTCGGTTTTCTGAAAAATGTCTGTTTTAATAACTAAATAACTATGTGGCTAATAATATCAAATGTATATCCTTTTATGCCACACTTTTCGGACCTGTCTTCTTTAAGCAGAGCACTACAAGCGGTTTCTGGCAATTTCCATACAACCAGCGAAAAAGTATTGGCATTGTCATGAAAATTAACAGCAATTGATGCAAGATACAATAATAACTTTTTGTTTGGCAAGATCCACCTGTAATCACATGTTGCTGCTGTCTGTCAAAGTGCGTCAACAATGATTTCCTGCAAACCTGGTGTGCAGATAATAGGACAATCAGCCGTTATAGCAACAAGAAAAAGGTGAGTGAAATCATGGCCAAGCAGTACGTCGATGTATTGAAGGATACTGACAGGTACTACGCCGCAGCGTTGCTTTTCAAGATTTCCCAAGTTGTAGAACAGCTTTAGCGACCAAGTACCAAACCCAGTGTGCAATTATCCGCATTTGTCGGTTGGTTAGGTGTTTTGGAGCGCAAAGCTCGCTTGATATTTGCTTGTTCAAACGGTCGTATAGTTTGGTTGTTATTAAAAATTAACTAAAAAATTAACATAGTGAAAAAAGATCCATGCGCTGAAGTGAGTGTCATGACATTTATTTTGTCGGGATCCATAGATACGACAAAATTACTAGCCATTTTAAACCACGCCTCTGATGTGTTACAAGTTAGTTTAGAAAATGTAACTATAAAATAACTAAATTAAAAAATGGTTAGCAAAACTAGCTCAACTATTTGAACAATGTACCTTTCAAAGTTTAAATATGCATTTATAAAGCACTTGACTAGTATTCTAAATAATTGACAGCTTTATTACATAGATTTTGTTTTGCAGCTCGCTCAAAAAACAGTATTCACAATTACACGATTTATTTATGACCTAAAAAATATCATAAAACGAGGTGCAATATTTCACAGAATTCGAAGTTATTGCTCAAGGACAAGACCAAGGCTGCCGCTGAATCCAATATCAACTTCAGGTGTTGGAACCGCGACATTGCATCGGTGTGAAATTTTATTATGATATTACCTTATTGGGGCAAGTTTTTAGAGCACCACCCAGCCTGCTTTCAAACGCCGTGGTAGATTGCCAAATGATCCGAATTCCGCGCCCAACCCAAAGCCCAAAGCTACAGTCAAGAGAAAGTCTGATTCAAAGACTAGTGCAGCATCCAAGCGAAACAAAACTAGATTATTTTATCATTTTTCACATCATGGCGGCCACTAATGCCTGAGAGATCAATTCTTACTGGGCAAAACCAATGACAACAAAGTGGGTGGAGGGCTTATGTCCAAGCCTCTATAGTTATTTTATAAATATTATCTGGATTTGTAAGCTAATATTAATGTATTATATATATATTCTAAAGGCAAAGAAAAAGGAAGAAAAAATATAGGATGACGAGACAACAAAAAAGGCGTTAAAGAAAAAGTGATGCAATTGCGTGGCAAGTGAAAAAATAGAAAAATAAAAATAAATGCAGACAGTATTGCTACTCATACCAAATCAACAAACTCCAAACCGTGTAGATCATTGGTAATGGCCACAGTCAGCTTTTTATAAGCCCACCACCCGCCCTCCACCCGCTTAAACCTAATCGTGTGTAGCTGGCCCTGGACCGTATCCACAAATATCTCAAAGCTGAGATCGTGATCCTCACAGCTGTAAAATGAATCCGCCATCTTGCGCGACACGATGGACTTGCCTTTGAGAACCTTCTCAATCTTAGCATGAATCTCGTCTAGCGGCCCGAGCATGGTATAGCGAAGATTAAATATCCCGCGTGCCCCAGATTTGTTGCCCCCATTGGTATTGGTGGACTGCTGCCCGGCTCCCATCCCGCTCGGTGCTGATCCGCGCGATGTCAGCGCGGCTGGCAATTGCTGGACGGCTCCTGTTTGCGGCGTAAATGGCAATACGACCTGGTTGCTTTGCATGCTCTGGGCTGGGTGCAAGCGCAATGGAGTGACCTGTCGATTCGGGATGACAGATAGTGGCCGCTGAGCGCGCTTTTGCGGCAAAATATAGTCTGTACTGCCATTAGCATTAACGTCGAATGGCAGGTCCCGCGGGGGCTCCGACTTACGGTGGCGCTCTCCGCCGTCAGCGGCAGCGAGACGAGGACTAGGTGTCTGGCTCATCGGCCCAAAGTCAGTGTATCTGTGGTGATGGCCGCCGCTGGTAGATGGGCGCTGATTTGGCGACACAATTGGCCGAGAGTCGACGTTTGCAGTTGCCGGGCGAGCCCCAGGCTGGTTGAGCTGCGGCTGCAGCTGGTCCGAAAGCTGCATGTTCTGCCTCAACTGAGCTTGTGGGGGCGGTGGGGGCGGATTTGACGGCGGGTAGTAGCTCTGCACGCGGTTCCCCGGCGAGTTGTTGAGCGACAGCGCAGACGGGGCGGCGCTGAAGCGACGGAATGGCGCCTGGAAAAAGCTCACTCTGTTGTTGCGGTGACCAACCGTATTCTCGGATTGCTCGAATGGAGGCACATCGTCCAGAATCTGCGAGCGGCGGGCCTTGATGAAGGGCATTGATTTCCGCACCCGATCAAAAAACCTGGATGAGCGGCTTGACCGTTTGTCATCATCACGCAAAAATGGAGACGAGGCTTCAAGGTTGAGGGAGCTGTTAACCGAAATCTGGCCACTGGCTGCGCTGCCCTTGCGAAGGCGGGGAGGCTCATACTGGCTGGCACCGAACGATGGCGAATCGAGATTGTTGCTAATGTCTGAATCCTTGTGCAAGAGATACTGCGGTTGTGGAGTTAAAACTTGTCCGTTGCTGCTGCTACTCGTGTTGCCGTGGAAATGTGGCGCTGCCGTGCTTGGCCGTTGGCGGAGGTCGTTGCTGCCGGTAGGCGCCCTCGATGTTGGGCTGTAGTTCTCGGTGTTGAGGTATCCGGGGGTATAACTCTGCCGACCGCGTGATGCGGGCCGCACGTTATCAACATTTATGCTGATGGGCGCGGCGGTCGGCGTGACTGCTGACGCGTGGGGCGGCGCAGGAGAAACATGGTCTACGTCGACGGTCGAACCGGTGGCGCTGGGGCCGCCCAGGTTGGTGGCCTGGCTTCGGCGAGCGTTCCTGGATGCCTTGCGGCGACGCGACTCCTCAACCAGGTGGTAGATGCACACCATCGGCGTGAGCGCCATGTCGCTGTGCGCCAAGGCAGAGGCAACCGCCTCGACTTCGTATTTGTACACGCGCATCTTTTGCAGCGACATTTCGTTTGGCTGCAGAACCACTGAGGGGCGGGTTGGCAGGTGATTGTCGATAGGGTGGTCACACTCCTTGTTTGACCATGCGTGGTCCACAATCCCCTTCATCGAAATGCGCAGCTTGGGATTTACTGTCAGCATTTGCTGTAGCAAATGCTGGGCCTCCTTGCTGAGGAAAGGTGGCATAGTAAACCTGCCCTTGGAGATCTTATCATAAATCTCCTTCAGGTTCTCACCCTCGAACGGCGTGCGGCCGCATAGCATAAAGAAGAGAATGACACCCATGCTCCAGATGTCGACCTCGGGGCCTGTGTACTTGATGCCGTTGACCATCTCTGGTGCCGCGTAGAACGGCGAGCCGCAAAATGTGGATAGTTGCTTGTCCCACTCAAAGGTGTTTGCAAAGCCATAGTCGATAATGCGTATCCGGTTCTCATGGTCGAGCATGACATTCTCCAGCTTGAGGTCGCGGTGAATGATGCAGTTCCTGTGAGTGTAGTCCATGGCGCTAACAATCTGACGGAAAAAGCCGCGCGCCTCGTTTTCATGCAGACGCCCACGCTTGCGAATGTAATGGAGCAGCTCGCCGCCACTGTTGTGCTCCATGACTATCATTGTGAATTTGGGGGTTTGAACCACGTCGTATAAGCGCACAATGTTTGGGTGGTAAAGAAGAGATAGCAGCTTGATCTCACGCTCGACGCGGATGTTGTGCTTGTCGGTGCTGCCTCCCTGCGGCGAAGTCGGCTTGATGAACTTTAGCGCAAACTTTTGCTTCGTAGCGCGGTGCTCTGCCATGCACACCTTGCTGAAGGTGCCCTTTCCCAAGGTCTGCTTAATGATAAAGTCGCCGATGCGCTGTTCTTTGCGATCGCGCTGACCAGGATGCCTGCTCGAAACATCGCGCCGTGAAGTCGATGCGTGCTGAGTGCTAGGCCGCTGCTGCGGCTGATGTTGTGGTGGCGGCGGCATGGGGCTGCTGTGTTTTTCTGCTCCACCCGGACTCTGGTATTGTGCCGATGGTTGCTGCTGTTCCCGAGGCGGAAGTCGGCTCTGTTGCTGGACTGCGGGGCCAGGCAAATATGCCCAAACTGGTTTTTCGCCTGACGGCGGTGCTGCGCGGGATGCCTGGTAAGGATCCGCGGACGTTGGAATGGGCTTCGGGTCAGATGGATAATCCCCAAACTGTGTAGGAGCAAACTGGCGGTGCTGTTGCATATGATTTGCTTGCACGATATCTTGCTGGTCTGATGTGTGGTACTATGTGATTGAAGCCAACCAAAAATAAGAATGACAAAGAGATAGAATTATTAGTATACAAAAAATGCTCTGACGCAAGCGTAATCGATAGCAGCTAATAAAATGGAAAAATAAAGAATAGAGAATAGAGAAAATAAGTCGAGATGAAATCAGACGTTTGCGGGGATGGAAAGGCAACTGTAAATATTTATAGACGCGGGCAAGCGGAGAATAAATACTTTGCTGGGGTCCACCCATTAACTAAGAAGCAGCTGCGGAAGCGCCAAGAAAATTAGCTGGCATGTGTGCCCTGAGAATGCTATTCCGCTTACCCAGCTTAAAAAATTATAACAATACGACTTGAAAGCGACCGGGCTGTATTATTTTATTTGTAGCTAACTTTAATAGCGTATAAACAGGTCAAATTGCAATTTGAGTGTATGAAAAGAGGTAAATTGCGCTGCGTTCTGCTCGTATGTGTTTATATATGTTATGATTATAATGGGCGGTAAAAAAGCCAGAAACGGAAATAGCAGCACGCAATTCAAAAAATAAAAAAGGTTGGCTAATTTAAGTGCAGAAATAAAAAACAAAAACAATAATAGCCAAAAGAAAAGAGGATGGTGTGGGAGTGGGCAAGGTTAAAGAGATAAAAGTAAAAATAAAATAAGGATTATGCAAGGCAAAATAGCGTGCGTGTGCTTTGTAGGGAGGGGTAGGGTAGTTGGTGGGTGTGAACAGGAGACAAAGTGTTTGGTGCAATTAAAGATGGGCAAAACGAGCACCATCAGCCGCTGCGGCAGCTTGTATATAAAAACTGAACGGACGGGGAGCACAAAGCGTGCGATAGCCGATACGCAAAAGTCAACGAGGGACATTAAAAAGCAGCATTAAGCATGTACTGGTGGGAAAGGGGAGCCGCTTTTTTCAACGCTAATTCCTGGTCGAATTAGTAGGGAAGAAAGAGTGAGCTATAACGAGGAAAACCCCCAAAGAGTAGAGGGAAAGGGACCAGCAATGCATCATGCCACTGACGTAGAAAAAATAGACGGAAAGCACGCCATTGAACGCGGCTCCTTGTGCATCACAGATGGCTCTCTCGTTGGCATACACATACACACACAGGCTTTGACTTCGCATGTTCAGCAACTGATCATATGCACGCGTGAGTGGCGAGCTCGGTGTAATTCGTAACAGCAGCGGCCACTGTCGGATCGTGTCCAGAGGCAAAAAGGTGCAAATGTACCTTTAAAGACAAGCTTCTGGGGAAAAAGCATTGTCGCCGCCTTTGATGTGGTTACATAGCACTAATATGGAAACTTACATTGCTGGACGGTCGAACGGCTGCAGTAGTCATTGGGCAAGCAGGGAGAGTGCTATTTTGGGCGTGCTGATTCTGGAATTCGGGCGGTAAAGTCGCTAGTATGGGCGTAATGCAATAAAAAATAAAGAGAAGAAAAGGGGAATGGCGTCAAATTGAAATAATGCGCAATTAATAAAAACTGAATAAAAAAGTGTCGGAGATAAAAAAAGTGGGGGAAAAAAGTGTCGTCCAGCCAAAAGACCCGCGAGTCGCTATAGGTTCTCACACGCGTATAAAGACGTGTTTGCGTTTAGCTGTGGCCAGTATTCCCAGCAGTAAAGTATTGTGAGAACGAAATTGGCAAGGGAGGAGAAAATATATATTAAATTCGCTTGGCTAGTGGGTGCACAATTTCTTCGTAAAGTAATTAATAATAGTAGTACGGCGCTGAAAAAGAAATACAAACATTAAATGGATTTATTTGGCAACTAAGACAAGAAATATCAACACTGCAGTCAGGACAAACACATAAGCATCTCGAGGTTTTGCTTTGCGAACGCGGGTTTTATTTTTTCTTTGTGTGGATCAGCAGGAAAAAAACAAATTTGGTTGTCGATCAATTTGTTCCACAAGCGCAAGGAAATCTGACGCAGAGCTCCTTGTTATCTCAGGGGCGCGGCGGGCTGATTGGCTGCCAGCCTTGTGCGTGCTATTGTTGACGCCACCACCATCACAACAAAGGCCCACAGATCAATGGTCCTCAACAGTGTGGCCTTCTGAGCAAGTTAAGCGCCAAATTTGTCCTGCAGCGTGTATGCGTGTGTATGCGTATAGATTCGGGGGAGCGGCTCTGCAACATTCAGCATTCAACATTCAACATTCAACTGCTTTCTGTTATCCTTTTCATTGTTGCTGATGTCAACGGCGCAAAGGCGGGCGGGAAGTAGAAGGCCAAAGTCATCCGTGCATCCCTCTTCTCCCCCGATTAAGCCTCACACCACCACCCCCCTTTATAAGACGCGCCGCCGCCACCTACGTTGCTTCTACCTCTGCCAATAACTGCTGCTGATATCTGGCAGCATTATTTTTCATTCCTCAGATTTTTTTGCGACATGCTTGAGCCAGTGCTTGCCCGGCCAGGCGGTGGTGGCTTAATTCCATATGGTGCGGGAGGGTGGCGGGGGACGTTGCGCTCGCATATTCTAAGCCCTGTGCTTGCCCCACCACTAGCCACTGGCCACATTTTTCAGGCGCATCCCCGATTTGGCCTGTTGTTGTTGGCCTGAACGGACAGACAAACAAACGGCAGCATGCAATTGTTTGTGAATGTCTTTATTTGCATACTGCAAGTGCTTGGTATCGCCATTGCCCCCTATTTAGCAGGAATGGCTGCATTATGTGTCAACAGACACACCCTTTTGTCCTATTGTTGTCGATTTGCCATTATTTTATTTATTTGTTTCTTTGACGCACAGACAATGTGCACAATTTAAAACCAATAGCACGTGTGTGCCTGCAAAATAAATTGTGAATGTGGAGTTAGCGAGTGTGCCCCCCCCCCTACCAAGCTGTCACGTACACCCTTGCAGATTCGAGGTGTAGAAACACGCGGCAGTAGTCTCAAGCCTCTGAAAACGATGAATCTGGTGCCAAGGCAGCGCATATTGTAGAATTCAGATTGCAAGGGACGGCTCGTACGCTGGAGCAAATGTATCTATTTTCTCTGCGCGAAATGTGGACGTTACTGTCCAGCACATCAAATTCCAGTTGCTTGCCTATCAGGCGTTTTTGTACTCGTATTGCTGTTACTTTGTACGCAAACATTGCCTTTTTGACCCTTTTCTTCGTACCGAAACACACTTCGTAAATATTTTGATACTCTGAAGAAAAATGCAATTGCAAAATATTTTCTTTTAAAAACCCCGAAATCGACATTCTTCTCATCCAGATCGCATAGCAACCTGGGATGTCCCCAAGACCTAAAGTCGATGGTCTGCTATGGTGGGCTATATTAATCATTGCATTTTCAATTAGCGCGCACACTGGGGATCAGGTTTACCAGCTCAGTTCTCGGACTCAAGCCATTGCGCGTATCTTTCCATGCGCTGATGATCTTTATCCGCGTCTTTGCCATCACAATTGTTATCATCCCCATCGCTATTGCCATCGGTATTGTCTCGGCTATCGCTCTTTCCTTTGCCTTTTGGCCGCTCGCCCAAATCCGGCTCATTTGTCGAGTTAGTCAGCCCGGCGTCCTTCCCCGAGAATCTGTAGCGCTTGTGCCCGTTGTATATTGCCGCTTTAATCTGCCGCCCGCCAAAGAATCTCCCATTCATCGCCTACTGCCACAATCCCAAGCAAACCGGACATACACACACACAAAGGAATGCAATATAATTCAGCAGACCTTCCAATCGCACCCATTTTTATATTCCCTACCTTCATACAAGCCCTAAAGTCACATTACCTTTACACACGCTTGCGCTGACAGCTCGTCTCTAAACTTTACCGAAATGGCGCCTTCTTCAGAAAGCTACAGAAGCAAAAACACCATTGATGTATGGTTTCAAAAATAAAAAGGGAGTATTGTTATTAGCTCAGACAACCAAGACCATATGACCTGCTGTGCATGCTGCACGGGCTACTCGATTTGGAATAAACTCACATCATACACCTTGACGCTCGAAACGGATCCAATCTTTTCGCACTCTGAGCGCACATCCTCTGGTAGGTCGAGGAGCAGAGTGATGTCTTCCTAACAAAATAATAAAGGTAACAAAAATCCGCATAAAATAATTACGTTTCTATGTACTTATTAGTATCCGGCATTCGACATTCAGCGTGTATTTTTAATTGCATAGATGGAAGTCATGGTTTGCTTACCTCCAGCTCGGCCAATGTAAACATGTGCTCGAGTATCACTGTCCGCTTGTATCTATCGGCTGTCTGCTTCTCCTCTTCAGACCAGTCGAGTTTCCTACACGAGCAACAAACATTCCCAAAAAGGAGCTCAGCAAACAGTTATATAAAATCAATGTTGGCTGCCAGGTTGCAGTTTCATATCCGCATTCAGCGTCGCTTTGTTTAAAATCATCATACCTTTCCAATTGGCCCAAGCGCTTCTGAACAAGCTTCGTGTCGACACGCGATTTTTTAGGTGCGCTCGCTTCAGGGCCCTTGTCATCTTTATTCGCGTCAAACTTGGCCTACATGACAAAATAAGCATGCTGAGAATCAGTCTGTAATACTTCCCCCAAAAAGACATCGTGATATTAGACATAGTTCAAGTAGAACAAATAACACAACGTGTTTGGGTACTTTACCTCTTGCACACTAATGCGCAACTGGCTCGTCGCTCTGAACTGCGAATCGTCTAGAATATCAACAGCCAATTTCACTGACGGTGACTTAAAGTATGTGACAAGCGCGTCGCCCTTGATCCTCCCGTCTTTATGACAATACAGCTTCACGCGCGGTTTGTCTAAACTCTGGAGAAAAAAGCAAGCAACCAGAAAAGGCTTGCCATATAAGATAATTTCCACATTTAATACCAAGCGGTATTTAAAGTAACATATAATGTCAAAGATATCATGTGCAAAACGTTTAGCTCACCTCACATATACTTACTCGTAATTATATCAGGCATTATAGTGCCGCACTGAGAAAAATACTCGACCACTTCGGCCTCCGTCGTGTCTGAAGGCAGCCCGGAAATATAAATACTAGTATTTTCGCGGCTCTTGCGCATATCATTCGCCTTACGTTTGGTGCCGATGTGTTTCTCCGAGGCCTCTGTGGCATAGCCGACACACTCCTCGTTTTTCTCGGCGCCGTATGCTGACTGTTGCTGCTCCATTAAAACATCATTCCACATGGGAAACCAGGCTCCCTTTGTGCTGTCAAATTCGTACTCCATGCCGTCATTTGGGTCTGTGAATATAAAACACCCGGTCTCTTCGACTAGCTGCACGCGCTTGTCTGATGCGAATTCGCCTGTCTTTGGAAAAACTGGGGTGGCCATTTCACTGTTTTTCGACTTTAGTATTGGTCCAAGATGCGTGTTTAAAATTTTAATGTGTCAATAATAAAAAGGTAAAAAATACTACTTGAAACTGTAACACCGATACATAATTATGAAAGTAAAATTTTCAATTCAAATTTTAAAAATACAACCAGTCGCAAACCACTGATAGTTAAGCAAAATATATGGGCAAGTGCACGTGCTGCAGGCCCTTTTATAATCTTTTGTTGATCATTAATAAAAAAGAGACGAAATAATTTTCACCTTTGTACTTTTCATTAATTTATTTTTCCAACAGTTTTCGGTAATTTAGCGTACAATTCAATTTTTATCAATATAATGGACGCCACAGCAGTACATCCAATCGAGGAGAGCCAAACACCTGACAGCATTCGGTACATTAAACTACTTTCTGTGCTCGACCGCTCACTCTCCTCCGTGGTCGACGCATTCAAGCTTGAAGACCTTCAGGCTATATTTCCCGACCTTGCGCGCGAAATTCCAGAGAAACTGGCAGATACGCATGAACAAATTAGCACATACCTGCGAAATTCTGCCAATTCGGACTTTCAGGCCATAATGATGCAGTACGACATGCCCACAAAGCTCGCAAGTCTTGACAAGTTGATTGTTGACGCAGATGAACGCGAGGCTACGCCAGGATATCAAGCCGTGCCCAGTCTTTCGCCAGAGTTAATCAACCGCAGCCGGGCTGTGGCTATCAAACGCAAAGAGCTTGAGAGGCTAGAAGCTAAGTTGGCCCTGCTAAGGGAAGAGAACTCTCGGAGTATCTCTCTGGTAAACGAACAGGAGACAGCAATTATAACTGAGAAAAACAGACTGGCCGAAACTGTGGACTTGGTCAACAAGGTATGTAGTTTAAAAAGGACAGCCATCTAATATGTATGCCTAATCTAATCATTTGTATTAGTTGCCTGAGTTGGCAATGCGGTACCAAACTTAGTCCTGACTAATTATTAGCACTGCCTCTACGACATTTTTTATTAAATATTAGATTTCGAACTGACCAACCGCAGGTAAAATGTTGGTGTTACGTCGTGAGCACCGAGGAAGTATCTGAACAATTCTAATTCGTTTCCACTTTTCAATTAATAATTATTTCAATATGTGTATATTGTAAAAACAAAAACTAAACATTAATAAAAAAGGTCAGCGCCCATCGAATTTGATTTGGATATTGAGAATGCTAATATCATCGAAGGGCTTGTCATTCTTGTCGGTTTTGGCAGACTCGATCGAGTGGATAACATCAGAGCCGGTAGTCACACGGCCAAATATCGTGTGCTTGTCATCAAGCCAAGGCGCAGAATCCACAGTGGTAATGAAAAACTGCGATCCATTAGTACCAGGCCCAGCGTTGGCCATACTCAGTGTATAAGGCCGATCATGACGAAGTTTTGGCGTAAATTCATCTTCAAACGACTTACCCCAGATCGACTCGCCGCCGGTTCCGTCGCTAAGTGGATCGCCAGTTTGAATCATGAACCGCTTGATAATTCGGTGGAATATAACCCCGTCATAGTATCCCTTCTGGGAGTGAACTGAAAAGTTTTCGACGGCCTTTGGCGCAAACTCGGGGAATAATGCCAGATGTATATCGCCGAGAGTCGTACGCAGGATTGCAGATCTAGCAACTTGTTTTTTGTTCGGAGCAATCGCTAGAGATGCCTCCTCGCGTGTTGGTTTTTCGTTAAAAACGTCACGGTCGGCGCCCTGTTCAGAGTGATCTGGCTCTTCACGTGTAAACATGTAAAACCGGTTCCGCTTGAATGCCGTACAGAAAACCGTAGGGTCTATATCGATGTTCTTTGCGGCAGGGTTGGCTGACGCTACAAGGTCTAGCCGGGTGTTGTTGGATTCGGGCGTGCTCTGAACAAGTGCAATTTGAACAAACCGGTGCGACTCTGGCTTCCCCAAAATGCGAACAACCTTGTTGGTTGCAAGATTAACAACCTTGATGCCTAGCAGACATGAATACAGCAGGTTCCCTGTGCTGTCGTCAAATACAGCATTGGCTTTGGTCCCAGCCGGTGCTCTTAGCAACTCGTTTTCCATGGCAAGCCGCCGTCCAAACTCCATGTCGTCGAGTTTGAATTTGTCGCTCTCGTCACTGTGCTGAACTGCATTGCAAGACCCCACTGATTCGTCGTATTTGCGGTGCAGTTTTCCCGAGGAGCACTTGAACACGCAGATAGTTGAGTTGGCGGAGCTGGTGCAGACAAACATCTCAAAGTCTGGGGAGAACGTCAGGCTGGTTGGAATATCCTTGCTCTTCTTAAACTCGTACAAATCAGTTTGCGACTTTAAATCAAAATCCACAGACGAGGGCAGCTTTTGCGTTTCGTCAATTGTCCAGTACTCAATCATGCCTCCTTTGTCAATCGACACCATGCACTCGTAGACTGGGTTGTAGGCCATCAGGGATACTGGCTGGCGATGAACTGTGTTGATGGTTCGCTTCGAAGTGGAGCTTGCATGAAGATCAAATACATAAATAGATGGCCGCTCAGAGTCAGAAACTGCCACACAAGTCGACTGGTCCAGCGGGTCCTTTATCCAGCACAATGCCCCAGGAACGCAGTCGATAGAAATGATGCTGATCATGTCAAAGTTCACCACGTCAAAAACTTTGATTTGCTTGTCCAAAGAGACTGTGGCAAACATCTGCCCATCCAAAGATAACGAGTAGGCAACTATGGCGCACAGGTGCGCCCTAAAGTCCTTGATAAATTCGATACCCTTGCCGCACTTTTTCCAAAACTTGACATGTCCATCGGCAGACATGGTGATGACAAATCCCGCCCTGGTAACTACAATGCTATCAACCGAATCACGATGCATATATGACCTCTCGTACATTGTCGCACAGGGGAGCCGATCTAGGAGCCTGGCTTTTTGCAAAGGGGATGCCACAGTGCGCTTCTTGGCTGTATGCAACTCTGGCGACGCAGTGTCTAGTGAATTTAAGATTTCCGGTGCCATATCCAAAGTTTCCTGCGGCGAATGAGCTCGCTTTTTGCTCATGGGAGAGGTCATTAAAAAAATAAAATAGTAAAGTATACAATCAAGTATTGCACTTTTGCCATCAGCGCAAATATCATAATTATTAGAATTCGCTATGTAGGTATCTTGAATGCATAGTTGTGGCTTAACCACGTGACTTATCAAAAATTTGGGCTGTTAATAAATTAAATATCAAGTGTTTTTTGTTCGGGTGCTTACTAGGGTTTCTACGCGTATATGACTGTTTCTGCTGCCAAATTTAATACGGTCATTAACCACTACTAGCATTTAGGCCAAGCATATGAGAATGGTTTTTGAGCAACTGGAAAAATCTGCATCCCGCTTCTTCCTTCCTTCCTTACTTCCTTAAAAACAATCAACTATACTTACGTTCCCTTAAGCTTTACTGTTATTTGAATTGCTTCTGTTTATTGTTTTTCCAATTTTATCAGCTATTAAACACCATTTTACAAATCAAACGCACAAGTGTTTTTCTGTCCACGCAACCATCGCAACGCTACTATGGAGAAACCACAAGTGCGTGCTATATATAAACACGATATTTTATACATGACAACGCATTGACTGTGTTAATTGCGCAGTTTTGTATTTTACTAAACAAAGTTGTTTATTTTTGTTAGGTGATTGCCGCCGTGCAGATTACATCGGAATGTTTGGGCGCCGCGCTGTATGACACAGTAACATGCAGGCTGTCGGTAGCAACGTTCATTGAACAACGTGTTTCCGCAGAAGCAGTGCAGCTGTGTAAGTATAATGCGTTAAACATTTACTTTGGCTAAGAATATAATTATATTTATGTTGTATATGCATGCCGCGTTAACTAAATCAAATTACTATCAGCGTAGTTGTAAAGCAAGCTATGGCAAATGTGCTTATTTTTCCGCAAATCTGCGTTGACAACGGTTTGGCCGAACTGCTGCTGGAAAGCCAAGGTAATTATCAATTCATTATTGTAAGTTATATTTTTATGATAGCTTTTGAACTTGCAAGCAATCGTACTTCAACGCTTAAAGTTTGACCAAAAACAATGTGTTATATTTCATTTTTCAAAAATGTTTTTAAACATAGATCAGCACTCTGTAACGGCGGATGCGCGCGAATTTGAGTTTGTCACTGGGAAAAATCGACTTTTTGTTACCCAAGAAGCCCATTCTAATGGACGTGGTAATGGTAATAACAACGGTAATAACAATGGTAGTGGCGGTGGTGATGGCGGTAGTTACAACCTGGTAATTGACTCGGCCATTGATCAGGACTTTGTTTACACAAACCAGTGCTCGGTAAGTGGCATCTGTAACTGTATGCCAGTGCAATGTTTTGCATTGAAATGTTATCTATATTCAATAAAGGCACATACTAGCGCATATCATGTAATGCTAATATGTATTGACGTACGACCACGTTTGTACATGCATATGCATGTAGATTGGGTGCACAGGAGCGCTGCTCGGTTATCTGCAGGACAAATACAGTGGGAGAAACAATATGCCTACTATCCACGTAAAACCCCAGTCCATGTAAGGAGGCGCATATTTATAGTTTTATGCAAGCTTTTATTCAATGTGTATCTGTGGCTTTTTCAACAGCCAAACCTTGCATTTCTACGCGTTGACAATCTAAAACAGCCATTTGACTTTACTATAGCAAGATGTACATGACGGTTGGACATAATGCACTAAGGTAAGCGTGGTGATGCGGACCCAGCAGTTACACCTCACCAACTGGAAATTCGCGTCTATTTCATACGTTTGAATGACTGGGCTGCCGCTGTCCTATGTTGCTTACAATCTATTTTATTTGCGTGCCGCTGATTCGACAATGGCCGTATAGATATCTCAACATATTTGACGACAAGATGCACCCCAATATGCATTCCCAGATCAAGAGCGGAGAGAAAAATTCATTGTTTGGTGAGTGGAAAATTTCAGTAGCTGCTTTGTGATGGTTAATCGCTGCATACAAGGTGCAGTAGTTTAACAAAAAGCTTTATAATAATACTACACGTGCTTGTATTTTTGTTTGCAATTGACTGACAAAATTAAAACAAACCTCGCCAACTTGAGACCTACGTATCATTTATGAGCCTTATTCTGTAGGCATTTTAGACAAGACAACAAGCGCCGGCGGTCGTAAAATGCTGCGCAGATGGCTACAATTCCCCCTACAAGCGCTGTCGGAAATACTAGATCGGCAAAATGCAGTTACCTTCTTGGCTAAAGATGCCAACTCGGAAACGCTCAGCGCAATTCGAAGGGCGCTCAGCAAAGTCAAACCAATGCGGAACGCATGCTTTAGGGTGCAGACAGAGCTTCTACTTGCCGACCTTGAAGCTATTACCCAATTTTCTTACGCTGTAATCCAGCTGTACCGCTTACTACTACCGATAGACGGGTTGCCGTCTATAATCAAAGAGGTAATTTTTAAAATCCAACAACAGCATTGGCAAAAGCATAGATTATTATTTTTATTGGCGGCGGTATTCTTGCAGCAATTCTGGCAGTCAAGGGACGGGTGGATAATTTGATTTTATAATGTGCCGACTGTAGTTCTTGCTAATCGATCAAACTGTCTTTGTGTCCCTAGGCAGCTTGATCATTGGCACTGTTGATTTCGACGCAAGTCGACAAGAAGGTCGGGTGGTTATTCTGCCTGGCGTCAGCAGCAAAGTAGATCACTTGCGGCAAAAGTTTGACCAACTAGACAGCCTATTGGTAAGCGCATTTATTTTCAAAATGCACTCATGTTGCTGCTTATGCTGTAGAGCAGCACAAAACAAGACAATTGACACGCCAACTTAATCCATAATTTGTGCTTTGTGCCAATTATTTTGTAGGGTGAAGCCAGCTGCCAAATGGAGGAGGCCGCGGGGGTCCCTGTGGTTGCGGTGTACTTTCCGCAGCTTGGTTTTCTATCATCAATCGATATTGCATACTATTGCAATGGCAGACTTGAGCAAACTCCTGATGGTTGGTCACTAAAGGTAAACGTTACATAAGCAAATTATAATACTCTAATTAAATGCACTGGCACGCTACCGCAATTTCCAAAATATTAAAACAAAAATACTATTTACTTTGTCAGTCGTAGTTTCAGACTGACAAGCAGCGTTACTACAAAAATAGCATTACACTTGGTAAGCTGCAAATGCATATATATACACAACTTGATTTGGCAACATATATTTGCGCTGCTTTAATCCCGTATGTTAGGATATTATATGCTGCAGGACTAATGCAAAGTACTGTAATACTTTTTCATTTATATTACTGGCTTGTGGTTAGGCCTTGACAAGTCACCAGGCGACATATTTTGCTTGGTGGTCGGTAAGTGCTAAAATATAACAGGCTTGGCGCGCCAACAGACCCAGCACTGGCAAAGTCGAATGCCGCAATTAATTAATATCAACTATATGTGGCAATATCTGCCTTGGAAAATGCTGTAGATGCCGAGTCTGAGGCATGCTTAGAGCTACAAAACGACGTGTGCAATCGCGTCCACGACATTCTTCAAGCATTTGAGATAATGTCTCAAATTGATTGGTAAGCAGTAAGCGGTTAAGTTAGCCTTGAAATTGGAATAACAAACTTTGCGTGCTCAATATATTAGAACGCATGCTCTTCTCAAATATGAATATAATAATGTGTCGTAAAATGTATAACATGCGGTAACATAGCTTGCAGGCCCTTGCCACAGCATCCAAGCAGTATGGTTATTGTCAGCCGCGCCTTGATATGGGCGGCTGTATTCACATTGAGCAAGGCCGGCATCCGATACTTGACATTACAAGCAGTGCGGGTGAATTTATTGCCAACAGTATCCATGTGACGGATGCCAGCTGCACGCATAGAGGCAGCAGCAATGATGGGTGCCAAAAGGCAGTAGCATTGGTGGGTCCTAACGGCTCTGGGAAGAGCGTTGTGCTTAAACAAGCTGCGCTTTTGGTTTTCATGTCGCACATTGGCAGTCACATACCAGCACTCAGCATGCAGCTAGGGCTGACCAGCAGCATATTGGTTGCTGGCATCTCGTCAGAGTCGCTTACGCACAAGACAAGTGCATTTAATTCCGAGCTTAGCACTGTCATGACCATTCTCAAAGCGGTGACGGCCAATACTGTTGTGTTGCTAGACGAGTTTGGCCGCGGAACAAATCCGGCCGACGGCATGGGCTTGCTGTGTGGTGTGCTGCAGTCTCTTACCCGGAGGGCTGATAAAATGCCATGGATAATAGCGGCCACACATTTTCAAGGTAAGAACCGGCCAAAACAGATTATTTAACAGAGTTGCAGCTCCAATAGTTGCAGGCAAAAAATAAACAGGGATGACAGTGCTGATACAAATAGGAGCAACATGTGCAGCAGCAGGTTATTATACATTGTCAATTTAAATCCGCAAATACAGCTCCCAGAGTCACATTGGTATACTCACATTTGTAGACATACGCAGCATCCCTAGTGCGCAAGGATTGTGGTCTTGCATGCAGGTCAGATGCATGGATTTTTGCGAGACATCGTCAGGGCTAGTGTTTCTTTTCAAGTAAGTAAAAGCTATGCACATGTGTGGTGGATGTTTAAGACAACCAAAACGCGCAAAAATAATACACCTGCACTCAGTTTTGATGTGTCGTTATACTTGATAGGATTTCAGACAAGCGTGCCTCGCAGGGCTCCCACGCAGTTGCTTGTGCGCGCGATGCCGGAATACCTAGCAGTGTGCTGGATTGTGCGTTGAAGTATCTTTAATTTTTTTGCAAGCAGGCCATTTTGTGAATGCAAATACAAGTAATTACAAATTGTACGTGAAGTATGGCAAAGCAAGCATCGATGTACGCAGTCTTTGGCACTTTTTTGATAGTAAGAATGCAAAGTTGTGTTAGCGCCCGTATTTTTTTTTAAAAATGTCGTTGCTAAAATCACGTCGTTTGTCATCACAAGCACAGGTAAAAATAAAACGAAAGCAAACAGACAGGCATGCTTGTTTAAAACCCTCACAACTTGGCACAGTTTGGTTTGGTTTAATTTGGTTCGGTGTATTGTATTAACATGCTAGGTTGCTTGTTATTTTGAGCAAGCGCAAAGACGCCTTTTTTAATTTGGGGCTGTACTCGTTTATGCAAAATAATTAAAGAAGAAATCAAAAAAATAATACTTTTTATTTATAAACATTCTAATCATATCCAGCCATGAAAAATATTTTCAAAAATTCCAGCATCTGACTTTCGTTTGACAATCTGCTTGCATAATCAAAATAACATTTCAAAGCTCCTTTTCAGCATCCAAGTCAGGGTGAATGTCACTGGGGATCAATAAAATTGCACTCGTAACCAAATGTAATTTCAAATGCAATAATTATGTATACTGGGTCTTTTATGGACAAGTAGAAAACAATATCAGATTGGTTAATTAGCTTTGTTAATTACACAATGTGATTTCTTGGTGTAGTCGGTTATCACGTCTGCCTAACACGCAGACGGTCGCCAGTTCAATCCTGGCAGAAATCACTTTTTTATAACTTTTTAGTTATAAAAAATGATGGTAATATTTTTTTGGCCTTCAAAGATATGTTATGAAATTTTGGAAAAAAAAAATCTTTTGGCTGTTGTCCACCCCAGTATTTTGCCAATATTGGTGAAAGTTAATAATTTAAATATAAAATTTATAGAATCCGATTACAGCACTCAAGTCCAAGACTGTACCTAGGTGCAACAAGACTTGATAATTTTTATATATTTTTAAAACCAAGACAGTTAACACTGTCGTGCTCTATAAAAATGTGGGTCTAAATTATTATATTCAAGTATCAAAAACTACTTAAGGAGCTGAAAAAAGAGGGCAGCGCTGTAAAGATAATGATGCTCCTTGATGTCAGCCAGCAATAACATAAATGTGTATAGCGGCCGTGAGGGCGGTCTTGGTTCTTGAAAATGGAAGATAGTGCCTTGGAATGTGTGTTGGGCACCACAAATACTGTCTGACAGCTCGCTCATAATTGATTAATAATTAATGGCATTAGATGTGTGGTTTTTTGGTTTTGGTCCAAATCTCCCCTGTGATAATTTAAATTGTTTTATTCTGTTTTAATAAATTTAATAAATCATTAACTTAAACATGATTATTTTATTTGACAAAAAAGTTTTGACTTGCTTGGGTATTTTCATCGAATAATGACCAATTATAATCTCGAGAATCCTCATAGATTGATTCAGTGGAGTGAATGCTGTCTCCGTCCTTGTAGTCGTCAGAAAGATGCTGCGGTGTGGGCGCTTCAAACCCAATTGAGTCCGGGCTGTGTTTAAAATCGTTTAGACTTCCACAAGGTTGTTTGTCATCACATTCGAAAAATACATGTGGTGCAACAGGGTGAGGCTTGAGCACAATGGGGCTGCGTGTAAACATGGGCGCAGTACCAAGCACATTAGCGGATTTCATGTCTGATTCATAATGCGTGTTTTGCGTCTGAATAACCTCCGAATGATATTTCGGATTAGAATCCCCCTGCCGGTTGCGATGCAACGTTGGGTTTTGCATACACAAGGGGGTTTTGTTATAGATGTTCCGTTCTCCGCGCATAGGCACTTGCGAGTGAAGTGTTAGAGAGGTTGGCTGGCGTAAATGCGCCGGTATATACTGCTGAGAAACAGAAGAAAAGCTGTGCAAAGCGTCCAAAGATGTCTCACAAAAAGTACCTCGGTTGTAGGCATACGCCTCGTCTGTTTCTTCTTCTTCAGAGTAATCTCCATCGCCAACTTCATACACGCATGGTTCATTTGGAAATTCGTCTTCATAAATGGTTGGAGGCCCTGGGGGCGTATGTAGGTCCAGGTCCAGGTCCATATCATACAAGTGTTGTGATTCAAGCTCAACAATAGACTCGAACGAGCCTATGCTGCTTGCCGACTCTTCCTCGCTGTCTATGCCTGATTGCTGAGAACATGTCTCTGATACTACGAATTCATCAATCTCGGATTGCGCGTTGTATGGCGAGTTCCCTGGTAGCGACCTGCACCGCCCAGGGCTATGTGGTGACATGGTGTGCGGCGAAGAAAGTATAGCATATGCATTGTTTGCGCGGTTGTGGTTCCATACTCCAGATAATACGTCGCCATGGCTGTTATCAACAAAATCAGATTCTTGTGAGCCATCACTGTGGGACTTCTCATATTGTTCGGCGCCTTCAGAGGTAATCGCAATTGGTGCCGACAGCTGCTGGCGCAGTTTATCCAAGTAATGCTCAATGCTGTTGGTAAAATACGAGTCAATAGGTGTTTCTTGATCCGTGGCCAGCGATTCTGACGAGTCGTAGTTGAGCGCAGCTCCCTTGTCTTCATTCCTGCTGCTCGTTCTATTGTGTTGTCGGGGTGAGTCTTCTTGATTTCCGTGTCGCACCCCTCTAGGAGTGCTCATGTATGGCGCGAAATCTAGATCCAGCGATCTGCCGCAACTGCGACCAAAAACGCTATGTACACGCGTACTCTCATAGGCATCAGGAGTAATGCCAGGGCTAGGTGACTGGTTACAGCGAATAATGTCGACATTAGTTACTAGTTCTGGCAACAGTGAGCCACTGCTAGAACTGTACTCGCCAAGCTCCGGCGACGCGTATCTGCGCTTGCGGCTAGCAGCTAACGGTGTGGTAGGTGAGTCTGGGTATTTAAGCAGGCTTCCTAGAGTGATCACAGCCAAGCCACGTATTCTGCCATTATCGACAACTATCTTTTCTGTGCGCAGGTCGATGATATCGTCATCTTCATCAATTTTTCCATACTTTTCGAAAATAGCCTCGAAGGCGCTGCGGAAGCGGCCCTGGCTCTTCCGTCTCGCCCTGTCGAATTCCTCGTCTGCATTGGTCATTCTTGTATGTGTCCACGCTTTGGTCAAGGTGTTTTTCTCGAATTTAAGACAAGCGTGTCAAATTCACCTTGAAAAGGTTAAAATGAAATAACAATAATAAAATGGATTAATCGCAAAATAAATAAAATAGACGAAAACGAAGGGAAAAAGTGATGCCTTGGGTTTGCAAGAATTAAATTATTTTTGCGGGAATCGTTGACAAAAAAATAAAGAATCGAAACGTGATCTACTTAAGTACTGCATGGTTATGAATTTTATCTACAGCCGAATTTTGACCGGCGCATTCTTCCCCATGGCCGTGACGTTAAATTGGGCGTTACCGATAAGCACTTGGACATTTGTGAAAACGTCGACATCGAGGGTTCCACCAATGGCCCGACGCAACACGTCCCAGCCAATGGTCGTGTCATTGGTAACAATGGGCAGGCGTGGGGTGGTGATAGCCTGGTTAAAGGGCAGCAAGAGCCCGTTAGATTTGACTGAGCCCTGCCGAGACGAATTGACTGTAAAGTCATAGTCTAAAGTGCCCAGCGGGATGTCACCCTTGTAGTAGCCGACGGCCTCAATAGATTTCAGCCAAATGCCAGCACCTGAAACGGGATTCACGACTGTCGCTTCAACCGCAATGTTGAACAGATGAAAAACAATCTCGCGAAGCACCTTTGGAAACTCACTGACAATCTTGTCGCTGCTGCCGCCCTTGAGCTTGGAAAAGTCAATATCTATTTTTTGCGAGAACCCGCGCAGCGATGCCTCCAGTGGAGCTATGCTGGTGCAGTTCGGGAATCCTGAGATCCCAATGGTCATGTTCTTCCCCATAGACGCCTGTAAAAATAGCATCCGCTGCCGGGGGTCCTCGGGGTGGTTGTAAAAATCGATATAAATTGTGACCTTATGCGCGCCCTGATCCATAGTCAACTCCTTAATGCCAACCTTTGCAACGCGCAGGTCCTTGTAGTCCACATTCATCGCCAAGTCAGTTATGTAGGCACCATAGTTGAACGGGTTATTGATATCAATGTCGATCTCTATCACAATGAGGTCCTTGGTCGTGTTGGTAATGTGCATACGGGACACAATGAATTCAGGTACTCTGCCAGGCTTGGGGCCACCCTTGCCTGTTGACAGAGCGCTGGGAGTGCGCGCAGTGTTGGCATCGACTGAGCTGGACTTACAACGCTTGCCATCACATTCGGAATCGAACTTGCGATCGACGTGTGTGTAGAAGGGTAATGCGCCAATGCGCAGTTTGCCAATAGAGGTGGCTAGAACAAAATCCAGAGTGCCATTAACACCAACAACCAAATGGCGATCTACCAGGGCGCGCTGCATCATGTACGTGAACTGCTCCTCACGGTCCTGGACTACATTCAGACCAATGCGGTCGAAGTCGCATGCTGCCATAAATTTCAGTGGTGCCACTTGCTTCACTACAAACGGGATTGTTGGAGCGTCAACTGTAGCAAACACTTGCTTATTGTCGTCGAGGAGCTGTATGTGCGGCACGAACGACTCTATGTCCACAGCCATGTCTGCACCCGATGGATTGGGCAGCTGCACGGTGGCCTGGCCGGAAACGCCAATCCACGGGTTAAAGTCATTTTCGGCGCTCCAGTATGCGTAGAACCTGTCGACCACAATGTCCTTGATCATATCGTCAAATGAGGGCAGATCTCCGGCGGGCATGCTAAGCAAGTCAGTGCTGACTACCACAGACGTGCGGTGGAGGGCCCGACGAAGCCACATCGGTGCAGTCGAGTAGTCAGCTGCACTGGTTCCGGAAACCTTCAAGTCAATTCCCTTGCCGCTGGCAATGCTCCGGACTATGTCCTCCAATGCTGATTCGTGCGATCGGCTAGATATCTCCCGTACGTTGATCGCAGCCGGAACCTCGACAATGCCACCGGTCCGAACGTTAATCGGCCCAATCCGAGCAGTCGCAATCTTAATGTCATGGTAGCTGACGTCAAAATTAACAGCATCGATATTTGCAGACACATTCTTCACAGGAATGCTCACACGAGCGGCAGCCACTGTCGTAACACCGCCCCTCTCCTTGTCAACAGAAGGGCCGGAAACGGCATGAATAGTGTAGTTTTCAGTAAGAGACGGCAGAGGAACTGCCATGTCGACCTTACTGCGCACGCCGACTTTGGGCAAGAACCTGCCAATGCCGCTTAAATCCACCACTGTGCGCGTGTCTACAGTAATGCGGCGACTGTCGACAGTCGCGCTGACCAAGCGCACCATTGCGTGTTGGTCCACAATGTTGAACACCTGGTACAGCTCCAAGTCAGTCGCCGGGCCACTGATTTCAAGGTCTTTGGCGCACATCCAGCCAACTATGTCACTATCATGGAATAAAGTAATGTTCAAAAAGGGTACTGACGCCGGGCCGCGCTTCCAGTGAGGAAACCGCACCTTGGCCGAAAACACGACAGAGTCGTCGGCAGTGTCAATCAGGGCGGCGGAAGTGAGTTCGGGCTCGCTGCTGCGGATGACATAAACAATGCCTGGAATATGCAGGATGATGTACAGTATGTAAACGCCCAGTAGCAGGCATGCACCGCCAAGACACAATCCTAGCAGTGGTGTCAGCCGCTTGGCAATTGTAGGTACATTGCTTGAAAGCATTGGTGCTTCTTCAGCCTGAGGTGACGCATGCTGCTGTTCATGCTGCTGCTCGTCCGGAGACAATAGCGGCTCTCGTTCTTCGCTGTCAGCAGCGTGGGCCGCTGGGCTGGCAGCATCGCTTGGAGCGTGTTGTTCAGACATGTGTGTGTGGTTTGTATATGGGTTGTGTGCGTGTAATAATAATAATAATATAAAATACAAAGCGAATTCAAGAAAGGAGCAAAATAAAGCCTGGTATGCGTGAAAGGAAAAGAAAAAAGAAGCACACGACTACGACGATAACGACTTTTGGTCCTCATATCTGTGTGGCCTTCATAAAAAAAGTAAATGGGGGTGAGGGGTGGCAAGTGGGAAAACCACAGTGATGACCATGCGTAGTCATGCATTTCCGCCGCCTCAACCTCGATTACGTGTTTTTTGTTGCGTGCAGCGAAACGCCCTTAGGCATTTTCATTCTTTCCTAGAATTAATTATTTTTTACTAACTTTGGGTCACCTCTGCCTCTTTCGAATTGCATTTTACCACCATACCCTCTCTGGGCCAGCAAAAGATGATCACGGACAACCAGCTCATGGTACTGACCAATTCGATGGGATGCATAGTGTTTTTCCTCATTGCGCTCTTTTGCGCTATCACCGTTAATTCTGGGGAGGTCGCGAAGAATGCCAATGAATAAGGCAGTGCGACAGAGGTGTGACCGGTAGAACCACAGAGCTGTTTACATGACTGACCCGAAGAGTCAAAACTATCCCTCCCGTGTATCATTTATCCATCTTTCATATAGCATTCAGTTTAATTCAATTCAATTCAATTCAACTCTAAAAATACAAACTAGTACATTTTTGATATTCTGCTGCTTCTGATTTTCGATGCACTTGGGCCAGCGCGGTGGTATAAAAGGAAAAAAGCATAGCTGGCGGGCGGGCGCGGCGGCTGCCGATTGGACGCTTTGGTTTTGTGAACCTCCTGTGCCTATTTTAAGCAGCAGCAGCAGCAGCAACAGCAACAGCAGCAAGCAGCAAGCAGCAAACATGTCGTGCAGGTTTATGCAGCAAAGCGAGCATCGGGATATAAGGAAAAGTCTTGCGTGTTTTAGTTATCATCTTTTTTGTTCTTCGTCTTTTTTGTCTTTTCAATTTGCAATTTATCATCTGGATTTGCACCTTGTTATAGCTGTAATTTACCTCAACACATCTTAATTCGGAGCGCGCGCATACGCACACGTTTCTCTTCCAACATTTCTCATTGTCAGCAACATCAGTTCAAAAAATCTAGAACACGAACGAAATGTCAACCGACGCAACAGTCAAGAGCTCGCTGCTTAGGCTTCAGAAGAATGGCGGAAACAATGTATGTATTGGTCTGCACTGCCATTTGGGTTTGGACCAACTTTTTTTTTAAAAAAAAGAAGGAAACAACAAAATAAAGAGTGTACTAACAAACATTGTCAACCTTGTTTTCATTTACAAAAAATACCGAAATGTGTAGAAGTGCATGGACTGCTCGTCGCCCAACCCGCAGTGGGCGTCAGTCACACTGGGAACTTTCTTCTGCCTGAACTGCTCCGGACAACACCGCGGACTCGGAGTGCACCTAAGCTTTGTGCGCTCAATATCAATGGACAAGTGGACAGCCGAGCAGCTGAGGCGCATGGAGCTTGGCGGTAATTCCAAGGCAACGTCCTTTTTCCTATCACAGCCCGATTACAGGGATGGTATGACGATCAAAGATAAATACGACAGCCGATTTGCCGCGCTCTGGCGGGAAAAGCTGACGGCCGAATGCGAGGGCCGCGTGTGGACACCCCCTACGGTCACCAGTCCGATAAGCCCGTTGGTGCGGTCCAACACATCGTCGCCAGCACCTTTGAACACTAGCTCGGCGCAGCGCAAGGCCCTTGGCAATACGTTTGCTGGATCTCCAGTCGGTGGCAGTCGCAGCCAGACACCCGACCCTGTGCGGACGGGCAGCCCAGCGGCATTCGGCAGCGCCGCACAGAAGCAGCGCAATGATGAATACTTTGCGCGCCTTGGCACACAAAACGACTCGCGGCGTGATGATTTGCCTCCGAGCCAGGGCGGCAAGTTCACTGGATTCGGCTCGTCGCCAATGCAACCCAACGCGAACAGAGGGGCCTCTGGTCCGGCGTTCAACCCGCAGGACATCATGAATGACCCAACGGCCGCACTGACCAAGGGCTGGTCGCTGCTTGCCACTGGTGCGCAGTCGGCACTGAGCACGCTGGGCACTGTGGCTGGGACCATCAGCGAAAACTACGTGCGTCCGGCGGCCGAAAAGATCCAGGACCCGAACTTTCGCAATGACGTCACTTCATACGTGTCCACAATTGGCCTCAAGGTCGAGGAGACCGCTAACCGCGGCTTTACATCGCTGTCCAGCTACATGCGCTCCGGCCAGCAGGGGGGCTATGGTGGCGGGTACTCCCAGGTGGCCACCAACGGCTACAACGGCTACAGCAATGATGCCGACGATGCCGACGCAGACTTTTTCGACAAGGAGATGAGCGCCAACTCGGCAATGACGCCGCCTGCGTCATCGAGTGCGCCTAACACCATGTCACAGAGTCTCAGTGTGACTAATCGGGCTGGGTCAAGAGGCGCCCTGCAGCCGGGCTCTGGAGGCAGCGTCTCTGCGCGCTCGGCAACGAAAAAGGCCAGTGGGTGGGATGACGAGTGGGACAAGTTCTAACACATTTTTATCCATTAATGCAGGGCAGAGCCATTTATTTTCAACTGCCAAAGCGCTGAAATGTGCCCTTTTCATAAATGTTTTTATACTTGTTTATTCAATACAAAAATGTGTATGAGGAGAAAAATGTTAAGAAAAAGGATAATCATTTTTCTATTTCATAATATCCAGCGGCGCTGCAAGTTGCTCTGGAAGCGTAAAATTACACGCAAAGAATAGGCGAAGGGCATGCTCTGCCTATGTACAGAAAAGCAAAAGGCCTGAGAGGATTTGAAATATTGTCAAGTCATGCCAGGGCTTTCCGACGAGCGACCGCTGTTGCCTGTCGACGCGTTCTCTGCGGCCGAGATGGCGCCGCCCTGATTCCGCAGACTTTGCTGCTGAGATAGTATCGGCTGGCCCTGGTTGCGCAGGTGATGGTAGTGGGCCTGGTCCTGTGCAATCCCCGGTGCCCGGCGCATGTCGTCCAGCGCGTCTTGCCTGGGCAAGTGCATAGCGTGGGTTCCACGGAACGAGCGCGGCAGCGACGCACGCGGCTCGCTGGCAGCTGCCGAGCCGATCGGGAAGCCGGGGCCCATTGGCGTGAACCGCGCACTGGGCCGCATATGCGCAACAGCGTACTCGGCAAACTCAACCGGGTCGATGTGCGCGCCGCGGCCCCTCGAGCGCGCCGGCCGGATTGGAATTCCAGCAGAGTGCATTGGCTGCGCCGACGTGCGCCGATGCCGCATCGCATGCGGGTTGATGTCGGTGGCCGGCGCCGCAAAGGCTGCCGCCAGCGTGTGCTGCTCAGACAGGCTGCTGCCTGCCTGGCCCGGCAGCGACCAGCCGCCGCGCATCTCGGGGATTGGCGACCCGCAGTCGGCCACATCGGAGCCGACTATGTGCGGCGACACAATCTCAATCGCCTCCATCAGATTGCGCACATGGTCCAGGTCGACATTCGCCGATGGAATGCGGTCGCGCCTGACTGCACCCATCCACGACCCACTGCCGTCGACGGCTGGTGAGTTGCCGCCGCGGAAGCTGCCGTACAGCGACGTGCCGCGCAGGCTGGCCGATGGGGACATGGACTCCGACGGCCGCCGCGGCGCCAGCGTCTCCTTGACCACTGCCGACATCAGCCGGTGGATCGTGTGGCTCTGTGTGTCAAATGCATCAACAAAGTGCTCCAGCTGAATGTCCGCGCCCTACACAGCAGCACCAAAATATACACAAAATGCACGTGCTTTAGAGTTAGACTGTGCACTGTGGCATCAATTCGGTTGCTTACAAGCGCACAGCCGCGGCATACTTACCCCGGCGCTGTTCAGATCTGCGATCGACCGCTCGAGCACGGCCTTGAGTTTGTACAGCAGCTCGTTATCGAGGGCTGCGTCCGACTGAGTGTTCATTGTTGGCGCCGAGAATGTGTGTTTGTGCGCGGCCCGGCGTAATGTAGTCTGGGCTGGGCTGGCTAGCAACTGGCGCAGTCGATGGTCTGGGTCTGGGCCTGGGTCTGGGTGTGTTGATGCCGGTGCAAAAGTCGCGGCGGTGCGTCAAGCAGTCTGGGCGAGCGGGCGAGCAAAGATACACAATTAACAGAGCACAGTAGCACAAGAGCGCTATGAGAGAGGATAAACGATATAATAGATAGTGTGGAAATACGTGAGCGAAATGGTTAATGAATGCATTTGGAAAGAGAAGCAGAAGGGACGCTCAGCCAGCCGACCAGCCGGCAAAGAAAGGTGCACTGAAACCCCCGCGTACGCAGGGTCGGTCTGCCTTTTTTAATTGTTAGCGCGCGTGCCGTGGGGAAAAAGCTGCTTAATCGGCCAGCCAGCCAACCGGAGTGAATCATCTTTTTAGGCTGCTACTGCCACAGGCAGCAGCCAGCAGCAGCGGCGGCGTAAAGAATTGCGCCGTGCCGCAAAACAGCAGTGCAAAGAAAATTTTTACCGCCCTTTGCCCGAGCGCAACCAGTGGGGTGACACGCCTCGAGCGATAATCCGCTCATCTCGCAAGAAAAAAATTTTCAAACCGAATCGGCCCAGGCCAGGCACGTGATCCCCGGCTCAAGCTGGCGGAAAAAAGTTGCTGAACAGCACAACGCCGGCCAGCCCGTACGCGGCAAAGTAGCCAACCACGGCCAAGGCCACTGCTGGCGTTTTCAGCGCCGCCTTTGCTGTTGTCGTCGTCGCTGGCCGCTGGCCTGGCGCTGGCGGCGGCAGTGAAGATGCCACTACGTGCGCCGCGAACCAGAACACTGCCGGCACGCTGGAAAAAAACCGCGTTATAACCTGCACGTGCATCGTCGCAGCCGCCACGCCTAGCAGCACTGCCCAGAAGTACATGTGCGGCAGCAGCGAGTCGCCGAAGTAAGCGGCCGTTGCCCGTATCTCTGCCTCTGCCTCTGCCTCTGCCTCTGCCTCTGCCTCTGCCTCTGCCTCTGCCTCTGCCTCTGCCTCTGCCTCTGCCTCTGCCTCTGCCTCTGCCTCTGCTCTGCCTCTGCCTCTGCCTCTGCCTCTGCCTCTGCCTCTGCCTCTGCCTCTGCCTCTGCCTCTGCCTCTGCCTCTGCCTCTGCCTCTGCCTCTGCCTCTGCCTCTGCCTCTGCCTCTGCCTCTGCCTCTGCCTCTGCCTCTGCCTCTGCCTCTGCCTCTGCCTCTGCCTCTGCCTCTGCCTCTGCCTCTGCCTCTGCCTCTGCCTCTGCCTCTGCCTCTGCCTCTGCCTCTGCCTCTGCCTCTGCCTCTGCCTCTGCTCCTTCCTCTGCTGCCACACCTTGAACAGCGCTCAGCTTCCTCTTGCGCATCCGCAACCCCAGTGTCGCTACCCGCGGCGGATCGTGTGCCGCATAGGCCCACAGCCCCGCGCCTGACAGCACAACCATCGGTGCCGCCAGCAGAAAGTTTGGCAGCTGCTGCAGCGTGTAATACCGCAGAAAGCCGATATCCCAGTACTCTGTCTGCACAAACCCGTACACCGTCGACAACGAGCTTTCGCAATATGGACGCGCGCTGGCTGCCGGTGAGTGGATCGGCTGTTGGCACAACTCGCGCTTGCCAAATGCCTGGAACGCTATGAATCCCAGCGCTGAGATTGCCACCAGCACTGTCGCCTTCAGCGCCTGCCACAGCAACGCGCGACGCCCGCTGCTGCTGGCGCTCCCGTCGCGAGCATCACTGCGCACAATCAGGTCCCACACGATGAACCCAGAGTACATGACGCCATTCGAGCGGCACAGGCTGCTGGCCGCCAGGCACAGCGACGCCAGCAGGTACTTACGCCGAGAGATCAGCAGCAGCGCTGAGAACACCAGCCATGCAAATAGGCTCTCGGTGTACACCGCCGTCATAAACATGTTGGATGGCGCGACCGTGTATAGCAGTGCTGCAATGTATGCCAGCCTCTCGCTGCGCAGCGTGGCGCAGCCCAGTCTGTAGATTGTCCCCGCAGCAAGCACAAACGACACATTGCTAATGGCCACGCCGGCAACGATCAGCGCCAGCTGCCGGCCGGCCAGGGCAGCGAGCGGCGCCAGCACAGTGCGGGCCAGCAGGCGCATCAGCAGCGGCAGCAGCGGAAAAAATGCATGTTCCTGTTCGTACACGTAGCCAGAGTCCGCAATGTGCACAAAGTAGAACGCGTCCCACCGCACGACCACTTGCGCCAGTCCGCGAGCGAGACGACTGCAGAGCAGCGATAGCTGCCCACTGTTCGCACTGGGCGCTGGAGGCAGGAACACCCCGAGTGAGGCGTCGTAGTCGTCGATGACTGCGTTGGACACTATGCCCAGCGCCAAAGAGGCCATGCGCGAGACCACTGCCCACTTAATCACGCTCCAGAGGCGGCTGCGTTTGTCTTTTGGGCCGCTGCCCGACACTGCCTTGCGCGGAGAGACCATGTAACCGAGTAGAGCAGAGGGTTTGTGTTATTCGCAGAGTGCACACCAGGGTAAATATGGCAGGTGCAGCTGGGCTGGCTTTGGCTTGTGGTCAAAATAAAAAACTAAATGGTGTAACAATAATAATTAAAGTAGAACAGGACAAGTCGCTCAACACACAGTGTGCGGCAGACTATCGCTCATTTAGTTTCTTTTTGATGTCACCACTGCAGGCACAGAACAGAACAGCGGGCTGCGCGTGCATATTCGTGCCAGCCAGGCCCACTTGAATGTGCATGCCTCGCGATTAAATCCTCTGATTGCGGATCAGCTGCTTGTGCTATGCTTGTGGAGATAAGATTGGCCCGCCTTGCCTTACGCACCACAGCCCTATTTTTCGCCTGCTCGCTCGCAACGCCGCACTGTGCTTTTGGCCCTGCCGAGCGGGCCGGTTTTGTTTCTTCGGTTTTTTATAATTGCACGCTCAATTTGAATTTCGCTTTTTCTTTCTTAATTGAAACACTTTTATTTCTTTTTTGTCAATCCACCGACCAAATCACTTTTATACTTCACTCACACAGCACACTATGGGCGGACACGGATACTCTGGATCGTGGGGCAACATGGGTGGGCCCAAGCACCGCGGCATCGTCACCTACCAGCTCTCACCGTACGAGATGAAGACCAACGCCCACCTTATCAGCAAGGGCACCCACAACTTCTTCCGTCGTACCAGCTCCAACCTGGGGTACATTCTGCCCGGCGTCTTTCTGTTCTGGGCCGTCACCCACTTTGGCAAGAAGAGACACGAGTGGCTCAACAGCAAGGCTGGCCATGCCGCCCAGTATGAGGGCGAGCACTAAGTAAGAGGCGGAACCACGAGGAGAAGGAGCAGGGGCAGAAGCGGGGTTGACTGACTGGATGAATGCTGGATAAATCGACGTGCTTTCGCTATATTGCGTTTTATCTCTGCAGTGGGCCAGAGCGAGATGCTTTGAGAGAGAATGGTCAATGGGGGAGGAGACCAGACCATTAATCGCTTGGTTTGCGCATCCAAATAACCGACGATTCTGTTAGCCGTCTCCTGTGTTTTTATTTCTCTCTTTCTCCTCTGGTTTTTTATTTCTACACTGCTTTCATTTTTATTTACAACCGTTGTATTCAATTTACACATGTTTCTCTCTTTGCCCCGGCTAGATCTCTGGACTGGACTACAAGATCTACATGTGTCAATGCCATAAAGAATGTGTTTGGCGCTAAATAACTAACTTGGTGGGGGCAGAATGTGCCTTTGTATTGGTCATTCTGCTTGATCAAAAGGCCTTTCCGGTACCAAGATATTTAGCATTATCGTATGCCTTCCTTCTTCTCTGTCATTTTAAAAGGGATATTATAACACATGCGTACTCGACAGCTCACATTGAACAACGGCCTGCAGATGCCTTCTTTTGGGCTTGGCACCTGGCAGCAACGTGATCCGGACACCGTCAAACGCGTTGTCCGCCAGGCACTCGATGTTGGGTACAGACTAATTGACACAGCCAGTGTCTACCGCAACGAGAAAGCCATTGGCGAGGCATTGGCAACTGCCTTTTGCAACCAAGGCGGCGGTTTGCGCAGGGAGGACGTGTGGATTACCAGCAAACTTGCGCCAAAGCAGCAGGGGTACGAGGGCGCTATGGCCGCAGTGCTTGGCTCGTTGGAGAATCTACAGACAGATTATATTGACCTCTACTTGATTCACTGGCCCGGTGCCTCAGGAAAGGCCCTTGAGAGCCCCGAGCACCGATCCCTCCGCCAAGGCAGCTGGGAGGCGCTAGAGGAGCTGTATGCACAGGGTAAAGTGCGCGCAATCGGTGTTAGCAACTACACGAAGAGACATCTGCAGGAAATGCGTGCATACGCTAAAGTCGCTCCCATGGTCAATCAGTGCGAGATGCATCCACTTTGCCCGCAGCCCGAGCTCTTAAAGTACTGCAAGGAGAACGGCATTGTGTTTACCGCATATGCAAGCCTGGGAGAGGCCTCGCTTTTGAATAACAACCAGGAGCTGCCAGAGCTTTCCAGCGTTGCCTACCGCCGCCCGGATTTGAGCTTAGCCCAGATCTTGTTAATGTGGGGGCTCCAACACGGTGCAGCAGTGATCCCCAAGGCCTCGAGTATGGCGCGGCTGCAGGAAAATATGTCGGCTCTTGACAAAGTCTCATTGTCTGCCGACGACATGGATGAGCTGGATTCTGTGAGCCAGCAGCGCCAAAAGCACTTTTGTTGGAGCGCGGAAAATGTCGCTTAATTGGACCGGATTACAATATTTTTCGACTGAGTACGTAAATATAACTTTGGGGCGAGTGAACACCTATTTTATTTTTAGCGCTATTTTGTAGTAAAATAACAGCTGGCTTGCGGTATTTTCAAATAAGGCTTTACACCGCCAGGGCATCGATTAGAATAATTTTTTAAAAAAGTTGAATACCTATTTTTTTCACCAGCCCCAGCCGTTGCACCCACTTTATTGAAAACATACATTTGCTGCTGTGCTTTTAACATCTTTCATCACCTGTAGCATGGAGTGTAGAAGCCACATTCGCAGATGCGAGCGTGGCCACAACCAGCCAATATCGGCTACTCACTCGGAGACAGGCGCAAAAGCCTCAGTATCTGTCATATTCAAAGCAGAACTTTCTAGTTAATACTAATACTAATAATATTCTTTTTTAACCCCCCCTGAGTATTTAGAGTGGTTTCTACTGTTTCATTTTACAGTTACTTGCTATCCGCAAATTGGAACAATTCATGCTTGTACATGCCCAAATTTTCATATTCCAAAACTTTCCCCACACAAAAAACATATTGTGGTGAATAGAGAAGTAAATTCAAAGAATTTGATATAATGCCCATTTTCCATATAAATTTGTAATATATTGATTCAACGTTAAAAATCTGGGGTACTTTCTGCCAACGTATCGTTCTGCAACACTCAACAAGTCCTGTAAATGGCATTAATTCTGAATACTGTTGGCTGGCTGAATACTCTACTTTTGATCTTATATTTGTATAAAACAATAGCGACCCTGAAATTTGTGCACGTTCGTCTATATAGCCGCTCACTACAATAATTTGTTGATATTCTTTGCACCCTTTAATTATTTATTTACCTGCTAAAACCGCCTACAATCATATTATCAAGCACACATGCTGTCGCATAACAACAATAGCACAAACTCACAAACCTCATTCATGTACTCGCACCCATTTGACAATGATTCAGAAAAAAGGCCCGTTCAGACGCATTCATTGAGCGGCATAACTCTTCACCAGCTACCCAAACTACCGACAACAAATAATATGATTAAATGCGCATCAGCTGGCTGCGCTTACGCTTGGGTTATCGTTGCGTGCACCGCATTCAACATGATGTGCACCATCGGGATTGTCAATAGTTTTGGCGTATTCTCCACACACTATATCAACTTTATTTACCCTGACGTATCAACTGCAAGTATCGCTTGGATTGGCACCACAATGTCTTTTTTATGCTCAGTGGATCTATATTCACAGGCCCTTTGACAGACAAGTTTGGTTTTCGCGCGGTCTCACTCGTTGGAACTATTATCTGCAGTACCGTGCTGCTCCTCGCGTCGTTCACTAACGCGCTCTGGAAGCTTGTGCTCACGCAGGGAATTGTGTTTGACATTGGCGCCGCTTGCATATTCTCCCCATCGGTGTCTCTCACCTCACAGTGGCACAACAAGACCCGACCGTTGGCGACTGGAATCTCTGTTGCTGGAAGTGGTGCTGGAGGTATGATTTTTACCGAGATTACCCAAAAGCTGATGGAGACAGTTGGCTACAAGTGGACCCTGCGTATCCTTGCACTGATATTGTTGTGCGTCAGCGGATCAGCAGGGCTCTTTTACAAGCGGCGCGTGCCGGTTCCCAAAGGAGGCATAGACTTTATTGCGATTGCCAAGGATGCGCGGTTGATAGTGGTTGGCATGGCTGAATTCCTTGTCAACACGGGGCTGTACATGCTCTGGTACTACCTGCCTACGGCAGCGTTGATGATCGGGCAGTCCAAGCACGCATCAAACAACTTGGTTCTCTACATGAACGCCGGCAGCACTGCAGGCAGAGTCTTGGCAGCATACGCAGCCATGTACGCCGGCCCCAACAACAGTATTTTTATTGCATATGCAATCTGCTCTGTCCTCGTTCTGATTGTGATGTTGGCAGTAAAGAGCATGGTCGGGTATATAGCGCTTTCAGTTATCTTTGGTGCTCTTTCGGCAAGCTACATTTCAATAACGCCACTTCTGCTGACAGACATTTTTGGGACACAAGTTGTCACCACAGCCATGGGCATCATGAACGCGTGGTGCTCTGTCGGTGTACTCATTGGCAACCCGTCGCAGAGCGCGATCTACCAGCGATTCGATCGTCCCAATGGCTCATTCACAGCAATATCTGTTTGGGGGTTTTTAAGCTTTTTCCTCGCCGCTTGCAGTTATTTATTACTAAAGGTCATTGCTGTTCGTGGGAGCGCGCGCACCATGCTGTCCAAACTTTGAACTCATAATCAGGAATTTTCAATGCTCTAAAATTTTAATTTAATCGACCCCTGGTCTGACGAAAGCTGGATCTCAAAAGTACACTACAAAAAATAAAAATTGCGATTGTGCTTGATTTTTTCGCACTCCAACTTCTCCGCATAGATCGAGTAGACTCAAACTCTTTCTCTTCCTCTTCAATTTCTGGGGTTTTATTACTTTGAAGAAAAAAGCCATATATACATATTTGTTACGAGTAGGGCCGTACGCCCAATGTAAAATAACCATGGCGCATTGTATACATTCCAGCACAAAAAACAAACTGCGCAACAGCGGCCGATGGCCAGCAGCAGCTTTGAAGCTTTTTGGCACTGCATCGCCTTACTGGGCTTCAAAGTGCCTTGCTCAACGACAGCCGGGCCATGTGCGAAATGGAATAGTATTGGCAGCCACTGTTCTAGCTGCGGCTGGCACAGGAAGTGCGTCTTATCGCGTGGGCCAAAGTCTGTGCGCCACGATCTTCCAACCGATGCCGGCCAGGTATGCTGCAAAACATTTTGATTTATACTTGTGAGTGGAATTCGAATTTGCAAGACATTTACTGCGTGAATACTGCATTTCAAATTGCGTCTCAAAGAGCTTAAGCTTGTGTTTTAGCCCGCCTGTTTACTTATTCGATCCTTGCGCCAATATTTCTACTCATTTTTTGTTGGCACTTGATAGACATCGGTTCGAGCGCATCGCTTGCCATTTCAGACACAACAACGCAAACAGCAACCACAGCACGCATTATTTTCTCAGAGCAGCCTATCGGAAAGGCGCTGTGGCGGCAAAGTTTGGTCTGCTTCCTGGCGCATTTTTGTACGAGCACGCACAACACGGCGCTGGGTCAGATCGAGATCCAGTCAGCTGCAGCCATGGCCAGCACCCGTTTGCCAAACGCGCGGAGAGGTCACCCCTGGCATTTCGCAAACCTTGCGCCAACACAGGCAATATCTTTAGTCTACATGAGCAGAAAGCGAGCGCAATTGGAAGCAGCAAGCGTTCAATTCACACATCACCAGCCGGATCAAAACAGAACGGCACCGAACATGGCAGACCGCCAGCAGGAGACATGAAAGAAAGGCGGTGCGAGCATTGCGGCTTCGATGGATATCTGCCAGCGGCTCACACGTCTGGTTTAAACGTGTCGCCATTGCAAAGTGACAGCGACCAGCGGCGGATTGCTGCGCCAATGGCACAAAAGGCGCTTCCGGAACCGCCACTAGACCCGCTGTATTTTTACCACCACGCTACAAGACAGGAGATCCTGCGCGAGATATCCGGGTTTTTTCCGCGGCTGAGGGCTAGGCTGCGCCGCGCATTGAAGGGGTCTTACCAAAAGCGGCCCTGGACTGTGGACGACATATTCGCGCTGGCCACGTGGATAGTCATGTCACAAGCGATGCTGCTGCTCATAGGAACAACAACAACGGTGTCTGTGGTACTGTGGCTGCTGAATCGGCTCCAGTACCAGGACTGGATTGCGCGCAAACTCGGCGACTGGGTTTCATCTGCGCTGGGCATCACGGTGTCCTTCGAGTCAGCAATTGTCCCGGCTTGGGGACGCGGCACTATTAGGCTGAAGAATGTCAGAATCCACTGTGGCCCTGAGCACGGCGCGCTGATGGCCGACGGCAGCCGAGACACCAACTTTACGACCTACGAGCTCCATGTCGACCAGGTCGATGTTGCCCTTTCGCTGTGGCGGTGGATGGATGACCGCGGCGTGATCCGCGAGTGCTCGATGCGAGGGGTCCGCGGTGTTGTGGACCGACGACAGGTGTGGTGGGATCCGGATGCCGTGTACGTGCCCGGCGAGTTCCGGCGCGCGCGCCAGCCAGGATACTTTGACATGGATGCCCTGGAAGTCGAGGACATGCTGCTGACCGTGCACCCATGGCAGAACTTTCGCCCCATTACGGTGTCAATATACTCGGCCAGCCTGCCGCGCTTCAGGGACCGTTGGCTACTCTATGACGCACTCAACGCAAACTCAATTGTCGGCATGTATGATGGCAGCCTGTTCACAATTCACCAGGCACACCAGCACTTACTTGCACGGCCCCAGCAGCTGTCTGGAACTGATCCTGGCAGCAGCCTTCGCTCAGTGACAGTGCAGGGGGGAAGCGCACGCACCGCGCACGTGCAAATTGAAAACCTCAACATCGACCACATCAACTCTGGCGTCGAGGGACCCGTTGGCTGGATCACATCGGGGCGGCTGAACGTTTCTGCACTGGTCAGCTTCCCGCCACAGCCATCGGGAACGGACCCAGCCATGGCCATTCGGAAGATCGTGGACAACATCAACGACAGCATTGACGTTGTCATTCTGCCAAGCATGCCTGATTGGTCCAACCCAGAAAGGTCGCCCAACCCGGTAGTGCGCGGTCTGTATCACCTGGACATGGTGGACTCTCCACTGGCGCTGGAAATGCACGAGCGCCTCAGACGCCACGCGGAGCGCGAGAGCCAGCGCCGCCTCGAGAAGCAGCGCCAGCGCACAGCGTCCTGGAGCCAGCCGCTGGCCCCTATCCCCACGCACCAGATTGGCGGCATCCCGCGATCGGCCGCCGCCAGCCATGCAGGCGATTACAGCGGCCCCGATGCAGCGCAGCCTGCTGCGCAGCTGATGCGCACCCTCGAGGACCCCACAGCCGTGCACGTGGATCTTCAGGTCGAGTTCAATGACATCCGCGCGTCTGTGCCGCTGACTACGCCCCAGCTTGGGCACCCGCTGCTGTCCTCGGTGCTGGTGCGGCCGATTGTTGCTTATATGAATGCCCACCGCACGTCGCTGCCGATGCGCTGCCAGTTGCGGCTGCGGCCCGACGACTTTGACGGCGCGTGGAGCTTCTGGGACTCGGGTGCTGACGCCCTTATATCCCAGGGCATTGGCGCAGCCTTCACTCAGCTCGCCCACAACGAGCGCGAGCGTAATCGCCGCCTCAAGCTTGTCGGCTGGTGGAGCGTCACGGCCATCGTCAGGCAGCTAGTGCGCCTGGTGGACTTTGTCAATGGCCAGCGCGGCTTTTTTTACTACCTAGGCACAACGCCAGAGTCGGATCGCATTTGAAAGTATTTTTTATGTGGAAATTTGAAAGTTTGTTAATATACGCTATTAGTTGAACCCCCCCCCCCCACACACACACACACGAGCCAAACTGCCCATGCATGCAAACCGCGCGCGCTCTCTCGTCTGCCATCATGGTGAGTTGTAGTGGAGACACTCCTCCAAGTAGCGGCACAGGTTGTTTGACTTGTGCTTGAGCAGCCCCAGCGGGGTGTTGGGCTTGGTCAGCATAAACAGCCTGTAACTACCCAGCCGCGTCACCGCTGCCTTGCCGTTCTCGCACTCTATTATAATCATGTTCAGCGAGTTGCCCTGCATATCGTCCTGCATCTCAGAGGCGCCGTCACCTGTGTAGTCATCCATGTCGGTGTCTTTGCGCTCGATCAGACTGGGAATGCTCTCAAAACTCTGCCACAAATTTGCGGCAATTGCCAGGTCATCCTCCAGCTTCTCGCGGGCAATTGCACCCGGCGAACCTTCGATCAGGCCGTCGTTGAGTGAAGATGAGTAGGACGCGGGCTCTGTTATCGGAATGGCACTGTGCTGGCGAGGGCCATCTCCCACCGCCCCGTAATTTTGCGACAGCGACTGGTGGGATGTCTGCAGGGGCATGACTCCTGTATATGTGGCTGCAGTTGGGTGTCTTCTCTGCGAGCCCTCTGCGATCACACCCTTATACTTGCCACCGCTGCCGCTGACATGCAATGGTCCTGATGCTGCTGATAACTGCTCCCTTCCCAGCTGCATCCTCATATCGCGCCCGTAGTCGCTTCCATGCGAGTCCCCCTCATAGTTAAAATGGTGCTGCTGACTGGAAATTGGCGACTGATGGTGCCGGTCGTAATCCCCGCTCAACCCTGAACCCACATGCGTGGTAAGCCAAGCGCCATCCCGCCTGCCTCCAGTGCTGACAATGCTGCTTGGGGATGAGGCATGGGCAAGTACGACGCCATCCTCGTTGAAAAGCGCGCACACGCATACATCCCTGGTCAACGCCTGCTCCAAAATCCTTTTCAAATTCTTAGACCTGAGCATTTGTCACTGATATATCTGCTAAGGTTGTAAAAAAGGGAAAGGATATCTGGTGTGTGTGTGTGGGTGTGCTTGTACAAAGGTCACTTGTGAATTAATGATGCTAATACTGTTGTAGCAACAAAAAAATGAATTTCAATGTGAGGAAAAAAGAGTAATGATGTGAGGATAAAAAAAGAAAAGAAAAGGTGGTGTGGAAAGCAAAAAGACATAGATGGATGGCATCATCAACGCGTTAAATCAAACCACAATGCTCCACGTGAGGTCTTGATTTGGCTATAGGGATTAAATCTGATATTTTGATTGTCTTGCTTAAAATCCTACCAACTGGCTAAATTTTGATGATACAAACTGGCATTGGAAAAGTTGCCCACCACGATTCAACCTTTCTTTTTCACTTGTTTCATTTCCTCAAAAAAATCTAGTAACGATACAACTTTATTCCCAATTGTTTAAAGCGACTGTTCTCTGTGACTTGAGTGCTTTATTCTGGTCTTACCAAGCTATGTCGACTGCGGAATCAGCATGCACCAAGGCGCTGGCAACAATAGCAATAAACACTCTAGAGCTGGCGCACAACGTACACGCACGATTGCTTGTTAAACATATTGTCCAGGCCAAACTGCTTGCAGGAAATACGACCCATACATCCAGCATCTGCCCAGAGCTAGAATCAGAGGCTGCCAAGCTTTTACAAAATTGCAGAGCAACTATCAGCATCAGCGATAATGCCACAGGGCATGTGCACAGTCTAGAGTTTAGTCGCGTTAGGATTACAGGGACCGTGGTTCTTCGGCAAAGCACAGATATAGAAGGAACTTTTCTTGACATGGTGTATATTGATGACGGCACTGGTGTCGTCCCATTTACTTTAAACCTGCTACCAAACGATGTTCATGTTTCTGAAGATCTCCTGGCTACCGAAAGAGTGATGCACCAGCGTTTGCTGTTGATAAACAAGTCCGCGCAAACCCAGCTTATCGGTCAAACTGTAGAGGTCTTGGGGTGTCTTCGTTTTCTCCCCAACAGCACACACTTGAACCAACCCTGTATTTGGGTTGAGTGCAACCAACTGAACGTTAAAAGCGACCCAATGTCTGAAACGCTTGCAATAATGGAGACACTGGATGTTTACAGGCATTACTTCCCCCAGCACCCCGCATTTACTGATGTAGTGAGCTGCTTGCATTAGCAATTAAAGAACAACGAAAGATACAGCGCAAAACCTTGTTGCCATAATATGGCGATGCAACCATCACCCACCCGACCTGTAAACAAACGCACATGGGGAATGGATAATGGAGTTACTGACACACATACAAATAGTTGCACCCAAACCAAAATACATGTGCGAGTGCAATTGAGCTAGATGCTATTGATGAAATTGATGACAACCAGATTATATGCCTACTGGGTAGTTGAACATTTGATATATTAAATAAAACATTTATATTTGCAATATAATATGGTATATATAACAAATAATAAAATATTACGAAAGCACAGCTAGTTTTAAAATAATGTGAGCTTGCAGATAGCAGAGGTAAGGCCAATGGAAACAGCCTCGACTGTAGATTGTGTTGGCAGACTCAGGTCGCGCCTCTTCAAACTCCAAGTGGCTGCTCGTTCAAGCTAGAGTGCACACATGGCTGAGGATCACGGCTTCCACAGTGTGCAGACCAAATGAACCATCGCAGTAACCAACCAGATTTAGATTCTCAGACCAAGGATAGTGAATGGCCATGTTGCAGGTGGTCTTCAGATACTTGAGCACTCCCTTGGTAGCACTCATGTACTTCATCAGCAGACCCTGATTGAACAATGCAGACACAGAGGTGACCAGGGCAATGTCAGACTGAGATACTATGGCTGGGTACTTCAGTGCCACAATGACATAATGATACTCAGAGCCATTGCACTTGGTGAGGTGTGGGGCAGACCCTCTGAGGTAGACAGAGGCATAAATGGGAAGGTCGAGAGAAAATAGATACATTGTGTGAAATATAGAAAGAAATGGAAAGGCCGACATCTTTGGCCTTTTCAAAACCATACTTGTTGTCCAGGTTTTGGATGGCAGTACCCTGGTTAGTTTTGATGCTATCAAAAATGTGGTGCACATTGATGCCGAGGATTATGCTACACAGGCCCAAATTATTCATTGAAAACAACATACAATATACTTTTGTGAATTGTTGGCCTTGCTTTGTACGAACATGAGTATTTATCCTCATCTAGTCCAGTATTCTCAACCTGCTACATATTAACACAATGGTATAATCAATGGAGATAATGTACATTTTAGATAAGTGATTGTAATTGCACCATTGAACTAAAAGTGATAAAAAATATCAACCATTAATACCTATAATGAGCTCTTGGTAATAGAATGGTCAGTTGCTAAATAAGACATTAAACAACATTAAAGCACATGTCATACAATACCAATATACTTGTATAAAAACGTGTTATATTTGTGCAATTAATAGATTCATAAAGACATGTTTGATTAGTGTACCAACCTCACCATGCTTTGCCAAAATTTGTTACTTAAAACCGCTTGCATTGTTGCTGATCACATCAATGTGTATATGTGGTAGCCGTCAGCCAATGGATGCCTGGGAAGCACTGATGCAAAATTGTTGTAAAACTTTAGAATTGGGCTGACCCATGCTGGTATGCCACTGCCAAAATCCATTGTGCACAATGGAAACCATGACTGGTTGGTTATGACCAAAATTTTCGAGCCTGTGGACACAGTTCCTAGTGCCTGTACATAGCTATTAGGTTCCTTGCTGATAACATTGATTATTTTTTTAATGTATGGACCATCGGCTCATGAAACTGCATGCCTAATTCCTGATTCCATGTGTGTTAGGGACTCGCATGTTATCTCTGTTTCCACTGAACATATGAGACTGGAGACCACTGTGCCCATTACCATGTTCCCAGTATAGTTGGTTACAGATGCTATGTCGACATGGCCCTGGATATCCACTGTCACTGTGGTTGCCCAGCTATACCCATGTTGCTTGAAAACATTTTGCACTGCACAAACGACAGTGGATTTAATATTGTGCCAGTCACTCAATCCACCAATCCTGCTGTTTGTTTCAACCTGCTTCTCCCCCTGAGCAACAACCATGGTGAGCAGTGCTGTTATAATGCCATTGTCGCTAATGCACAAACTTCCAGTTATCTCTGTGCATAGATACTTGTATAGTGAGTTAATAGATGCAGCACAGATATAAAAATTGTGGACCTCAATTGAACCTAAAGCTATAAACCCATTAAGCATGCTGCCATGACTCTCTGACGTCAGCTAAGCCAGCCACTGAGCTAGGTAGCTTACAGTTGTATACATGGGATATGCGGCATCGTCAGGAGTAGATCTGTTGCTGGACAGGTAGCAAGCAACAGCTTGGCAGTCATAGTCGAATGGTTTAGCATGCACACTAGAGTTGGGAATGCCGTTCTGCAATTGGGTGCTGTTTTTGGCCTACTGGTTTATAAACGCACAGTATCCAATGCCATAGACAATGTAATAAGGCACATTGACAAATAGAACAACTCCGCTGTTGTCCTTGTGTCTGACAATGTGAACATTGACCAACTTAATGCAGCCTTAGTTACCAGCAGCTGCAAATGCTCTAATAGTGACCATGGTTTGGGGCATAGCACTCCAGCTAAAACCTACTGATTTCAAATCGTCAAAATATATGTTGCTTTGGGTCTCCTTGATCTCAGGCATGTTGAGGTTGTTCTTGTCGACCATGACCGCTGTTTTGCTACTTTTTCCACTTTCAGCCGACCAACCAGAATGAGAAATACAACCAGCATTGTGAAAAATGAGTCTCTCATTACACACGTTGGAATAAATGCATCACTGCTCAAGGTATTTTCATAATAAAATATGAATGGTATGTTGGTAACCCAACCAGCATGTCGAGTAGGTGTAGCAGAATTATCAGCATCCATGTGGCCTCTCTAAGCAAGTTTTCTAGTCCCATTGGTAAATTAATAACTATAACTATAATTATAAAACAGTATGATACTACTAAAATATGGAGTGTGAATATGAATAGAGAAGCAAGTGAAATATTAATCTCACAAGATTTTATGGTGTTGGCATGCTCAAAATATAATAGCCCTGAGATTACCAATTTACTATCACTATGTTTATTTTGAAGTGTACTACAGCTGGTAACTCAGACATAACACCAACTTGAGACAGATGAGTGGCAGCAGTAATGTACTGAATGGTTTAACCATGACCCAAATTGTCAATGACAGAGTACCATATCAAGAAGTATAGTAAACCCCAATAATAGGGGACATAACATGGGAATACAAGTGTAAATTTATAACAATACCAGCTCAATAAAGCAATGTTCAGAATACAATGTGACAAAATATAAATGGATTATGTGGTTCATGTTTATGTTTGAGTTGGAATTTGGCACTGTTTATACTACTAATTATGACATTGACAAACAGTTATTAGTAAACTGATTATGAAGCATTTTTACCAATAAGCCACATTTACCAGATCATTTGCACATATTAGAGGGGCATATATTAACAATTCAGTAGTAATGGTTGTTGGAACTCCGTCTTGCATACTGTAAGATGATTGCAAGACCAGAAGTTTCTAAAGTATCCTTCTCTTATATTTACCTTTCTTATCTTTACTCGCTGTCTCCTATATAAGAGACAGCTTTCCTCAGTCTCTTCACTTTTTTTCTTCAGCTTAGAACTTTATATTTTTCTTCCTTTGAAATATAACTTGCAAAGCTTCTCTTTGCTCAGCTTTGCTTGTTTCTCACACTCACAGTGACCAGTTCAGATACAGGGAGTTCCCTGAACCAACAATAATTGAGACTAGCACCCAGAGACAGATTACAGAAAAGACTGAGTTTATATATAACCATTGGAAGGAGCATAATGGCCAACAGATCCTCTAGGAAGAATGGCTAGGGATTATGCCCAAGAGAGGAGATACCAATGGTTATGACAGCTACAGACAACAGATTGTAGCAGAGATGCAAAGACAGCAGCCATGCCCCCTATTGTGACATCAAAAATGGGGACTGAGTTACATGATAGCATAGACGCATAAGATATGTTTATGATACTTCATGCACACAGCAAATTCAAAATAGTGGGCTCTTCAGCTTTTTTCATAGTTTCACTATAATTAATATATATTATAACTAGCCAAATTCACATTACATTTGGTAGCACCTCAACTTTGACAAACCATGCTTCCTCATCAACAACTAACTGACAGACAAACTGGTTATAGAAAAGCAGTAGCCATGACTGGGATGTTGCCATATGAATCAGTAATGAGATTCAGCCTAATGCTGGCACCAGACGAGGATAACACAGAGAAAGTGGCAATTGCTGTTGGACCCTATGTGAGAGATGCTGAGGAACACTTTATCCAAGCAAAGTTAGACGAGAATAAGTGAATATTTTTAGCCTCACATAAGATCCCAACAACCAAGAAAAACGAGTACCAGAGACACTGTATGGAACACAACAAGGACCACCACAACTGGGGAATGTTCAAGGAGTTCCTGACAACCAAATACTCGTGTGTGGTGTTATATTATGACACACTGCACAAATACTACCACCTGCAACAGCCTGGGACATTAGAGACCTTAGTGAGAAAAACGAGCAAAGCTGAGCAAAGAGAAGCTTTGTAGATTATATTTCAAAGGAAGAAAAAGATAAAGTTCTAAGCTAAAGAAAAAAAGTGAAGAGACTGAGGAAAGCTGTCTCTTATATAGGAGACAGCGAGTAAAGATAAGAAAGGTAAATATAAGAGAAGGATACTTTAGAAACTTCTGGTCTTGCAATCATCTTACAGTATGCAAGATGGAGTTCCACCAAGAACAGAATTCCAACGCTCCCCCTGACAAGGTGCTCACATCATACCAGAGGATGAGCAATGTCTGACAAAGGCATCTAGGGGTAATTGCTTGGTCAGATAGTCAGCAGCTTGGTCAATGGTCGAAATATACTTGAGATGATATACTTGCTGAGATAGTGCAGCATGAGGAAATTGTAGAGTAGACTTGTAGTGCTTGTTGGCATCAGTCACAGCACCAGTGCGTGTATTGTTGATAGTACTCTTATTGTCACAGAAAATGGTGGCAGGGTCAACATGTACATGGATTTCACACAGCAGGTCTTGTAGCCACATGAGCTCACGGACAGCAGAGGTCAGGGCAATGGTCTCAGCTTCAACTGTGGATTGAGGTGGCAAGCCAAGAGCACATTTCTTTGACTTCCAAGCAACTGCTCCCCCTGCCAGAGTGAATACATAGCCAATTACCATGGCTTCCACAGTATGCAGTCTAAATAAAGCATCACTGTATCCAACTAGGTTGAGATGTTCAGACCGACAATAGTGAATGGCCATGTTGCAGGTGGTCTTCAGATACTTGAGCACTCGCTTGGCAGCACCCATGTGTTTCATCAGTGGCTCTTGGTTGAATGATGCAAGCACAGAGGTGACCAGAGCAA